TTACAGGCATGTTCTATTACAGACATGTTCTATTACAGGTATAACTCATTGCATGGTTCTCTTACAGGCATGTTCTATTACAGGTATAACTCATTGCATGGTTCTATTACAGGCATGTTCTATTACAGGGATAACTCATTGCATGGCTCATTACATCCATGACTAAGCTATGTGACCACTACCACCGGTCTATAAGTGAAAAACTACCTGTAAAGTGCTGAATACTTACAAGTACCTTTGTAGTTGTAAATTTACGGATGGTTTTGGTGGACTTTAATGAAGAATAATGTGTTGATGAGTAGGAGCCACTAAGAGACGCGACACTAGCGGTATCAAGCTATAAGGTATCGAATAGAGATTTGCTTTTCTCAGTGTAATTGAATGGCTGCAAAACGGGGGTATGTCCACCGGGGAGGAGCTTTGGCGGCCAAAGACCCAAGCACCAGCAGCTGCTGGTGCTCCGTCACGTGACCAGCACACGATTAAATCAATAAAAAACACCTAGCAAAGCATCATGATCAACTACCCATGTCTTCTTCATCATAATGGGCTCATATATACCACCAGAATACTTACAGTACTTTGAGTATTTACCGGACTTACAAAAATGTGCTAATGTTTTCATAACGTTTACCCCGATGTTCAGTTATGGAACAACTTGCTATGGAATATATAAAAAAAAGACATCTTTAGGATTTTCAATTGATATATGTGCTACAATGCTAATGGCATCGATATTAAGAATATGCTATTATACCATCTCACCATTTGAAATCTCGCTACTTAGGCAATCGATCGTAATGATATTCATCCAATGTATACTATTAAAGATCTCTTTAAATTATAGACCAGTAAATTATAATCCAGAATTACTAACTCCTTTACCGATATTCAAAAATGAATTAAACAGTTATTTGCCGAGAAGATTATCCCAAACGAGTAATATCACTCAACATGATATTTACCAAGAAGACCTGATGGTACTTGATTTTGGCAAATTTGTTAAAAGCTATATTGTTATTGTATTCAGCCATTGCTTAAAATTTTTCGATGTTTATTATAAAAGACCAGGATTATTCTGGCAATGGGTGGAAGAGAAAAACTACTGGGTTTTCTTAGTTAAATTTCTGTTAGTTTTCATTACCCTAACTTTCATTTTCATTAATAACGAATATTATGGCTCTTTCATTGGTATACTAGGATTGTTCATTGAAAGTTTATTACCATTACCACAAATATTATTATTAAATCGATTGAAATCAATTAAAAATTTTAAAATCTTGTTATTATTAAGCTGGTTAGGTGGGGATTTAACAAAATTAAGCTATTTATTATTTGGTACTAATAATATATCAATAATTTTCATTATTGCAGCTTTATTTCAAATGAGTCTTGATATTATAATTGCATTTCAATATTTCCATTTTAAAAATTTGGACTTCGATAATTTAAATTTATCATTACCAAATTATAAAACTCCAAAAAATTCCGCCAATGAATATGAACTAGATCCAATTCCTTTCACTCCAAATTCAAACTTAACTTCATCAACGCCTTCTTCCTCTTCAAATTCTCAAAATTACTTTCCTTCAATCGAAAGTAATTCAAAATTCCCTCCAGTAACCGGAAGACAAAGATCAGATTCTCAACCAAGAGTAAGATCCCAATCCCACTCTAGCCGTAGTATTTCCCGACTGTAATAGATTATAGATTATAGATTCTACAATAAAATATCTAATAATTTATTCTAATCATAAGGTATTAAACTATTTATAAAAGATATTGATATATATATATGTATAAGAGAAAGAAAGTAAAAAATTAACCGAAATAAACAACCCACCCAAAAAAAAAAATAAAATAAAAAAACTAATCATCATTAAATTGAAACATATTCAACATTCTTCTTTGCTTCATTAATCAAATCCAATGCATCCTTACCTCCTAAACCATGTTTGACTTTGATATGTCTGGATAATGCATCACCTCTTGAAAAAGTCTTTTGCTTCCCATTACCATCTCCACCATTTAGTCTACCCTCACAGATAACACAACGAAATATCTTCTTCTTCAGGGCATGAATGGTTTCTTGGTGTCTTATTAAATCATAAGGACGACTGAATTGTTTATTACATGGTTTACCGGTTGATGGATTGATTTTGTCACATTGATGATTTGGATTATTGGCAGAAATCTCTGCAGCAGTCTTCATAGGGGTATCATCAACCACCATTTGATCATCATCATCCTCTTCTTCGTGTTTATGATCATTTATATTCAAATTAGTTAAAGGAGGTGGGGATAATATTTCTTTTGGATTACCATCAACAACCTCTTCTTTATTAACCCCAAAATCATCAATAAACCCACCATTCATCAAATTATCCTTGATGTACATATCCCAAGGTTTGATTTCTGGTTCTTGTTGAGGAGGTTGTTGAGGAGGTTGTTGAGTTTGATATTGTTGATCATCTTGAGGTAAATATTCATATTGACTATTCATGATGAAATCATCAAATTCATTATCATCATTAAAGAAATCATCTTCATCATCATCATCATCACTTAAATCTTCTTCGACATCTTCATCAAAATGATCCATCATTAAATAATCATTTTCATAACCGGGGATAGGACCGTTTGGATCGATGTAACCTTGGTTATTTTCTTCATTATCATTAGGTATAAAGAGAGAATCTGAATATAAATCATGATTATTCATCACCAAAGAAGAAGGTTGAATATCAGTATTAAACAAGTAATAATTTTCGTCTTTCAAACGTTTTTGTTTTGATTTTGAACCATCATCATCATCCAAAGTAGTTATTCTTCTTCTTCTTGGATGAGAAGGAATTTGATAAACGTCATTTGGATGAATGAAACTAGGTTGAGTGTTAATCGAGTCCGGGTTCCCGTAATCGGAAAAGGGGCTGATTTTCAAATCATCCAAAGGTTGATTTGCTTGATAGCCATCATCCATGATATTATTAGTAGATGAAGATGGCGATATTGAAGCTAAATTATTATTACTACCATTTAATCGATTATATTGATCCAAAAACGAATCTGGAATATTGAGTAAATTAGGTAAGTTATTAGCAACTGGTTGAGCGTATAATGAAGATTGTCCTAAAGCAGGGGATGAATTAACTGATGATGACATATTACGAAACAACGATGCGGGTTTAGGAGAATCCGATCGATTAACGCCGGCGGCACCAGCATTATTACTAGTAGATTGCACATTCAAAGGCGAACTAGGTAAATGATATAGTTCTTCATCCATGATATCGGTGATTGTTCTTTTCAAAGGGGGTATGACAGCCAAAGAGGTCATGCTAGGTTCCTGGTTATCTTTTGGCAACGGTGGCAATAAAAAGGTAGGGTGTAAGCGCAGAAGCAACGTATGTATAAGCGGTGTACTGCTGAGTCAGCGTAGGCGTAGGTGTAAGTGTAAGCGTAGGCGTAAGCTTAGGGTGGTGAAAGCTAGGAAGGAAGAAGAGTGGCAATATTTATATAAAATGAGTATTACTAAAGCAAATTTATCCTCAGCTGAAACTTCGGCTATATGCTCGTTTTGGCCATTTCCGGAACAATACTATCCAACTGGTCCAATTCGGATCTGATAAGCCCTGACTACATGGTATTACTGTCACTATTACTGTCGCTGTCACTGGTATACTGGTATACGGGATATACGGGGTATATAGCTGGTTATATAGCTGGGTATATAAGTGGTTGGTCTTTGATGATCGATGCTTCTAGAATAAAGGGTTTTCATTATGTGGTGTACGGGCGTGGTGGGGCAATTATAACTTTTGACTTGCTTTAATACCTTCATTAGAGACCTTTTCAATACCCTTCTTAGCCAATTCCTCATCTAGATAGTAGTAGTCTTTTATTAGTTCGCCCTTATCGTTTAGCTCAAAGACAAGCGGCACACCTGTAGGCACGTTGATTTTGCTGATATCGTCGTCACTGATATGGCCCAAGAACTTGATAAGACTTCGTACAATTGAGCCATGAGTCACTATAAGCACAGTTTTATTTTGGTGAATGAGGTTCTGGTTAATAATTTCGTGTTGGAAAAAGGGGATCAACCGATTCATCACCATTTTGAGTGATTCACCTTTGGGTAATTGGTATAAAGGAACGTCGACGTTGTTATATCTTTCATCGATGCAATGGTCGTTTTCTGCTAGTGGCGGGACGGCATTGAAGTTTCTTCTGTAGTATTGAAATTTTTCTTTACCGTATTGATTAAAAATGACATTTTTCAAGACTCCTTGGAAAGAACCGTAATGGCGTTCATTTAGTCTCCAAGATTTGACGGTGTCACACCATAAACGATCGATTTTCTCTAGAATGATATTCCCGGTTTGAATTGATCGGGTTAATTTGGAAGTATACATTAAAGTTGGTTTTAAATTATATTTATTTAATAGATTAGCAGCGACCATTGCTTCGTGTTTACCCTTATCACTTAGCGGGATATCGATCCATCCGCAGAACTTGCTTTCCTTATTCCATTCTGATTCTCCGTGGCGAAGAATGATGAGTTTATGAGTAGTCATACCGGGTGTAGTGGTTTGTGGATGGGCAATGGGCTTGGAATGGTCAATCACTTTATATATGGGAAAAGCGTCTGGTGATTGTTCCATCTATCTGGTGTACGGGTGTTATAACCGAGCACGAGCTTGCAGCAATCGCCTCCGGTCCTAATCGGTTGGTGTACCGGCGTTCCATTCATCTAATGCAATGTTACATTGATGTTTTTCAATCTTGATGGCACCGTAATCTACCCAAGTATATAAAGATAAAGAAAGTAAGAGATGTAGGAGGTAGGTGGGAGGGTGTGTTGGTGGAGAGGATAAAAAAAGTGTATATAATTCGCATGATTCAAACGATCAAATTTCCATCGATTACTGTTTTAACAAGTCAGACTATGCCAGCGGCATCAAAGATTATTGACCGGCCGTTGAACTGGTTGGAAATCAAGTATATTATTGATACTAACGACTTGGATAAGTTTGCCAGATCATTGGATGAAACCCAGAGGTACCACCAGTTCAAAGAAGAACTAAAACGGGGGAAAACCACCATATACAAGCATCTACTTATTAAAGAGTTAGAATGGGCTAACCCCCAAGATTACTTGATGAGTGATTTGGAAATTGCTAAAACGGTGGAGAGTAAAGGAGAATATATCTTTACCTGTAGTGAAGATTTAAAAATTATACCTAATCATTTCCCATATTTTTTTGAAAAGGGGATAAAGCATTATTGTATTTGGACCAAGATTAGAATCCCCAGTGATTATACCCATCCATTAGGAGATTTGAGTAAACCAATAAGAAAAGCGATTGATACCTATGTTAATAAAACGTTTAATCATTTTGGAATTAGTTCAGATAGAATAGTTTGGTTTAGAAATTGGGAAGCTCTACAAAGCGTTAAAGAATTAAGTCATATTCATATAATCATTAAAGATTGTACTCAACAAGAAGAAGATCGTTTCTTGTACACCAGTGGAGTTCCCCTTACCATTAAAGAATACACCGATATAGTAAATTGATACACATAATCTTGATACACATATAGTAAATTGATACACATAATCCTTGATACACACAATAATTTTTATTTATAATATACAACTAGATAGAACTAAAAACGTAAATAAATTTAACCACCGAAACCATACAAGGTTCTACCTTGTCTCTTTAAAGCATAAACAACATCTAAAGAAGTAACGGTCTTTCTTTTAGCGTGTTCGGTGTAAGTAACCGCATCTCTAATAACATTTTCTAAGAAGGATTTTAAAACCCCTCTAACTTCTTCATAAATTAAAGCAGAAATACGTTTAACACCACCTCTTCTAGCCAATCTTCTGATAGCTGGTTTAGTAATACCTTGAATGTTATCTCTCAAGATTTTTCTGTGACGCTTAGCACCACCTTTTCCAAGACCTTTTCCACCTTTTCCTCTACCGGACATGATTTATTAATGTTGATAATGATAAAAAAAATTTTAGGCAATAGATAAAGTGCGAAACTCCTTTTATATATGACTTTCGAAAAGTTACCTGAACATAATTAAGGGATTGCTTCAGGTTCTCACTTTTACTCAGTTATTGGGGCGATTATTGTGCGCAGGTAACTGGGATTCTTTTGTTTGAGAAAAGGTTGCAATTTTCGAGTGAGGAAAATTACCATGTCCTCCGTAAATCTCAGTATGCGAAACCACCGCATTATACTACAATATACTATAATATACTACAATATACTATAATATACTATAATATACTATAATATACTATAATATACTATAATATACTATAATATACTATAATATACTAATCTACTATGATATACTATCCTATACTATGATATACTATGCTATACTATGATATACTATGCTATAATATATTATAATATACTATACTAAACTACTATAATACAATATAACATCATACTACTATGCTCTAGATAGCAGCTTATTACAGCTAAGGGAATACGGTGGCAGAGTACTGAGTAGAGTATATTCCAGTATTGCACTAAGATATCCCCTAAAGTTTTGTAGTATCTTTTGTATTAGTGAGAAGTTGTATTAGCGAGTCTTTAGTGAGTCTTTAGTGAGAAGTGGGAGTCTTTAGTGAGAAGTGGGAGTCTTTAGAGAAGTGGGAGTCTTTAGTGAGAAGTGAGAGTCTTTTGTATTGGTGAGAAGTTCTTTTAGATCTTTTGCAACTGCCAAAAGCCGGTATACGATATACACCCCGGGTGTAAATGCGAGCACCACGCCGACGGCTCTTTCCCCCCACAAAACGCGCCCGGCAGCAAATGTAAACAGTGGCCCTTCTCATTAAACCATTTAGTATATAAATAAATCAAGATATCCTGGTTTATCAATGTTATCTTCTTATCATCAACCAAAATGGCTAGAACTAAACAAACTGCAAGAAAATCCACTGGTGGTAAAGCCCCAAGAAAACAATTAGCTTCCAAAGCTGCCAGAAAATCTGCCCCATCTACCGGTGGTGTTAAAAAACCTCACAGATATAAGCCAGGTACCGTTGCTTTAAGAGAAATTAGAAGATTTCAAAAATCTACTGAATTATTAATTAGAAAATTACCTTTCCAAAGATTGGTTAGAGAAATTGCTCAAGATTTCAAAACCGATTTAAGATTCCAATCTTCTGCTATTGGTGCTTTACAAGAATCAGTTGAAGCTTACTTAGTTTCTTTATTCGAAGATACTAACTTGTGTGCCATTCATGCTAAAAGAGTTACTATTCAAAAGAAGGATATTCAATTAGCCAGAAGATTAAGAGGTGAACGTACTTAATCAACATGATTTCAATTCTTCAATATCTTAGATATTAGTGTATATTAGAATAAATATTTATATTGTATATTTTATAATATTTGTAAGTTATTTAAAAAGGATATTTCAGAGGATCATTATCAACAGTATACCCCTTGGCTTCTTGTTCTAATGCTTTCCTCTCTAAATAATCATAACAAACATCTTTATATTGATATAACCCTTTATAATCAGCAACATCTTCTTCCCAACTCTTCATCCCATTCAATAACCGTCTAGGAACCCAGGGCTCTTCACAAATCTCAACCATTGGTATGAAATAGGTTCTGATGGTGAACACCACCCCTCCACTACGTGGTAATCTTCTTAAACTCTGTCTTTCACTACGGAAATAAATTTGCTCAATGGTGGTGGCCGCTTTCGCAGTATACCATCCAACTTTTTCGTTCAGTTCATCTCCAATCGATGAACTCCATGGTAGCTGATCATCAGTTTGAATAAAGTAATTGTTTCTAACAACCGGCTTATCTGGAGTTAATCTAATGAAAAATTTCTCCATTCCGGGTCTTAAATTAGTCTGATATTTTGGTACATCTCCACTAGTATGAATTGCACTCAATGGTAAATTAAATTTATCTCTAAATCTCCAAAACCCTGCTAACATAATGGCTCCACTCTTCAAATAGTATTCTCCGCTTTCGCTTTCAAGCATTATGGCCAAATCATCCTGGGTTAACTTACTAGCTATCAATATTGGATCTTCTCCTAAACTTCTACTGAATTTCTCTTTTCCTCCCTTTCTCATGAAAATGTGATCTTCTCCAGTTTCTAAATTATAAATCCCGTCCTTGGTTTGCTTGAATAAACTTGGATATCTAATTGGTAACCAGTTTCTAAACTCCTCTAATAATTCATATGCTGCATCAATGGCTTCGTCACTGGTTTCATATAATTCTTTCCCCTTGGTGGCTATTCTATTCAATTTATCTTGATGATACTTGGGCCACTGGTTATCTAATTCAATCCACGAGTCCCATGGCATGTTTCTAATCCCCATATTCACTTTATAGTTGGATTTAAACGCCCGGTATGGTTGTGGTTTGGTTGTTTTAATGTTCCAATCGGGGAACGGGGCTGGCTTTGGCGTCTTGAATTTTTCATCTGGAATCCATTGTCCTAATTTACGGTTCTTATTATCTCCTTTAACCGCCTTCTTTGGTTTCAGCTTAACTGCTTTGATCGAAATTGCAATTAAAACAACCCCAAATAATACCATATAATTAAATAACTTTAAATCAACTCGCTCCTTAGTGAGCTGATTCACCTGTTTAAACAGATAGTAATAGGCACTGCTTAAAAACCCTCCTTCTGTTGAATTCATATTGCTTCTTACTGTCTCTACTACTTCTCTCTAGTAGATCCCTCCTCCTCTACTTTATATAGGCTGATCTTATCAAAGATCATTTTTCGCAATATCGTATTCTGCAACCTATTTCGGAAGTCGCAGCCACTGAAGTAGCTAACAGAACAAATCAACTAATTCGGTAATCGTATCCTACAACTTACTGAAAAAAATCATCAGATGTATTATGCTGGGGGTAGAAATGCTGCAAATAAAGTTACATGAACTATATTCCAAATTATCAAGTAATATAAAAACCCTTTCACGAAATAAGATTGTCGATCGTAATTAAGGATCATTATACTAAGGGTCCAATTAATTATTGGTAAGAAAGTTGTGATTCTTGTTAGTATTTGGGTATTCCAAAAAAATATTCCTCCTACTAACACGGCTGAGTTCACTAATAGAATGGGTAATAACTTCAACATTGGATATTCAATTAGAAAAAACTTGAAACTTATCATACTGATACTTATTGTTGGTAATGCAAATAAAAAATTTGGGATATTATTCGATGTCCAGTAACTTAAAAATCCATTATTCCAGTAGTTTCCTTGTGCGTATTGGAATAGCGATGGAATTGTATTAGAACACCATACTGGACTCAGGTCTCCAGTACAGAAAACAGTGTATGTATAGATGTTCGATACCAATAAACTTGTGAATAAAAAGCTCCCACTAATTATACTCCATAAACTATCTTTTTGGCTATGATTTTTAATGCTGAATACGTATAAATCGTATAAGTAGACTATTCCGAGTAATAATGTGTTGGCACGCATTCCATAACTGATGGCAAAGAAGATCCCTGATAATAAATAGCATCTCCAATCTTTTATTGAAAGCTTGGAATTTTTCAAATTGAAGTTTTCATAATTCATCGATATTTCTCTTAAATATAATCCAGTAAAACACAAAAAGGCGCATGCATTTTCACTGTAGGAGCTTGTTAAAAACCCTGCTCCTGGTGATAATATATATGTTATACCACTAGTGATTGAAATTCGATCTTTATTGAAAAATTTACCCAGTGATTGGTTGAAAACAGTTTTGGTTAGTTTCCAAATCATTAAGACACTGGCAAAATGCAATATATTACTCATCCATAAACTGACTATGAACAGCTGATAAAAATTGGTCGGCGTTCTATTCACTTTGCTAACTAATTTGATCAATCTCCACCATAATGGACAAAATACAAATTGATGTTCATATTTGATCTCATTCACAAATAAATCAGCAAAATATACAACGTCCCAAACAACCAATTTCTCAATTATGTTATCTATTATTGACCCGACAAAAGGCTTTAGTACGGAGTTATATGAATTTATGTACACTTCTTTGGATGTTTGGTAACTAGTACGCAAAAGTAATTGCGTTGATGTATCGAACTGAACAGGTGTAAAGTAAACCAATGCCAATTGCGAGACTTTCACGAGGATGAACGTTTGAAAGAGCCTCGTTATTGGATGTTCTTTAATGGACAGCATGATTCTTGAAGAGCCATCCGCTGACTTCATTTCTTCCTGTCTTAACTTTCTTCTACTGCTTCTTCGAGCATGTTTTTTTTTTTCTTCTTTTCTTTTGATGATCTGAATCTCATTGCGAAGGAGCTTCTTGCAGAACTTAACAAATACTTCAGCTACAATTACTAATAACACTTTTATAAGATAAATTAATTTTATTTAATAAATGAAGGAAATCTTCAATTGGAATAGTTAAAAAAAAAAAAAAACTAACTAGCAAATATTCACATTAATAACTCTACTGAATGATTTTTTTTCTATTTCTTTCTAGATTACTTATTTCTTACCGAATTGGTTAGCAAAAGAATCAATAATACCAGCAACAGATTGAGGGTTAGCTAAAGTAGTGATATCACCTAATTGGTCAGCTTCATTAGCGGAAACTTTTCTTAAGATTCTTCTCATAATTTTACCAGATCTAGTTTTTGGTAAATCAGCAACGATAATAACTGATTTAGGAGCAGCAAATGGACCAATTTCACTTCTAACTTGTAAAATTAATTCTTTTCTTAAAGCAAAAGCTTCTTCACTGGTTTCTTTACCGTTGATTTTGTCGGCGTATTCATCTTTCAAAGCAACATAGGCAACAACAGCTTGACCAGTTAAATCATCATTAATACCAACGACAGCAGCTTCAGAAACACCATGATGTTCAATTAAAGCAGCTTCAATTTCAGCGGTTGATAATCTATGACCACTAACATTAACAACATCATCAACTCTACCTCTAATCCAATAATAACTATCATGATCTCTTGCAGCACCATCACCAGTGAAATAGTAACCAGGGTAAGGGTTTAAATAAGTATCCATATATTTGGTATGGTTATTCCAAACAGATCTAGCCATTGAAGGCCAAGAATCTTTAATTGCTAAAACCCCTTCGACATCATTACCATTAATTTCAACCCCACTAACAGGATCAATTAAACAAGTTTGAATACCGAAAAATGGTAAAGAAGCAGAACCTGGTTTATTTGGAGTAATACCAGCAATTGGAGCAATAAAATGAGAACCAGATTCAGTTTGCCAATAAGTATCAGAAATATGACATTGACCTTTACCAACTTTTTCATTATACCATTCCCAAATATCAGGAGAAATTGGTTCACCAACCGATCCTAAAGTTCTTAAAGAAGACAAATCATATTTTTCAATTTCATGTTCACCAGCTTTTCTTAATAATCTTAAAGCAGTTGGAGCAACGTAAAAATGAGTAGCTTTATGTTTTGCAACAATTTGCCATAATCTACCATAATCAGGATAAGCAGGAGTACCTTCAAAAACAATGGTTGGAACCCCAAGAGATAAAGGACCATATAAGGCATAGGTATGACCAGTGATCCAACCAACATCACCAGCAGTGAATAAAACATCTTCTTTATGGATATCAAAGATATATTTAGTAGTTAAAGCAGCACCTAATAAATAACCACCAGTTGAGTGAACAACCCCTTTTGGACTACCAGTTGAACCAGAAGTATATAATAAGAAAAGAGGATCTTCGGAATTAACTGGAACTGGAGGTAAATAACCAGGTTGGTTAGCAGTTTCTTCATGCCACCAGTAATCTCTACCGTTTTTAAGAGCGATATCAGGGTTACCAGTTCTTTTGTAAACCAAAACTTTTTCAACACTTGGACAATTGAGTAAAGCATCATCGCATAATTTCTTGATATTAACAGTTTTACCACCACGACGACCTTCATCACAAGTAATTAAAGCTTTACAACTAGCATCATTAACACGATCTTTAATTGAACCAGAAGAGAAACCAGCAAAGATAACCGAGTGAATAGCACCTAATCTAGCAACAGCCAACATTGCAATAATAGCTTGAGCAGTCATTGGTAAATAAATAGCGACAGTATCACCTTTTTTAATCCCCCAATTTTTCAAAACACCAGCTACTTTTGAAACTTCTCTCAACAATTCAGAATAAGTTAAAATTTTGGAATCTTTTTCATCGTCAGCTTCATAAATAACCGCTGGCTTATTAGGAGTTTCATAAGCCCATCTATCAACACAATTGTAAGACGCATTCAATTCACCACCGATAAACCAAGCAGCATCACCATGTTTTAAAGATCCAGCTTTAACTTTATGGAAATCTTTATCCCAATGTAACAATTCTTTAGCTTTTGGGCCGAAGAATCCTTCTGGATCTTCAACCGATTGCTTATATAAAGTTTGATACTCTTCTAAAGAACTAATATGGCCTCTTTTAGGTTGTTTTTGGAAAAACTCTTTAGGAGTTGGACGAGGAACAACATTATTGGCCTCGTGAACAATTTGATGAACTGGAGAAGTAGTCATGATGAATAACTTTAATTATTAACTATCCAAATTCTCAATTCAATGATATTTGAAAACTAAAACACCAATTTTTAAGTTAGTATATAACCAATAAAGAAAACAATTTTTTTGTTAGTGAAAAATTTAGATCCAAAGCACCGAGTGAAAGAAATGGATGCGACACGTAACGACCGGCTGGATCAAAAATCAATCTTCGTTTTTGCAATTGCAAATTACATACCAATAAATATGGATCTAGTATGAAAATCAATTTCAACTATTTAGTCTGCCGGAATTTCCACTAAGAAGTCTTTGCAAAATTCAACTAATTGGAGTTATTTCAGTACCGTCGTATAGAAAACCCTCACTGAACGACAAAGTGAACGAAAATTATAATAAAATCAAGGTTGAAAAAAGGTTGGGTTGGGTTTTGGGTTTTTTCCAAAGACAATTGCAAAATGGGACCAACAAAGTATATTGATGGGTATTTTATTTATAAATTGTGTGGTTTGGGTACTGGAAACGTACTTCTATCCCTGGGGGGTCCAGGGTATATATATACTTGCCGATTATCCAATGGCCCCCCACATATTTCAAACCATTGATTTTGAAATATGGAGATTCCCGGTCGACCGTATACTCGTAGTACTGGAGTTAAGTGATCCTTATGTTCGGACTTGGGACCGGGTATCTGGTCTGTTATGACTGTACGATTGCTTTGCTAATACCGTTGGGTTGGTATTTGACCTTCTAGTCTTGTGCTGGGGGTGTTCTCTTGCACTGGGTGTCCTGACCCCCTGTGCTGGCCGTGTAGTGGCCTTCATTAATGAGCTTATCGCCAGAAACCGTTTTATTGTCGGTGGGGCTAAAAATGAGAACGTCAAGTTACAGTGGTTATAAAGTTATAACAATATCATTAATATATATATAAAGATGTAAAGATTACATACTTTGACTATCATACATACACATAAGCGAGAAGTGAAAAGAAATCTAAAAGGAGTCTAAATAGTTTAATCAACTTCTTCAACAGTTGGACCATCATTAGATGGTTCTGGAGCAGCACCACCGGCAGCACCTGGGAAACCACCTGGAGCGGCACCACCTGGAGCGGCACCGGCTTGGTAAGCTTTAGCCATGACTGGGTTAGCTTTACCTTCTAATTCTTTTTGGTGGTCAGCGTATTCTTCTTCGGTGGCGGTTTGGTTAGCATCTAACCATTCGATAGTTTCATCGGCAGCTTTAGTAACTTCTTCGATGTCACTAGCTTCTAATTTAGATTTGATTTGTTCTTCATTTAAAGAAGATTTCAAAGAGTAAGCATAAGATTCCAAACCATTCTTGGCTTGAACTCTAGCGGCTTCCTTTTCATCTTCTTCCTTGAATTTTTCAGCTTCAGAAACCATTCTTTCGATATCTTCTTTAGATAATCTACCTTTATCGTTAGTAATGGTAATTTTTTGAGTTTTACCAGTACCTTTTTCTAAAGCAGAAACATTCAAGATACCATTAGCATCAACGTCAAAGGTAACTTCAATTTGAGGAACACCTCTTGGGGCTGGAGGAATACCAGATAATTCGAATTTACCTAATAAGTTGTTATCCTTAGTTTTAGCACGTTCACCTTCGTAAACTTGAATCAAGACACCTGGTTGGTTATCAGCATAAGTAGAGAAAGTTTCGGATTTCTTGGTTGGAATGGTGGAGTTTCTTGGAATTAATTTGGTCATAATACCACCAGCAGTTTCAATACCCATAGATAATGGAGCAACATCTAATAATAATAAATCTTGGGTCTTGGAAGAAGTATCACCAGATAAGATAGCAGCTTGAACGGCGGCACCGTAAGCAACAGCTTCATCTGGGTTAATAGATCTATTTGGTTCTTTACCGTTGAAGAAATCAGAAACTAATTTTTGAACTTTTGGAATTCTAGTAGAACCACCAACAAGAACAATTTCGTGAACTTGAGATTTATCAACTTTAGCATCTCTCAAGACTTTTTCGACAGGGTCTAAAGTAGATCTGAATAAATCTTGACATAATTCTTCGAATCTAGCTCTGGTGATTGAAGTGTAGAAATCAATACCTTCGTATAAGGAATCAATTTCAATAGAAGTTTGAGCAGAAGAAGATAAAGTTCTCTTAGCACGTTCACAAGCAGTTCTTAATCTTCTTAAAGCTCTTTGGTTAGAAGATAAATCTTTCTTGTTTTTTCTCTTAAATTCGTTAACGAAATGGTTAACTAATCTATGATCAAAATCTTCACCACCCAAGTGAGTATCACCAGCGGTAGATTTAACTTCGAAAATACCATCTTCAATAGATAATAAAGAAACATCGAAGGTACCACCACCTAAATCGAAAATTAAAACATTCTTTTCTTGTTCATCTTTTTTATCTAAACCGTAAGCAATGGCAGCAGCAGTTGGTTCGTTAATAATTCTCATAACATTTAAACCAGCAATTAAACCAGCATCTTTGGTAGCTTGTCTTTGAGAATCATTGAAATAAGCAGGAACGGTAACAACAGCATCGTTAACTTTGTCACCCAAGTAACCTTCGGCGGTTTCCTTCATTTTACCCAAAATCATGGAAGAAATTTCTTCTGGAGTGAAAACTTTGGTTTCACCTTTGAATTCAACTTGAATATGAGGTTTACCAGATTTTTCAACAACTTTGAATGGGAAATGTTTAGCATCGTTAGTAACTTCAGCGTCATCGAATTTACGACCAATTAAACGTTTAGCATCGAAAACAGTGTTAGCTGGGTTCATGGCAGCTTGATTTTTGGCGGCATCACCAATCAATCTTTCAGAGTCGGTGAAACCAACAAAAGATGGAGTGGTTCTGTTACCTTGATCGTTGGCAATGATTTCAACACGATCATTGGCAAAGTGAGCAACACAGGAGTAAGTAGTACCTAAATCAATACCGACGGCTGGCATATTTGATAATAATTAATATAAATAAATATACTTGGTAAAAAAGAGTGGCAGAAAAAGGAGTTTTTTCAAAATGCCAATCTATTTGATTTAAATAAAGTAAAATTTGCCAAATTCGACGTCCAATCCAGATTAATTGTGTAATGGATAGAAGATTCTACAAAGTTCCAAAGAATTCTCACTAAATCTGGGTGCAATTTTTAAAATGATACAAAACTGGGGTTTGGTAAAAGAAGTTTATGGAACGTCATGGAAGGGTGTGTGGGTGTTTTCTGCTGGTGTGTGGGTGTAGACCTATTTGCAACCACAAACTATCAACTCACTAAGAGCACAACTATGAATAGAAGCCTAGTGTATAGGTGACATCTTTTAATTCTAAACGGGGGTTACTACACTTAAGACCAGGGCCATATTCTTATACATTCATGTAGTACCTAATGTAAATACTATACATTCATGTAATACCTAATGTAAATACTATACATTCATGTAATACCTAATGTAAATACTATACATTCATGTAATACACTAATGTAAATACTTATACAACATAAAACAATACTTTTAGAGTTAGTTAGATTTTTCCTTGGTGAAATCGTTAACCAAGTAGAAGCCACCAACTTGTCTGGTAACTTGTTTGATTTGAATCCAAGCTTGTTTAACAATTGGAATATTAGCATTGTTGACAAACTCTTCTAATTTAATTTCAATTGTTTTGAAATAGTTTCTAGTGAAAATCAGTTTTTCGTATCTCAATTTGATAAAAATCAAATAGATAAGAACAGGACTTAAAGATCTTTTTCTGAAAGTAAACATTCTGATTAATAACCAACCCAAGGTATATATTTCCAAAATAGAAGCCAATTGAATTGATTTTGCATTATTTGAATTGATCAAGGACCCAATTTGCTCACTAACTGGATGGGAATCATAATGGAAAATTGGTAACAAGTAACCTTTGATATAAGCCAAAACATGGAAAGTTGAGTATAATGCAAAAGATGATAAGGTCAATAAAACATATGGTCTTAAGAATAATAATAATAATCCCAAAAATAAGTAATGGGTATTATCATCTTTTAATAAAATAGTCAATTTAGTTCCCTTTTTCAAGCTTATTTGATAAATTAAAATCCCAAAACTTTCAATAATACCAATTAATGATAATTGATACCAGAATTTATAGTAGCCTGTTCCAATTCTTAAGTAGGTTAAAGTATAGAAAAAAATACCAATCAAAGTAATTACATGTCCGATAAACCAGGCAAATTGTAAACTTTTCACAAGATCAATCAATTGACTTGATTCAGGGACTGGCTTGGTTGGTTCAGCAGTAGGTTTGGTTGGTTCAGCAGTAGGTTTGGTTGGTTCAGTAGGTTCTGACATGATTGATTACAGAAGAAGAGGAAGTAGGAAAGATATTAAATATCTTTTACTTTTATAAGGGGTATAAAATTTCACTTGAGAAAAGTGAGCGTGACATATTTCTCGAGCAGTGAAATTCTCATCGCAGCAAACTGGGCTGTAAACTATAAAACTACAATAAGATAAGACAAAACAATTTATTTTAAACACAATTCTTATAGACATCAATATAATCGTCATAAGATTAACGTAAGAAACCTTTTCTAGTTTTTTGAGGGGCAGGAGCTGGTGGATCTTGAGGTAATGATTTTTGTTTTTCTAATTGAATTTTTTTATCTTCTAATAACTTAATTTGTTTAATTAATTTATCCTTCATTTCTTTATGTCTTGAAAATAAATCAGCTTCCGATCTTTGTAATTTTTTCTCCTTTTCACTAACTTTTTGTTGGAAAACTGTCTTCATTTCAGTTTCCATTTTAGCTAATTTTGCTTCATGTAAAGCTTTTTCTTCTTCTTGTTTTAAAAGGGGATCAAATTCTCTGAAAACCAGATGATCTTGTTCAATCCCCATTCTAGTCAATTTTTCTGATCTATATTGTTCATATAATTTATTATTAGTTGATTCTTTCAATTCTTCTAAATAATTTCTAATTAATAATTGACGCAATTTTATGAAATCATTATGTTCTTCATTATCAACTTCAATAATACCCCAAGGATAAACTCTACCTCTAACAACTCTACCATCATTAGTTTCAACTTCTTTAGTAGAACCAACCACTGCAAAAGGATATTTATCTAAAATTTGTTTGGTATGAAGAATGGTTTCTTCATCATCAATATCATAATTATTTGGTTTGAAAATTTTAATATTTTGAAATTTAATATCGTCCAAAATTCTTTGTTTGAATTCAAGAATTTCTTCATCAGTTAAAGTATCTGATTTAGCAATAATTGGTATTAAATTAACTTTTTCATGGATTTGTTTCATTAAAGTAATATCCAAAGATCTTAAAGAATGACCAGTTGGTTCAATGAAATATAATAAAGCATGAACTCTATGATCAATAATATTATTTCTATTTATTTTTGATTCGCTTTCTAAATAATTATCAAATCTTTGATTAATTTCATCAACAATTGGTTTCCACAGATCACTATTATTAATTGATTCACCAAATCCTGGAGTGGTAATAACATTTAAATTTAATTTAACCCCATCTTCTTCTATAATCGAATTGGTTGATCTAATTTTAACTCCAGTTGTTATTTCATTATTTGATTCTAATTCTAAATCATCTTCAGTTTGATTGACTGGTAAAACTTCCCGATTAAATAACGTATTAACCAAGGTGGTTTTACCTAATCCACTTTCACCAACGGTCATTAAATTTAATTGAAATCCTCTTCTAACTGATTTTCTATGCCATTGTTTTGGTAAATTAGCAAAGCCAACGTATCCATTTAATTTACGTTTAATTATCTTTACTTCTCTAGAAACAACAGAATCCTTAGCAGATTGCGCTGCTGGTGCAGAATCAACTTCTACTTCTTGTTAGTATTCCTCTATTCAACTTCGATTCAACTTCGATTCATCATCGATTCATCATCTTTCATCTATACATACCAGAAGTCATTCACAAAAACGATTGATGTATTAAATGATTGGAAAGATCCTCTTTCTTGCTTTGAAAAGAAAAAGAACTACTAAAACGTGTTATATGTGATACCACTGCCAGCTCACAAGATCCGAGTATAACTTGAAGTAAACTTGTTTTTATTCCAACGTCAAGTTTAACGAACTTTTTTCTGTCTTGTTGTTTTGTTTTGTTTTGTGGAAATTCCCCTGGGAAAAAAAAAAACTGGTGTATGGGTGTTTTTCTGGCTAGACGTGTCAGTCTCCACCATCGACCTTGGGCCTTTGGTGCTCTGGTAACTGCTGGTGGGCTTACTGGTAGAGCTGTTGGTAGACTTACTGGTGGGCTTACTGGTAGACTATTCGAGCCGGTGTATGCTGCATGTAGTCGGTGTTTACTAGTTAGACGAGCACGAGTTCATACTCTGTTTTAGTCTTTCTGGTCTTCTAATCTTCTCTGCTATTTTGCAACCACGAATACATGCTGCAATACTAGTGCCAGGTTGTGTTAACAGAAGTGGCAGTTGTGTTAGCAAATTGTGATAGCAGAAGCCCAGTTGTGTTAACAACGACACGCTTATCCATGTATTTACAATTCCATTAGCTGTACGGCTACAAATACTACTGGATGACTACAGATATTACTGGATGGCTACAATTATTACTGGATGGCTACAATTATTACTGGATGGCTACAATTATTACTGGATGACTACAATTATTACTTTACAAATATTACTGGATGGACTAACTGATGGACTACATACTACTTGACGGACTAACTACTGTACGAACTACTTTATAGAATTGTATAGAATAGAGAATTGTAAATTAAGAATATAGAATATTATACCGTACAGACTACACTACTATACTATCACAATTAACGTTTATACAACCACTCCAGACTTCAATAATGCTTACTGTGGGTTATAGCTATATTACGGTATGGTCTTACACCCGCACACCAGCATTTTGAATATCCAACAGTAACTCATGGATTATGGGGATAGTGCTATTGAGTGGATGTACTATTGAGTGGATGTACTATTAAGTGGATGTACTATTAAGTGTATTGTATTAACCAGTTGGTTATGGTATCAATTGGGGTACTAATTGGGGTATTATAGTGTAATTGTCGGAAATACCATTTTGTTGAAAATTGAAAGAAATTAGCAGAATCTCTACAGAAGTTGACTAAATACTCATACAAACCATGGATGATAACAAAATTTTCATAAATAATGAACTTTCTATATATTTTGTAAAGTTTCCAATAGAAACTGTAAGCCCAACTTAGCAAATTCAGTCATATTAAAAGAACGATCATTACTTCCAGTACTTCTACTACAAGAAACTTCACCATTTGGACCGTTTAATCCAAGGTAAACCGTACCAACTTTACTATTCTGGGATCCTTCATGATTCTCTAGATGTAGATCCGTAGAAGGACCAGCAAATCCAGTTTCAGATAATACATAAGTCGATCCTAATTCATACTTTGTTGTTCGAGCCAATTTCAATGCAACCAGTTCAGATGGTCCCATATAATCACTAATCTCTTCTTCTGTCCATCCACTTACTTTCAATCTCTGCTTCAAAGAGTAAACTAGTTTCCCTCCAATATAAAAATTAGATGCTCCTGGTACCGATACCAAGTATGCTGATATTAATCCTCCACATGCTGCCTCACTAATTGCCAATGTTTGATTTTTACTTCGTAAATGAACCGCTATCTTATCCACCAACTGTTTGATCTCATCGTCCGGGAAGCCCATTCTGTATCGTTTTACTTAACTTGTAGGTAAAGATGAAGATGTTTTAGATCATTTTGGTGGTCGTGTCGCCGGTTCAGCTTTTTGTACTCACTGAAAACAGTGGCAATCAAAGCTTCCAACTTATTTCATTTACTCTTAGTAAAGCATTATGGCCGCTAAAACTATTAAGTTCAACGCCGGTAAAGTGCAATACGACGAAGAAACAAAACGCTGTACTCCGTTACCGTTCAAAGGAGTAGTTTCAATTAAACCAAACGCTGACGAAGAAGAATTTTACGATTTTACTTGGACTCCAAAATCAAACACTACAAGAAGTTTAGATAAAGATGAATTGTTAATTATACCTGGAGACGTGAGCTTTAAACAAGTTCAGTCTTGTAAAACTGGAAGAGTGTTTGCTCTAACTTTTTTAAGTTCTGGTGCTAAAAACTTATATTGGTTACAAGATATCGGTGATGATGATGAATTAGATAAATTGACAGAAAAGGATAAATCATTGGTTAAATCAGTGGAGGAATTGATCACTCCCAAAGATGATGACGACGAAATTAAAGAAGAAGAACCAATTGAACTAAAGGAGGAACCTAAAGAGTAAGTATCTCTTTGTATAACATCAATTTTTATTTCGACCTTTTCTAATTTTTCTCTGCATATGATGAATATACATTAATCAGTAATACTAACCGTGCTCTAGTAACCCTTCCTTCCCGCTCCACTCCATCTCTGACCTATTGACTCCTCAGTTAGTCGAACAACACTTGGACTCTTTAACTCCCGACCAAATCCAATCCCTATACGGCCCCCATCTCCCTCCCACTAGCTCGGTTTCCAAACATGACGTCTTACAAGTGGTCAGAAGCGGCTTCTTCCAACAAACCGCCAACAAACTAAGCGAGCAGTTGCGCGAAAGCAGAGGCGTCGGCTACCTCTTGGCCCAGGCGTTCCACTACGACTACAACGGAGAAGGTATCGATGACTTCTTGAATGGCATTAGAAGAGTTGCCAAAGACGACTAAATAGACAAAATCCGTACACACACTCTCTTTTCATGTATTTGTATCTTTGTAGTGATCACGTGACCGAAAAATGACCTGAGATTTAGCAAAAAAAGATAGAAAAAAGTTTACAGCGGGTAAAAAGACCATTTATTAAAAGATCAGTAAAGAAAACCCTTTAATAGAATTGATATTCTAGTTGTATTATTACCGTTTTGTTGTTGCTCAAGTGTCAGATTAGATCAAGGCAAGGTGGAAAGCTGTTGTTTCTCACTTTTGTCTTACTTTGTCCCGCTTGTCGTTGATTGCTTTGTCTAAAGAAAATTTTTTATAATTTCCCGTTTCCTAGTACCACGAAATAAGATCTATATCTCTTGATTATATCTTGAAGTGGGCTGTCCTTTCATATAGCTAGAGAATACAAATGAATATCTAGTTGATTGTTGCACCTCCTTTCCCTCCTCCCCCACTTTCATTCAACAATAGTGATTCTCAACATCTTAGCTCTTTATTTTATGCATAATGTCATCAGCATCTCCATCTTTGGCATCTCCCTTGGAGTCGACTTCTTCACTACCATCTCCTCGTCCTTCAAGACTTGCAATTGACAAACCTGATGATAATCTGAAAATACCTTCAATTTCAAATAAAGAACTCTTCAATATAAATAAAACAAGCTCGGCAACGACTGAAATATCGACTCCTGACACTCCTACTATGTCTGCCACTTCTACAGATGATTACTTCCCTGATTTACCAAAAGTCGATGATAAAGATTTAAGACATAACCTTCTTGAAAAAGTTAGTGGAATCTTTAGTAAAACTTTATCAAGATCGAGAGGTAACTCAATCACTTCAGTTTCTTCAGATAAACTGTTAAATCTTCCCCCTAATCAAAATAGGAAAACTTCAAATCAATCCAATTTATCCTATACAACCCCTGATATTAACGATAATTCTAATGATGATGCCCAATTTAATGTTAACGATTTATCAAAAACTAACTCTAATACTACTAATGATAATGTTTTAAAATCTCCTCGTGAAATACACCCCTCTTTCAAAATTCCCAATAGTCCAAAACTACGCCAGAAAGAAGTAAGAGAAACTAGCCATGTCTTTTTGGAATATGACCCAATAAATAAACGTAAAGTATTGAATACTTATGAAATATTAAAAGAAATTGGAAGAGGGGAACACGGTAAAGTTAAACTAGCCAGAGATCTTATTGAAGATCAATTAGTTGCAATCAAAATTGTTAATCGAAAATCAAAAAAGGATCGTCCTGCTTTGAGAATGAGAAGATCTTCTAAAGTACAGGCCCCCGGTAACGATTATGAAACAAAAATTAAAAGAGAAATTGCTATAATGAAAAAATGTAATCATAAACATATTGTTAGATTGAAAGAAGTCTTGGATGATTTGAATTCATATAAAATTTATTTAGTTCTTGAATATCTTGAGAAAGGTGAAATCCATTGGAAAAAACAACGCTTTTCAAATCATTCGGATGATGATAATTCGTTTAATAATTATGTGGATTTACCTTGCTGTGGCTCAAATGGCCAAAGAAGATATACAATTGATGATGAGGATAATGATTTATTATCAAATGAATTCTCTCCCAATTTAACTTTTAAACAATCAAGAAAAGTATTTCGTGACGTTTTATTAGGTTTGGAATACTTACATATGCAAGGAATTGTTCATCGGGATATAAAACCAGCTAATTTATTAGTTAATTCAGAAAATGTGGTTAAAATTAGTGATTTCGGAGTTTCTTTTGCTTCTTCCTTAAATACAAATGATGAAGGTAAGTTAGTAAATGAAATGGAATTAGCAAAAACGGCTGGTACCCCTGCTTTTTTCGCTCCTGAATTATGTCAAACTAATTTTTCTTCCAATAGCTCAAATTCAGTATCCGCATCTTCTTTAGAGATTTTGAAAAATGAACATTTATCTTTAACCAAAATCTTACCTAAAATTAATCATAAAATTGATATTTGGGCTCTAGGTGTTACATTTTATTGCTTGTTATTTGGTAAAGTCCCTTTCAATGCCGATTCTGAATATGCCTTATTTCAAGTTATCGTAAATGAAAAATTGGAATTCCCTAAAGATAGATTTTCTTTTAATTCACTCACTGAAGTAAGTGAAGTTGAATTCGAATTAGCAAAAGATTTATTAACAAAACTACTTGATAAAGATGCAACTACTAGAATTGATATTCCAGACATTAAAAATCATCCTTTTGTCTTAATGGATCTAGAAGAAGATTTAGATCTGTTGAATGAATTATTTTTCTTGAATGATACTAATGGTGGGAATTTACTCAATGAAGATGCCGTTTCCAAAATTGATTTAACTAGTGGTGGAGATATTGTTCTGCAAAGCGAAATAGATAATGCTGTAGTTGGGGTCGGTAGTAAAATCAAAAAAAGTATTGTCGAAGCTATAAAATCAAAAGATAGTAAGGCTATTAAAGATTTTGCCCAACGTATGGAAAACTCTTATAGTTCTTCAAGTGGTGAGGACTCAGCTTATGATTCCAAAAAAAATTCTTATTCTGCTTTACAGAGTGCAAATAGAAGTGAGTATTCTGTCATCCTTTCAGAAGCTTTACAGACTTCAACACCCCCTCGCTCCATCTCACCGGCTGGTCGCCCCAATTTATTCGGGCGTCAAGGATCAAGTAATTTTGATCCATTTACCTCGGCTCCACATGTACCTTCAGGATTATCGTCTCAGCAACACGCTGACAGCCTATCTTCTATCGAATCGCCCCAAGCCCCTAAGGGTCAGAGACCAAGTAATATACTCTTACAAGAGGTTATAGAATCACATAGTCCTGCAACTAGTAGAAGAGGGTCGTCAGCTGGCTTGACAGAAGCTCCACAGATTGAAACCAAACGAAATGTTGGTGGTGATTTATATCTAAAAAACCAGTCAATCGTGGATACTTTTAAAGGAATTCAACAACAGGATGATAAAAGAAGAAGGTCTAGCATTTTTTCAAATGGCTCGATTCCACAGCGTTCGCGTCACTCGTCTATTGCTGGCTCTGATGATCCAACATCTAGCCGTATTCGTGTGATGCCTCCTACGTCACCCCAAAATATTCCTCAAGAAAACCGTTTGAAAGTAAGTGGTCTTGATATCGCGCCCGAAGGCAGACCTCATTCTCTAATATCTTTGCCTTTATCTGAAAGTTTTGCTTCTTTGGATAGTTTCAATGATGAATATCTCACATTTAAATATCATGAGGTAAATTCGAAAAAACAATTCCTGAATAATTTAAAGAAAGATAATGACGTCAGCAATTCAGATCCAAGCTTTCTCACCACAAAAGAACAAAATGATGCCTCAAGTGCTATCAATACAATTAATGAAAAATTTCAAAAATTTGATTTGAACTCGCTGATGAACGCTCGCGGCGTCAAATTCAACATGGAAGGACCATCCACTGATGCAATTGGCCCTAAGAAATTTCAAAAATTTCCAAATTCATATTCATCATCATCTTCATCTGTTTCCAGTAGTGAAAGCGGAAGTGGAAGTGGTAGCGATAGTGAAGATGAAGGGGGAAATTTAACTTTGAAATTTTCTTCAAAAGTAACTCCAAAATCGGGGCCTCCGTTCCTATCTTTGAGCAATAGAGCAAAATCTCATGATTCAAACTTGCCTGACTTGATGAGACACAGTTCAGCACATTATAGTAATGTAAATCCTGTTATATTTCAAGATAATGTTCCTGAATATGCTGATGTACCTGCTTCACTAATGTCAAATGTTCCAAAAGGTAACTCCCAGGCGATGGATCCAACTGTGTCTGTTGTTTCCAGTAATGGTTCAAGTATAACATTGACTCAGGATGGTGCAAAACTCAATACTCAAAGTAATACCAGAAACCCTTCCAATTTGCACACGTCTTCTCCAGTATCCAGAAATAATGCTTTTCAATCAGATGACAAATCAGCCGGTCAAAAATCCAAGGAAATTCCTTCACATAGAAAGCAAGTATTAGATAAAGCCAATATTAGGCAGCCGTCTCCGCTTGTCAATAATGCACCACAGTCTGCTATAGCAACGACGAATTCTCATTTGATTCCTTCAATATCAAAAGATAAAATTAGAGACAACTTGTTTAATAATCATTATAATAATCATTATAAGAAGGATCCGGTAAAATATCCGTTCCCCAAAGCTCATCACTTAGATAATGACAAGGAAACGGTCATGAAGCAATCGGCTCGCGAGGATGGTATCAACAGACCCGCATATTATCGCTCAAATTCTGTTACGGTTGGTTTGATTCAACGTAATAACGATAGCTTTGGGAGTGATGATGACGACCAAACATAGAGCCTGCCTACATAAGCATACGTGTGAATTAGTAATATTGTAATAGTATAGACCTTTCTCTACAAAATTCTGATTAAGTCGAAAACGTAGCATGTATTGTTGTATATAAAGAACTCAAAACCATAGAAAATAAACCTTAAGAGTGATTCAAGCCATAAACTTCGAACCAGTTGCTTTTTTGGAACTTTAATCTTGTGGTGTCAAAATTTAGACTTGTAATAACTCTGTAATAAAAATTCCTAATTATCAACAGACAAACGGAAACTAATTGACATATGAAAATTGAAATGAAAAAGAAATAAAAATAGTAATAGGAAACCCAAATTAAAGTCAATGTAGAAATAAAATATCAACGTATAAAACGTAAGAATAGATTCATAAAATCAATAATAATAAAAAAATAAGACAAATAGCCTTAGAACAATCTGAGGAATATTTACATAAAATAAGTGTAAGAGGAAAAACTTAAGAGCAACCGGTATATCGAAATTAAAGTAATTCGATTTTTTTCTTTAAAACAGAAAGTCTATTGCCAATACTGACGATGAATTTTTCAACCATTGCTCTGTCATCATCGTCCAATTTTTCTTCGTCTGAAGAGCTGTCGTCCAAAAGAGCTTCCAACATCCAAATAGCAGTACTATAAGCTAATTCACAGCCTTTTAAATCTTCCTTAACCAATTCATTAACGGCTGCATTCCTGGATATTTCTAAAGCACGATCAAAAATTAATTTTTCAGCAATTACTCCAGAGTTCTCTAAGCTTTGATTATTTTTGATCCATGAAGAATTAGAAGATGGCGAAAATCCCGAGGTATTCGCTTCTTTGCTGATTGTATGATCAGCTTCTTGTAGTCTCAATCTAATAAATTCAGCTTTTTCTAAGCATTCATTGAACTTTTCTCTAATCCATTGAACAAGCTCATTAATTTTAGGAATACTATTAGAATGTTTCATTAAAGCCTGAGAAGCTGGGTTTTCACCACTAGTTTCCATTTGCGCTTTATTCTCAAATTGATCATACCACCATTCACTAGCCACAGCCATCCCTCTAGCTAACAATGATAAAGTTTTAACATATAAAACAACACCTTCTTCACTAATGGCTTTTACCATTTTAGGAGGTAAAATATCATTTTGATGAAGTATATCATCATCCACTCCATCTGAAGATGGGGGTGAAGGGATTAATTGGCTGAACTTAACATCAGCAAACAAATTAACAGCATGTGCCTTCGTAGCCAACGATTCTAATGTATTTAAGACTTGCATATCGGGAGATAATACAGGTTGAGGTGAAGGCAGTTTTGACGACGAAGCATTTGCAATAGTTGTAGAAGTTGGTAAATTTAACTTATTTAAAAGCAAGTTATTTTCAAAATTCGGACTTGTCATGACAGTTGTATAATTTTGGTTATTATCTTTAGATGAAAGCACCAATTTATCATTGGTAGTATCTATGAGATTATCAGTCGCATGTGTATTAGCATTAGCACCAAATAATCTATTTGAAGCCAAACCAATAGCTTTTGTCAAAGCATTAGTTGGTGAAATTGAAATTGATATTCTTCTATCTTGAAAACTCCCTCTTCTTTGACTTTCAGCAGAATTAGACCTCATCGAAGATGATCTTCTGAATAAAGGATTCAATGGAGGCTTTTGTACCTGTTGATTATCAATACTTGAAGGTTGTCTACCTTGTATGTTATCTTTTGAATCATGTATAGATTTACCTTGCAGATTACGACGTGGATTAATAGCAACAGCACCACTACCTGCGCTTTGTAATTCATCAGCAATTGCATTAACTTCAACCACCCTTTTTTCAACAACAACATAATCTTTTTCTAAAACCAATTCGTCTTTATTACGACCTGATCTCTGTTTATTGTTATGAATAGATTCATTAATTGATTCAGGATCAGGACTATTTTTATTAATGATTTTTTTGATTTCTTCATCTCTTGAAGAAGACGAAGTATATTTTGGAATTGGAATATTATCCTTATGTTTATTAGTTGCTGATCGAGGGCTTGTATCATCATCATTATGAGATTGGATTTTAGCAGGAGTCATTGGACCAATTGGTTGTAACGGCTTTGATCTTTCAGAAGGTTTAATTGGTGAAATATATTCACTAATGAATAAGTTTTCATCCATTTCCGACGTTTCGAGAGGTTCATCATTACTCTCCAAATCACAAGTGATTAAAGGATCATTAAAAAATTCATGGAAAGAGATTCTTTCAGTTGGATTATATTTTAATAAAGATCTAATCAAACGTTTACAAGATTCAGGAACTTTTGCCGAAGCAGAGAATTTTATACGGTCTTCAGCTTTTTCAATATTTGCCAATAATTCAATATGATTAGCAGCTTTAAAAGGGGGTCTACCGCAAGTCATTTCATAAAGTACTGCACCGACCGACCACAAATCAGCTTTGGCATTATATTTTTCATATCTTAAAATTTCTGGAGCCATATAAAGAGGAGAACCACACAAGGTTTCAGCCATTGAAGTTGAAGGTAAGAAACGGGCAAAACCAAAATCGGCAATTTTCAAGATTGGTAATTCCCATAAACCAACGTATTGACCTTTTTCAAAATCTGATTTTGAATGAACTGGAGGACATAATAATAAATTTTGAGGTTTAATATCACGATGAACCAAACTTTTACTTCTTAAAAATTCCAAAGCCGAACTCAATTGTTTTAAGAAATGAAGAACCAAAGTTTCATTCAAACCATGTGAGCCTTCAGGAGAAGGATATCTTTCTAATAAAGAAGATATAACTGGATGAGTCTTGATGAGCTGATCTCTTTTTCTTATAAAATATGATAAATCCCCCATGGAACAATAATCCATAACCAAATGGAAATGAGATTTTGATTGATTATAATCTAATAATCCCACAATATGAGGATGTTTCATAGTTTTCAAGATTGAGATTTCAATTTCTAAATTAGCAATCAATTTTTTCGATTTCAATTTAGATCTCACCACTGATTTAATGGCAACTGAAGCATGGGTTTTGTTATTGATACATTTATAAACTGTGGCAAAAGATCCTTTACCGATTTCTTGACCAACAGTATAAATACCAATCTCTTTACTTTCCCCATCAGATGAAGAAGACCGATGGGACTTCGAGGAAGTATGAGAGGCTGCAGACATCATTAGCCAGGTTTAATTGAGTGATGTTGCTGCTGATCTAAAGAAAACTAGTAGTTAAAGAAAAAGGGAACACTCTGATTTAAAACTGATAGCGCGAAAGACTTTAATAGTTCCTTTAACAAAACAATAACAGTTCAAACAAAAAAAAAAAAAAAAAAAAGACTGCGGTGTGGAGACTATCAGTAGGGCCTTCGATAAGGGGAGGGGGAGACAAAGAGTAATAGATAGACTAAAACTAGCCGCGTATAGAGTAACAAATGTTTCTTTAGAGGAAAATGGATGAGAAAATAAGCTGCCCAAGGTTGGATGGTAGTTGGAGCAAGGTATTGATACTAGAGCAACTTCAATCTTATACGATGTACGATAAACCAAAAGAGCCCTTATAAAAGATTAGGGGATAGGACAATAGTAGGACCAATAATCGAGTTAGCGTAAATAGACGGGCGCTCTTTTGATTTGAGGGTTGTCAAGTTGGAACCAGAGTCTCAATACTAAATGGGTAAAATGAAAAGGTGATACTAACAAGCGATAACTCCCCCCATATAATAAGCGCGTAATATCTGATAGGTAACTTTCACGTACTTGACTCGAGGTGGTATTTGTTGAGCAGTGATTCAATTGACTTCTTATATGAATCAACTTCTTATACAAACCTATTTATGAATCAACTTCACAGCAAGGATAATAACCGCTTAGAGGTTATCAACGGATGAGTGGGTGTTTTTTTTTTCCTGTTATATCGATTGGTATTTGGTTCTCTTTTTTTCCGTTTCTTAGAGTAAAACAGCTGGAGATTCAGATGAGATTGGGTGGTTTAGACCAGTGAAGATACCTTTGATCCCTCAAGTAAAGCAGCTGAGAGAGGGAATACAAAGAAAAGATTAGTAATGGAAAGAAAGAAAAGAAGTGTGTGTTTTGTAAAAAGAGTCACTTATTAGTGATGATTCATCATATTGTGACTGATCACATTCACTGTGCTTATCGATAAGCGCCTAAAAGGACAAACGTAGCCGCCCACACCACACATACCCGTACACCACACAGCACGTGACCACAGTCAGGTGACCGTTCATCCCTTGATAGCCGATTCAAGTATTGATTCTACAGGCCACCGAGACTTACTCGGTATAGAAGCTGGCACGTCGTATAAAGAGAAGCTGTCTGGCTGTTCAAGTGAGTCGGCTAGTCAGCTGTTCAGTTAAGTAGTGAGTTTTCGTGAGTTTAAGTAGTTGCCAACAGCTTAAGTAGTTGCCAACAGTTTAAGTAGTTGCCAACAGTTTAAGTAGTTGCCAACAGTTCAAGTAGGTTCAGCTGGTTCAAGTAGGCTCAGCTGGTTCAAGTAGGTTCAGCTGGTTCAAGTAGTTGACAACTGAGTTTAGGTTAGCCTGCCCAATAGAGTAACGATCCTTCAAGTAAACTCAGGACTGTTTGGGCAGAAATTTGCAGCCATGAAAACAGCCGGGAAAACAGAATTGGCCGTATCATTACAAACAGCACTTAGCACTATCACTCTAATACATCTACCCTATAGATGTAGTTGTTGGGTTTACTGTGAAACCACAGTTAAACAAAGTCTCAGAGACTATAAACCGAAATCACGTGACCAAGATTTTCTCTTCTCATATGTACGGGTCTGGTTTTTATGGGTTGCTATTGTCTGAGAAGAAAAATAGTGTCAAAATAGCGTCACCTGAAAGATCTCTTAAAAAATAGACGCTTGGTTAGTCTTTATTAGATGAATGATCTTATATTACTTTCTTATTTGAATACTAACTACTAAATATATCAATTGGCATTCCACGGATACAAGTAAAAGAATTGACAGGAAACTGATAAACAAAATAATATGTTTGAATCGATTGTTGCTAATCTTTTGAATAGAGTATTAGGATCTTATATAGAGAATTTTGATCCTAAACAATTGAATATTGGTATATGGAGTGGTGATGTCAAACTAAAGAACTTGAGATTGAAAAAGGAATCGCTAGATAAATTTAAATTGCCGCTAGATGTTAAGTTTGGTCACTTGGGAGAATTGACCTTACAAATACCATGGTCGAATTTAAAATCCAAACCAGTTAAGATCATTATTGAAGATGTTTATGTTTTAGCATCCCCGATTGTTTTACAAGACTATGATATTGAAGATGAAAAAAAGAGAGACTTGCAATTAAAGAAACAAAAATTAGATGATTTAGAAAATTTATTAAGTGCTACTGGGCAAAATCAACAATTAACTTCTGAATCTTCTAATAATGAATCTTTCACTGAAAGCTTGATTACTAAAATTATTGATAATTTACAAGTTACTATTAAAAATATCCATGTAAGATATGAAGATGATTCTATATTAACCGAAGATGCCTACTCAATCGGTTTAACCTTGAATGAGTTATCTGCTGTTTCAACTGATCAAGGTTGGACCCCTAGTTTCATTTCAATCACTCAAAAATTTTCAAGAAAATTATTACTATTGAAAAAACTTTGTTGTTATATGAATACTGATTCAAATTCAGTTTTTTCAAATGATCCTGATGAATTATTGAAAAATTTAAAAGATTCAATGAATTCAGATAATGTTCAATACTTATTGAAACCAGTTTCCGGTGAAGGTAGATTAACTGTTAATAAAGCCGGTACCACGGAATCATCTCCCCATGTTAAAGCAGAATTATTTTTCGATGAATTTGGTATAGATTTGGATTCTCAACAATATAGAGATATCCTATGGACCGCTTCTAAATTTCATTGGTTTATCAAGACTCAAAAATTTAGAAAATTCAGACCAAAAAATTCAGTACAAGATGATCCAAAAGGTTGGTTTAAATACACTGCTAAATCTATCCTAGATGAAATTCATGAGAAAAATTATAAATGGAGTTGGGCCTATTTTGCTAAAAGAAGAGATCAAAGGAAAGCCTATGTCAATTTATGGAAATTAATCTTAACGAAGAAATTATCTCCTGAGCAACAAAAAGATTTCGATGATTTGGAGACTGAATTACCTTTTGAAGATATTAAATTTTATAGATCTTTGGCAAGAGGTGAAGTCCGTAAACAAAACCTAATTACTTCTTCAACTACTGCATCTTCTGATACATCAAATTCTCAATCAGCTCAAGCTGCAAATAAAAATACTGGTTGGTTCTCAGGCTGGTGGGGTGGTGCAGACAACTCTACATCCACTAATATTGAAGATGCTAAAATAAATGACTCTTCTTTAAACGATGAGGAATTGAAATTAACCGAAGAACAAAGAAAAGCTTTGTATGATGCTATTGAATACGATGATACTCGTGATTTGACAGAAGCTATTGATATACCTCGTGATCGGAATAAATTTGAAGTTTTTGCAAATTTGAGAAGAGGTGGTATTAGTATAAGAAGAGATAAACACTCATCGAATTTGGCTGAAGTTGTATTTGAAGGCTGTACGACTCAAATCTACCAAAGACCAGACTCGTTATTAGCAAACTTTCAATTGCAAGAATTTAGAGTTGAAGATGGTACTAAAACTACTTTATATAAGCACATTGTTAGTGTTAAACAACTTCATACGCACACTCCTCCTCCAGGTGAAACCCCATCTGAAGTTACCCAATCTGCAAAAGATGATCCATTCTTTAAAATTTCGTTTGAACAAAACCCACTCGATGGTAGTGCTGATTCTATACTTTTGGCTAAATTGAAATCAATGACTATATTTTATAATCCAAATTTTGTTGAAGAAGTTTTTAAATTTTTTAAGCCTCCCAAGGTTCACCTTGACACCGTTGGTGCTATTATGAATGCTGCTGAAGCAACCATGGAAGGCATTACTTCACAGACTAGAATAGGTTTACAATATGCTTTAGAAGAACATAAAACCGTTAACGTGAAACTCGACTTGCAAGCTCCATTGATTATCTTGCCACTTGATCCAACTAGTTGGAAATCTCCTGTTGCCGTCATTGATGCTGGTCATATTAGTGTAATTAGCGATTTGGTAGATAAATCAACTTTTGAAGAAATTAAGGGTAAAGAGAGTTATACAAACGAGGATTGGAATAGATTAAACACTTTAATGTATGACCGTTTCAATGTTCACTTACAAGATGCTCAATTCTTAGTTGGTCCTGATATTAAAAGTACCATGGAACAGTTACATGAAGTAAACCAAAAACAATCAGCATTGATTCTCGATAAATTAAATATCAAATTATCCTTGGGAATTTCAATATTGCCAGATGTAACTAGTTTGGCTAGGTTCAAAATCGGTGGTGAAGTTCCCGAAATCAGATTAGCCATTAATGATTTTCAATATAAAACTATTATGCAATTGATTGACGTGCTTATTCCAAATTTTGATGACCTTGACTCGGAAGAATCAAGCGTATTCAATGCTTTTGGTAACCATAATAATGCATCGATCGAAGGAATTGACGACTCAGCCCATAGCATTAATAAACTCGAAGATTCGCCTAAGAAAATATCGTCAGCCAACTCGGAGGCGAATAAACAACATATTTTTGAATTTGACTTGAACGTTGACTTGGTCCATATATCTCTATCGAGATGTATAGATGGTGTCACCTTACAAGCTGAACCTTTTGTTGATCTTGTTGGGGACACTTTAAGATTGAACTTTTTCAAAACTGATAATGACATGCATCTCGACTTATTTTTAACTGATATTAACGTTATTGATAATATAGAGAAGTCTGGCGTACCCGAATTTGAAAAATTAGTCTCTTCAAATAATTTTTATGATGGTAAAGAAACGAAGAGACAAAATAAGGAGTTATTCAAGTTGGACTATCAAAGGACCCAGAGAATTGTGGAATTTAATGGTAAAGAAATCGAAGTTTTCGACCAAGATATTAATTTGGATATTGCTACTGTCAAGTTTGTCATATCAAGGAAATCTTTATTAAGTATCTTGAATTTTGTTTTGAATACATTCACCGACCCTAATGCAGAGGCCACTCCTGCTGACGAATTGAAGCATAACGATGCAACTAATGATGAAGTGAGTCCTCAAAAAATCAATGTTGACGTGAATCTAGAGAGTATAATTATGGTTTTAAATGAGGATGGTATAAAATTAGCGACTCTTCAGTTAAGCACAGCCAATATAAATGTTTTCTTAGTTCCTGAAGAAATGGAAGTCAAAGGTAAACTTGGCGCATTGAGTCTTCATGATGAATCAAATGAAGGTTCCCCAAGGGATTCGATATTGAGAAACTTGATAAGTATTGATGGTGACAATTTGGCAGAGTTTACTTACAAGACCTTTGATAACGAAACAAATACCGAACCTTTTAACACCCTCATCGAATTCAAAACGGGTTCTACGACTGTTAATTTTGTGGAAGATGCTTTAAGTAAAATTTTCAATTATTTGAGTCAATTTCAAAGAATGAAGGCCATTTACGATAAAGCGAGAGATGCAGCAATTAATCAAGCCGCTCAAATCGATTATGTCAATAAAATAAAGTTTGACTTTTTGGTTAAAGCTCCAACGATTATATTTCCTACATTGATTGATGCTACTGAAGAAAAATATGATACTATGACCGCCCACTTGGGTGAACTATATGCTTCCAATGAGTTTATTTCAGATGGCGAGTCGTTCAGAAACGTGATTTCTTCTGGTCTCAGAAACATAAGTCTCGCATCTGATTTCAATTTCGCTGATAATATCATACAAAAGTCCGAATTAGTTGATGATTTGGATGTCTCATTTAAGATTGATTATAACGATGAGTATGATCCTACTAAACCTACTTTTGTTGTAGATGGTAGAATGCCGGAACTTGAGATGCACTTAACAGAGTTACAACTTAAATATCTTTTGAAACTCTCGAATGCAATTACCAATGTATTCACACCAAGTGAAAATGAAGATTCTCTTGATGACATAGAGGCTGATGCTGAACATGCTAACGCTGTTGTTAGACATCACACAACTGTAACTTTGGAAAGTTCCCCTTCAAAACCAAAAAGCAAAGTTCCAACGAAGGAAGCGATAGAGATACCCGCAGACCATAAAATGGTAGATATGAAGTTTGTTATTCCAAAATTAGCATTAAAAATTTATAACAGAACTGCTTCGGTTGAAGATTTCAAGAGCAAAATCCTCTCATCGTTTGTTTTGGATCAATTCGATCTTGCATTTGTTATGAATGAAGATTCGCATTTCGTGTCTGACGTTAATGTTAAATCATTTGTGGTTAAAGATGACAGAGAAGGCACCTCTAATCAATTCCCTGAAATAATACCTCTGAATAATCATGATAACAATCAATTCGTATTAAATGCATCAACCAATGGTGAGGCCACCAATAAGAACACAACTGTGATGTTAACTGTGGACAGTCCTAAGACTATATTGGCTCTTGATTACCTATTCGAATTACAAAATTTTGCAAATAAAGGAATGGAATCAGAGACGTCCATTGCAGAAATAGAACACGAAGATAATGATGTTGCAGATCTGATCGAGCTTGATAGTCTCAATGCTGTTGACAATTCAAAAAAATCTGTTACATTGAAAGAATCCAAATCTAAGCAAACACAATCTAACTCCAATCTTGGGTTTTCAATCAATATAATAAACCCGACTGTCATTTTATTGGCTGATGCATCAAATGCTGCTACTGAGGCGATAGTTTTCAGAATTGAGCATGTTTTACTCACTAGCCAAAACGTATTATCTCTCGCCGCGAATAATATTGGAATGTTTTTGTCTGTTATGGATTCTTTTGATGATAAGAGATTAAGAATTATTGATGACTTTTCTATATCTTTCGCCCATGACTCAAAGGGTTCAACTGCTAATAAGTTCTTGACGAACATTCAGCTCTCGATAGAGCCATTATTGGTTAGGGTCTCGTTAAGAGATATACGTCTAGCATTAGCCATTTTCAATAGAGCTACCGAGTTATATAATGAAGCCCAAGGTAATTTAACATCGACTGAAGAAGATGATTATAATTTTTCTGAAGATTTTAAGAGAAGGTTGTCTCATTACGCTCCTACTATTAAATCTGCTTTTTCTACTGAGAATCCAACTAAGTTCAAGGATCAGTCAAAAAGCTCACAAGTAATCATCAAAGGAGAGGAATTTTTCGCAAGCTTTGGTGGTGTTAGATTTGTTTTAATAGGTGATGTTCACGAATTGCCTGTGCTTGATATGAGTGTGAAAGCATTTGAAGCAAGAGCTATTAATTGGTCCACCGACTTAAGTGCAGAAACTCACATCGAATCTTACGTTAACATTTATAACTACTCCAGATCTTCCTGGGAACCGCTATTTGAACCATGGCCATTGGCCGTATATGCATCAAAGCAAACAAATCCCTCGCCTAGTATTATGATAGACTTTGTCTCTCGAGAACTTGCACAGATATCAGTGTCTTCTAGATCTATTGCTTTATTGTCGCAAGTTTTTTCATCTATTACGAGCGGTGATTTGCTTAAATCCAGAGAAGAAGCTACACCCTATCGTATTCTTAATGAAACAGGGTATGAACTAGAAGTTTGGATTGACCGTAATGACGAAAGCAACAATAGTAAAACTAAGATTCAAAATGGCGAGGAAATTCCATGGGCATTTGAAGATTGGAGAAAAATTCGTGAAAATTTAGATACTGATAATAAAGTTGATGTCCTTGGATTGTCTTTGGTGGGCTCAAATTACGATGCAATAGGAGGAGTTTCTGCTACCAGTGAAGGCGAAGAAATAATTATGCTCTACCCACCAGTAAATGGTGTGCACAATCGGTTATCATGTGATATAAAATTGGGTGAAGACAATGTCAAAACAATCTGGTTGAGATCTACAGTTGTAATTGATAATGATGTGGATTTCCCTATTTCAATTGAGATGCTCTCAGAAAACGGAAATAGCTCGAATAAATTGACAATTCCATCAAATAAGAAAATGGCTTTGCCAATAGATAGTGTTTATCCCGATCATTTGAGGATAAAACCTTCAATAGAGACACCCTACAGCTGGTCCGATAATCTTGTTCATTGGAAAGATGTATTGAACGGAGGGGTCTCTTTGAAATGCTCAGCTTCAGACAAGAACGACAAATCAGCTTACTATTTCCAGGCTGAAGCCACTTATGATAAAGAAGAGCCTTTAGCCAAAATATACCCTCATATGACTTTGGTTATTTCTGCCCCAGTCGAAATTGAAAACTTACTTCCGTTTGATCTTGCTTATAGGCTTTATGATAAGAGTGCTAAGAAGGACTGGAGTGGTATTGTTGAAAAGGGCGTAAACACTCATGTGCATGTTGTGAGCTTAGAGAGTTTACTTCTACTTAGTGTTGAACCAAAAAGTCTGGGATATAATAAATCGGAATTTGCTATTATCAACACTAATAAAAAAAGTGATTTTAAAAGAGAAAAAAGCATGACTATCAGACTTGAAGATGGCCAAGTGTTGAAATTGAAAATACATTATCCTAGAAAACAGGCAGATTCCACAGGTTTGAAAGTTGTTATATATTCCCCATATGTGATTCTCAACAGGAGTGGTCAAGACCTCACTGTTAGCGAGAAGGGAAATCGAATGCTCTCCATTGGAAAGAAGTCAGCTTTACAGCCAACGATTCCCTCATTGTTTTCTTTTGATAGGGATGATGATAGACAAAACCGTGCTTTAATAAAAATTGGAGACTCCACTTGGACTACTCCAGTAAGTTTTGACGCCATTGGTCAAGCTACTGCAATAAAAGCTCAAGTGAGCGGGAAGCAAACTGAAATGAATGTTGGTATTTTCGTAAATGAAGGTGAAGGAAAATACAATTTGTCTAAGGTTGTTAATGTTGCACCAAGGTATATATTGCGTAATAACCTTGGTGAAAGGTTAGAGGTAATAGAGAATGGTTCTACTAAAAGCTTTGTTATAGAGCCTTCAGAATTGGTTCCATTGTATGGATTACGTCGTTCAGAACAAAAAAGTTTATTGATGAGATTTCCACATTCATCAAAAGGAACTTGGTCCTCACCATATGCGATAGATGATATTGGTCAAATATTTTTGAAAGTCTATAAAGAGAACGTTGGTCAAGTATTGCTTAAAATTAATATTCTCACTGAGAATGGAACTATTTTTATACAAATAGAAAATGCTAATAATAATTGGCCATATTCCATTCGTAACTTTAGTGATAATGAATTTTACATTTACCAAAGCGATCCTAATATAAATGAAAACGGTGATGTTGTGAAACAAGATACTAAATACAAGCCTATTTTCTATAGGATTCCACCAAAGAGTGTCATGCCATATGCTTATGATTATCCGAATGCTGTGATCAAGGAACTAATAATCAGGTCACATGGTCGTGAGAGAGGAGTTAATTTAGCAGAAATAGGAAATTTAAAACCATTTAGATTACCTGGAACTGAAGAAGCCGAGCAAGCTGTTGTGGATCTTAATGTCATTGCAGATGGTCCTACTCAATCCTTAATAATTTCAAATTATGATCCATCTGTTAGTCTATATAAATTGCAAGGAGCAAGCAGATCAAACTCCACTACTAATTTATCCCAGAAGACTTTTGAAGCTACTGAGAACGACGAAAATTACCATACTAAGATTATTACCAGATTTGAAGGTTTCGGAATTTCATTGATAAATTCACGAGGACAAGAGTTATGTTACACTACTTTGAGGGGGTTGGAAATTCGTTACAACGAGTCGGATTTATACCAAAACTTGAGCGTCAAATTAAAATGGATTCAAATTGATAATCAATTATATGGAGGTATTTTCCCTATTGTTATTTATCCTAGTGTGGTTCCAAAGTCTGGAAAAGAGATGAACAATCATCCTTCTTTTTCAGGTTCTATTTGTAAAGTGAAAGATGACTCTCATGGGGTTCTTTTCATCAAATATGCTACCGTTTTACTTCAAGAGATGACTATTGAAATAGATGAGGACTTTTTGTTTGCATTGTTAGATTTTGCTAAAATTCCAGGCGCAAGTTGGAATCTGAAGCATCAAGATAAGTTATGTGATGATGAATTACAATTACCTGAACCCAAAGCGTTGAATGAGAGTTCGGATATATACTTTGAGGCATTGCACTTACAGCCTGCTTTGACTAACTTATCTTTTGTAAGAACAGAAAGAGTTAATATAGAAGATAGACAAACTTCTCAAAATGCATTGATGTTCTTTTTCAACGTTCTTACTATGGCTATTGGTAATATTAACGATGCTCCAATTAAGCTAAATGCATTGTTTATTGAAAATATTAGGGTTCCGATCCCAGTTTTAATTGAGTCTATTCAAACTCACTACGGTCAATCTTTCTTCTATCAAGTTCATAAAATTTTAGGTTCCGCCGATCTCATCGGTAATCCGGTCGGGTTGTTTAACAACATTTCTTCTGGTGTGCTCGATATTTTTTATGAACCTTATCAAGGATTTGTTATCAACGATCGTCCCCAAGAATTGGGAATTAGTATCGCGAAAGGTGGTTTGAGTTTCTTGAAAAAGTCTATTTTCGGGTTCTCCGATTCATTCACCAAAATCACTGGGTCATTGGCAAAAGGGTTAACTGTTGTAACTCTTGATAAGAAATTTCAAGAACGCCGTCGTCTCAACCAACGTCGTAATAAACCAAAACATGCATTATATGGATTCGCATCTGGGGCAAACTCATTTTTTGAATCTGTTTCTTCTGGTGTTACTGGTGTTGCAACTGCTCCAATCGAGGGTGCCAATTCCGGCGGTGCCTCTGGATTTTTCAAGGGTTTAGGAAAAGGTGTTGTTGGCTTACCAACAAAGACTGCAATTGGCTTTTTTGATTTAGCATCTAATGTTAGTGAAGGTATTCGTAACACTACTACTGTTTTCGATGCAGAAGGTTTGGATAAAGTAAGATTACCCCGTTACGTATCCTATGACCAGGTTATAAGGCCTTATTCCCAGAGAGAAGCCCAGGGCCAATTCTGGCTCAAGTCGATCGATGGAGGATCCTACTTTAAAGAACAATACTTGGCTCACTTAGTTTTACCAGGAGAAGAAAATGCTGTTATGATTACTTTTAGAAAGATCATTCTATTCCAAATCAATAGCTTGAAGATCAAATGGCAAATAACATTTGATCAAATCAAAGCTATTTCTATAGAGCCAACGGGTATAAGCATTAGTTTAAAAAAGAGAGAAGGACCATTTATACCAATTCCCGAAAAAAATAATAGAACATTTTTATACAATAAAATTGGAATTGCTGTTCAAGAATTTAATAAGCATTGTCAAGTCATACTATAGTTTCTATAGTCATTTATCATTAGCATGTTTTTGCAAAGTTATCTATATATATACAAGTTATTTAAATTGTTTCGAATGCATGAAATTTTAAATTTTTTTCAGTAGAACGAAGTCTCTTTGGTATTCTAGGAATAAACTCGGGTATACTCTCCTCGTTACAATACTGGAGTTTCAATTTCGGCGTTGAAATATAACCGTCTATAGTTTTGATAAAAAGCTTACCATCGACCACTTCAGAATCCCCCGGCAGTTTCATTGACAAATCATTGCAAGAAGATACTTCTTCAATATCGTATAAAATGACTTTTAAAGATTCTTCGAAAGATCCAGATTTCGAGTACTTTGATACATAGGTATGAACCGATCCCAAAGCATCAAGAAGCCTTTTGATTTGACGTGATGTTGTCAGGGACCAATTGATCTCGCTACTAGACGAAGACATTTTGGATGCAAGTGAATGAGGGTAATTGTTACGAGGTGAATCAATAGGCGGTAAGAATAATTCATTCTCTATAGTTTTCACAAGAAGATCAGCACCTATATTCCCCAATTTTTCTTCCATGGAGGTATAATTATCATCATTTGAAATAGGTATTTCGTCCGATTGACTAACAATATCGCCTCTATCAAATTTTGTAGGATGCAAGGTTTGAACGGTAACCCCTGAAAACAGGTCATCGTTCATAAGAGCATATTGTATGGGTGAAGAACCCGAATACTTGGGTAATAGAGACGGATGAACGTTCAAACCCCCGTATCTTAATGATTTCAAAAATTTGGCAGGAATAAGAATACCATATGATACAGCTATGGCCAAATCGTATTGTTGAGACTCGGATAATCCAAGGATATCACTTGCAGTATCAGCACGATGAATAACCATCGAATGATCTTCGGCATAGTGACCTATTGGTACATCTGTCAAATTTTTCAATTTACGCCCTGATTTCTTCTTACTTCTAGTTATCACGTCAATCGACAGTATTCTATTAGGATTAAGCTTTTGGTAGTCTAATAGTTTACCCAAGGATAAAAGACTGAATCTGTCACTGCCGAAATAGGCTATACGTAATGGTTGTTCAATACTAGATGTCTTTGTAGACATAAGCCTTGGAATTAAGGTTGCACCCTGTTTTGGTACCACTTTAAGTACTGAAAGCAACATTGTTGGGATTTCTACAAACAAAGGATTATTTCAAGTTTCTTATTGAATGTTATGGACTCAGAATCAATCCCACCAACCAAATTTGTGAATCTATTCAATGATGAGGCTGAGATACAAGGCGATGTTCCTGGCAGTTAATTTTGTCGACTACTTCAACAATGTCTTGTTGACTCACACAATTCAAATGATCTTAGCCTGCTATTTATCCAAAGCCGTTTCCTACTTATATACTGAACGAAGTTTTAAACGGAGATCAAGTACCTCGCACGAGAGTTTTTCCACAGTTTTAGCGAGTTTTTCAACTGGAGAAGCATAAACAAAGGACACCTTGTGTAAAATTCAAAAGGAGAAAAAAAGATTAGTTACTTCACATATATATTTATACTATAACTTATTCAGCTATAATTATTAATTCTGGTAGCATTGAGTTACTAGTGAAAAGTTTGGCTATCTCATTACGTGTTTGCAAAAGTATTTTGGCGAACACTGTATTTTAAAGAAACCAGGTTTGCTCTGAAATTTTAGTCTTTTTTTTTCAAAAATTTTAACTGGTTTAAACTGATGAAGATATAATGGTATCTCCTACTATAAGGAAAGTATTTGTTCTTCTTTCATGTACGTTTCTAGGATTAATATGTGGGACTCTATATCTTTACTCTTCGTATAGTCCGCAATTGGCAGCCCAACTCAATTACTCGGTCACGGACGCATCTTCTATAGCACTTATGGGGACCTTGGGGGTTGCAGTACTGGGACCAGTTGCTGGAGTGGTTGTGGATCAGAAGGGTTACACTGTTTCGATGATTATGGGAGGAGTTTGCATCATGACTGGATATTTGGGATTGAAGAGACAATTTGATATTCAGTACTCTAATTTGAGCCTTTCATGTATATTATTATTCTTGGTTGGATCAGGTTCTACATTTATCAATTCAGCATGTTTGAAATGTTGTGCTATAAGCTTTCCTAGTATAAGAGGAGTGGCTACTTCTTTACCTTTGGCACTTTATGGTTTGAGTGCTCTTTTCTATTCTGTTATTGCTTCAGTTTTCTATCCAGGTATGACTTCAGCATTCTTAGGGTTTTTAGCATATTCATCAATTGGTATATTTTGTATCTGCACTCCTAGTATTATGCTCTGTGATTTTGAACATAATAAAAAGAAGAAAATAGTTCATGCTAGAAGTACTTCAGGGTCTTTTGAATTAGCTAATCTTAGTGGTACTACAACTCCAATCCACTCTAGAAATTCATCTACAAATAGTCCAGCAATTTCACATAATTCAGATTCATTAAATCAAAAACCTAAGGATTTTCAATTAAGTGGATTTAAACTTATTTATTCCTATAAATTTTGGCTTATCTTTGTTATTACTGGTTCTCTTGCATCATTAGGTCAAATGTATATTTATTCTGTTGGATATATGGTTAAAGCCCTTCTTAGTAAGAGTATGGATTTAGAACCAATGGACCCACTTTTCGGGGCTGAAGAAGAAATTGAAGCAATGATCCAAAGAGATCAACAATTACAAGTTGGCCTTTTATCAGTTGCAAATTGTATCGGGCGAATCGCATCTGGGGTTGCTGGAGATATCATTACCCAATCTTTCCAAAAGAAAAGATCCTGGTTACTTTTCATCCCAAGCCTTGGGTTATTATCTACTCAAATTATGGGACTAAGAGTTGCCCACTATAATAGTTTATCAATGGTTTCATTACTAACTGGGTTTTTCTATGGCTTTACATTTTGTATAATGCCCATTATAGTTGGTGATATTTTCGGAATGGATAATTTTTCGTCGAACTGGGGAGTGGTTGGTTTAGCACCAATAGGCCCAAGTTTTTACTTTACTGGCTTGTTCGGTAGAATATATGATTCTAACTCTGAAAAAATCAAAGGAACAGAAATTACTTCTTGTCAATTAGGTAAAGGATGTTATGATTCCATCTTTATGATTACTCTGGTAATTGCCTTCCTTGCTATAATGGTGACAATCGCATTGAACTTCGGGAAGAGGTCAACCTCAAAACAACGTAAACCAGTGGACTTTCGTAAGCTTAATTCATGATTCTTAATCTTACTTTCATTGCACGTCATTTTTAATTCGTTACATCCTAATCATTTTCGTTGATATTAACGTACTAATTATATTCTTTTCGTTTTTTTTTGTTTTTTTACAAAGTTCTTCTCTATCTAACGATCATATGAAGCCATATCTCTTCTATTTATGTAACATTAATAAAGTAAAACCATCATTCAATTGATCTTTGTAGTACCGTTGAGACTTTTTTGTGGAGACAGAAAAAAAAAACAGATCTGAGATATCAAGAGTTAACTACTTCGTTCATTCAAGTCTTGCTAACATATGAGTCAAGCCAATGACGGGCAAGCTCCCAAATACCGTGTGAAAAGACTTGAGCAGAACCGAAGAGGTAATCAGAAGGCATCAGACACAGATCCACAAATCCAAGGCCAATCGGCATGGAGCAGCAACAAGAACTCCCAGAATAATGATGTGCCTAAGAGAAGAAACAATAATAGAGCATCGAATCTAATTCGTAAGCAACATCATCAATTGAGTCCAGAGGAACAGGAGAAACTCAAGCAAAGACAAGCCCGGTTCAATAAAGACGATGAGAAACAGAAGAAAGCACAAGAAACCCAATTCGGATTTATTAGCAGAGGTGAAGATAATAGGCTCCAGCAAAGTGAAAAAAGCCGACGGGATTTCTTTAATCAAATTTTACATTCCTTTGTTAGGTATTGTGCCAATAATTCTACTTCTAGCTTGCATAAAGAGCTTGATAGTTTTGACCTTGATTTAGACAACGTAAACGATAACTCAGGCAAAGATCCGGGGACGCTCGATTCAATAACTTTATCTTTGCGTAAACTAAGAGAATCCTTGATACATTCCAGAATCGACGACTTTAGCAAGAAAGTTTTTTTATTTTCCATAAGGGTCAGTGCAAACATTGGCCATTACCAAACATACATACCTAGTATTACCCATTTATTAGATTCTTCAAATATCCATATTCTTAGTGATGTTGAAAAGACAGAAATTTCTTCGTTGCTCGTGCTACATGTGACGCATTTCAACCATAACTATAATGAAGCTCTTCGATTATTTTTCAAGTACCTAAACCCTGACCATGATGCAAAGATTCTTCAAATAATCAAAAGTTGTATAAACAACGATTATTACACCTGGACCCGAATTTACAATTCCGAAGTCAGTAATGCTACCTTCAATGTAATGAAATTTGGACTTGATAAAGTCGTCCAATCTATAGTTGAATGTCTAAGTGTTTCCTATTTCAATATTAGTTTGGGAGAATTGGAAAATAATATCCTACCTAATGGCACCAATTTTGATTCTGTCACCAGGGACTTCTCGCCTCTGTGGACCCTAGACGGTGACAATGTCATTATACGTAAACGTCCCGTCAAAGCTAAATAAATATACCCTTTTTCAATACTCTTGTAGATTATAATGACTGCAAAATTATCCCTCCTGGCGACATTGTCGCAAAAGAAAAAGGAAGTATAATGTCGCGGGCACTCAAACTCTTAAGAAATGGAAAACACGTAAGAGCATTTACAACTCCATCAACCTCACAGTATAAGTACAAGAGAGGATGTCTGAGTTGAAAAAAACCAACTTGAAGTACGTGGTGCTTTTCATTTTGAAAGAAAAACAATATACTAACACAATTAAAGTTCAGTTGTTGATTTGAGAACCGTGGTTGATGATAATCTCCAGGCCAGTTTGGGTAAACTAGGGTATGCCCAATCATTTACGTTAACTGATCTCAAATTGGCATTGGGCTATATGACTATAGCCATTGCCGGAGGTTTATTTTACCTTGACAAGAAGTTTGAATTCAAAGATGCTTATAACTTTACCGTTGCTGGTATTGTAGTTTACTTTATCATAAGTGGGATACATTTATTTTTCACTTCAGGTAAGTTCAAAAACAACAAGTACGTTGGTTATAACGATTCTAAGGAAAAGATTCTGATCAGTAGTTGGACTAATAAATACGAACCTACCTATCATTATAAAATAGTTATCAATGATGATGAGTCCAGAGCAATTACTGCTCAATTTCCCTTCACTTCGGTGTTTGATTCCTTTGGCTATTACAAAAGTGATTTAACTACAGAAATATTGCAAAAAGAGCTCGAAAAATTTGGTAAGAAAGACCTCTAGGCATTATCTTCATAATATAAAACCGTTACACCTGTAAATTTTTGTAAGTTTACCGTTTACCTGTAAGGAGCTCACCATGAGGTTCATTCACTTAGCTCGTGCCCATGATTCAAGCCCATAGCTCGTGCCCATGATTCAAGCCCATAGCTCGTGCCCATGATTCAAGCCCATAGCTCGTGCCCATGATTCAAGCCCATAGCTCGTGCCCATGATTCAAGCCCATAGCTCGTGCCCATGATTCAAGCCCATAGCTCGTGTCCTTGTTTCAAGGTAGTGGAGTTCTTTTAGATTCTCCGTAAAATTTTCAAGTCGAAACGCAGTAATTTTTTTTTTTTGTTCTTTTGAGTATTTCATTTTTTTTGTTCTGTTCGTTTCTGCATTAAAAGATTAGATTAACTGGTCAAACAATCTATTTTATCTTACATCAGGAGAATGCCCACCACTTCCAGAGACCCCAGGCTACCTGATGTCATCAAAATCGATGATATTGCTTCTGGGAAGATTGAACCCACGTTAATATATAATGAATTAGACCGATTAAAAGTGGAGATCAATGTTTTAAGAAATGATATGACTTTATTTATAAAAGCGTTAGCTACTGTTCCCGACAATCAAAGACAGGATGAATACTATAGAACAGCGGTCCAAAGGTTAAAGTGTGTTCAAAATAGTATCAAAGAATACTGTAACGAATACTATAAATTATTACCAATTATAAATCTTGCTCAAATCAAACTCGGCCACGAAGTTGAAATAGTACCTCAGGCAAATAAGACCCCAACTGTTCCTCCGGCTCCTAAGCCCACCACTGCAAATAAGGTGCCAGTCAAGAGAACGGCTTCTGGCTCCAAAACTAATAACGTCCCCAATGGTAAACCAATGGCTAATGGCTCTAATGCAAATAGAAATGGCAATGGTAATCTTCCAAACCAACCAATAGTTCTATAAGCCCTCTGCCTCTACAACTGCCTCTACAACTGCCTCTACAACTGCCTCTACAACTGCCCCTACAACATACCTTTCTCCCTACAACAAACCTTGGTTACTCGTTATTCCCAGTCATTCCTTCCTTTCAATTCAACCTTTCTGTTTCATTAATTCTACTTTTCTTTCAATTGCCTTCTGTGTATATTATTCCTTTCAATGAACAATTTTGCTTTCCTTTAATATCACCGTTGAAGCAGCCAATCGAGTAAACACCTGTACATCAAATGGCTCACGCCCGTACATCCCAAAGATCATCTGGTTACCCTGAACTGACTCACTGAAAGATCATACAAAAAAAAAAAAAATACTGAAAAATTTAAAAGAAACGATAGAAGAATATAAAAACGGTAGCAATTACTCTATACTTTCGATTAGACATTACACTTTTCATTCAATTAGTATAATAAGGATGTCTGCTTCATTAAAAGAAACGTTTGAAAGATGCAAAAAAGAGGGCAGAAATGCCTTGGTTAACTTTATCACCGCCGGGTATCCAACAATTGAAGATAGTTTACCTATTTTAAAAGGTATGCAAAATGCCGGTGTTGATATCATTGAATTGGGGGTTCCATTTTCTGATCCTATAGCTGATGGACCAACCATCCAAGCTGCAAATAATGTTGCCTTGGATAACGGGATCACTGTTTCCAAATGTTTGGAATTGGTTAAGAAGGCAAGATCCGAAGGTATAACTGTTCCTATCATCTTGATGGGTTATTATAATCCAATTTTAAAATACGGGGAAGAAAAAATGATCAAGGACTCGGCAGAATCTGGTGCTAATGGTTATATTGTTGTTGATTTACCTCCTGAAGAAGCCGTTAAATTTAGATCTACCTGTACCAAATACGGTTTATCGTATGTTCCTTTAGTGGCACCAGCCACCACCGATGAACGTTTGAAAGTCTTGGGTGGTATTGCTGATTCTTTCATCTATGTGGTTTCTAGAATGGGTACCACTGGTGCTTCAACTGAAGTTTCCAAAGGAATTTCTGAATTATGTGCCAGAGTTCGTAAATTTGCTGGTGATACTCCACTTGCTGTTGGGTTTGGGGTTTCTAATAGAGATCATTTCTTAACCGTCGGTGCTTCGGCTGATGGTGTGGTTATTGGTTCTAAAATTATCACTTTAATTGGTCAATCTAAACCAGGTGAAAGAGGTGATACTGCTTTTAAATTTGTTAAATCTATTTTAGGAGAAGATTATGAGGCTCATGCTCCAAAAACTTTCACTAATGCTACTCTTTCTGAGTTCAAAGATACTAAACAGGTCTTAGAAGAATTACATAAATATAATCCAAAATTCGGTGATTTTGGTGGTCAATACGTTCCTGAAGCCTTACATGCTTGTTTAGCCGAATTAGAAAAAGGTTTTGAAGATGCCGTTGCTGATCCTGAATTTTGGAATGAATTCAGATCTTTGTATTCTTATATCGGTAGACCGTCTTCTTTCCATAGAGCTGAACGTTTATCTGAATACGCTGGTGGTGCTCAAATTTGGTTGAAAAGAGAAGATTTAAATCATACTGGTTCTCATAAAATTAATAACGCTCTTTCTCAAGTTTTAATTGCCAGAAGATTAGGCAAAACTAAAATCATTGCTGAAACTGGTGCCGGTCAACATGGTGTTGCTACCGCTACCGCTTGTGCTAAGTTTGGTTTAAACTGTACTGTTTTCATGGGTGCTGAAGATGTTAGACGTCAAGCTTTAAATGTTTTCAGAATGAGAATTTTAGGTGCTAAAGTTGTCGCTGTTACTAATGGTACTCAAACCTTAAGAGATGCTACCTCTGAAGCTTTTAGATTTTGGGTTTCTCATTTAGAAAATACTCATTATGTTGTTGGTTCAGCTATCGGTCCTCATCCTTACCCAACCTTGGTCAGAACATTCCAAAGTGTTATTGGTCAAGAAACTAAAGAACAATTCAAAGAATTAAACGATGGTAAATTACCAAATGCCGTTGTTGCTTGTGTCGGTGGTGGTTCAAACTCAACTGGTATGTTCTCACCTTTCGAAAAAGATACCGAAGTTAGAATGTTGGGTGTCGAAGCCGGTGGTGATGGTTTAGATACTGAACGTCATTCCGCTACCTTAACTGCTGGTATTCCTGGTGTTTTCCATGGTGTCAGAACCTATGTCTTGCAAGATGATGATGGTCAAGTTCATGATACTCACTCTGTCTCTGCTGGTTTGGATTACCCTGGTGTTGGTCCAGAATTAGCTTTCTGGAAGAGTACTGGTAGAGCAGAATTCGTTGCTGCTACTGATGCCCAAGCATTGGAAGGTTTCAAATTACTTTCTCAATTAGAAGGTATTATTCCAGCCTTGGAATCCTCTCATGCCATTTACGGTGGTGTTCAACTTGCTAAAACCATGAGTAAAGACCAACATATCGTTATCAACGTTTCCGGTAGAGGTGATAAGGACGTTCAAAGTGTTGCTGAAATTTTACCTAAATTAGGAGACAGAATTGGTTGGGATTTGAGATTCGAAGATGATCCATCGAAGTAGATTCATAATCTCTTCAAATAAAAAGTCAAATATATTTTTTTTGTATTCACTGATCGTAGATTTCTGTCCTACTGTAAAGAATAATACTTATCCTTGAAAGTATTCTCTTACTTACTTGAGATAATTGGGAAAGCTCAGTTGGTAAGGCTTGTAGAGGATAAATAACTATTCGTTTGTAAAGTCATCTTGAATGCTTTTTTTGCAACATTTATCAGATGTACTGGTGTTTAGCTTCAGTCAAAAGAGTACGCGAATTTTCATAACAAGAATTAAAGCTAATATTAGTTTGACTACAACAACATATACACAAGCTGACATGTCCGGATCGAGTTTCACTCCTAGTCAAGGTAATTCACCGAATTCGTTAATGAACGATTTGGCCAAATTGCTCAATGTGAATATTGATGAAACTACTCTACAATTGTGTATCAAGTTGCTAGATCAAGGTGTCGACCCATTACAATTAGCTGATTCCATTAACAAAGTTAACAACGAAACTAGTCTGGTATTGAACTGAATGTAAATTTATCTTTAACGTTTGGTTGATATGAACTATTATACAAATATATACAAATATATTACAAGTGTGAAGCATTATGATGCTTGAAAATTATGCAAATCCGGACTTCTTCTTTTTCTTCTTTCTTTGACTCGATTGCAGTGATGGCATTCGCTTTTGTGATTGATTCGAAGACTCTAAATGTCCTTGTGACTGTGATAAAGCTTGTGAAGACAGTGGGATTGGGGAATGAAATCCTGACGACGACGGTTCTGATTCTTGAGACAATCCAAAACCATCTTGAGAAGCCGTGTAAACAGCTTGCGATAGTTGTGATGCATAAGTTGGAGCATAGTTGTCCTTTTTCTGTGATGCTATTTGGGAATTGAAAAGTTGGTGCCTGAGGTCCTTTTGGGATCGCTGAGACTTTTTCTTTTTAAATGAAGCAGTAGAACTTTGTGATGATAAATTAATAGTAGGAGTCAATGATGGGGTATTAGATTGTGATTCTCTAATTTGGGTTTCATTAAAACTGTTCAGGTCCCATGACTCTAAAATATCTTGTAGGGCCTTGTCAGAGTCTTCAATTTCACCAGATACCTTAGTCTCATAGTAATTTGGATCATGCTTCTCTAAAGTTGCCTTCATCGAACATGTACTCAATAAAAGAGCTACTTGTCTGATGTACTCTCCATGATTAAATAATGCAGTTTCTTTGGATAAATAAACGTCTTTTAAAAATTTTTCAAGATTTTTCAGTAAATTCGTACTCTCAAGATTTTTGAAAATATCATTCATAGCTAGTTGATTGCCTATATTGGAAATATTAACGCCATTTTGCTTGTAATATCCAATTAGTTGATCTATCATACAATCAAACTCATTGAGATCCGTCACGGATAAAGGTAAATCTTTCGATATGTCAACAATAGATAGACTTTTAGGCTCTTCATCTTCGTTGCTGGCAGAAAGTTGTTGAACCTTTTCACCAAGTTTGAAAGCATACGCTTGAATGAGATCAATTTCATCACAATCTTTATTTGGCCCAGCTTTCAAACTTTCTGCCATTGACAATAGTTTCGACTTGCTAAGTTTATTGAAATACTTTGACGCCTTTTGCTTCAGCCCGTTATCGAAATTCTCGTAGTCTATATTGAAATCCAAAGGTTTCCTTAAAAATATGCCACTCTTTTCCGAGCGTATCTCCATGGTAAATTTCAAATTATTACCCAATTCAAAGACACCGAATAATTTGCCAATTTCTCCGTCGTAATCAACTTCTAGTTCATTCCTGACTGTGGAGAAGAAGCCTTTATTGAGCTCGCTTATGAAAAACTGACGCAAGTGGCTTTTCTTGTCTGACCTTTCAATGAAGTAAGGGTCTCTTAAAGAAAATGCTTTATCTTCTATAAATCCAAAATTATAAATGAAAATAAGAGGATTTACTTCTGAATAGACCGAACAAAGAAATTTCGAATCGTCATCGTACTCCGTTACGTTAATTTTTAATGATGGATCAGAATCTAATAGAAAATGCTTCCAAGCTAAAACCTTGTCTAACTTTTCACCTATGTGTACAAGAATTATTTCCTTGCTTGTTAGCAAAAATGCATAATTCATGGAAGCGGTTACTAATTTAAAATCACGAATTTTGGACCATGACTTCGAAGTTATTATTTTTTTGGATGATAAGTAGGGCAATAAGCTGAATCTAATGATTGTAGATCTGGAAATTAAAAGGAGATTGTTACCATCATAACACCATACTATTTTTTTCCAATGTGATAATTCTGAAGGGTCATATATGGACGGTCTGCAAGTTGCATTTGTATTAGCATTTTCATCATTTGATTCTTGAACTTCCATGTTTCCTTCTAAGTCCACTCTTTTGACAGCAGTCTTACTTTCTCTGGATTGAATCCTCCAAACCCCAAAATTTCCTCTAACGTCAACTACTGCAAGCTGTTCACCGTTCCAATGATTGAAACTAGCGTCAACAAAAGAATAGCCCTCGAGCTCATCCACAGATATTTCCGTCAACTTTGATAGCTTGAGGTTCAATTGGATACCTCGTAAGACTTTGATAATGACTACTTTAGAATCAGTTCTCACTGCTAGATGAGGATGGATGGTATCAAAGTTGTCTTGAACTTTACAAAACTCTATTTGTTTAATGGGTTCAGAAAAATGGATTTGAAGTGTTTCCTGTGGGAAATGGGGGAATAGCACCTTCTTAGGCGTGGATTCATGTAGAATAGTTCTCCTCTGATACTTCATCACTCCAACATTTAAAATACTTCCAACTTCGCCGGTCACATATGCCATAGCTGTACTTGAATATACCCCCAGCCCTGATTTGATATCAAAAAAGCAAACAAGATCACCATATGTAGGATCGTGAGTAACAGAGGAAGTTATCATGTTGGAATCGACCTTCAAAGCTTTCATTAAATCTCGGGGGATATGTTTATCAAAAAAAGCCGTTGATTTAGAAGGCTTAAGACCAGAGTAGTCACCAGAAATCTGTTCTGGGTTAATCTCCATAAATCCTTTTTCAACTCTATTCAACTCAAGCCCTTCATTTCGTATTCTGGGAAATTCAAGGTACGGTTCAAACTTGGTCTTCCCATCATTATTTGGATCCAATTCTTTGATCTTCAATGAACCATTACCTCGAACCCCGTAACCTAATTTCGACCCTGTGCCTTTTTTATTGGGCCACATAGGAACAGATGGGGTAGAACGGACTATATCACTAACACTTATACTAGTAACGATTAGGAAAGCAGCATCAAAGATTTATACAAAAAATTTTAAAGATATCTAGAAAATGATATGCAGGAATTTGAAAAAAAAAAAAGAAGTAAGAGAACGAAAAGTCTTGCGAAGGTTCAACCGTGTCTTCTAAACTGATTGCAGTCAAACCACAATATTCTTATAGAGAAGCTTATTTAAAAAGATGAGATATGGCCTATTGTATTTGGTTGTGTCATTGTTTGTTTTTGTGGGATTGGTGAACTCAGACTCAATTGAATTTGATGTTTATTCAGGAGAAGATCAAGTTGAGGTTGATGACAGTCTTTCATACAAATATGATCAATTATCGAACAATTCCTTACTTTGGGGACCCTATAGGACAGCATTATACTTTGGTATAAGGCCAAGAATTCCACGCTCCTTATTGTCTGGGTTAATGTGGTTCAATGCTGATGGTTATAATACAATCGGAGACTTTAGACATTTCTACGAACAAGGTGATAATATGGGGAAAGCCAATTGGGTTCAATATGATCCTAGAATTGGTGGTCGTCAGGTCATTACTGACAATGATTGTCACATAGACATTACTATTGATTTCGTCAAAAGTAATGATGGGAGATCATGGGGTGTTAAAGTTAAATCAACACCTCATGCAGGCTATGAAAACATTAAAACTTCTTTCGTTTGGTATTCAGGTTTAGAAGGTAAAAGGGATGATGTACAGGACGGGCAATTTGAGGACCCTGAGGCTGAAGTAGACATTTCTGGAGCTGGATATTTCAGGTTAGATAACGAAAAAGATGTCAAAGGACATGAGGGGACTGTGAAATTTTCAGGTATATCAGATGGATTGGGATTATTTGAATTGGAAATTAATGATGGACCCAAAAGTAATAAGCATCCCGTGAGTAAATATTTGGTCGATCCTGAATTGGACCCCAAAAAATCGCATCATTACAGTTTGAATGTTCCAGATGATAATGTCTGGAAAGCAAAAGACATTTTTATGACCATGTTGCAAGATTCAATCCAAGATCTTTTAACCAAGCACGGTGAGCTTGACAAGTTCCCACCAGAGCAATTGTTCATAATGAGAGACATACAAAATTTCGAAGGTAATTTACATTACATTCAAAAGATGTATCAGGGTTCAGCAGAATTCGATATAATCTTCAATAATGCACTTACCCCTCAAGATGACAAGATCACTTTTGATAATATCAAAGATAAAATTAAAACTACTTTATCGTCATTTGATTCTAAATTTGAAAAGCACTTTTCTCCAAGTAAGCCATTTAACAAGAAAAAATATAATACTTTCGGTAAAGAAATTGTGTCAGGTTTATTGGGAGGCCTTTCATATTTTTATGGTGATCATTTAGTCGATAGAGAAACCGTCTTTGATGAGGATTCATTTGAATCATATGAATTGAAAGGTCAAACAGAGGGCCCATATGAATTATTTACTTTTGTCCCATCAAGACCCTTCTTTCCAAGGGGTTTTTATTGGGATGAAGGCTTTCATTTATTGCCATTACTAGAATATGATTCTGACTTGGTGTTGGAAGTAGTCAAATCATGGTTCAACTTAATCGACGATGAAGGTTGGATTGCTCGTGAACAGATCTTGGGACCAGAGCTGAGATCAAGAGTACCAGAACAGTTTCAGGTCCAAAGTCCAGAAATTGTTAATCCACCTACACTCATGCTTGTTTTTAGTTCTTTATTGGAAAAATCAAGAGCTTTTCAAGTTGATGAGCCCGCCAAAGCTAAAGGTGGTTATGGGGGTATGGAGTCGTTTAATCAAGAAGACCTAGGCTCAATTATAATGAATAATCCTGAAGTTTTAACCAACTTTACCAAGCAAATTTATCCTAAGCTTAAATTACACTACGACAAATTCCGTTCAACACAACAAGGATATGTCGAAGAGTTTGATAGAGGTACCAATTTAGAAGCTTATAGATGGAGAGGACGTACATCAACTCACTCTCTTGCCAGTGGTCTTGATGACTACCCAAGAGCACTTCCTGCAGATATTGCCGAACTAAACGTTGATTTATTATCTTGGATAGGTGTAATGACCAGGTCTATCAAATTGGTGGCAGAATTAGTTGGGTATGAAGATGACTATAAACAATTAGCAGAAATAGAACTGAATATCATAAAGAACTTGAATGACTTACACTGGTCCGAAGAACATAAAACTTATTGTGACTTATCTGTAAATGAGGATGATGAAAATGTTTATGTATGCCACAAGGGTTACATCAGTTTATTCCCATTCTTGACCAAACTCATGCCAATAGAAGATGTCGATAAATTAGAACATTTGGTAGATATGATTCTCGACCCTGAGGAATTGTGGACTGACTTTGGTCTCAGATCCTTATCTAAATCTGATAAGTACTATGGTACTGCAGAAAATTATTGGAGATCTCCAATCTGGATTAACATTAACTACTTGGTATTAGATAGCTTACAATATTACAAAGCAGAATCATCATATAAAGCATCTAAATCGTTGCTGGATAAATTAGGAAAAGCATACTCTCAATTGAGAGTTAACTTGGTTGATAACATATTCAAGCAATGGCAGAAAACTGGGTTTGTATGGGAACAATATGATGACACCACCGGAGAGGCTAAAGGAGCTAAGAACTTCCTTGGTTGGACTTCAACTGTTGCCCTAATGATGAATATGCCAGAGAAGATTTGAACCAAAAAAAAAAAGAGCTTTTGGTCGCGTAAATAGTCATAATTAATAAAAGTTTGCAACTACTTCCCACTCCGTAGAGTATATATCGTCGTAACCAAATAGGATAAGTTGCAAGTCGTAAGTATGGCAACAAAGAAAGCAAGGGGTACTTCTGCACAAGCCAAAGGAAAAGAAGCCGAAGAGCTTATTCTCGATTATATGAAACAACAGTATAGGCCATACTCCGTAGCAGATATCGTTTTGAACTTGAACGGCCAGATTAACAAAGCTAATGCAATTAAGGCATTGGAGAACTTGAGTTCTAGAGGTGAGTTAGTCTGTAAAGTTTACGGCAAGCTGACTTACTACGTATATAAGGAAATTAGTTGTGAGGAGGATGAAAACACCCACTTCGATATAACTGAAAGAGTCAAAACGATAGAGCAGAAGAACAAAGACATGGAGAGTTTATTAGCTAGCTTGGAAAATGGTACGTATGCTAGTTGAGTCGTCTTTTTTGCTTTTGATGGTATTAACAGACTAAAGAATATAAACAGATCCTTGAAACACCCAATGATGAGATGCTTGTATTACAAGTATCTCAATTGGAGCTGGAAGTACAGGCACTTCAAGAGAGGGAGTCAGCTTTCAAAGGAGCCGAAAATGAAGGTGTTAATGAAGATACTCTAAATAAATACAATGACTATTCTGCTGCTTTAATGAAAGAATATACCTCAAGGAAGAGAATGGTACGTAATGAAGGCGTGTTTCCCTCACTAAGTAGTACTAACATTTCAAATTCGTGAAGTTTCAGAATTTTGTTGAAGTTGTTAAAGAAGGGGCAGATGATTTTGAAAAGTTCATGGTATGTAGTCAGTATTTGAAGTATTTTGCAGTTTTATCATTTTTTATACAAAATACCCCAAAGGAGAAAGTTAGTTACTAAACTTCACCAACAGGATAAAATTGGAATTGATATGGATGAAGCCAAAGCATATCAGTCCTTATAGCATCTTTTCATATCTTAGTAAGTAATTACTGCTCAGAGTTATAGTAATGTATGTGTTAGCAGTAAGATAAGTCTGTCGCACGCTTAATTTTTTTTTTGATCAGAAATATCTTTAATACTTTTTCCTTATCATATACTATAAAGTTAACGATTAGTTTGAGCTGGCAAATTCGAGATGATTCAACTGATTTCAAAGAAGAAGATTGACCATTTGATTCTCAACTACTTTATTGAAGAGGGTCACCAAGAGGCTGCGCTAAGTTTTGCCAAAGAAACCAAGATAGATTTGAGCAATCATCGAAAGCAACAACCGAAACAGAATCAAACCAACCAGTTCATTAAAAATTTAAGCAATGACTCTACAAATAGCGCTGATCGGTTTGCGGACTTAGTTGAGGACTACCTCCACCAAGCAGAAAATACGAATGGCGAAGCATCATCGACTGCAGCACCCAATTTGTACGATAATGATGGAAACAACTCTCGTGAAGTGAACTCCAAGATTGTTGCTGGTTATTCCACCATTAATAAAAGAAGAGAGATAAAATATTTGATTTTGAAAGGTCAAATAACGGATGCGATTCAAAAACTTAGTGAATATTTCCCAACTATATTAGATGCAAATAATTTACTACATTTCAAATTATTAAGATTAAATTTGATTGAAATGATCCGTAATCATAAACTCAAAGCTAAGAATGACCAAGAAAGTGAAAAAAAGTTTTTGAATGATATTTTAACTTTTGTTAGAGAGAATTTGGTTAACAAGGTGACTAATTCATCTAAATTGTTAAAAGAATTAGAAATCACCATGAGTTTATTGTGTTTTAATTTTGACCCTAGCGTTAAAAACATAGAAGATCAAAAGGATTTGCCCGATGAGTTAAGGTCATTATTCAATTTGTCCTTAAGAAATCAATGTTATAAAGTGGTGAATCAAGCCATTTTAAATTTGGATCATAATAATATCAAAGGTTCAAGAGCAATTAGATTTAGTAATGAAGCCAATGACGATAATGAAGTTCAAGATGAAAATTTTACTGGTCCCAAATATTTAGAATTTGATTTCAATGATTTGGATGAGAGAAGTTTAATAAAACATGAATCCAATGATGATTCTTTCGAGTTTGAATCGAAACCAGTTGGCAAAACAACCAATCCGGATGATGATGTCAATATGTTGGGAGAAAATGGAGAAAAAGGTGAAGAAGAACAGGAAGAAGAAGAAATCAATTACGACTATAATTTGAGTTATGACAAAAATGTTCTATCTGTTGAAAATAATGTTCAATCGCAGGATAACCTCATTCAGGATGAAGAATTTGAAGATGAATCACAGAACGCGTCATTAGAATCTAAACTAGAAAGAATTATTAAGTTATGGGTTATAACCGAAAGAAATATTATTGATGCTAGAGATAAGAAGAAAAACGATTGAGATAAACCTGGAGTTTATATTTGATTCATATTATCAATTTTACGACGAATTTTATTAATTAAATTGTAGGTATATATGCTCGAGAAAAAAGAAGCGTTCAAAGACAAATCACTGAGTCGATGACATTACCAGTTTCAATGTGAACTTTACTTAAATATTGCAAGTCTTGATCCTCTTTAACCTCTATATTCTTATTATTATAGATTCTAACGTCATGTTTAGATAAACTTTGAGAATTTTTTCTAAAGTCACGGTAAAAATCAGAGGTATTGAAAAGATGCAAGATTTTACCTCTCAAATGTTCTATAGTGGAGCCAAATTCTGGTTCTGGGTTATTTTCGAAATCTTCTGGACTCATTTCAAAATGATATTTTATAAATCTTGGTAATTTGAATAAATTAGCGGCCAATTGATTTGTTTTTGTCCAATTCAATACATTAAATGGTGAAGATTGCCTTAAAGTATAGTATTGTTGCAAAAACTCATTATCCTTTGAGTCAATAAGATTCAATCTCACATAAACATGGGCACAATGAACTGGAACTTCAGTGAAAATGTCTTTGGCGTGATATTCCCAAAGCCCTAGATATATTCCAGACCAGTATACAGTTTCATAACTAAGTAATAATACGAATGAAGCAAACAAAATTTCCGATATAATAACACTAATTCTTGTTGTTACAAGGTTCGAAGTAAAATGATGCGCTGATAACCACGTAACAATAGTTTCATCATATTTTTTCACCCAAGTTATTATAGTATCCAACATGTTGATCACTTTTGGTCTTTGTTCTAATTTTTTCAACTAATCGATTCAACCTTCTAACCCTATTCCAAACCAAAACTCGAGCTTGTCCAGTAGTGAATGCCCAGATTATTGATATGGCGTATTCTTATCAGCAAAAGATACCAAAGTAGCCATCTACAAACTACGATAAACTCTGCTTCGCTCGTGTCTTGTTTTTTAACAATCGTTTGATCGCATGAGGTTGCCGAAACTCGGATTTTTTTTTGTTGATTTTTTGTTCGATTTTTATCACCAGTATTTCCGTACACCAGAAGTTTCTTCAAATAAGAAAAGAAGCTTGAGCTGATAGTAAGAAGAAAGAAGGGCGACTGGCTAAATATAGTTACAATAGGCGTGACACCAAACCCAAAAGGCTACTGCTGGTTTGTTTATTTACATTTTTCGTGTGCTTTATGTTTATTTACTATGTCAATGAAACAAGGGATTGTCTTGATCTTAAATAAAGGGTCGCGGTGTTGCAAATTGATTGTTGCAAAACTATTGTCAAAAGACAAAAAGTCAATTTGGGACAATAACCCCAAACCATAATAAAAAAAAGATATAAACAAAGGGGAATAGATCTTTTGGAAGCCAGCTTTGGCAATGTCTAATACCATTTAGAGCTTTTACAGCCTGTGTCTTTTCTAGGGTCTTGGCTGTATTGCTGGAAAACTAGAGTTTTTTGTGGAACAGGACGGATTTCCAGAAATCAAGGTTCCTGTTCGGACTAATTTCTAGCAGAACAACTGGCGGTGTTATGATCGTGCTATTGTTTGGTCTAATTCTTTTGATTGTAGTATCTTCACTTGCTTGGTGATCTAAGAATGGAGCAGGACTCTGCCTTTGCATTTCATTGACGGAGTTACTTTACAAGTCGTAAGGCAGTCTCGACTAGCCCAGCATGGCAATCGGTTTACCCAGAGCTGCTCTATGATCTTCATTTTTTAACATTGGCAAGAATAGTTTGAGTCAATGCTATTATGGTCAGGGGATTTTCCCTCGTGCTTAATGATACCTAATTCTAAGGGTGCTCTTTCCATCTATTAACTTTACGAGTTAAGATTGTTCTTTATATTAGGTACTTTGGCTTGGCTATTGTAGAAAGTTGGGCGTTTTGTCAATTCTCCTTCACGACAAGGTATAAAACCCTCGTCGAGTCCAAAGGTTTAAACTTTTTAAATTCTCCTTTGTATTGAAAAATTTATACTTATAATTAGTTATTTCTTCCAGATAGTCGCTCGTTATATTAACTCCCTCTGGATAATAAAATTGAAAGTATACTCAATGAAATCAATAACTATTTTATTGTTTTTGATCTTGCAGCTACTCTGTGTAACTGCAGCTCCAACCTCTCTTTTGAAACCATCCCAAGATAGTTGGTATAATTTACCTAAAAATTTTGAAGATGCTCAACCAGGTGATATCTTGAAATGGAGAAAAACTCCTGCCCCTATCGACTCTCCTTTCTTTACTTTGAATATTAGAAACTCCTGGCAACAAATGGTAAGATCTACCGATTCTTTAGGAAACCCAACTGTTGCAGTCTCAACCATCATGCAACCTTATAATGCTGATCCTTCTACTTTAGTCTCTTACAACCCCATTGAAGATGCTGTCAATATTGACTGTAGTCCTTCGTATGCTTATTTGGATGGTGCTGACAACTCTACTGCCACTACTCAATCTGAAATGTATATCATTCAATTGGTTTTAAATCAAGGTTGGAATGTAATTGTTCCAGATTGGGAAGGCCCTAAAAGTGCTTACGTTGCTGCTGAACTTAGTGCTTACCAAACTCTTGATCTGATAAGAGGTGCTTTACAAACTAAAAATATTACTGAAATTAATTCTGGTGCTAAAGTAGCCATGTGGGGTTACTCTGGTGGTACCATTGGTCCACTTTGGGCTTCTGCTTTACAATCTAGATACGCTCCAGACTTAAATGATAATTTCATTGGTGTTGCAGTAGGTGGTACTGTAACCAATGTCACCGATACTGCTGTTTTGTTAGATGGTAATGCTAGTGCAGGCCAAGTTGCTGCTGCGTTAGGTGGTGCTGGTGAACAGTATCCAAGCTTCAAAACTCAATTATTTAAAAGTATGAATCCTGATAAAGTTGACAAATTCAATAAAATCTATAAAACTTGTTTGGATGATTCCCATGAAGTATTCTTGAATGACAACTTCTTTAGTGGTGAAGATAAATATTTCCCAGAAGGTTGGGAATTCTTACAAATCCCAGCAATCAGAGATGTTTTAGATGCTAATACTTTGGCCATTAATAAATCAGATGATATTCCTCAGTTCCCAATTTTCTTTTATCATGGTCAAAAAGACATTACTGTTCATATTGATACCGTAGAACGGGTTTTCAATAACTGGTGTTCTTGGACTGATACTCCAATTGGAAATAAGGATAATACTACTTATACTACTAAAAAACGTGGATTATCTTTAGAGTTTGCAATTGATCAAAACAACGACCATTATCAACAAGCTAAACAAGGTATTCCTGCTGCTTTCGCCTGGTTAGATAAAAGATTCAAAGGTGAACCTCACGTTGATGGCTGTAGCAGAATTGAAAGGAAAAGTAACCTTTTATATCCTGGGGTGGCTAAAGGTGTTATTGAATTCGTTGAAGCTGCTGCTAAGACTTTGGTTGGAGCTAGAATCGGTCCAACCAATTCTATCTTTGACTTATTTGCTAATGGTATGGAAAACTTACCCGAACTCAATCTTGACCTTGATCTTAATCTCGATCTTAATATCTCGCTTTGAGTCTAATTGCTTACTTTTATGCCATGTTACAATCTTATTCTCACCTCTTTGCGCTCGATATAGAACTCTCCTAAACAGCTTTGTATACTAATTTTTTTTTATATTTATTCAACCAGTGTGATAGTATTCTTTTCTGAAGTAGAATTCCCATTTGATACTACATATGACCTCTAAGCACCTAAGCTAGAATCCCACGCAAGTCTTCAATCCACAAGAGCGCAAAGTTTTGGTCGTATGAAATCGATTGTTGATGATTAATTATTGTTTACTCGTTTGTATCCCGCAGTATTGTTTGCTTTGTATTATACAAAAGTTGGCCCGAGGACTATCATCGGCATAATTAACTGCCTCGCTGCTGAATAACAATTCCAGGGGAACCAACATGGCCTTCAATGGGATTTTCTGCTCAATTACTAGTATAAGTTGTTCCATTTTTTGCAACTTCCAAAAAAAAAAGACCAAAAAAAGAGCATAAAAGAAGAAGTAAAGAAAGACAGGAATGAGAGCCAAAATTTCAACTAACGGCCATAATCTGCCATGGCTTGAGCTAACCTCCAATTTTCAGCCTCAAAAGCTCAGAAGTACTCCCAAGTAGAGGGGAATTGCTGTTCACATCTGGTTGGTTTTATTGTAAACAAAAAAAAAAACAATGAATCCTCGATCAACAATAGAAACAAAGCTTTTGGTAAACAAAATTAAAGAAACCAGCAGCGAACGAGTGAAATGAGTGATTCTGTTAATCCATAGTAGAAGTCCAGTCATACTCATCTCCAGTCCCTGTTGTCTCTATGAAGACCACAAGTGATTACAAAAATCCCCAATGATTAGTAGAACCCAGCGAAAGCATGTATTTTTTTTTTTTTACGACTGAGATCTGATCTCGGAAATATTCATATCCAGCAATAAAGTTTAAACAGAGCTTAAATCTGGAAATAGCGCCTAACAACAATATGTATCTGGCTTATGTTGGTTGGTTAATATTTTCCTCGTTAAGAAGGAAAACCAGTTTCCAAATTCAGAACCCTCGAACTTAATGACTCGCATATTTTGTCGATTGCAAAATTGCCAGCTCTTCCAGTTGATTGTTTCTATTGACATGCTTGTTCGTCACTCATGGACAAGGGCTAAATGCGCCGAAGAGATTTCGATAGTAACTAGAAAGTGTACCAAATCAAGAATCAGTGGCTGGATCATACTATTTATAGTAATGGGCCAAAAGAAATCTTACTGAAAATGCCCTATGAATCAATATCGCTTACGGCCAATTCAAAATACTGGGTTAAGTTATCTATTGATGGTGAAATCTATTGTTATTGAGCTTGCATCTAGTTCTTGTTATAGTCGTAACTCGAATTTCAATCAGTGATTTTTGTTTCTCCAGTTAATTGTTCTTACAAAGAAGTTCTTAAGTTTCAAATCTTGATATAAATATCGACATGATTCTCTTTGAGTTTCGACATTTTGTTCTGAAGATTCTGATCATTGTTAAACTAACTTCTGTTTATAGTAAGACATTGTTTTATTAAACCAAAATGTTAGTCGAAAATTGGTTAACTTCGATAGTATTGATTTTCAGCTTATGGTTTAATCAAGTAAATGGTTTACTCCAGCCTCTGAAAGATGATTTTTATACTGAACCATCCAATATCTCAGCTTATAAACCGGGGGAAGTAATTAGAAAAAGGTCAATGCCCCAAGAACTTTCTCCTTATTATCCAGCTTCTTCCAGAAAAGTATATCAAATTGTTTATTGTTCCCAAGATTCTTTTGGTAAAGCAGCTGCTTATGTTGCTACCGTTTTTGAGCCAGATAATAATCCAGACCCTTCAAAGCTTCTTGCTTACCAGGCCATTGAAGATGCTGCAGATCCTGATTGTGCTCCATCGTATACTTTCGCTGCTAATACCACTTGGGTTAATTCAAATGGTAAATTTGAGTTATTATACATTGAACATGCTCTACAACAAGGTTATTACGTTGTTGCACCTGATTATGAAGGGTTAAATAATGCATTTTGTGCCAATAAAAAAACTGGTTATGCAACTCTTGATAGTATTAGAGCAGCTAAAAACTTTGATGGAACAAAAATTGATCAAAATTGTAGTATTGTTACTTGGGGATATTCTGGGGGTTCTATTCCTGGATTATGGAGTTCAGTTTTGGCTGAATCTTACGCCCCTGAATTAAATATCATTGGTGCTGCAATTGGAGGAGCGGTACAAAATACTACCTCTGTTGCCCTTGCAGTTGATGGTACTTATAATGCTGGTATTGCAGCATTAGCCATTAAAGGAATGATGAATGAATACCCTGATATGGAAGATTACATTTATAATGAAGCATTAAGAAAAGATAAAATTGCAGATTTCAATAGAACGTCCGAAGTTTGTTTATTATCGTCTATGATCGTATTTTATAATGATAATTTCTTTGGCAGCGGTAATGATTCATATTTTAAAGAAGGGGTTAAAGCATTAACAGGTGGCCCAGTTAAAAGAATCACCGAAGAAAATGCAATTGATCTTGAAAATGACCCATTACCAAAATTTCCAATTTTCCTTTACAGCGGTAAACATGATATTGAAGCACCATTAGAGCAAAATGCTGAGTTAATTTATGAAATTTGGTCTGAAAGAAATATTAATTCTTTAGAATTTGAACTTGATTCAATTGCAAATCACGAAGCTGGACTTTACTTAGGAGGACCTGCAGCATTTGCCTGGATCGAAAATGTTTTCAATAAAGGACCAGTTGTTAAAGGGTCTGAGAAGAAAGAGAGATTAACAAGTTTACTTTACCCTGGGGTTGACCATAATATTGTTAAATTGACCTACCAGGCATTGCAACAAATTCAAAGGAGTGGCTTACCGGATATTTTATCTGAACTTGAAGGTAGTCTCATTGGTAACATACAACAAGCTATGAAAGTTATTAACTTACTCTAATTTAATTCCCCGATATCTCTTCAATTCTATTTATTTATATATGTATTATTAATAAATCTACATTCAGTAATAAGAAATAACATGATTAAATTGAAGTATGTAAATATTAACCAGAAGAAATGAAAATCGCTAAAAATACAAGAACAAAATCAGAATCCGAAATACTGGACAAAGGGAAATGACATACCCATTCATCCAAATTCAAAGCCATGGAAACGGGCTAAAGCAGAATTTAAATCATTTTCGCTAGCGTTCCATCTTACCATGAGCTTAAAAGTCTAAATACAATAAACCATCACAGGTAATTTTAGAAGCCTCCTTGACTGAGGAATCTAGAGACTCAACTTCTTGAAGAATCTTCTGTTTTTCTTCGGGACTAAGGACGTAAGGATATTGCTTCCCCTGGATACCTTCTTGTTGTTCATGGGCTAAAGCAGTTCCATTTTCTTCATTAGTAGTTTGGGGTTGTAAACTATTGGTCAGATATGAAAGGTTGGCCGCTGGAATTGTACCGTTACTCACAACAGGATCACTCAAAAACGTGGAAACATCAATTAGGTTATCGTTCAACTCATTAACTATCCCATTTAGTTCTTGTTGTCGCTGCTGCTGTTTTAATAGCTCCTCTTGAATATTCTCGTCGGAGTGAAGATGCTGATTGCCCAATAATGAGCTTCTTTCATTGAATTCGTCCTCATTATCGTAGTCTGGACGTATGCACGAGAGACAGAGACCCATTCTGCTAGCCTCCAACGATCCTTAGTTAGCTCTTTATGGTAAAGAAATACCCTGCTTCTTATACCCTAAGCTCGTTCCTCCCAGTTTTGGTTTTGTCCAAAAGGGTAAATGACGAAAAAACCACACCCGTACATACAACCACACCCATACCCCAGCTTATCGCACGTGACCACATCTTTGTTGCGCTAAAAAAATTGCAACCACTGCTTGAGTCATCGAGCGATAAGATTAGGCTGAACGGAAGAGGTCTGAGACTGATTTGAAGATCCGATGACACGAAGGATAGAGTTACGGTTAAAGTTGATTTGTATTGTAAACGAAGCGAATATCATCGCCCTTTCTGAGTCAGTGCAGGATGTTCCGTCTGCTGTATACACAGGGCAAATTTCAAAGGTCCATATGAAACTTTTATCCGAAGTGAATTGCTAGCAAAAGTCACATCATCACAAGATGACTAAGAATATAAAAGCATGTATATAAACATCCATAATATATATATATATATATATATACATATATAAATATACTATATATGTATATGTACTGCTAAAGGTTTGCTGCAAGTTATCAATCACAGTATTGTCTTATCTTTCGTTTTTTATAGGTGCACGGGCCAGGGTATCAGTTATAGTGGTTATCTTCTGCAACCGTTACTGTTATAGTAGTTACTAGAAATTGTATTGCTTTCTGATCAGATCAACTTAAAAGAAGCTTATTTTGTATTAGCAGCTATTTCCAAACACACCAAGAGTAAGGATGGCACAAGTATTATTTCAACTTCCAAAAGAGCTTTTGGTTCACACGTTATCATTCCTCCAACCCGATGAATTAGCATCCAGTTTTGGACTCCATGAGTTATTATACGCTGATGATGGTGATCCGTTTACCCAGATAAGACAGTTGGCATTATGGGCTAAATATCTGGATCGAAACGTTGCAATGAGTAACAATGTTTTTGAAGGATTGAACCAACTTGATTTATTGCATTTGAAATACTTGATTAAGTACAATATATTGATTCGACCAAAAGAGATATCGTTTGTTTTATTTGATTTTACTAACTATGCTGGTTCATATAAGTATTTTGAAGTGATCAACACTTATTATCTTGAATATTTGAAGAAATTCACTGATTGCTTTAGTATACAGTTAATTTTGGTTGAGAATGTCGAAATTGATAATTACTTGGTCAAATCAATGTTTGAACCATTTAATTTAAATAACTTCAAAATCAATTGGTTTACAATTAAATATTTACCAAATTCAATGACTGGTAATCAACAGTTTGACTTTGAGGATTTAAATGACCGAAACGCAGAGTATAGGATTAATGATTTCCTTAAAAATAACGATGGTTTGATGGTTGAAAATTTAAAATTACATTTATTCAGCTCAAATAACTTATTGCATCATTTAAGAAATGATCCTTCCAGTGATAATGCTTGCTTTTACTGTAATTCCTTGAAAACAATTGATTTCTCCTATAATAATCTAAAGGATGATGATTTGCAAAATATTAATTTCCCGCAACTGCTCGAATATTTAAACCTTTCTAATAACAACCTTTGCTTTTTATTAAATCATAATTTCAATCTAACTTGTTTAATGAATTTGAAAGTTTTGAATATTTCAAATAATAATATCATGCAATTCAACTTTAATACCAATCACTTGCCCTCGGATCATAATTATCAATTGGAACACCTAGACTTATCCGGTAACAACCTTACTGATTATCAAGATTTATTCAAAACTAACAATTTATTTTTCAAAAACTTGATTTCAATTGACTTATCTAGAAACTTGATATCAAAATTATCGTCTTTCCCTTCATTGTTAAAACGCATCAACCTTAATGGCAACCACTTGAGCAACTTTATAAAAGAACTCAATGGCGAAATATTTCCTAAAAACTTATTAGAGCTCTATATCAGTTTTTGCAGAATTGTCGGAGAGAAAAATCTTTATCCTTTGTTTATTAGTCATTTGATATTTGAAGAAAACCTCTTCAAACTTCGTCTTTTGGAAATTACTGGCGGTGCAATTGATTACTCGAATTTCCATTCCAAGTCTACTTTACCTCTTCATTTACAAGTTTTATAGAGTGAATACCTTTAATAAAATAAATACCTGGTTGCAAAGGCTGCAAAAAATGCTAAATAATACCTTTTTTTTAAACACTTGACCTATTAGCCAGCTACCATAAGAGATCACCTTATCACTTTCGTTCAGCCCATTCATTGCCCATCATTCAATACAATTATCGTAAGTGATGGTTTTTATTGAATTTAGTGTTCTACTTGTGTTTGACTGTACGGGTTTATACGCTCACCGTTTGATAACCTCATCCTCAACTTTATAAGGGGGTTGCCTATCTTTAACAGCCTAAGACCACCTACTAATCTTGAATAAGATGTCAAAGGCATTGAGTTTATTAGCATTTGAAACCCTCCATAACAAACTTTTCCAAGAGTCAACCTCAGTTACTTTAGCAAAGTTCAATGATTTAACAGAATCATCAGCACTGGACTATCCGGAAAATGCTCCTCTTTTCATTACTTGGAATAAATCGGGCCAGTTAAGGGGATGTATTGGAACTTTCCAATCTTTACGTATTGAAAATGGTGTCAAGCGTTTCGCTCTCACCAGTGCTTTAGATGATCCTCGTTTTCCTCCAATAACTAAAAAGGAGCTTCCCTTGTTATCAGTTTCGGTGACTTTATTAGACAATTTCACGCCTATAAGTCTGCCTCTTGATTGGCAGATTGGCTTGCATGGTTTGAAGTTGCAATTCGAAAAAAATGATGAATACTATTCAGGGACTTTTCTCCCAAGTGTAGCGGAAGAGCAAGAGTGGGATCATAAAACAACTCTTTATTATCTTCTTAAAAAGGCAGGCTACGATTTTGCTGTGAAATCCAAAGTCATCGAGTTCTATGAAGATGGTCTTCAAGAAGGTTGGATTCAATTAGAAAGATATGACGGTTTAAAAAACCATTTAGTTTATGACGAATTTATTAAAATTAGAGACAAGGCATGATTGTCATAAAAAAAAATTATATGCTGGTCATTTTCTATGATTATACTTGAAATTTTTTCGAAAATCCCTAAATACTTCATATTAACATCATTTTTTTATTCTTCAATACTACAAATTATACTTTTAACATTGTTATACATTATAATCGTAGACAGTTAGAGTTTATGTACAAGAACATTTTGAATTTAACCATTGATTATTTTAACTATATGAATTTCCGTCTTCAAAGTAGTCCATCAAGGCTTTATCGATCCAATCACAGCCAGTGTCAGAAACAGGTGATATATTTCCCGTTTCCATTAAAACGTCATAATTAATATCACTCGGTATAACATCGCTATTCAATAGATTATTCAAGTTGACAAGATTTTGTCTTTGTTCATTTTGGTAGAAGCTGAATTCGTTAATATATTCAGGTCTTTCTTTTTGATCAATAGCGATACCTTGATAATGACTGGCTTCTTCAGAACTATTGGAAGTCGAATTTTGATTTGGTGGAGTTGAATTAGTCAAATGATTGCTGAAGTTAGAATTAGGTGTATTATCATTAATACTATTCGAATTGCTACTAGAATCCTTAGCATGATCATCAATACTTTCAGTCTTAAGACCGAAACTCTTTAATTGTGATTCAATCTGTGGCAACTCGTCTTTTAGTTTCGAATAAAGTCCAGGACGTAACTTACTTAAAGAATCTCTTATATGTTTAGTCAATCTACCAGATAACTTCCAATGTTTAGAAATTGGATAGATGGCCGACAACGACAACTTTATGTATTCAGCCAAAGATGACAAATCATCATTTGTGAACGAAGAACTATCATCTTCTTCTTGAGATACATGAAGCTTGTTTTCAATCCATATATAAGCACTCAAATGAACCAACGATGCCAATGCTAAAGAGCATGCAAAAAGTGGAGTCCTTTTCAAAACCCTTGTAGCACTGGTATCAATAAGAACTCTTACAATCGAGTCAGCTGCCTCAATGGTTTTCGAAGTTTCAACTATTGCAATCGCATCACCTTTAAGTCCGGTCGCAAACTCTCTAGTTTCGTTATAGTCGCCACCAACACACCGTGGAACTTGAGGTGACTTGATTTTCCACAAGTACGAAAAGGGACGATGAACGAATATTTTAGCATAGTTGAGTAACAAGATAGATTGATGAACACCCTCATTGACAACACCATGTTTGTTGATCAACAAAGGAGAGTTATACGATGGTGGATCACTAAGTTTCATTTCCATAGTTGACAATCTAGCATTCAAAGGTGCCAAATGTTTGTCCAAAGGCTGTTTGTTTATGATAGCAAGATTAAGTTTAATTGCACTATTAACTAAAAAAGCTGCTTCAGCTCTGCCTTTATAATCGAAAACATGAGCTGGTGGATAGGTTGGATAATTTACTTCACATTCAATTGAGCTAAAATTGGTTAATGTTTTTCCATCTGCAGATCCAATGATAACATCAAAAAATATAAGCTCCCAAAAGAGCCTTCTTGCCAGATCAGATATACTCTCCTTGGAAACAGATCGAAGTCTATCTGAATCGTATAGGCGATTATTACGTTCATTATCAAAAGGGGTTTTCGAGTCGGATGGAGTAAGTAGCTGAGGTTTATTTTCAAAACCATGCTTAGCATCAAGCTTATTGATATCAAATTCTTGAATCATTTTTATAGAAAACTGACGTAAAATCTTACTGAAGTCATGAAGCGCCGAAACGTGAGCAATAATGGAAACGAGAAGAAGCGATATCAAGGAAACAATATCGAGGGAGTTGTTCTTCTTTATAAGGTCGAGACATTGTACTAATCTATCAGATATTAATTCTGAATTATTGGCATATATATCGGTTTCCTGACCCTGAACAATCACTTGCATTATATACAAAAGTTCAAGTTTTGCACTCTCATCTTCAAAATATGATTTAAGCTCTTCTTTTCTAGGTAGTAATGGATGAGCGGAATGAAATTTCTCATAATACTTATTTATTATTACATCAGTTTCATTAGCATCTATCTCGAGCATATTTGAAGGGTCTTTTATGGAAATCCCGACATTCAATTTCTCCAATTCTGAAGGAAGATAAGGAGGTTGATCAAGCCCACCGTTACCACACATACAGTTTGGTAATTTTGGAAGACCGTCTTTTTCGAATCTTGGTCTCTTTCTAAGTTGATTAATTTTTATTTCACTATCGTTAGCGTCAACCACGGAAGACTTCAATTTACAACCATTTCCTGAACATCCAGGCTTACTACAGCCACCTGCAATTGGTTTCTGATAGAATGCATCCTTATCAGGGTCGACACCGGGGGCATCTATTCTTCTATGAGGTAAATCCTCAATTTCCGTACTTCCTTGTTGGTCGTTATTCTTAGTTTTAGACTTATCAACTTTACTAACACCTCTTTTTCTGGAACCCCCCCTCTTACTTTGAACATAGGTACAAACAGTCCCCGTTTTCACACATTTCAGACAGCTAGGTAGCTCACCGGAGCATTTGAAGTGCCTTGAACGACAATTCAAACATGCCCTAGAAACGTGCTTTACATTGGCTCTTTGTTTCACCGGTGGTAGCAGAAGGTTGATTTCTATCTGACGTTGTCTTTCAGCTTCTAAATCTTTATAAACTCCATCATTACTGGACAAAACAGCAGGATTGAATTCTTTCGAATGTAAGGTCTCGTTACCGATCGGTGATTGAGAAGTTTCATCTCCTAGAAATGATGGTGAGGTCTCGTTATGAAGCGATACCTTCACCTTAGTTTGAGTATGGTTATCAGTGCTTTCTTCTGCGGAAGTAGCACGCATTTTGGTATAACCCTTGGTTGTAGATATCACAATTATTCAATGGGTCGATAATTTAGCGGAGTTGAATAAAACGAGAAAGTCACTTTCAAACCCCGTACTTTAAAAGAAACGAACAAAAAAAAAAAAAAAAGAGCAGAGGCAGGCTCTAAAAAAGACGAAGTACATACGAATATCCCTTTGAAATGAATGACTGTTCAATAAGATTCAATAAGGGAACGGTTCGATAAGGGTACGGATGCCTATGGAGAAGAAGAAAGGAGAAGAAATAGACGAATATTAATATATTAGGATGAAATCTATAAATACTATATAAATTGAATATGTAGACTTAATTCAAATAACCTTTACAACCAGGAGCACCACAAAGACATCTGATACGTTCTTCATCATTGGTTTCTCTCTCAAACTTGTAATCATAAGTGAGCTCTTCATTAGCTTCAATGTCACGTAATGCGTAAATAACGATTCTTTTCTTACCTTCGACCTTGATAATTTTGGCAGTGCAACTTGGGTTACAACAATGATTGATGAATCTAGCGATACCACCCTTTTTAGTTGCATCAATAACGGTATTTTCATCGATTCTGAATAAGTATGAAGAACCAATACCGGTCTTTAAGTAACTTTTTTCTCGGTGTTCGGCAACTTGTTGCCTTATGCTTTCACCAACGTATTCAATAATCATTTCTTTAGCTGCAATTGGTTCCAAAGCATAGAGACCCCAATTATGGATGGCCGATCTTGCAAATGAAACAGGCTTTTTACGTTTAGTCAATGCATTAAGATTTAAAATATCAGTTTCACTTCCAATCATTTGTTTCTGTGCACTAATATCAGCTGCAAATCTTCTATTATTAGCTCTATTAACACGAGAACTTTGGATATTATTATTGTTTTGATTGGAACTATAGTTCCCAGCTCCACTCTCTTCATCATCATGTTGAACCGTTTTAAGTGGTTTATGTATTTTACGGCGATGAGGTAAATACTCAATTTTATCAGCATCCAAAATTTTCCGGTATCCTTCACTTTTGAAAGAACCAGTTTTACATTCCAATCTAGAGCTTAGAGGACCGGTGACTTCTAATCCATCTTCGGCAGCTTCCTCTGTAACTGAAGAATCCTTAAGATCTTTTTGTTTCCATGCCCAATATTCAATATTTTTGATATGGGAGGCAGGCTTAAAATCAGTGAACAATTTCTCGGCCAATTGAACATCTTCTTCATCTCTAATAATCGAACGAAGTCTATCCAAATCAAAGGGATCAGAGTATCCAACGGGTATTTCGTCATAAACCGGTTGTGGAGTCTCAAATGTTGGTTGGTATTTTTCTTCAATTTTCGAATAGTCAATATCCTCAAACGGTTTCTCATCTTCAACTTCAGATATGACTTCGTCCTTCTTATCAACATCCATATCATTGAAACTTTTCTCCTTAGTTTGATCACTAATTACTTGCTCATTATCTTCTTCTTCAGAGGAAGAATCATACAAGAATGATCTAGTTAGCTTCTTACGCTTGTTTCCCTTGTCCTTCGGAGCTTCAACCTCATGTTCTCTCTTCAAATTAGATGGTTGAGGGGTGGCCGATTCACTCATTTCGTCTTCAATGTCAGAAACATCACTATCGTCATCATAGTTAAGTGCATGTTGCATTGGTATCAAATTCTTCCTCTTGTTACTTGAAGGTAAACGATTTGCTTCAGACTTTTTATTAAAACTAGGTAAATTTGCCTTTGCTTGCTGATATTCTTTAAGTCTTCGTTGTTGTTCTTCTCTTTTGGCAGCAAGAACAGAAAGAGCATTTTGTCTGACTTGAACGGACTTGTCTATGATATTTGCAGATTTTTTAACCTGTTCAGCTGCTTCTTTCTCTTTAAGTTCTCGAACGAGATCGGGATAATGGTCATGACTCAATAAATCAAGAACCACCGGTGCGATAATTCTTTCTCTAATATCTTTGGCAAGGAATGTTTGAAATTCTTTAATTAACATATTTGCAGCCTCATCAACAACGTCATGTTGTACATTACGAGAATTATTATTTTCCTTACTTTCGAATTCTTCTATATGCTTAGTGACATCGAAGTTCTCTGGAATTGCTAATTCCATAAACATTTTGAATTCAAAAAATTTTCTACCATCTTCATTATGGAAACAACGATCACATTCTTTGAGCGAATTGAAAACAACATAAAAACCAGTTTTATCCGACAAAACTCTTGTCCAATCGTATTTATTAAGAAATCTTTTAACATCCTGTGTTGAGATTTTCATAGTAGATATATATCTGTCCTGTATCAAGATGTAAGGACGGTCCTTAATGTATTTATTCAAATCCTTAGGTAGCATGATACCAGATACCACTTTATTTCGATGTCTTATAGAAAGAATAGTTGTATTTGATTTGTATCTGGCAAGTGATGAAGATGAAGAGCTTGATTCTGAAGCATTCACGCTAGAGATAGACGACTTGGAGGTAGTAACAGAAGAAGCCGATTTGGAAACTTCTCTTCTTTTCTGCTCTTCAATTTCTAACTTTCTCTTGATTTGACGTTTTTCTTCTTCATCTCTTTTGATTTTTTCTGCATGGAGCCTATCTCTTGCAACGGAAATTTTAGAATTCATCAATTTATTTTCATGATCATTTAGTCCGATTTTCAATTCAACTCCATCCACTTTAGGTTGGTCCGTTTTCAAAACTTTTAATAATTTCAAAGCAGATCTCATTGCTTTATCAGGAGATCCCGGGAATGTGAAAGTGGCAATACCAAGAGGGACTCCATTTTCCGGATCGTTGATAAATCTCATATTTTTGATTGACTCACCGAAACTGTCAAAAAAATTGACTAGGTATACTTCACTAGTGGTTGTTGGAAGATCCCATACAACCAAATCAGTTTTGGGAGGACTACCTAAAGAATCTTTATCATAAGTGAACTTAGGTTGGGGTAATTGTTTGAAAGGAAATTTCTTTGATTTTTTATTGGGTTTTAAGAAATAATGAGATGCACTGGAACCATTTTTTCTAGGATCTGTTAACGAAGATGAGAGTCCTTCACCATTAAAACGAATTTTCTTTGATTTTGCTTTTCTTTCTGGTTTTGAAAGTGACTTATCTAACTCAGGATCGTATAAGACTTTATAATTTTTCTTTGGATCAGGAGTAGTATTATAAGGAATTTTTTGTTGAAGATTAATATTATGCGTCAATTGAGTGAAATTTTCATCAATTGGATTAATTCCAGTCAACGGATTGGAACCGCTTAACTCCTTTGCAGGCTTAGGGGCCGAAGGCAGTAAAGTCGACGATGCAGAAGCCGAAGGAGAATCTTTGAAATATTTAGGATGCAGTGCGGTTGAGTTAGCAGTCGAGCTGGATTTATAATTTGAAGATAGAACCGAATCAGTAGGTGAGGGCTGGGACGAGGAATTATTAGACGAGTAACGATTATCGTATGAGTGATAGTGATGACCTTTATTCAAGTTAACATTATTATTGAATGAATTCCGGGAGTTAGTATTGCGTCGACTCAGATCATCGAATGAATTATGCTTATTTCGATGATCAAATGATGCTGCTGGTCCTGAAGGTCTTCCAAAGGGCCTTTGTCTCCAGTTATTCTTATGATTGAATGACATTATGTATATATATTATACTTATTTCCGAAATCGAAAAATTTTCCAATTTTGAAATGTTCAAGCTAAACCTGGGAAAAAACACCCCTTCACTCCTTCAAAGCTGCCTAGCAAGTAAGCCTGGGTTTTATCTTCCAACAGAGTTGATCCAAGCACTAGAAGTGGTTGATCAAGCGTGTTTGCTGATTCAGCGAAGACCCAAAATAGACCTGAAAAATTAGCAATGGAACCAGATCAACAGAGACAACCAGTCAGAAACTAAATGAACAAACTATAAGGTGTCTGCGGGTACGACTCTTGACAAACAAAAGCTTATAAAGTCGGCTTGTAGACAAGGATAAGAAACTGAAAGGGAACAAGTCTTGCGTCTTTGATAGACCTCCATATTATGTTTTCTATTTTTTTTTTTTTTTTTTTTTTTTGTTTAAGCTCGCACCTTACTAAATAAGGCATATTGGCATACTAGAAAGACCAGTACTAGTACACTAGAAAGACCAGGACTAGTACACTAGAAAGACCAGGACTAATACTACAATACTATCAGTGCAACTACACCCACGAGTCTGTAAGGAATATATTAATGAAATAAATAATGTTTTTGTTTTATAATGAAACTAAAAAAAGAAGAAATACTTCAGGTACTGGCGAAAAATGAAGAATTCAGAAAAATGTGAATGAATGCGTAGTCAACTTTCATGAATGAGTAATATACAAGATAAATGAGTATGTAGGATGGAGAAACAGTCCTTACTTGGTTCTGATATGTTTTAATGGTCCGGCAGAGTGATAAAAGTTAGCTGCGTACTCCTTCTTTCTGAAATGTCTCTTTTTAGGTTCTTGAACGTAATGATCCCAACCTTGGCCCTGGGCAAATCTGATGGCTGCTTCTTTAGTATCAAACTTCATGATAGTACCTTGCATATAATCAGCAGAAGATTGGTAACCAATCAAGTCATTTTCCCATCTATTACCTTTACCTAAAACGTCCCAGTCCAATTTCCAGGATTTGGCATTATGATGACCGGATTGAGTAGCTGGCTTGGACTCCAAATAGATTCTGACTACTCTGTTAGTACTCAAGTCTTGCGGAGCACCAGAAACAACTTCGTTTGATCTTATTTTGGTTTCGTCGTAAGGAACTGGTTTTTGCTGAAGAACCGAGCCGGTGGCAAACGCACGAGCGCCGGCTGGCGCTCTGACAGAACTCAACGATCTTAATGTGGATCTGGCAATCATCTTATGTATATCTATACTGTCGATACGGGGTATTCAAAGAGTAGCTTCAACAAATTTCTAATTAGCTTTCGCAGAGTTCTGGTTGGCTCGTTTTCCACATCGGTATCAAAATTACCCGCACCCCAGCACACAGACCGGTACACCACCAGCATATATACACAAACACCCGTGCACCAGAAGAAGTACATTTTTCAGACACTGCAGACGTAATTCCAACTCTCTGGTTGTAGTACCTTGCCATGAGTAATCCACAGTCCAAACAGTCATTGAAGGACGTGCTACCGACACTTGCCGAGCCGTATCCGGCACAGCTAGTGCTGACGTTGGAGTCACTTCATCTGATGAGCCTACAAAAAAATCCAGTCTTGCCTAATAAATCAGAAATAGCCAGATACCATATTTGTGCATACTTGACGGCAGAACGATACCAACAGCAGTTGAAGCTACCGCTGCCATCTTTGAACAAGATTCCTGCGCAGCCCAAGGTTGTTAATAAGATCCTCGATGATTTCAGAGCAAATGTATTGAATGGGTTCAAATCACCAACCAATTCCCCCCGAAAGAGTATGGCAAGTCCATCGCCTTTCAATACGCCAACGAAAGGATCAAACAACAAACTCAACTTGTCGCCCAGCAAGAACGGACCGTCGACTCCAAGGGTGAGCTCCCCCTTGAAGAGACTACAGGCATTGAGAGATGAAGATGGTGCTATTGGCAAAAAATCAAAATCAAATAATGCATTATCGGATGCTGCATCTCCTTTCAACCCTAAGAATAATCCAAAAACTCCAACAAAACAGTCTGCTCCAGGAACCCCGGGGACCCCTTCCACCCCAAGATACCAAAGACACATCACCATCTCGGACTTTATTTCTTTTGCCAATAATTTTTACATTCCATCCAATGTCACTCCGCAAATGGTGGAGTGTTTTCTAGACCAGAAACATAAATTCACCAAGAAAAACGAATGGCTTCTTGCATGCGGAATGATCCACGCTGCCTACGTGAGAATCAACCATAAGCTCATCAACTACACCATGGGTGCTAAAAAAAAATTGGAAGACCAATTGTTCCAGTACCAAAAGGGAGGCTTAATGAAAGATAATATGAAAACCTGGATCAATATCATTGAAGAAGCAGTCAAAGTGGAACCCTGGGTCATAGACCTAGATAAAAAATTCATCGATGGCACTTGGTCTTCTCTGACCCAAGACAACATTCAAACGTTAGAAATTACTGCAAAACTTGGGAAAGGCTGGGAAATCGTTGAAAAATTCGGAAGTATGGTCACCCCCGATACCATGTTTGATTCCAACACCCAAAACACTTACTACTCTACCTGGACCTCCAAGGTCTTATCCGAACTAGACTCCTAACACGATACATAATGAACTTATATAAATGATCTTATATGTCCCTGTATTATGTGTAAATACCGTAAAATCTTTCAGTCGCGGGATGCTTCAGGAAGTTTTTTTTTTTTTTTTATTAGGCAAAAGCATCTCGACTTGATGCTTTAGTAGTTATTCCTTTTTCTATATAACACAGTAAATATACTCGAAGTATACACCTAGGCCTTGGTTTAGATACCCCCAGAGTCACAGCATAAGTAGATACCGTTCGACGTATCACCCGACTAAACGAGAAAAGAAAGAAAAACACCAAAGTAGGAAAATAGACCCAGTCAGTAATATTTCACACTGCCAGATCTACTAATATAACCTTGCTAGAAGAGATAGATCGATAAGTATCGAGCCATGAGTGCCATGAAAAGAAAAATCTCCAATGGGGTTGGTGTTGATTCACCTAACAAAAGAGTGGCCCCTGTTCAAATGTCACAAGACCAAGATGACGATGAATATATGTCTGGGGAATCAGAAGATGATCCACAACAAAGCTTCCCAATGGCCATTAGTAATAACAGTAATCAATGGCAGCAGACGATTACTTCTGTCATCAAATGTGTTGTTTCTATTCAATTTGCAAACATTACGAATTTTGATACAGAACTATGTCTTACTAGTGAAGCCACCGGATTCGTGGTTGATTCCAAGAGAGGTATAATATTAACCAATAGACACGTTGTTGGGCCAGGTCCATTCAGCGGATACGCAGTTTTTGATAACCATGAAGAAGCCGTCGTTAAACCAATTTATCGTGATCCAGTACATGATTTTGGTTTTTTACAATTTGATCCAAAAAATATAAAATATATGACTCTTTCTCAATTAGACTTAAAACCTGAATTGGCTCAGGTTGGTACAGAAATTAGAGTTGTTGGTAATGATGCTGGTGAAAAATTATCTATTTTGGCAGGTTTTATTTCCAGATTGGATAGAAACGCTCCTGATTATGGTGCTTTGACTTATAATGATTTCAATACTGAATATATACAAGCAGCAGCTAGTGCTTCTGGTGGTTCTTCAGGATCTCCAGTGGTAAATGAAGATGGATATGCCATTGCATTGCAAGCAGGTGGCTCAACTGAAGCATCCACCGATTTCTTCTTACCGGTGTATAGACCTTTGAGAGCCTTACGTTGCATTCAAAATGATGAACCAATAACCCGTGGTGATATTCAAGTTGAATGGGCTTTGAGACCTTTTGATGAATGTAGAAGATTAGGTCTCACTCCAGAAGCTGAAGCAAGAGCTAGAAGTTTATTCCCAGATAAAATTGGTTTATTAGTGGCTGAACTTATCTTACCTGAAGGCCCAGCCGATGGTTTAATCAAAGAAGGGGATACTTTGATATCCATTAATGATACTCCAATTAGCACTTTTATCAAAGTCGATGAAATATTGGACTCGAACGTTGGTAAAACCCTTGAATTCGTCATTCAAAGAGGCGGTAAAGAATTAAAACAAAGTATAACAATTGGTAACTTACATGATATAACTCCAGACCAATATGTCGATGTTGCTGGTGCCTCTTTCAATAACTTATCTTATCAAGTTGCTAGATGTTACTGTATCCCCGTTAAAGGTGTCTTTATTAATGATGCCTCTGGGTCATTCGAATTTTCTACTTTTGATAAAAATGGTTGGCTCCTTCAATCTGTTGATGACCAACCTACTCCTGATTTGCATGCTTTCATTGAAGTCATGAAAAAGATCCCAGATAGACAAAAAGTTACCATCTCCTATAAACACGTTTCGGACTTACACCATGAAAATATTCATGTGGTTTATATCGAAAGACATTGGCAAAGCACTTTTAGATTAGCTACTAGAAATGATAAAACCGGTTTATGGGACTTTACTGACATTCAAGACAAACCTGTTGAACCTTCTAAAATTACTCCCAGAAATGCAAAATATATCGATATTCCATTTGAAGACGAAGAAAAAGCTGGATGCTCATCATTAGTAAGATCTTTTGTACAAATCCGTACTATTTCTCCAATTCCACTTGATTCATTCCCTCACCGTAACGAAATCGGCCATGGGGTTATTATTGATGCAGAAAATGGGTATGCCCTTGTTTCTAGAAGATTTGTTCCTCATGATATGTGTGATATATTTATCATTTTTGCGGAATCCGTGGATATACCAGCCAAAGTTGTATTTTTACATCCAAATCAAAATTATGCTATCATTAAATACGACCCAAGTCTAATTTTGGCTGATGTTCGTGCTCCTAAACTTAGTAGCACTCCTTTGAAAAGAGGTGAAAAATCATTTTTCGTTGGTTATAATTTCAATTTAAGATTAGTAACTGATGATGTCAAAGTAAGTGCAGTCTCTTCCATTAATGTTACTCCAAATGTATTATCACCACGTTATAGAGGTACCAATTTGGACTGTATTTTATTAGATAGCAAATTATGTCTCGAATGTGATACTGGTGTTTTAGCCGATTCAGATGGTACAGTTCGTGCATTCTGGTTATCATATCTAGGTGAAAGTAATTGTGATAACTCAGGAGATGTTTTATATAGAATGGGTTTAGATGTTACTGATGTTTTGGATATTGTTGATATATTGAAACAAAACAAGGTCCCAGGCTCTTTGAGAATCTTAGATGCTGAATTTGGTGCAATGACTGTTTTGCAAGGTAGAACTAGAGGTGTTCCTCAAGAATGGATTTCTAAATTTGAAGACGTTTCCCATGATGAAGTCAAGTTTTTATCAGTGCAAAGAGTTTCAGCACCAATCCTTAATCATCCGGTCAATCCATTGAAAACTGGTGATATTATTTTATCAGTCAATGGAAACATCATTAAGAGTATGAGGGATTTCAAAGTTATGTACCATAACGAAACCTTGAATTTCAAGGTGATAAGACAAAAGAAAGAATTGGATTTGATAGTTCCAACTATTGATACTAGTAGTATCAATACATCTCATGTTGCAACTTGGTGCGGTGCTCTTTTACAAGCTCCTCATCATGCTGTTCGCCAACTCATGGAGAAGATTCCATCTGAAATTTACGTTACTCGTAAGAATGCAGGTGGTCCAGCTCATCAATATGGTATTGTCACCAATAGTTTCATTACTCATGTGAATGATCAAGAAACTAAAGACCTTAAGTCATTTATGGAAATTGTTAAAAAAATCCCTGATAACACCTATGTTAAAATCAGATTAGTTTCTTTTGACCACATTCCAATTGCTATATCAGTTAAAACTAATTATCATTATTTCCCATCAGCTGAATTAAAGAAAGATGACAAAGGTGATTGGGTTGAATATGAATATAAAAATACATAGATTTTTATAGAGTTCCTTACGATTTTAAAAAAAAAAAAGAAACAAAATTCGTGAAAAGTATTTATTGGTATATATATACAAGATGAAATTAATGAATAGGCATTATGAAAACATGTAAACTTCGTAACTGAATACTGTCAAGATAATTTTTTATGGTAAAAATTTACTCAATTTTTTGACTTTTTGACCTTTATCTGAAATCAAATGAGTACCATCGAAATGATTCATGGAACGAGGAGTAAATTTACCATTACCATGATTTCTATGTCCCGATCTTGCCTTAAGACCAGTACTTGTTCTTATAAGTCTTTTAGCAGCAGACTTATTAGTTTTGATCTTAGTTCTTGTTTGAAGCAAGACGTTCATGGCCGGCTTTTTGGCAAATATTATTCTTGATGCCGATTCGAGAAGATTTCCAAACATATTGAGCTCCGTATCACTAGGCTTGTGCAGCTGACCTCTAAACCTTTTCAAACCTATTAGATCTTATTCCGAGTAAGTCAAATTTTTTTCTTTCAGAATTTTTCTCTTCATGATATATTAACACTCGCACGACCGCCGTATCAATATTTCATACCCCAGGTCCGGCCTTACTTCCATTAAGGCTAATCAGACTAACTGGACTCGTTTTCACTAGAGCTATATCCATTGAGAAGGTTGGATATTTGAATGGAGTCCTTGTTGTTATTGTTGGGTTCAGCGGACTCAATTGTAGGAGACTTTACCTTACGTTTCTTAAAAGATATTTTAGTGTTCTCTGGAGTCAGAATAGGCTTTGCCAATGGGGGTTGATGCTTTTGCTGGTCCTGATTTCTTTTCAAGGCCCTGTACCTCGACAACTGCTCTTTTTCCTCGTCTTTGGCCTTCATTTCATCTTCTTTTGCTTTAGTTTTCAATTGATCATAAAATCTTGCAGATTTTTCATCTAGCTTGTACGAAGAATTACGTGACTCTAGGTTTTCCTGATACTCTTTATATTTTTGTTCTTCGGTTGTTAGTATGTCCCAATGACTATTACAAATTCAACATACCTCTTGACTCTTTCAACTGATCTCTCAAAGTCTTCCTTTCCTCGTTTTCCCCAGCAAGACCCTCTTCTGGATCTGCTTTTCCTTGTCTTGGTTGCTCGCCAACCTCCGACTTAACCAGTTCATTTTCCTTCACGAAATCAGGCATTACTCAGGAGATTGGATGGATACTGTTTTGGGGTAATTTGACTGTGAACCTGTTCCCATCAACAAGCAAACAAAAAACAAAAAAACAAGAGCGCAGTCGAAATATTGCAAAAAAAAAACAAAAAAACTACAAAGTATGGTTTTCATTAAAACAAGCTTAACATTTCACACGGAAGAAAGTATTATAAACCAGAACAAAGTGATGTTCTATTAATTTTCTAAGGAAAAGAACTCAATCTAAAGAATTATCATTAATCGTCATTACGGACTTGCGAAGGTCTTTCAGCAAAATAACGAGGTTCATCGAAAACATGGTATCTATGGCCTCTTACACCGTCACCTCTAAACAATTGAGGCATTCTCAAGCTTTCATCAACCTCGTCTTCATCTATATAGTGATTACCATAGATGAAGTCATTACCCTCTTCAATTTGGTATTCTTCTAAGAGTTTAAATTTAGCAATTTGTAATTCGGTATCAGTAATTGTAGATCTTGAAATTCTGGCATAAGCAACTTTTTTCAAGTCTCTGAAGAGGATATATTCACACCATCTATCCCAATCATTGCTATCGATATCACGCATTCTTGATTTATCACTTACATAGGTGTTATAATTACCTTCATAAGGATTTGTCACCAAGTAACTTAAAAGAACTAAAGGTCTTTCTGATTCACCCATGATTCTTTGAAGTTCTAAACTTTGTAATCTACGATCTTCTTCGTCTTCTTCTTGACCAGAATGGAAAACAACAACATCAACCAATTCACCATAGATATCCAAAGTAGCATGGATAGCGGGTGCCAATTCACCAACTGGAGAAGGTAACAAATGATGACTTGAGCTAACAATTGGGAACTTAGAAAGTAATGCTGCACCCCAAGTATGTTGATTTGGGCCTGGACCATAATCTGCATACATACCTAATTCTTCGGCAATAGTTTGAGTAAAATCACGATTACCCCCAATTAATCTTTGAGTATCACTTTCGAGTAAACCAATAATATCGACTTCAGCTTCTTTGATCAAATCTTTCATTCTATGTTCACTTGACCACATATCATTATCCAAGCCAAAATGAACACACCAAATACCAGCAGTGAATGATTGAGATGATGAATTGTATGGTTGATATGGTTTAGTAGGATATCTTTTGAAAAAAACAGCGATAGAGAAGGCAAGGAAAACGGTAAGAATTGCAAAAGTTTGTTTAAACAATTTTTTACCAATGGTATTGATACGTGTGATATGAGAACTGCGGTTTCTTAAATTATAATTTAAGATACCCGCTAAAATACCAACAAAGGAACTACCCAAAACAAGGTCAGTTCTTTCTCTTAATAATGGGCCACCAGGAACGAAAGCATAAGCTACGATCCAAACACTAGCTAGAGAAAAAACAATTGAATAAAAGAAGGCTAAGGTGAAGAGGAGGGAGGGATTATAACCAACAGTTGATTGCCAAATTAAAGGAGCCAAAGTGGATAAGTAAAAACTGTAAACAGTAGAGCCAGCATAACCTAACCAACCTTTATAAGAGTAAAGAATGTAGGCACTTGCTGCACCAGCAAGTAAGTTATAGGTTGGACCCAGGAAAGCATTAGAATGAACCTTTACTGAAAGAGTAATACCTAAACCTATAGCGAAGAAATTGATAAGAGCTCCAGTGATTGGGGTTGGACCAGTAACTGGATAACCATCCCAAGCCCAAAATATCAAGGTTGAAGAGTCACTTATAAGGAATTGGATTGAGAAAAGATAAGCACCAAAGCCCAAGGCGGATAAAAAGATGGAACCACCCGATCTTTCAGTTGAAAGCTTAAAAGTCGTTGAATTTAAAGAAGGAGTGAAAAAAGCAGCGAACAAACCCAAGAAGATTCCGATTTCGTTCAACCCACCATTTTCTTTATGCATGACTGGCCAAAAAGGATTATTTGAATAACTTGAATACTTGATGATTGAGGAAGCCAATAAACCCAAGAGAAAAGAAACTGCAAAAGCGTTCAACTTCTTTGGTTGATTGGACAAGGTCCAGATTTCAGTAATTAAAGCAATAATTCCAAAACCAGTACCGGCGGTAATAATTAATAATCTTGATTCTGGATCTTCAACTTTATATGAACCAAGACCCAATAAAATGGTCAAAGATCTAGCTAAGAATTGAAATCTTGAAAAAAAATTTCTAATAAAGGGAATAATTAAAATAAAAGGAGCAATAACGAAAATCAGAATCGTTGCTTCATAACCTGAAAGCCCCATATGCCATAATGGGAAATACCACACACATAATAAAAGAGAGGTGATAACAGTCCAGAGAAAGAAAGAATTGATGGTATTGACGATGAATTCAAAAGTAGAATATTCATCCAAGTCATTAGTTTTTTCAGTGGGGGGTTTTGCTTTATTTGCTAAAGTGAACCCATCACCAAAGATTTGAATTTCCAAGTCTTTGAAATCCACAATTGACCAAGTATCAAAGGCAACATCTAGAATGATCAAAGACCATTCAAAATAAGCATAAACAGAATAAGCTCCGGCACGATCATGAACTTTATGTTGAATAAACCAATAAATCAATGGAATTAAAGTAAGGAAAAACGTTGAAGCAGTTAAATACCTACCTCTTCTAACCAAAGACCCTGGAGGAGACAACTTACTTATAATAATCGTCCACGGAATGGTTAATACAATATAACTAATCATGAAAATATCATGCCAATCATGATCATCGGTGGAGGTGATATAAACCCACCCCCCGCAAGTAATAGTTCTTATGAAACCGGAGAAAATCCCGATATAAGGTAACGAAGAATTCGACTTATACAACTTAATAAAATTAAAAGCTAATAGCAAGAATCTTGGACCTGCCGTTAACGCAATTAAAATTTGGAAAACTGATCTTTCAGGATACCTGTCCCCAATAGTGGCAGAAACACTAGGAAACCATTCATCAGGATAACCCCAGCTAGCATTTTCCACAATCTTTTCATAATGTAAGTAACAACCAACAATTAAAGCTGCAAAAAATGCACTATAAGCAAAGATAGTATGGGCATAAGCGATATAACTTGCATTGAACGAAAGAATTGGGGTCTTCAAACCGGCCTTTCCCGGCTGCAATTCTTTTTTCTCCTTAGTCATGCCTTCCACTAGCGATCGATTATCAATTCGGCCCAGTACAACTTTAGCTTACTCAGGTAAAGTTGGCCTTTCGTTGAATTTTTCATTTGACTTGGGGTTTTTTACACGAAGTTAGAAAAAAAAAGAAACTCCGAGGGTGGACCGGTCACATGACAACAACCGGATATTGCCCGGGCACCCGGTCGTGCGCGTTTCCCAGGAAAAAAAGCCATATTCTCAACGAAGAGCCAGTTAAAATTGATCAAATTATAATGAAAAACAAGTGAAGGATAACTAAGAAGTAGAGGGAACAAGATGGGTATGTACCTTGGGGAGAAGCCAAGACAGGAGAATACTAACCAGCCGCAGCATTAACCAGTTTAGCATTAAGCGAGTACCAAAACCACAAGAGACCGGAATTGACATCATTCGATGATATCGACTACGAAAACTATGCTGAAGTTAGTTCAGCCAGAAAGTCGATGTTGAGAGAACAATGGATTAGAAACCAATCGTTGAAGGTGACCCACGAAGCATTAAGAAAATGTAAGCAGTACCACGAACAAGATGCCCAAAAGAACTGCAGACCGTTAGTGTTGAAATACATGAAGATGCTTGAAAGTTATCCATTAGAAGGGTACTTGGGCTACCAAAAGAACGATCCTTCCAAGTAATCCATTGATACATACAGCCATCAATCATATCAATCATATCATAACCAATTATAACCAATCATAATCATAACCAATCATAATCATAATCAATCATTATCAATCATAATCAATCATTATCAATCATAATCAATCATTATCAATCATAATCAATCATTATCAATCATTATCAATCATAAGCAAAATCAATCACAACCATAATCAACCATACACATTGCCACTACGTCCATTATGTCCATACAACATCTATATTTATCTATTAATCTATTTATTCGTTAGCTTGCCTCTGTAGTTAGTGTTCTAGTAAGCCGGAAAGTAGTGCCAGCACCCAAAAGCCAAAGAACCAATGAAAAGTTGCCAACTTTTAGTGCGCTTCCATTTTTTTTGTTAGCAAAATCGGAATCCGAGAGGATTTCGATTTTTTGTTAGGAAAAAAAAGTTAGAAAAAAATTGGTGTTGGAAGAAGAAGATACTTTTCATCTTTGATCAAACAGATTATTAAGTAAGATGTTTCGTTTAGGTGCCACCCAAGTTGCCCGTACTGCCGGTGCAAGGTATGTAATTGAGTGAACGGTGAATGGCGAATGGTGAATGGAGAATTGTGGAAGGAGCAGTGAAAAATTTATCATTCAAAATATCAATTGAATTGAATACTAACAGATATAGAAATTATGCTACTTTACGTGAAATTGAAATGCGTCTTAAGTCAATTAAGAACATTGAAAAAATCACCAACACCATGAAGATTGTTGCTTCGACCAGATTGAACAAAGCTCAAAGAGCCATGACTGCTTCAAGAGTTTTCAATAAAACTGATGCTGAATTTATGGAAAATGCTCAACCAGAGAAAGCCGAAGATGAAAAAACTTTATTAGTTGTTGTTTCTTCTGATAAAGGTTTATGTGGTTCCATTCATACTCAAATTTCCAAAGCTGCTAGAAAAAGATTTGAAGAATTAAACGGTTCTGCTGATATTGTTACCATTGGTGATAAAGTCAGAACCCAATTACAAAGAACTCACGCCGATTCCATGAAATTGGCTTTCAACGGGGTTGGTAAAGAAGCTCCAACTTTCCATGAAGTTGCTTTAATTGCTGATGAAATTAAAAAATTGGGCCAATACGAAAATATCGAAATTTTATACAATAAATTCGTTTCTGGTGTTTCTTTTGAACCTTCCAAATTTGCCGTTTTCGCTAATGATGCCATTGAAAAAGCTCCTGGTTTATCTAAATACGAATTAGAAGGTGAAGATATCGGTGAAACCTTGAGTGATTTATCCTTAGCTAACTCTTTATTAACCGCTCAAGCTGAAGCTTATGCTTCTGAAATCTCTGCCAGAAGAAATGCTATGGATAACGCTTCTAAGAATGCTGGTGATATGATTAACTCTTACTCTATCTTGTATAACAGAACTAGACAAGCTGTTATTACCAATGAATTGGTTGATATCATTACCGGTGCTTCCTCTTTAGGTTAGAGCCCTTTAACGTTATAAATAAAAATCTTTCCATTCTTCAATTACATGTTTCATGATATATTCTGTCTACAATAAATAAAAATTCATCTTTAATGTTGTAAACTGTAAAATTAATCTAATTTGATGGCGCTATAAATTTTTTTAATAAATAATAACCCAGTTAATACTCCAACTGATCCACATCCAATTCCAATAACAACACAAACTAATGCCATGTAAGCAAAATAAAATAATACACTAACAAAATCATGGATATGTAAATATAATGTAAAATAATAAACTGAATATCCATAAATAAACCACCCGATACTAGATCCAACTCTAAAACATAACCATTGCCAATTTGGATTATTATAAACTGCTAATGAAATATAAGTTGCAATAATTGATGATTCGGCAATTATGATTATAAGTATTAAACTGGTTATCAATAAAAATCCATACATATAGTAAAAAGTAGTCTTTTCTAACCAAACCGAATTGAATATAAATAATAATTCAACATAAACAATACCAAACGGTACAGTTCCAAAAATTAATATACTGGTCACGGGATTTAATAACCAGGATACCTTCTTTTTCGATGATGTTGGAGTAAAATTCTTATTCTTATCCTTGGTTTCATTTTTAGAATATCCAGTATAACTTCCGATTAATGAACGGTTATCAAATTTCTTTAAATTCCCATAATAACCCCCAATTATCCCCAATGGTATTTCCACAACTAATACTAATAGAATTAAAACCAATATGGTACCAAATGGTAGAGCATAAGATGATGCTTCTGCCCATACAAAGAAATTTAGTATCAAAACAACTGTAAGTATTAAGGTTGGTAAAAATCCACTGAAAAAAATTGAATAAATTAAACATGTCTTTTGCGTATAGGAAACGTTAATATGGTTGTTATTAAAAATTTTGTGAAGTATAATACCAGTATAAGAAGAAACAAATCCCAGGGTTATAAAGAAAAATAATGAAATTGAAAAAAAGGCCCCTTGATGATTATTGAAAAATGCTGTTGATGATGTTGATTTACCAATTATTAAATTAGAATTGAGTACTAAAATAACGATAACTCCAAGCGTAGCCACAATAATTTGAACACCGCTTGACACTAAAATAGTAAGCGGTAAAGCGAAGACTGGTTTTTGAAATACTTCGTCAATTAAATTCTTCCAAGAGTTTGATAATTTTTCATTTTCATTATTTGTAGTTGGTAAAGGAGAGGAAACTGAGTTTACTTCAATATCTGATTTTAAAACTCTTAATAATACAATACCAGCAATTAATGATCCAAGTGAAAGTAAGATAATTGAGTTAATAAATGAAATCCAGTGGATTTTATGATTTGTAGTTGTTTCATTTTCATAATATAAATCCCATCTAGAATCATAATCAATTGAATTATCTTCACGCCAATAGACTGAATAAGTATATGGAATAATAGTACTTTGAGAGAAAACTTCCCCCTTTTCATTCTTCTTCAAATTCAAAGCAAAGTTTTTATAATCTTTAGATGATCCAGGACATTGTTCATTACTAACACTTTTAGGATAAACTTCAAATCCGACTATAGTATTTTTGTTCTTATTTTTACGATCTGAATGATATCTAATAACCAACATAACATGATTATAAATGTAACTCACTCCATCTTCAACAAAACCTAATGGGAATCCAGCAGCGTAGTACTTGTTATTCTTATTACTACTCACAAATGTGGTGGCCCCTGGCAATCCATCCAATAACCAGTGAACAACATAACCATCTTTTATCAATGATTCAGCCTTTCCTATACCGGTCTCTTTCGCAACTAAGTTACATAACCTCAAGCATGGTTGATCAATACCAAATTCCAACTTATAGTCACTTTCCCAGATTCTGTCCCCACTCAAAATCTGTCCTAATGAAAGTGACTTTGCTTTAGCACTACTTCCACGGCCCTTTGGACAAACAAATGGTAAATTATAATATGGATAAGGTAATTGCGTATGATCCGATTCAACCTTATTAACTAGTAAGTCGACTTTATCCCCCTTCTTATAATAATTCGGAGATCGTTGAAAATCAAACGCTATTATCACTTGTAGCTGGACAAGTATTAGCATCCATATTTGCAATATAGACCTAGTCTTCATCTTATTTCTGGTTTATTCTGGTGCCAATTGTTTAAGCAATACCCTGGTTCACGAAACCTAATCAAAATCTCTCCCTAGCTATGAATCTATAGTCTTTAACTCAAGATATTTATAATTTTAATGCTAAGTTGTCAATTTTCCTCAGAACAGACTTTAGGTTTGGTTATTTTTCACCTTTAGCTGTTTTTGATTTTTTTTTTTTTTCTCATTGCGATCGTTGTTGTTTTTTTTTTATATAAATTCATGTTGGTTTTGTTAACAGTTTGATCGATAGTTGGTGAACTTGTTTTTCGCTACATCAACAAAGACTTCAATTGTCCTAAATATAGGTCAGTGGCTTTCCTAGAACCAAGGGCTTTGGGTTGAACTACAGAGTTACCGGGAATTTCTGCCCAAAACACGATGTCTATCACAATTCCATTGGCTTGTGATTGGCTTAGGTGGCAGCTAGGATGAGCATTAAGGTTATCTTTAGAACACTTCATCGACTATGCAGGGCTAGTTGATGTTATTGTAGAGTCAGAATCCACATCTACAAAAGCAGGAAGTTGATATATGATCGTATATTGGACTCAGTTATTCTTTATTTTTCGTTTTCAACTACAACAATATTCATCTTTCATTTTTATCCACTTGCTAGATCATAACCAGGATCAATCGGGCAAGTGTAGAAAAGGGAAAAAGATCTGACTGTAGTTCACGATTTTTGGAGTGTTTTGACACTAATGCAGGTAGGGAAAAACGACGTTAATAGTACACAATAATCCAAATCAAAATATAAACAAACGTCAAATCCAGTAATCAGCCTCCCTAAAATCATCATTAGGATCTTTGCTTCAACGACTCCATGGCTTCTCTAATTAAATAGTTACCCTTTGGGTCTAAATTCAAGGCGATGGTAAACTCTCTTATAGCTTGGAATTTATCATCTTGGATATTGTAAAGTTGACCTAAAAGGAAATGAACTGATGCTTCATTTGGAGCCAATTCCTTAACTTGTTCGAAATATTTTAAAGCTTGTGAAAATTGTTGCATCGAAAAAAGTAATTGGGCTTTTTTGAAGATCGGTAATGCGTTTAATGGTTGCAATTTATTAGCTAATTCATATTGTCTTAAAGCTAAGGATTTTTTACCTAATTTTTCTAATACCATACCAACGCAACATATCAATGTAATGTTGACTGGATTTATTGAAACAGCTTTACGGAAATGATAATCTGCCTTCTGGTAGTCCCCTAAATTAATATAAACCATCCCAATACCATACAAGGCATTATAATGGCGGGGGTCAATTAGTAATCCAATACGGAAATTTTCTAATGCCATCTCATAATTATCATTACCAAGATATTCATGTCCCTTTAAAGTGTAAGCATAGGTGAAATTTTCGTTTAATTTAATTGATTTACTGAAACATTTAATTGCTTCGTGTGGTTCTCTTGTTAATGAAAATAAATTACCGATAACACACCAAGTAACTGCCAGATCTTTATCCAAATCATGTAACTCATTGGCTAAATACGTAAGTTCAACTTTTTTATGTAGATGCCATAATAATGTAGAATAATACTCCATATCTTCCAATCTTGTTCTATCAAGTGTTCTCAATTTAACAAACAAATGTTCTGATTGCTTATAGTTAACAATCTCATAATGTAATCGACCCAATTTACTTAATACCCATGGTGTTTCCTTTTCGTTATCTGGCAAGGATTCTAAGATACGAATTGCTTTATAACAATCGTATTTACACATACTTTTAATCCCTTTAGCAAAAATACTATAAAGCTTCAATAAATAGGCATCACTATTAATGATTTCTTTATTTGTCATTATGCTGAGCTGATTATGATGATTATGGTGTGCTTCATTGAGGTTAGATGATGTAGGTATAAGACCACTCGAGCTATTCCTTTTCAATCCATTTCGTATACCTGCGGGTCTTTTATTTAAATTATTCGGATTTGTTACCGCTCCAACGCCTCCATTATTGTTAGAATTATTATGAGCATTAACATTTGCATTATTATCATTGGATTTATTAGGTTGGGAAATTAATCTAGAAGTAATTTTGGAATAAGTACTTTCTCGTTTGCTTTTCCTTGAATTATCATTACCAGTTGGAGTTATGATAGGATTTGAATGCATTGGGAAACTTGGTTTGGGAAAATCAAATCGATTATTTGAACCACCATTATCCGTTGTTGGTTTCCTTATTGGTGCATCAGGGACCAGGGTTACTTTAACTCGAGGAGTCGAAACAAATTCAAGTTCATCAACAGCCATGGGTTTATTGCCATTATTAACCGGTGTAGTTGAAAATGGATTACTGATGTTATTAGGATTTGTATTAGAATAATCAATCGATTTATCGGTTGTATTAGGATCCAAAAATGAAGGCCGACTTTTATTGGGTAGATTAGTCACAGTAGATAAAGGAGCATCTTTGAACATCGAATTGGGCTTGAAAATTGATTTAACTTTAACATAAACACCCATTTTACATATTTCTTGTAATGCTTCGAAATCAAATTGATTGTAGGTTAAGCAGTACGAATAGTTTAAAGCACTGCTTTTTATATCGCCAGTAGCCTTATATAAATCCCCCAATAAGTGGTAAATCGAGGACAGATCTGGATAAATAGAACGCTGAGAAAGATAAGTATATCTCGCTTGAGCCGTGGTGAAAAAGGCTGGATTGCCATTTTTCAAGTTATTATTAACATTTGTATCATTTGAATTGAAGAACTTGTCATTGTTTTCATTCATAAATGGGATTATAGCAGATTCATTATACAAGTGACTTATTTTTAATAATTGATAAATTCCTTCCTTATATTTTTTCAATTGGAAACACAGTTTGGCAAATATGTACCCACACCCTAAATTGTCATTGATTTCTATTATTTCTGCCAATTTGTTATACACCGACTTAAACCTTCCTTGTCTGAACAAAGTTAGAGTATATAGATAAATCGATTCAAGGTTGGATGGACCACTAGCTAATAACCTTTCACACGCAAATTCTGCATTTTTATAGTTGAGATTATCCAAGGAATGGATAATGATTGATTTCAAATGATGTTGAACATACTCCTGATCCGGATCAGACCTCATTATACGATGATTGTGACACTCTTATATTGATTATTCGGTTGGTTAAAACTGTCGGCTCACACACGATGATGTTATAATATGATCCAGGGTTTAGCTTAAGCTTTCAATCAAAAACAAACACCTAAAACTTGATTGCAAGGTCCAAACCAGTACTGTCACCCGCAAACACCTTTCTAGCAAACTCGTATCAAAATAGCTAGGCCTAAATTCAAGTATCCTTTGAATAGTTCATCAAGTTTTTCCATAGTTAGAAAATAACCACAAACGAACATAAGTAAACATCAATAGATACCGCCCGTACACCAGGGGGAAACCAACTCAATTAGTATAAGCTTTTGCAGTTATTTGATAAACTACATTGATAAGTACCTTGAACATTCATTTTAATATACAGAGATAAACATGAAGAGAATAAAAAAAGCATAATGTTACATAAAGAAAAGGGAAACAAGGTAAGGAGTAAGAAAAAAAAAGCAATTATTCAAGAGTTGATAAATACAGAAGAAAGAATTGAGTAAATAGAGAATAAAATAGTGTGATATCAAGAAGTGAAAGGTATAAAGAGGGATTCTCAAAGAAGATATCTATTTTTTAGATTTAATAACAAAAGTATGATTACCAGATCCATCACTGCTGTAAGCCAACATTTTATCCTTTTTTTTACTACCACTGACAACACGTCCGTTACTACTTGAAAAAATCAGCTTACTATCGGTTCCTGAAGAAGAGGGTCCATTTTGAGAATTGGCAGTATTTGAGTTACCACTGCTTATGGTTTGAGCAGTGGTACTGGCAGTTTCTGCTTGATTGAAATAATCGGGTTGTTTTCTTTCTCTTGAATTTGGAGTTCCAATTGGTGATGAAGGTGGAAAGCTATGTCCCAGTTTAGGAGACAACAATCCGGACGCTAAGAGATAAGGAGAGGCAAATCCCGAATGGCTAGCTCCATTATTATTGGAGTTATTTTGACCATTTGAAACTTGAGGAGTAGATGGACTTTTATAACCTTTAACACTAGTATCAATACTCAATTTAGGTTGTTTATCAGTACTTTGACGTTGAACCGATGACATGGTAGTTTCATCAAGAGAATCAACTATTGGAGAGTTTTCTTCAGAAGTAACGAGACTTTCGTTATTATTGTTAGTTGAGGTATTACCGTTAGATGTATTTTGATTATCAACGGTTGAATTACCGAAAAAATTATTATAATTACCACTGGAATCAATTACACCAGAATAATCATCATCAAACCCATCACGTATAAAACCTTTGGCTCTTAATTCTTCATCTTTTAATTTGGTTTCTTCCCTGGCTTTAGCTAATAATTCTTGAGCTTTCAGTAAACTAACAGTTGGGGTTGAACAACTTGAAACAACCGGAACCGAATCATCAATATCAATAGTAGCAGTCATCAAGGCTTTAATCCAACCTCTCATTTCTTCATAACTTTCAACTGCAAAAAAATGAGTTTTTGGTTGAGTAAAAGTCAAACCTTTTTTGAAACCAGGAGCTGGTGGTACTAATTTGAAACAGTAACGCCCAAATCCAGTTGATGCAGCATATAATGCAACATATTTATCGTTAGAACTTGTAATAGCTTCACTTTCAGTATTAACCGGTATAACTTTATGAGCCGTTATATCAATTAAACCTTTTTCCTTTTTATCTTTTAATGATGCAAAATATGATAATCTTGTACCATGCAAAGTAAAATAACGTGATCTCCAACCTAATGTGCTACCAGATTTCTTAGACATCCAACCGCTAAAATTAGCTGATTTAATTGCATCATCAGGAGAAACTTCTCTGATACCTTCTTGGAAAGCGGAAGTTTTCAGTTTTTTCAGACCAGTTAAATTACGGAAATTTTGAGTTGAAGCAGTTCTTAAATTTTTAAGACGAGTAGCCACTGGAGCATTTGAATTTGGAGCAGCCGTATTATTATTATTATTAGTTAAAGCAGTTGAATCTGAGGCAGATCTTTTTTCATCCTTTAAATTTTTAGAAGAATCCCGTTTATTATTTGAAATTTCTCCACGAACTGATTTAGATTTACGAGGAGAGAATTGAGTATTATCAATATCAACATATTCAGGTTCAGCATCTGAATCATCAGGATCACCAAATCCAGTTAAATCATTTGGTTGTTTTGGAATAAATTTGGATTGACGTTTAACTTTAGCTGGGGATTTTAAATCATCATCGTGATGAATATTTTGACTTTGATATTTACTTTGTTGAACTTCTTTATCTTTATCATCATTATTACCCGATAAAAAGGAAAATAAGGACGAATGACGCCTATGATTATTGGAAGAAATAACTGATGAATTTCTGCGATGAGAATCACGATTGATATTACGTGATTTATTTTGAGAAGTTGCATCACTTATAACTGAAGTTTCATAAACAGAAGAAGCCGGTCTACTTAATCCACCATTATTAACATTTGAAATACCTAAGCCAGCATTTGAAGCGTTAGTTCTTGTCATATATAAAGCATTAGAAGAACTTGAAGGACTATCATGACTATCTTTATTACCATCACCAAATTTAAAACTACGATTTAAAGGACTTTGAGCAGGAGGTTCAGGAGCTTTACGAGGAGACATAAAGGTTAATTCATTTGATTGTTTTGGAGTAGATAAACCAGAAGCCAAAGGAATATTTTCCATAGATTGAGATCTTTTACGTTGATGACGTCTTATAGAACTATTTGTTCTTAAAGGTTTTGGGGTAGCGGTATCAATTGAAACAGAAGGAAGTAATTGCAGTTGCAGTTGAGAACGCAGAGCCAGACGAGAAACTGATGATGAATTTATTGAAGAATTGAAACGGGAAAAAGAATTATTATTGGAAGAATTAAAACGTTGATCATCATCAGAATTATTATGGGGGAAGGAAACATTATTAAAAGTATTATTATAAGGAGAATTAGATGAATTATTAAAATTTTTAGAATCATTAACATTAGAAGGATCATCTTCTGAAATTTCTGACAGTTCATCAACTGGTTTATTAAATTTTTTCAGTCTTGAACTAATTTGTTTTAAATTTTCAATTTCTTTATAAACTTCAAACCTAGTACCAAAAGAATCAATATCCAACTCTTTTAAATGAGTTAAATCTAATTGAAATAAAATTTCACCAGTTATTTTATGACGAGAAAATTTACCAGCAACATCTAAATCAAAACCTAAAACAATAGCAAAATAGGAACTTACTTGTTGAGGTGTCCAATCATTAGCATGTAAAGGATTTAAATCTTCAGTTAAAGATTGAGCACTTGGATTACGTTGATGAGACAGATTAATTGGGGTTGATTTTGATTGATTTGGTGATAAAGAATCGGTTTGCATTTCTTCTAAAGCTTTATCAATATCATCCATTGTTTTATGAACTTGACCGGAAGAAGTTCTTTTATTAACACTTGAATTCGAAGTTGATAATTTCTCAAAATTTTCTGCTAATTGATTAATTTTAGGAGATAAAGGTGATTTATTTGATTCTTGTGGTTTTGATGTAGCTGTATTTAATTTTGAATTCAAATTTTTTTCTGAATTAACCCTTCTAGATCTAGATCTTAATAAACCAGTTGAAGGTTCTGAATTAGCTAATACTTGAGTGAAAGATTTTGGATATAGACCAACTTGTTCGGTAATCAAATTCTTACCCATATACCAACCATCGTTATATTCTGAATCATCAGCTAAAACTTCAACCTTATCACCAACTTTTAAATCCAATTCATCACCTAATCTGGCGTTAAATTGTTTTATACAGATGTATAAACTTGCACCATTCAAACCTTCCGTCATTGTAAAGTAGTCAATAGTTACTTTTTTAAGGAGGGGGGAAGTACTAGAATGTAACTAGCTCCTTCAGTTATAATACGATTCAAAGGGAATTAAATTAAGACAAAGAAAACAAATAAATATTAAAACAAAAAAAGCTAAAACCACCAAAACAGAACTAATAAATCAGCTGTTACAAGGTATAAGGAGTGACTAATGTATTGATTTTTGTTTAAAGAAGCCCACTAGATGGTTTAAGAAGCACAAGCACACCAAGTTTAAAGAAGTGATGGAGTAAGCGCTGTTAATCAAAAAAGAAAAGACAGAAAAACTTTACAAATTAAAAATATGTGAAAGCGAGAAAAAGAAAAGAAGATTATGAAAATATGACAATTATCAACAACGCAACCCCAATCCCAACTACGATGCCACCGCCGAAACAATACCTACTGCCCATACCAGCACCAACAGCAGCATGTAACCACGCTATATGGGCCTACGACCATGTAAATGGGCCTCCTCGTAGTCCGTAGCGTAAAATGCGGACTATTAGTAAACAAAGACATTACGGTCTCATGAGAATATGATAACCTCAATACAAGATTGAAACACCTTGGTGCACGGTATGCGGTTATGACAGAGATTGCAACTCCTCCAGTTGTCCTTTCTCCAGTCGTCTGTAGTCATTTCCCTAACCTGTTGAACCGTGCTGTTGGATGCTGTTTGAAGAGCCGGTGTCCGGGTGTTTGTTCCCCCTCCTAGGTAGGTGGCGATGGGTAGTGCAACAACCAGCTTATCTGGGTCGTGTGCCGCACATATACACGCACCCAAAAAAGAAATTATACACCCGTACACCAAATCACACACAAAACCCATACACCAGAAGCCACTATACAAAGGTTCCTGGTACTCCCGTCTCCCCTGATACGCTTGCATTATCAACATACTATATGCCAACCTAGTTGCACATTAAGATACTACTATTAGACTAATCCTATTTGCTGAGCATATCAGAATCGTGTCATTGTGAGTGAACCTAGATCTTTTTGGTGTAACCAAGAATATTTGGTCTGCCTAATGAGATAAACTATATATAAAGAGAGATATATAAAGATATTAACAGTTACCAATGCCCCCTCCTTCCACTCCTACTGATTCAAATGAATTGAATCGTCGTGTTCACAGAAATCATCCAAGAGCTCGTGCCACTAATTCAGTTGGAATGATTCCACCTCATCCAAATTCTAATGATTCTTCTTCAATGTTACATGGATTAAATATGGTTCTGAGGTATTTTTTAAATAATGATATCCATCCTCAAAGAGTTAATCATCATTCATTACCAGTACGTTCGCAAGCGATTGATTTGAGAAGACGTTTCAGAAGACCCTCGGAACTGGCTCGTAGACGTCAAAGAAGACGCCAAAGAGGTTTAGGATTGTCTATTGCTTTGGGTGAAGAACAAGATGAAATGCAAATTGATGATTCTAACTTGAATGAAAGTGATAACCATCAAGTTCCAATAAGTAATGATGATTCAGATGATGAGTCAGATGACGATTTTTCAAATTCAATCTTACAATCAAATGAATTAGCAAATTCCATTCCAAATAGAAGATCCTCCTCATCTTCGCTTTCTTCTTCATCTACTTTTGATTTTTCAGAGCAAAACCTTGGCCAAAATATTGAATATACAAACGATAATCAAACCCCAGATCTTTCAAGTCTGTCCCATTCCGATAACGATTATTCTCATCAAGAGATTAATAACCACGAAAGAATTACTCTAATGGGATGGTTCAACACTTATAGAAACGATTTGGAAAATCATGACACTTTAAGAAACCAAGAACGTCAAGCAACTGAGAGATTACTACTACTGTCTGCACGTCAAAACTACACTAATGAAAATACCCTCATAAACTCTTCGGATCCGAATCAATTATCACCAGTGTCCTTAACTAGACAAAATGCAATCCGTCGCTCGAATCCTCCAGCAAGATCTTCGACAAATTATGAAAAACCGAAAAACTTGAAGCCAAATGCTCGCATGCATTTTGATCCCTTTGGTAATTCCTTTAATGATGGTTCTCAAAATATTAACTACTCTTTTGAAGATATTAATTGCATTAACCAATCAATACTTAATCAATTGCCAGTCAATCACTTTTTCCCAATAACTAGATATACTAGATCTTTCGCTCAATATGCCTCCTGTCATAAAGAACACGACCATCGTTGGGAATATTATGAACTAGATTCAAATTTGAAAAATCCAAAAAATCATAAAAAAATTTGTGATCATTATATTAACGAATTCATTAAAGCCCAAAGCTACTTATTAGACTCAAATTATGGCTTGAAAATTAGTCCCTTGTTCCAAGACCATCAGCATATACATAAAAATCGTTTTGATCTAGACCATTCCTCGATTTGCCCCTTTGCTCATAAGAAAAGATTGAATGATGATTCAATCATATTTGACCTGAATATGGAAGACGACTTGAATAACTTAATGGCCAATATTAAATCGGGCTCTCTATGGAGAACCCCAACAAGATCGTCTCTCCCCCCTCCACCCCCTAAATCATTAAAACTTCACACAAGACCGAAACGTGAATTATCCTCAGACGATTTACGTTCATTGAAAAAACAAAAAATATCTTCAAATGACAGAGAAATGCCATTAAAGAATCATCTAAAATCGAAGTTCTCTAAAGAAGAAAAATCATTACTTGAAAATGAAAACCAAATCCACCCAGATTATAACCCATCAACAAAATCCCATACTCATTTCAATTCTCACGATACCCAATTCTATGACTCCTTCAATTCTTCATCTAATCCTGTATCTGATTCAAACAGGTTCAAATCAAAAAATCAAAAAATCGGTAGAAACCATTATTTTAAAGGTGAAACCGTCCCAAGTGAACTTCTAACTGCTGATGTAAAGTACAAAATATTGAACGTTCTTCCTTGCTCATTTTTAAAACCTGGATCGTTATTTGAAACTAAAGTCAACAATATCGATTTCCCTATTGATATCAATTTCAATCATGTGGATTATAACACTGGAACTCTTCGTGGTAATCTCTTTTCAAATACCAAGCATAAAGGTTTCGACATGATTACTTTTCTTTGTGGAATGTTTATCAAACGTGACTCTTTAACTGGTTCACTTCCCTTGAATTCGTCCGTCCACAAGAGATTAAGATTTGCCACTTTCTTGAACAAGGCATCTCTTAACACCAATAAAAAAAGCAAACCGTTTCTGGTTCCTTTCACTGGAGAAATGATTGATTTTAAGAAAAATGATTTGAGATTCTTCAAACGTAACGACCCCGATAGGCCAAGCTCTAAAAGACTTTTGAATGAGAAAGTTAAGTTTGAATTATCTCAGTGGTTATTTCTTGATCCATTTATTCAATGCTCCACTTCCCTTTTATCTTATAACTTGGCTCAAATCTGGAATGATTTGAAATTTATGAATAAACTTTCCCACAGAAATCAAATGGATGTGGTTTTTGTCGTTGAAGGCTTTCTTAAAAACATCACCAAGCTAACTGACAGATTTCCCTCTTTCCACTCTTCTGAATTACCTGGATCTGACGAAATGGATCAACAGTGCTCAAAAGACCAAACCGAGAGATTTGAAAATCAATGGAACTCAACCGTCGTGAAAAGTCTTTCTAACTTTTTATCTTGCGAAGATCACTGTCTTTTGAATATCCAATTAAACTATTTACTATTTACGATCAGCATTGATTTAACTCAAGCTCTTGATGACTATATTAGTTTCTTATTATCAGATCTTCCTTCAGATAATATTTGGCATGAAAACTATAAACTATATAAGAAGTATCTCAATTTAGTGGATGAAAAAGATACCACATATCGAATACAACTACTTTGCTCTTTAAATAGAAAAACTGGGTCAATCCAAATTGTCAATCCCTTACATGAGATTACCAAAAGCATTAAATTTACTTTTGAATTCAATCAACCAAAAACCTCGAATCCAACATCATCTAATTTTTTAAGTTCCGAACCGATGATTTCTCCATCTACTAGTACTGTTCCTGGCTACCAGACCAGAAATGTTAGAGGTAGCAGATTAGGCAATGCCAATTTAGAATCGGACTTGGCTGCTGCTTACGCTGATGATTATAGAATGATGTTTGGCTCACTAAGAGATGAACTATTGGACGAGCTTAACCTTGATAGCCTTAGTGATGGTAGTGATTCGGATGATGCTAATAATAGCGGTTTTGAACAAGACTTCGATACGGATTCATGGAGCGGACCAAAGGACCCATTAAGGAAAATGGTAACTCTTCATGATTTATGCTATGACTTTGGAACAGATATTGATAATAGAATGCAAATCTTGATTGGAAAACCTAAAAGAGGGAATCATGGCTCAACTGCTGGCGGCGGCCATCAAAGCTTTGGATTTATATAACAACTTTATAATAACTATTTCTACATTGTATATAACGAATGAAATGCTTTTTTTTTTCAACATAAAACTATTTACAAGAATAACTTACTTAATCGTAAAATCGTTAATGAGATTCAGACGATCAATCCCAGAATCCCCAACCACCTTTACCTTGACGTCTATCTTTATTTTTCTTTTTGAAAAAATCAGTCTTACATTCGGTATAAGCATCAAAGAAATCTTGACAGACGGTCTTATCAAGCTGGTTTCGTAATACACAGTTCATTGATGCTTGTCTACTTTCTTCACATGGATCGTAGAACTTGGATGGCTCCTTATTGACCCATCTGTATTTGTGACGATGGTTTTCGGGATTATCTGGATAAAACTTGAAGTTACCACCCTCAGTGAAATCAATCTTGGACTTGTCTTTTATAACCTCATCTGATTCGACATTGGAAATTGGCTTATTGGAGCCAACGCTGCTTCCAGTATTAGCTTCAACATTATCGATGGAATTGGCCAGACTGGGCTTAATTCCAGATTTAGTTTCGGCGGTGTTGTGTGACTGAGAGCCAGTCTGGGCCTGTGGTACTTCTGATGCCATTTCAGTTAATCAATTATCCAAGTTTTATGAAAACTCAACTTCTAGATGGTTTATCACTTATAAAAGATAAGTTTGAGGATTTCAACTACACTAAAAACAAAAAAAAAATGAAAAAAAAAAAAAAAAAAAAATTGGAACTGAGATGATCTGAATAGTTTCTATGGTTTAAGAAAAAGTTATACAGACTACACTATTCTTTAAGAAGTAAGGTTTTCAAAATACTTAAAGATGAATCAGGCCAATTCAGCACTTCCAATTCAGTATATCAACACCTCAGAAGAGGCCGAGAAATCTATCTGTCAAAGATGTAAGACCGAAGATGCCATACTTATATCAAGAAAAGAGAAATTTTGCCAACGTTGTTTTGTGAGGTTCATTAGAGGAAAGCAAAGGAAACAAATGAACGGAGATAAGTTCAGAGTGAAATATGGAGAAGTTGCTGAAAAATTAGGACATCAAAAGATTCTTCTTGCATTATCTTGCGGAGTTTCGTCCATAGTATTATTTGACGTTATTGCATCCTTATTGAAAGAACAACTGGAAGGCCATAAAGGTAAGCAGGGTTTTGAGTTAGTGCTATTGAATTTGGACGAATTTGAGTTGAAATCTTTAGACAATCACGCCAAAAAAGTCATACCAAACCTTTTGAAACGTTTTGAAGGAATCGATATTCAATACAAGATCTTAAATCTCCAGTCTTTCATTCTAGACCAGTCCTTATTACAAAAGATAAAGTTGACTAAACAATTTTCTGCATTTAGCGAAAAGATCGATTCATCAGAATCGTATTCAATGGAAAGTATATTGAATCTTTGTCCTAATAAGTCGTCAGTGGAAGATTTTTTAACTGTTGTTTATGACGAATTAATTTTGCGTACGGCATACTTGGAGAACTGTGAAACCATAATCTATGGTCATAGTATGACCAGATTAGCGAATGAAATCCTCGGCTTAACCGTTAAGGGTAGGGGTTCGTCGATTCATGAGGCCATAGCAGATCATACGGTGACCTACAGAGGAAAAAAATTCGAAATCCAGTATCCTTTAAGAGATGTTTTATTGGCAGAAATCATTGCATACAGTGAGTTGGAAGATTTAGACCAGTATCAATTAAAATCAACCAAACCAGTCTCGAAAATCACCAAAAATATGACAATCAGAGATATCACAACTCAATACTTCAATCATTTGGACAATAATGGATACGCTTCGACTGCATCAACCGTTGTGAAAACCGGAGAAAAATTAGGGCCTCCAAAAATCGATGGCTCAACAACAAACTGCCAATTATGTGGAGTGGAAATTCATCATAACCCAAAGGATTGGTTAAGACGTATCACCGTGAGCGAAGCAATGCCACTAGAAACAGAAGAAGAGGAAGACTATAAAAAACAGTACTTACAATTATTTGGTAATTACGAAAACGAAGACTACTCTGATAAAGACCCAGTTAATGTTTGTTACGGTTGTATAGTCTCTTTGGGTGGCATAAAACCAGATTCGGGATTCATATGGCCACTTAAAACAGATAAAGAATCAGAACATGATATTCTTAATGAATATATCTTGACCGACGACGAAGACTAAGTAGTTTCAAATAATCTTTTGCATTTCCAATATTTATTTTTGTATTATCCGGACTTGTAGTTGCAAAATTCTCCTTTCAACCTTATTCTTTGCTATTAAAACTGTACTTCAAATTCTTTGAAGCCTCCAATCAACTTGATAAGCTATCCTGCTTCTTCATATATCTCAAGAGCGACAGCTATTTGTCTTTTTGGTATTCTTTTCTAGTAAGCATAAAATGTATTGATTTGTGTCTGTAGGCCATACGCATAGAAAAAAAAAAAAAGTGAAATTATAAAAGCAAAAGATCATATTCACCTTCCTAGAAGTTTCACCCTTTCAAGACCAGAAATTACCATGTATACCCCTAACATATTCCCCAATGACATCTTTAGCCTTTGGGGAAAGGAAGGCTCGAACAATCACTCCAGACTATACGAAGCTGAGAATAGAAGACAACATAATCTCAGTACCAATAATCACGCTAATCATCACAACCAGAACGGCAGTAGTGAGTCTAATGATCAAGCTGAGGAGCAAAGGGTTTATCTTAGGTCTCTCTTCGCTCCTCCTTTAGTTGCTTATTCTGCAGAATATCCTGGTGCTAGTTTATCACAATTAGAATATACTATCAAGACTCAAAGCTCGGGTGGACTAAATACACCCCTTCTAACACCATTAACTCAACGTAAGTTGGAAAGGACAAGAAGAATACGGAATTTGGGGTATAGCACAATAGTACCAATTGGTATTGATAAAACAATGGAACGAATTGATTATGAAGAATCAAGAAGACACGCTATGAATGAACAAGAAGATCAATCATTTATTCAAACTGCAGAAAACAGCACTTCAAATAACATGTCCACACCAGCACAGCCGGCTGACTCTTCGGGAATTGGTATGAACAACTCTACATTGGGAGAACAACGGGAAGAAGTTGATCTCGACGCACAAATTATCAATTCTGATGAATACCACCAAGTTTCAGATAACTTTGATTCTGACGATGATGATGACGAAGCAGATGCAATTGGCAACACCCGTTACGAAGCCACTAGTGATGATGAACAAGACATAGGTTTTGCTGATGATGTGATTAATGATGACGAAGGATTCATGGCCGATGAAGTGGAATACCAAGATGATCATAGTATAAATAATGATTTAGGATCAGGCGGTCTTTCATCGAATATTTTGATGAACAGTGGAGCAACAACGAGTACCTTGACCGACTCTATGTCAAATATAAATTCCAATAGAAGCGCTTCCACTGGAATTACGACAGCCAGTCCGGTTGGGATATTCGAGCAACAGAATCCGATCAATTCAAGTAGGCATTATTCCTCAATCAGAGAGTGTGATGATGAAAATGATGATGAAAATCAAGATAATACTGAGAATAATGACGAAAACGACTATGAAAATGAAAATGAAAATGAAAATGAAAATGAAATACAGCAAGGTACAAGTGATCACTCAGATCTTGATATGGTGATTGATGAATGAAGTTATTATAAATACTAATACAGTTACGAAATCTATTTACAAATTAATGAAACTATTCTTCTACTTCAATATGTTTTACCTTCCTCATGTAGTCAACTTTTGCAGTTTGTAAATGGATAGCAGGAATCATCCATTTACCACAGGAACATCTTGAGCCTTTCCAACTATATCCACCTACTTTTGCTTCACACTTTGGGCACAAAAATCTACCTTCAAGCTCCCCTTTGCCCTGCAATTCAACCTTCATCCAACTAACTGGTTCCCTCATAAAATGATGAGAACAAGTTTTCGAAGCTTCTTGTTTTGAAATAATTCTTCTTGAATGAGCTGCAGTCTTAACAAACGACGATTGTTTTGAGTCTGCATCAGGAGGTTCATGAAATTCTAGATGCTTTTTCAATGCTAACGTATTTCTACAACGTTTACATCTTAATTCGGATAAAGCTTCAGGATCAGCTCTTAATGCAGTTTCATCATCAATTTCATCGTCTTCCTCTTCTTCCAGCTCATCTTCATATTGTTCTAAATATTTGAAGAAATGTAACTCTCTCAAAGATGACCCCGAGGGGTCTAATCTTAAATTAAGATTAATTAAAAATTGTTTATAGTATTCATTGGTCATTTCAACCTTATATTCCATTAATTCGAATAATTTCAACTGTTCCTGAAACCCTTCATTGGGTTCGGCACTTGGAGATTTTCTTTTAATCGCATGCAAAGCTTGTGGAAACTTTAATTTATATTTAAACATAAGGTATGCCATTATAACACTAACTGATCTTGAAACGCCCTGTGAGCAATGAATCAAGATTGCACCTTCATGTTTTCGCTTCTTTTCATCACCTTTGCTTCCTGCTGGCAATGACTTGAACAATGCAAAATCTATGAATTCATTAGTTTCTGGGAAGTATTGTAGTAAGTTACTGGTTTCTTCATCTGTTACTTCAATTTGTTTATGAATGTAGTTTTGCAAGAACTGAGATGAGATGGGGCCTGGAATTACTGAAAGGACATGCGTTATATTAAATTCTGACCGCAAATCAACATTTGCATTAATGGGTTCTATAGAGGATAAGTAGATACCACCTAATATACGGTATATCATGCTCCTAGCTTATACGTATATATTAAAGTAAAGACTCATCTAAATCAATTCAGCTTGATAGTGCATTTTGCGATGCTTCATATCCGGTGTACGGGTGTTTGGTCTACGATTTGACTGCAACATATAAATTAGAACTTCGTGACATTACATTAATTAAAAGTTATACAAACTAATCTTTCTTTCTCCAGAAAGATTTCATATTTCTGATATTTTCACCAGCGATGGAGAATGAAGATCTGGAGAAAATATCATCGATTTCTTCCAAAGTTTTATCTTTAGTTTCAGGCATGAAAATAACTTGATAAATAAAACCCAAGAAAGCAATACCACCGTAGAATCCAAGAGTCAAACCAGTGTAAGTCATTGCTTTTTGCATTTCAGTGAAATTGTAGGTAACTGTGAAGGACCAAACATAAACCATACAAGTACAAACAGACATACCGATTGATCTAGTTCTCAAATCAAATGATTCAGAAGGAATAACCCAAGTTAAAGTTGCATAAGCACCAAAGAACATAAAATATAATACAATACCAGAAAGGTAAACACCTTCGGCGGCAGCTTTTTGAGTAATTGGATCGAAAAGATAACCAACACCAACGAGAACCAAACCAATGAAGAAACCAACGATATTCATACCCCAAACTCTTCTACCAAATCTATCCATCCATAAAATGGCAGGAATGGTACCAATTAATAAAGAACCACCACCGACTAAGCTCATAAACACAGAATTTTTAGTATCGAAACCAATTTTAGCCATTAAAGTTGACATATAGTACATAACTGCATTAACCCCAGTTAATTGACCTAAACCAACCATGATGAAAGCATAAAATAAAGCACGACGATTTCTTGGAATTCTGAATAAATCGGTCCATAATTGAATTGTAGTTTCATTTTTCTTACGTTCCTCTTCTTGCAAAGCGGCATATCTCATTTCTAAAAATTCAGCTTTATTTTCATCAAGATTAATATCTCTTAAACGTTTCCAAACACCATAAGCTTCACCATAACGACCTTTATGAACCAAATATCTTGGAGATTCAGGTAAGAAAAACATACCAATGAATAATAAAGTTGAAAATACTAAAGATGAACCCATCATAAATCTCCAACCACCTTTAACTTCGAAAAACATTGCACTAACTGCATAACCAATAACTTCACCAAGAGCAATATTAAATTGATATAAAGAAACTATATTACCTCTAACATTAGCAGGAACGGATTCAGCAAGATAAACCCCAACCCCACCTTCAATACCAATACCAACCCCTAAACAAAAACGACCAGCGTATAACATATGATGAGAGCGAGCACCAGCACAAATAGCAGCACCAATGGTATACCAAATACAAGAAACAATGATTGAGAATTTACGGCCCAAATATTCATTCAAAGGAGAAATGATTAAAGAACCACCAACAGCACCCAAGGGCATTAAAGAAGATATCAAAGAATTTTCATGATCATTAAGATGTAAAGATTTAGTCATACCAATTGAAGCACCAGAAATAATGGACTGATCCAAACCAGATAACATACCGGCAGCAGAAGCGAAACCACCCATTAACCAAACCATATGAGATTTATTTTTAAAATTAACCTCAACCTCAAGCCCGGTAATTCTTTGTAATAAGGTCCTTTTCAGTTTAGCTACCTTGGACATTTCTTCTAATTCTGCAAATTCTTTATCAAAATCATAATCTTGATTTAATTTCAAATTATCCAACTTATTAAAAGTTTTGTCATGTTTAATCTCTTGATTTTCATGATCACTTATATCTGAAGAAAACTCTTCAGTCCCTTTTGTTTCCATAAGACTCATTTTCTATTAATTGACAAAACAAATTTATTGAAGAAAACAAAAAAACAAAATAAATCCAACAAAGAGATTTAGCACACACTTTATAGTTTTTCCCATAAACCAAGAAGGAAGATCTTCTGCTTAGATATTCCAATTACACAGAACACTCGAAGCCTATTAGGCTGGCCATTCTTTTGTGCCCCCACGAAAATCTCTCCAGGTTATGTAATTATAAATATGCAAGAAAGATTGTTCCCCAGATGTTAGAAAAACTTCTTAGGGTGAGCACTCCACTTCATGCTTTATCCAAGGATCCGAAAACACAATAGGCCTGGCAAAGTACAATCACGACAGAGTTTTTCCTGTCACACTTTATTTTTTAATCCATACAACTGGAAAAACACGGCATTTCACCTTGACGTACATTTTTGGGGAGTGGTGGGTTTGAATTTGAATTTTTTGGGGAGTTAACCCGGGGTACATCAATAGATGACAGGGCAACCAATACAACCAGGAAAAACAGGAGACCTGGCAAATACTGGTACTTCATGGAGGAAGCAGACCCCACATCTTGGCTAGGGATATTCCGGGGCTTTCATCAAGTAGCACCTTTGACTTGGGAACAGCATCTTATGGAAATGGTGGGGAAGATCTCCAAATGTAAGTAGATTGTATCGCACCTACGGAAAAAGAATTTTCCAGGTTGCACAAAATAATTTCAGACATCGAATATTGGGTAAATAGGAAGTAATACATGAGCAGCTGGTGGGCTTCACCAATGACGGTGGGTCAAGGCGATGCATCTCCCCACTTCGAAGACAATTGAATTTATGGGGTAACCGAAAAGTAATGGTTTATTAAAGATAAGAAGAGAATGTTTCGTAACTGTAGGTCTTGAAGTACTCCACAAGTTTTGTTTTATTGCAGTGACGTGTTTACACGTTTGGTACCTTTAGTGATTGGCATTGTTTCTATTATTGGTTATGTTTTTTGTTCAAGTTGATACCGCAAACAAGATAATCCAGGAAGAATCCAGCGAAAAGGTTAATCCAGGAAGGCAAGTTTATCCAGCAATGAAAGAGATGATCCAGACACAATGCTTTGCCAGTTTAATTTCATAATTGATCCAGGTTGGTGGTTTTTCCATGAGCGAAGTTTTTCCAGACATTAATTTAGTAAGAATTGGTAATAATTAACAATTGGAGAAGATACCTTGAACAAAAAATAAACCAAGGCGACCGTCGCTACGATTCAGGGATTGGGCCGATCATTAACCTTTCTCTTGACATTAAATTTATTTTCGAATTCTCGGGCCAAGTGCTCTTTTAATAACTTTAATTGGTTTTTAAAATTCTTCCCACAATAGGTGCAGACCAAAGGAGTGTTTTTTATTGTTAGGGCCAATGTCTTTTCGTCTCTTTCTAAACCATTTGTGGGCCCGTCGTCGCTATCAGCATCACTTTCTGATCCGGAAGGAAAATTCTCTGGGTTAAGCTTTTTCCACTCAACAAAGAAGCTACTGGTGAATGAGTTATAATGCTTCTTATTCTTGAGTCTTTCCAGATGGAAATCTCTTGTCATTACGTGAACGTGTAGGTTGTTCATCGAGGGGATGGAGTGGACGCCCACTTGGATGAAAGTGTTGATGAACTCTTGTTCACTCAACTGATCGCTAAACTCAACCAACTTGTTTTCTTGCAAACTCTCAACAATAAGCCTCTTGGCACGAGTTATGTATTCTTCCATCTGCTTGTATAACTCAGGATGGAGCTGGAAGACTTCTAGTGGATGTTCGAAACTAATTGACCGGCCACGCGGGAGAACCAAATAATGGCGGATTGACTTGGGGAACTTGTCCTTGATGATAACGGCATCTTCCGTGTGGTATAGCACAGTATCAGGATGCTTCAGAGGGTCGTCGATGTATTCTTGTAATGCAAATCTAAAGCTCATTGGTAAAGAAGACCACTACTTAATTTTTTTCGTTGCTGGCCTCGCTCTACAAATACTACCAATTAACAAATTAATTACGTCTATAAAAGTCTATACTTTTCTCTTTCTAGGAGCTGAGCTTGAGCCTTTGGAACCAGTTGTCGAAGACTGAGATTGTTCAGATTGTTCAGATTGTTCAGATTGTTTAGTTTGATTTTTTGGTTCAGTTTCTTCACTTTTTTCAGTTTTTTCAGTTTGTTCAGCTTGATCCTCTTCCTGCTCTATATCGTCATTGCTTTTCAATTTGACTTGCTCCAACTCGTTGACAAACCAGATCACCGTTGCGTATAAAAGCACGGCAATCACCAATAAGTTGATGAAATGAATGGACCCACTAAGGTAAATCAACCATATTAACGACAAAATCAACAAGATAAAAGACGCGTGTGTGGCCTTGAGCAACGCAGGAGTTGTACCCGGAGTGAATATCGACTGCCACAACTCTGTAATGAACATCTTTATGTGTAATTGGACTTCTTGTAGTTGTTAAATCTGATCTTGAAAATTCCTCAGCGTTTTTTATTCTAGTGTGGGATTACGTCCTGGTTGGCAAGCACGCGTGGAAGTAGCTACAGCAATTCCAGAGCACTTGGGTCAGCAGTACCAGAGGCCAGGAGATTCTCCTGGTATCCTCTACTGGCCTATTCTACAAGGTTATCCCCTGAAGTATAGTCGTAGTACTGGCTTCTCCGAATCGTGCATTCACCGTATAAGAGGCCCGTACACCGAAAGTCAATTGATTACATAATCACAATTATTTTTTTTTTTTTGTTAAAATGGAGGAAAAAAAAAAGAGAAAAACCGCCAATTACTAACAATTCGACTCGAACTATTCTATCAATCAAGTTTACGAATTAGCTAAAGTTTGATTTATAAGTATAACAAGATATTCATTCAAGTATTTAAGAATACAGTCTGTTGATTTCTGCGAAGAAAACCCGAATAAAAACAAGTAAATAACCATGGTACCAAGTGACGATTCCTTTATTAGTGAAGAAGAAGAAGAATTCTGTCCATTATGTGTTGAAGAAATGGATATATCCGATAAGAATTTCAAGCCATGTCCATGTGGATACCAGATCTGTCAGTTTTGCTATAATAATATAAGACAGAATCCAGAATTGAATGGGAGATGTCCGGGTTGTAGAAGATTATATGATGATGAAAGCGTTGAATATAGAACAATCAGTGCTGATGAATATAGAATCCAACAAATGAAGAGGGAGAAACGTGAAAGAGAAAAGAAACAGCGTGAAAAGGAAAAGAAGGAAACGGAAATGGCTAATAAGAAACATTTGGCTGGATTAAGAGTTGTTCAAAAAAATTTGGTTTATGTAACCGGGTTGAATCCTCCTTGTAATCCTGATGATTTGCATTCAATTTTAAGATCAGATAAATATTTTGGCCAATATGGTAAGATTTCAAAAATTGTTATTAATAGAAAGGCTCCAAATCCTTCTTCGGCGGCAACAACCGCAAATCATCATCATTCAAATCCTGGTTTGGTGGTCTATGTAACTTTTGCTAAAAAGGAAGATGCCTTGAAATGTATTAATGAGTTAGATGGCTCTTTATGTGATGGAAGAATTTTACGAGCCGCTCATGGTACTACCAAATATTGTTCTTCTTACTTAAGAGGTCATCCTTGCCCAAATCCAAATTGTATGTTCTTACATGAACCTGGTGAAGAAGCAGATTCTTATACTAGAAAAGATTTGTCAACTCAACAAGGTATTAAAATGGGTATGATGGGCTTATCGGGTAATTCTTCAGGAAGACAAGCTAATTCAACCGGTTATAATACCGATGAAGAAACTCTTCACTCGGAGGAGGATGATGATCATCACAATCATAGCCATAGCAATTATACCACAGCAAATTCAACTTCTAATTTTGGTGCTAATTCAAATAATAATGGCCCAATCTTACCTGCCACCGCTCATTGGGCTAAAGGTTCAAATTCAGCTAGTGCTTCTCCTTCTGTAAATAATAACGTCCCATTGGCTAACGCTGCTGCTTTCCCTACTTTAGGTGAAATTTTTAAAGAACAAAAACAGCAAAGAAAGGATAATAAACAAAAATTCAAAAATCCAAAATCAAACAAAGATCATAATGTTCTATTACCAGATGATATCGATATTGATGATGATTCTGCCATTCATTTCACTGAAGAAACTACCTCTTATTTGAAAAGTTTAAGTGAAAAGAAGGAAAAATTGAAAGTTCATTTCAATACTTTATCAGAATCTTCAAATAGCAATCATTTACCATTATTTGTATTTGATCCAAATGTTTCTTATCCAAATAATACAAAATTAGATGATGAAAAAATCTTAGCAAGACAAGTCATTGAAAGATTTATCTTAAGACCAATTAAAAATTATCATTTGGCTTACCAAAATCACCCAATCACTCAACAACAATCTTTATTACAACAACAAGTTCAATTACAACAACAAGCTCAAGCTCAGCAAGTTCAACAAGCTCAAGCTCAACAATTGAATAAAACTCCTCAAGCAAATACTGCCCATTTACAACAATTACAAATGGAACAACAGAAAAAATTATTGGAACAACAACAACAATTATTATTATTACAACAACTTCAACAACAGCAGGCTGTCCAACAACAACAAGCTGTCCAACAACAAGCTGTCCAACAACAAGCTGTCCAACAACAACATTCTGCATCTCAAACACCTTCCCAAATTCAAGCTCAAATTAATGTTTTGAGAATGAATGAACGTAGCGCAAATACTTCAACTCCACCACCTCCTGGTTTGTTTAATGCCGCAGCTGCAGCTTCAAATAAAAATGTCATTGGGGGTATTGCTGGAAATGGTATCCCTCAAGCAACAACTGCTCAAACTAATGGACAATACCCTCATCAGTATCAACAACCGGCCCCTGCTAGTAATCCATCCTCTAGCTCTCAATTATTAACCCAATTGATGAGTGGTAAAAGATAAGTTTTTTACTTATCCGGTGTATCAGTTTGCTTTTACTTAATTTTTAACGAATTTTACTCTATATTGTCGTCATCAATTTTCTTTCATGAAATGTAATAGAATGTATTTTATTGTAATATTTGAAACTTTTTTTTTTGTAATTTTTCCCTAAATATTTCGTAAAATTCTCTGTGATATTTTTAACCGAAGTGGCTTCTGAAGGCTGAACCAAATGGGCAAATCCCACATAAAAACTGAGGCTATATTTGAACTTTAGCTACTTCTATATAAACCGATCTTATTAATCTTTCAATCATTTCTAGATTTATAGTTGCAAAATTTACACACCATAACTGAGAGATGCATCAACACAAATTTTCGAAACTTTATAAAATATATGCATTAAAAGAAATTTCAAGTTAATAGACTATAGAAACAGATCATGTTGCGTTCTCGCTAATCAGTGAGACAATATTCGTCGATTAATTCACAACTTGTATCGTCGAACACATCAAGCTCTTCCAATTTCAACAATTTTGCTTTAACGTCTTCGACACTGATATTACCTTTGAATTGGCGGAGTAATCTTAGAGAGATAATAACAACCAAGTTTGATTTGACCACTTTTATGGTAGCATCACTTAATTCAGGATGAGGTTGTGTCATATATTCAATAGTTGAAACCAAGACTTTCCCCATGTCAAATGACCATGGCCTTAAACTAATGCCGTCGAATTTCCTGCTGTAATACTCATCTGGCTTTTCATTCACTTGCATTTGATGAATGAGTTCCTCGAACTCATTTACAGAACTAGGGCTATTTCTGGGGCCATCTATGCCTGAGGGAACATATCGGTCGTAACGATTTGGATTGCGTATTTCGTTAAGGGGACCATTCACCAGGTTGGAATCTGTCCAACCTTTTGGAGGTAACCCCGTTTGAAACTTGTCTTTAGCATTCCATCCATTTTGGACATTTCCATGTACAATCTTTGGTATGTCACTTCCTGGTGGAACGTAGCGGTCATAACGAGAGGCCAAACGAACTCCGTCGACATGAGGCCTACTAGTAGAATCATGGATTGAATCAAGCTTTGGTTGTGGTATAGTCTGTGCACCTGGATGCAGTGCACCTTGATCTTCTTGAACACTGGGATCAGAAAAATGCCTGCTGTATTCATTGATGGATAAGCTTCTTTTGTGGGGTAAGTCACTACTGGAAGATTGTACTTTTTTCACCCCGTGCAATTCATCTAATTTTTCCTTTATAATTAACCATGGAATATTAACTCCAGTATTGCGCCTGATAAACTGTGTGTAATATACATTTTTCTTAGGATTCTGTTGATCGAGCAACAGATCTGCTTCTTTCAAAGCCATAACGCATTCACGACTCCAAACAAATGGCTTCTTTAAGTTGAGTTGCGATGTAGAAAGATTTGGAGAGTTCTTTGAAGTTGAAATAGAATGCAGATGCAAATAAGACACGGAACTACCGTTTGGAGCAACAGTAGGATGCAGATGAGGAAGAGTGGTACCGGTGCTTTTCTGTGATTGAGTGGGTTTGGGCTCAGCTTGAGAAAGCCTACCATTCTGATTATCCGAATTTAACCTATTTTCCTTTGATGGATTTGAGGGAACTGAAGGATGGTGTGCGTTGTCAGAGGACATGGATGTGTTCTGTAGTCTTAGGTCGATATTATTGATGGCATTTCCGGTTAAAAACGATAACATATTCCGGTTCCGAGGTTGACCATTTTCCGAGGGTGGTTGGTCATTCGAAGGGATTACCAGATTAGGATTTGGCTGCTTATTGTAAGGCAAGAGAAAGCCTGAGTCGATTTGCGAACCGTTGACATTTTCCGCGGCTTGCACCAAACCGAGGGTGTTTGGTTGCGAATTACGAGGGTCAGATTGTTCTAAATCCGACCCAAAGTTTTCTTTTAAAATACTGGAAGCAGCAGTCAGGTAAACTTTAACATAATACTTGACAACTGTAACGATATAATTGGATGTTGGCTCAATAATTGTATTGAACAGTTTATGCAATAATGATCTGAAATTCATACCTTCAATGACAAAGTTCATGCTAACATAAAAGCCAGCTTTATGCATGTGGTTCAAAATAGTCTTTGCATTCCCCCACTTGGGTGACCCATGGATTTGATAAGCCAGATTGAAAGCACCGTTATACTTCAAAAACAAACGATTACGAAAGCCATAATGATAAGCTAAGTATGCAGCATTTCTTCTGTGTAGTACAACTTGGAATTTTTCTTTAAAAAGACGAATGATATCTTCATTCAGGCCTGCATTGGGTTTATAAAAGGCATCGGAAAGACACTTGACATGCTCTGGTGTCCATTTTTCTATTCCCTGGAAAGAAACAGGGATAGGTTCCTCATCATTTATTTCTTCTTCGGGTCCATCGGACAAGGCTGGTTCAAGCTGACCATTGGCATCGATCTCTGGTTCATCACGGTTTTGGATTTGGGCGTTATTCGATTGAAAATTATCGATACCTTTGATTGGGAGGTTCTCCTGGTTTTTTCGAGGGGTACTAGACATTCCGGTGTCAATTAGCGAATTAGCGGATGCAAGGTTTGACTTAGAAGCTTTTCGAGGTTGAGTACTCCCCGTCGTAATTTCATTTCCGGTCATTAAGTGATCCCTGGAATCACTCATTGAATTAGTACTGATGTTTTCAACTCTTGAACTCGGATTAGAGTGAGTTTTTGGATTGGGGTTAGTCTTATTAGGAGATTTTTTGTTCGATTTGGAGATAATCTGATTCGAGGATTTAGGTTGGCTTGTTAACTTAGGGATCGTTTGCTTAGTTGTATTGGAAACGTTTTCAATTGTTGGATCGGTATGATTTGAAGAGCGGTCTTTATTGGATTCTGCATTAAGACTAGGCTGCGAATTGACACTTTGAGGTGTGTTGGTCGATTTTTGAAAAGTCGGGATTGCCTTAAGTTTGGGCGAAACCGGCGCCGGCTCTTCGTCAAGTACGATTACATCATCGTCCAGCGAAGGTAAATCACGATGTCTATTAGGGTTTTTGGATTTGGAACGCGAAAGCTGACGCGCTTCACGGTCCTTCCGTTGTCTTGAGACCGATTCGTCCAAATCAGTATTTGATGCTCTGGTATTCGGAACCTTGCGTTTTTTTGAATTCGACGTAGAAGTTTTCGAGCGTTTAGTTTGCCCCTGCGACGTTCCACCAGTAGCTGTAGCAGGTCTGTACAGACTCCGTTCAGAAAGAACCGGTTCAGCGTATTCCGGGGTGATGGTCGTGCGAGTACCATTTCTTGCGATATCTGCAGGAACCGGGGTGGAAGTCAGATTGGACTGTTCGATTTGAAATGCAACCTTCCCAGCTTCTTTTGCACTTTCACGGGATTCACGTCTTAGAATAGCCATGTCAGGAACACAAGTGAAGATTTCTGGAATTGGCATCTTTTTTTCCAATCGTTCTTGAAACTTGCTCATGTCATAAACTAAATTTTTTTCTTCTTCTGTCAAGTGTGTTTTCGATATGTCCAAGTATGACTTCAATGCATTAAAATGATAGAAAATCTTATCCATCTCCACCAAAAGCCCTACTGCCTTAGTTATATCGAGATTGAACGACTCCTCATCTTCAGTGGTGTATTCTTTGTTGTTTTCGTCTAAAAGAGATAAGTACTTTGCGTCTAGACTCTCCTTCGCTTCTTTATAATTTCTCACTTTCCGTGTTAAACTCATTATACTTTACTTACACAACTCAAGGTTGGTTTGCGAATCTTATTTCATCTACTTTGGAGAGAGCTTGTTTTTCTTCTATTGCGAGTGAGGAAAAAAAACAAAATAAAAAAAAAAAGTCGGGCGAAAAAAAAAGTGTGCGAAAACGACGACTTAAATACTTTTTCCCCAGTGGTGCGCGTTCTCCTCACGCGGAGCTTTAATTCCCATGAACGCTTATCAGTAGCTTATTATTATTGACAGCAGGATGTTATTGTTCCAATGTGTGGATCAATTAGAGAGCTTCTTGCTAGAGATTTATAAACGGTGATGGCTAAAATTCAATGTTTTTTGTAAGTGGAAGAAAGAGGGGGTGGGTATTGGTGATGTACGGGTGTCTTGTTGGTTGTGTAAGTGAGTTCCGGTCGGTCCAATGGGCAAGGCATCGCACGAAGATTCGCCAGATCTGACTGCAAAACAGGTCTATACGTTTTATTTGAATAATCTATTTACAGAGTTGATTAGTGTACATTTTTGAGATCACAATCAATTATTTACAACAGAGTGACACTTACCGCACAAATGATCATGCTGTTCAGCAATGAATTTCCAACATCTAGGGCACTTGTGATGTGGAGATGGTAATATGGTTCCTTTGACTTGTTCACCATTTGCTAGATTTATTGAAAAAGTTTTGTTGAAGGCAGCATCATTACCTTGTGTTTGGGTGGGATTAACCTCAACTTTTGAAACTAAGAAATAGTCATCCAAGAATGGTTGATGAGTTTCTAGTAATTTGCAAATTGAAGAATCTTCGTTTGTGGATAATGAAACTTGAGTTTCTAATTTATTTTTGTAAGCACCATTTGTTTTCAATTCTTCTAAATTTTTGTAAACATGGTCTTGGACTTCCCAAATTAAATTGAAATCATGTTCGATATTTTCATTTTGGAATTGCAATGGCAATTCATAGAAATTTGACCAGTTCATCATGAATGGAGAAGTTTCAGTTACTTTGAATAGATCTTGGAAATGTGACCAAGTTTCTTGGGCCAACAATGGTTGGATTGGTGCTAGTAATCCAATATAGGTTTTCAAAGAATGATACAATACGGTTTGGATACCTCTTCTCCGTACCGAATCAATCGAATCAGTATATAAACAATCCTTTGAAATATGGAAATAGGTTGAACTCAAATCCGTATTCATATGATGACTCAAGTCTTTAACGACTCTTTGGAAATTATGAGATTGATAATTTTTTATGACAGATTGCTGTAAACAATATAATCTTGAAAGTGCCCATTTATCTAAAGGATTTAAATCATTATAACCAACAGAATCTACAGCTGGGTCGAATTTAGCCAAGTTACCCAAAAAGTACTTCATTGTGAGTCTTAGTTTTTTCAAGTTCTCCATCACTCTTAATAAAATCTCCCCACTGACATTAACATCTTGAGTGTAATTTGATGAACTCACCCACAATCTTAACCCATCAGTACCTAATGCTGGTAATGCGGGTTTACCTCCACCATTAATGACTTGTTGAGGGGCAATCACATTACCTTTAGATTTGGACATTTTGTCATTATGAACATCTAATGTAAATCCATGAGTGATGATTTTTGCAAAAGGTGCAATTGGTTTGAAATCCTCTCCATTTACACCGGAAGATATGATTTTATTCAATAAGGATGATTGAAACCATCCACGGTGTTGATCGCTACCTTCTAGATAAATATCCGCTAAAGGTTTGCCATCTGTTCTTTCTTCTAAAGATGTCCAAGAAGTACCCGAATCGAACCAAACATCCATGGTATCTTTACCCTTGATATATTTTGAACCATCTATACTCAGCGGTAACCATCTATCTATGTTATCATTTTCTTCTTTGAACCATTCATCAGTACCTAATTGATCGATTTTATTAATTAAATATTTAATAACTTGTAAATCTTCTATAGGTTCACCATTTTCTTTATTATATACTATAGGTAAGGGAACCCCCCAGGTTCTTTGTCTTGAAATACACCATTCGTTTCTATTTTGTATAAAAGAAGGTAATCTATTTTTACCTGATTCTGGAACAAACTCAACTTTCTTCAAAGCATCAATGGCAGTTGATTTTATCTTACCAACATTTATAAACCATTGTGGAGTTGCTCTTTGGATAACTGGTTTTTTAGATCTCCAATCGTAAGGATACGAATGCTTATAACTTTTATTAATATTAAAAATCATATCATGTTGAGATAATAAATCGATTGTAGACCAAATCCCGGTTTTAGAGTTTGCTTCAATTCCGTGTAATTGGTGGAATCCATTGGGTATATTGTTTCCGATGAAGTGGCCCCTTTCGTCAACTGATGATAATATTGGTAAACCATGCTTACGACCAATTAAATAATCTTCACCCCCATGAGCTGGAGCAGTATGAACCAAACCAGAACCAGCACCAGAACTAACGTGGTCACCATGAAGTATAGGAAATTGATTATCGGTATTAGAGGCCGGGTTGGTATAAAAAGTACCAATCAAATCAGATCCTGACAAAACTGGAGAATTTTCCAATTCGATAAACAGTTCATTTTTCTTTAAGATATCATTTACTAAATCACTTGCTACCACAATATAATCATTCTGAGTTGGATCATGGATCAAACTATAGTTTAAGTTTTCATTTACACAAATGGCTTGATTTGCAGGAATAGTCCAGGGCGTCGAGGTCCATATAAGTAAAGACAATTTACTTTGTTCATTTAAATTGAATTTTCTCTTTAAAGATGAAGAGTTTGAAAAAAACTTAACAAAGATTGCAGTTGATTTATGATTTGGATTGTATTCTAATTCAGCTTCTGCTAAAGCGGTTTGAGTTTGGCACCCCCACCAAACTGGTTTTAGTTGTCTTGAGAGTAGACCGTTTTCCAAAAGCTTATAAAAAACGTTCAATTGATTAATTTCGTAATCGTGATTCATTGTAATATAGGGACTGTCAAAATCGGTCATGATTCCAAATTCTTTAAATTGTTTCCGTTGTAACTCAATCATCAGTTGAGCTAACTCTCTACAAATTTTTCTTATTTGGACTGGTTTGATATCTTTTAATTTATCGGGTTTTATTGATTGTAAAGCTTTCATTTCAATTGGTAAACCGTGACAATCCCAACCGGGTCTATAATTAATTTTTGAATCATTATGAATTAATTCAAATCTATTAATGATATCTTTTAAGATTTTATTCAAAGCATGACCCAAATGCAAATCTCCATTAGCATAAGGAGGTCCATCGTGCAAAGTGAAAGATTTTGAATAATTTGAACGATTTAACTGCCAATCATATAATTGATCACTGATTTGATTGATTAACTTATAGCGGTCGTCACCACGAGGAGATCTTGGACCAAAAGGGGTTTGAGGAAGCTGTAAAGTTTTGGAATAAGTAACCTTATTCAGTAGACGCACTCCAGAAGATATGTGTCTCTTGAATCGAAGCATTTCCGTGGTGAATATGGATTGTTGTAGTGAAAAATATGAAAATTTTGAAAATAAAAACTCGCACTATAAAAAATCTCTTACTTACAGTTTTTTCAATTTTTTTTTTTTTAAAAAAAGCACATACATATATTTTTAATAAATATAAAGGATTTTATTTACTAATTGATTTATTTACCAATGTTTTTAACTAATTCAATGTATTTTTCAGTGGAGAAAGATTTTGGTCTTTCAATTGGTAAACCCAAACCTCTATCCAAGATTAATTGAGGTAAGACACCAAAGGCTCTGGCAACACCGAATAAAACGGTATAGAAGGATTCTTCAGTTAAACCGTAGTATTGTAATAAGACACCAGAGTGGGAATCCACATTTGGCCATGGGTTTTTAGTTTTACCGTGTTTGGTTAAGACACCAGGAGCGACTTCGTAAATATTAGAAACCAAAGTGAATAAATCGTAATCAGGCATGTGTTTTAAGGCAAATTCTCTTTGAGCGGTATATCTTGGATCAGTTTTTCTTAAGACAGCATGACCGTAACCAGGAACAACACGTCCACTGTTAAGGGTATCCCATAAGTATTTTTCAATAGCTTCTTTAGAGTGGTCACCTTTCAAGTCATCTTTTAATTTGAATAACCATTCCAAAACTTCTTGATTAGCACGACCGTGTAAAGGACCGGCTAAACCGTTAAGACCGGCGGCCAAGGAAAGGAAAGGAGAAGATAAGGCAGAACCAACCAAATGGGTGGTGTGAGCAGAAACGTTACCACCTTCGTGATCAGAGTGAATGGTCAAGTATAATCTGATTAATTCCAAGAATTCTTTATTTTCACCATAACCTAATAAGGAAGCCAAATTAGCACCATAATCCAAGTTTGGAGAAACGGCACCTAATTTACCATCTTTAAAGACATTTCTATAAATTCTAGCAGCGATATTTGGTAATTTAGCTAATAATTCAATAGAATCTTCGTAAGTGTATTTCCAGTAATCGGATTTATGAGCACCTTTAGCATAAGCTTTAGCAAATTGAGATTCGGATTCCAAAGCAGTAATGGCAATTGAAAATTGAGCCATTGGATGTAAGTGGCTTGGAGAACGGTCAATCAATTCTTCAACGTGTTTTGGTAAAGCGGATCTAGCAGCCAATTCTTCACTGAAGGCTTTAGTTTGAGCGTCAGATGGAACTTCCCCAGTTAATAATAACCAGAATAAAGCTTCTGGTAATGGTTCATTTCCACCAGGGGCTTTTGGTAATTGTTGTTGAATATCTGGAATGGTACGGCCTCTGAATCTGATCCCTTCAATTGGATCCAAAACAGAACCTTCCCAGACTAAACCTTTAATACCACGCATACCACCGTAGGCTTGTTCCAATAAAACTTCACCAATAACCTAAATATAATGTTAGTACCATCCCCGGATTCCATCACAAAAAAAAGTGCCCGGGTCGTGCGCCCGCTGGAAAATCTCCCATCCTCCTTTAATCCCGGAAGCTTCCCTACGAGCAATTGACCCATCCCATTCCAAGTATACGTACGGTTTTACCATGTTCTTTCAACAATTGTTTCTTTTCTTCCAATTTTTCTGGTAAGAGTTCTTCTAAACGAGCTTTTAAAGTCTATAAAAAAAAATTAGTAATTGCAACAATCAACGGAAATTTCAAAAAAAAAAAAAAACCTTAATACATACTGGTTCAGCGGTAGCGTAAGTACGAGCATTACCGAAAACACGTTTAGCCAAAAGAGAAGAACGTTGGGCGGTTTGAAATGAACGAAGAGCAGACATATTTGTAGACAATCTGTAGACTAAAGTAAACAGAAAAGAATAGAAAGAAAAGCAAAAAGAAGGAGCAAGGGAAATCAAGGAGGAAATCAATGGCTATATAAATAATTCTGAACCGAAGAAATGGAAAATGGTCACAAAGTTACTAACAAAACAAAAAAAAAAATCAATAAAACGAACAAAACAAAAAAAAAAAAAAAAAGATATGCGGAAACTGTGCTATACTCCGTAGCATCTACCAAACACCAGGCACTGCACCAGATGATCGGTGGTGCCAGTCCCCTACTCACTGGCACCAGTGAGTGCCAGTGAGTGCCAGTGAGTACCAGTGAGTGGGTAGGGGGCACGAGAGAGGCTCGCTCACATGAAGAGGCCTGCCGGCAATTGGCCAATCAGAGTGCGAGCTCGGAACAGGACACCGGAGTTTTTCTACCGTACATTTAAACTACAGAAAAAACAATCCTAGTCTTATTGGCGAACTCTCCGTGGCTCCGAATAAAACCTCGGAGAGCATCCTGCTCTCTTCGGACATTGACTCTTGACTCTTGTGGGGGAGGGTCGCTTGATCTCCTGGGCAGCCTGTCCTCTGGCAAGGTGGGGCATGGCATTGTTGCACCCGGTCTTTTGACAGTTATTGGTTTGGCCCAACCCCAGATTTCGGAGTAGCCACTGGATGGCCAGCTGTGGCTTATGTAAGCGGGTTTACGTAATTGCGAGAACAACAAACAACGCAAAAAGTCAAACAAAGTCTCAACCTGCAATTAGTCGTTGTTTTATTGGACAGCCGGGTCGTGTGTTGTACCATTACCCATACTGATGGTAATGGTATTTCTATTACCATTAGTATTGGCACTGATAGTAATGCAAACAATACTGATCTGAATACGTAGCACCGGCCGCGGACAATGGCCTCAGGCTGATCGGTGGGAAAGGAATAACTCGGATCATTTGGATTGTGGTTAACCGCATACCCTGAACGGTGTCCGGGTAAGCTCGATGCATTGCGAAAATTTTCAGATTCCCGCTATAAATTGGCTTGTTCATTACAGGAACTAGATGCTCTTGGTCGAAGTGGTATCCAAGTATATATTAATACAAGTAATTATTTATGAGAAGTATGTAGTTGGGACTTTATCTCCACGTATACGGCAAAAGAAGATCTTTAAATAGGTATACGTGGTAAACGAATCCCAGAAATTGAATCGATGTCTGCAGAAGAAATAATTCTAATAATTGAAATTAACTTCTTTTGATGATATTGGACATTATGGATGTAAGAAGTGATGGATGAGATCGCCAATGGACTTGTCGCCCACGGTCTGCTTGGCCATTCGAGGTATGGCACACTTGACCTCGTACTGACAGTAGTTGCATTTACTCAAATCATCAACCGGTTCCGGTATCCGCTTAGACCCATTCCAAAATTTGCTGGCGTTATTCAACTCGCTGCTGACTTGGGCGTCGTTGGCCTGGAATCGGTGTTTGCTGAATACTTGTCCTGTTTTGATATTATGATACTCTAAAGCTAAGTCTCGTCCCGGTATTCGACTCAACATTTGGTAGAAATGGCTACTGCGAAGCGCAAAGTACCTTAGTGTCAAGGGCTGTTGCCATGGTCCCATAAAGGGCTCCAATATCTCTTGCACCGGTGGCAGCTGGCTCCACCAGCTTTCCCCCTGCATCATCTGATCGAGTTCCTCGATCTGCTGGCGGTTAATCATGCTTTGTAAATCATAATTGGCCAACGGACGCGTTGGCAATGGTCGGAAGACCCCCAGTTTCATTTGCATCAAATCGTCTCCAATCAACCACCAGTGCTTGATCAAGAGCTTTAATACGTGCTTGAGGCCAATCGGCTGGTCAAGGTCCTGGTGCCGTCTACTGGCATTGGTAAGCATCATTTGGTAGCTGGTGGCTCCCGAAATTATATCCAATAACCTTCTGTAATAACTCACTTGTAATTTGGCTCCTTCAATCACCGAAGACTGGTTCGGTAGGCGACTGAACGACCGGGTCTTCATTTCTCCAATCACTAGCTCCTGTTCCGGATACTTGGGGATGATTTTCTTCATTTCTTTAATGAAATCATCGATTTCAATCCGAGTCTTCCCTTGTAAGTAATACTCAACCTCCTCACTCATTTGATCGCCTTCTATCTTTAAGAAATCAATAACCCCACTTACCAATACTCCATCCTTGGTGAACTGTCCCTGTTCAAGATCCAAGTACCCATGCACTAACATCTCTCGTGCGTACCCGGTGGTCAACAACGTATACACCCGAAGAATGATTTTTTCAAACCACTCTTGTCCCAATTCAAATTCACCCGTCCCAATATCAGATACCTCGTTGCTCGGTAGCTCATTGATAAACTTGATCAACCGCTCTTCGTCTTTATACTCGTGAGTACTCAATTCTAATTTCTCGTGGTGTTCATTCCCTAATTTCATTTGCTTGGTTTGCGGCTTGCTCAATGACCCTTCGTACACTTCGTACGCCTTCTGTAACTCACACCAGTTCTTAGTCAATAGCTTGGTTATTGATAGTCGAGGAATCTCAACATACAGTTCATCTTGGTTGTGCTTGGAATGAAATTGAAATGGCCCTTCTAGATATGGTGGGATTCTCAACGGTAGCGTTCGCTTGGACGATACCTGCAAATTCGTATACAACTCCGCAAACAAATCAGTCTTCTCTTCTGTTTCCACCGGTTTAATGAATCGTCTCAATACATCCTTAGCATTCTTACCATTTCGCCTTATCATTACTGAGAGATGAGTACGCGTTAGCAGTTTTTTCTCTTACATAATTTGATTTTTTTTTTTTTTTTGGTTTCATTACGGATAAAGAAAAAAAAAAATAAGATTTAGTATTATTACAGTATCGATTAATCTATAAACTTTTTATATACTTTTCAATGTATACCCCTTTTCATCTTCAAACTATCTCGTTTCTTCTCACTTAGACTGATTTGATTTGGTAAGCTGATTTTGTTGACCGCAACCTCTGATAGCGATTCAATTGGTTCATTGGGTTGGGCATTCATGAAATATCCATATTCTTCCAGTGGAGTTGTAGCTGACATGAATGGACTATCCAAAGAACTATCGAATCCATTTGAATTGGCATTTTCTGTGTTGATAGTTAAGGGTTTTGGTAAGGAAATAGACCCGTTATTTCTACTCGAAGTTCTTGAAATTGATCTTGATCTATTTAAATTAAAATCATCAATTTCCATTCCATTAGCATGATGGTTCTGAATTATTTGAACATTTGATCCTATTATAGTATTGGCGGAACTCGAAGAAGTCGGTGGGGTACTCGATTGTGAAGATACCGATCCTTTGTTTGAACTGGGTGGGGTTTGATAATCTAACATCATTGAATTAAAATTATTTTGATTTGCACTTCTATTGATAAAAGATTGCGGGACATAATCTTGCATTGATTGTAATGAATCAGTACTACCATTTGTTTGACTAACTTGATTTGTTAATCCGTGCGGTCTGATATTATTTAAATTCCCAACGTGTAACCAATTATTTCCTGAATATGAATTATTTCGGGTCAAGGATTGTTTTCTCAAATTAAGGGACGATGACCTTGATCTAACTATCGGTGGTGGATTATTATTATTATTATAATTTGAAATATTAGCGTCCGTTAAAGATAAATTGGAAATTGACGATTGTCTAATATTAGTATTATAGATTGATTGTTGTTGTGGTTGTGGTTGTGGTTGTTGTTGTTGCTGTTGTTCATTTCCTCCATTGACACTAATACTTATTGATGTACTGGTTGGTAACTTATTGGATTCATTCTTCAGGGAACTATTATAATTACATAATTCTAATAATCTTTTCCTGATCAATTGTAAGAAAATTGGCTGATAAGATTGATTTTTCAAATAATCAATAGTAATAACATTTTGATAATCATAAGCTGGGAAATTCCCATTACTTGTTTTATTGATTAAATTATTCATGGTTTCATTAGCAACTTTACTTACCAACCCGCTTGGAGGAATAACCCCAGTGAATGGAGTAGTGGTCGGTAATGTCATTATGTAGGAATAGACTGACATAACTAATTGATCAAAATTTGCAGTGAAATTTAAAGTGTATTTCCTCATGGTACGAAATGAACCAAAACTTGGTTCATCTATATCAGTTAAAATATCATCTGATTCATTATAAGAAGGATTTGAATATAAGGAGTTACTGGTTAATTGAGGAGCCTGAGGTGGTTGGAAAGAATCAGGAAAATACCCATTTTGTTGAACATTATCTACTGGAGTACTTAGTGTTTGATCAATCGGCGTAAATGGACCCATCTCGGGTTGAGATAAGTTCGATAAGGATTTATTTAGTTTCAAAGTAAGATTCATTTTCTTATTAATCATTTTTTTGTCTTTAATATTAATACCGACGATTTCAAGGGTATTTATAAGACTATCTTATTTTCAGGTCTAGCTTATTATTAGAAAGTAAACAAATGATGCAATACAACTGTTTATCGATGATCGAAAACTTTACTTAACTCAGACTAGTACCAAAAAAGTTGTCAAGGGGATTACCAGGTTATAACTAGTTGTAAATGGTGATTATTCAAACAATTCGGCGCAAATGACGTTACGAAGCGTATTCGGCTGCCCACGAGTGATCAAACGAAGTGTAAGAATACTTGGTAGTCGGTTTCAACGGGTTAAACGGGTCTATCAAACGTTTTTATGAACCGATGTCTCAGGGTACTAGATTATGGATCTGGTCTGAGGATTCCTTAAAATCTGGAACAAGTTTGCAAAAAAAAGGGGAAAGTCTGGAAAAGTTGAAAAAAAAAAGTCCGGAGGCGTCTTCAAGAAACCAGGAAAGTCTTAATTAAATATATATAACTGGAAAATGAAGTAACAAACCAATTTTAAAGGGATTAGTTAATTCATTCGATATTGTTTCAGAACGCGCAATGAATTTTTTTTTTTTTTTTTTTTTTTTCGCCCTTTGGTTAATGCATGCCCCAACAATTAGAAGCATCTGCTAGATGTCTTTTATACTAGATTGGGTTAAAATGAAGTGCTTAGTAGATAATAATGTATTACGATACTATACGTATGACACTAACTATGTAGACGCGTTCGCTTGTTGTCAAGGCTATTTAACCCTAAATTCTTTTACAAAGACGCGTTCCCCTGGCAAGAAACTGAGTTAAAGGTACATTACTCCTTCATTGGGAAGCAGCAAGAGTTGCTTTTATTGAAAGGACCCTTAAGTATTGTTTTTGGGTATTCTCCACATAATAGTTGATATTTAAAGTAATGAGGCGTCGGGAAGAATCTAGATTAGACCCGGAAATGTAAGAAATCCGATTACATGAACATCAAGTTATTGTCACCGCCAATTCCGTCGTCATTTATTATGATACCATCCTTGACGTGATTGTTCACTTGTTCTTCTGATTGTTCATCTTCATGTTGGGTCTCTTGTTCTTTAGATGTATACTCTATATATTGATCTAAATTATCATTTAACAATTCGGAATTATACTTTATATTATAAGGCAAATTCATTTCTAATTCTTTAGAAGGTAATAATTTATCTTCCTCATTAATTTCGTCTTCAATTTCATCATAATATTCTTTTAAATTATCAATAACATAGTCAAATTTATTTAAATTTTTTAAATTCTTTAAATAAAATTGATAATTTGTAGTTAAATCTTTTGAATTTGGATGATATTTCCCATTTTTTTGTATTTCTAATAAATAATTTGATAAATTTGTATTTAGATATTTTAAATTATGACCAAATTTTAAATCTTTTTCTGTTAAGTAAATTAACCATGATAATTTATCTTCTTTTGTTAATTCAATAGTTTCATCTTCTTGTATTAATGATGGTTCATGTTGTTCAATTAATCCAACTGGTCTTTTCCCACTTATATCACCAACTTTAAATTGATTATAAAACTCTTGTCTTTCCTTTAATTTCCTTTTTTTTCTTTCTTGATCAGTTTCATTAGATTCATCAATCTTTCTTTTTTCAATTAAATTTATTAATAAGTTTTCAGGTACTTCCACTAATTTCTTACTTATTCTAAAATTATCACTATATTTTAACCAATCAACGAATGATTCTATCGATTTAGTATTATAATTTTGATGCTGAATTTTCCTAGATGTTTCAAATTTGGGATAATCATCTTGAATATCTAATGCACTCTCAAAGCTCGATGGCTTGATAAATTCAATATCAATCATCGATTGTAGTATATCCTGGATCTGTATTTGATTTGATTGTTGACGAATTATTGAATATTTTATACTTTTTTTAAGTAACGTCGTTAAATATCTGATATAAATATCAGTTAATATATTCACTATTGAGGGTTGGCATTTATCAAACCCACTACTCTTCAACATCTGACATATCGATATTCTTAATATCGAGAAATGAAATGATTCTTCCATGTTTATTATGAATAAGTAGCTAAAAGGTTGTTATTTAATCAAATTTGTTTTGAAAAAAATCTTTTAACTAAGGTGCATGGGTGTTTTTTTTTTCGCTTATTCTAAATCTTCCATAGCTAAATCTTGTACAGCTACTTCTTCTACAGCTACTTCTTCTACAAGTATGACTGATACAGCGGTATATCTGTATCTTATTGTATCTTAAAGTATCGTTAAGTATCTTATTTTATCTGTACACCTGCACATCTGTGACAATCAAACATTTATTATGAAAACTACAAACCTTGTTGTAATCTTTCACCAATTTTCTTAGAGGCAAAGGATAAAGCATTGAATAAACCCTTTTCGGATAATTCAATCTTATTCAAATTCAAATCATTGGAGATAGCGGAATTTGAAGGAGTATTGGTCACTCTTGAAACAATAATTGAAGGATCAATTTCTAATATAATACCATCATCAATAGTTTCATCAATACATAAACTAACCAAGTCATATTTTTCCAAAATAGTTGACTTGTCCAAGGTATTATCCAATAATATACTTAAAGCTTCATTCAAATTATTGGTTAAAGAATAGATTAATGATTCATTTTCATTAATTGAACTAACTAAAGCAATAATAACATCGTTGGTTTGCTTATAAGTTATTAAATGATTATCATATAATATAATATCTTGATTAACTTTATTTATCTTGGAAAATAACTGTTCTTCAAATTTTAATTGTTGATTAAGACTTTTATATGGATTGGAAACTATTTCATTTTCTTTGGTCTGGTAGTATTTCGCATACAACCTTGAACCCTTATTATCTAGTATCAATGCGGCGCTGACCGTATATAATGATATATTAAGTGACATCTTGTTCCTGTTGTTGACTCTAGTTGAAGTTGTTGAAAAATTAATTTCATTTTTGAACCACCGTGTTAATCCTGAGGGAAAACATCCGTACATCTCAAAAAGAGTACCCAGATGACCATGACCAGGTACTAGGTGCCAGGTACCAGATAAAGATACCAGATGGCCCGATACCAGGTAAATACCCGGCTGAATATTTGGCTGGGTATTTGGCTGAGTATTTGGCTGAGTAGTTCAGCGGTGAAGTTGTGAATTGATGGTAGTTAGGTCAGCTCACGATTAATGATCAACTACTTCGACCAAGCTGGGTAATGTGAGATCTTTATTATCTGTAAGTTGTCTATTAACATTTCGGATGTAGTTCAGCTAGAGGTTTTCAGTAGATTGGAGTTTGGGTGAATACGATATTTTATTTTGAAGACATTTTACAAAAATTCAAGGAAACTATAAATTTGCAACCAGACAAGATAACCACAAGAATACAACGTACACTAAGCAATTTGAAAGGAATCAGTAACCTTTATCATCCTTGAACACTTGATTCCCAACCAGGAAGAACTTGTACAATAATTTTATGCTTTTACTAAGTACAAACTATATATAGCCGTTAAAATTAACGTCAAGAAGCTGTGATTGGTGTCAGGTTGGTAGCTTTGGCTTTCTCACCGGGCTGTCTAGAGTTCTGCTTTCCAGAATTTTGCTTTCCAGAGTTTTGCTTTCCAGAGTTCTGCTGTCTAGAGTTCTGCTTTCCAGAGTTCTGCTGTATAGAGTTCTGCTTTCCAGAGGTTTGTTTTCCAGAAGTTTGTTTTCCAAAGGTTTGTTTTCCAGAAGTTTGTTTTCCAAAGGTTTGTTTTCCAGAGTTTTGTTTTCCAGAGGTTTGTTTTCCAGAGGTTTGTTTTCCAGAGTTCTGCTTTCCAGAGTTTTGTTTTGCAGAGGTTTGTTTTGCAGAGGTTTGTTTTCCAGAGGTTTGTTTTTCAGAGTTCTGCTTTCCAGAGTTCTGCTTTCCAGAGTTCTGCTTTCCAGAGTTCTGCTTTCCAGAGTTCTGCTTCGAACTGTTATGCCGGAGAGGACCAATGATCCTAACTGAAGTGTAAGTATATGGACAAAGCTTGATGAACTTTTTCGGGCGTTGTCCTTTGGCACAATATACCAAAACAGTAAACACCCTCTCTCTTCCACCGGTCGTTAAGATATCCAAAGGTTCTTTCATAGAAAGAAACTCGAAATGAGGAACGTTGTTAGGTTCAAAGTGGTCTTCGAAGTATAAGTGTTTGAGGTCTACACAAATCGGAGCATGGATTGTAAACTCTACTAGAATTGGATTTTTCGATGTGGGAACAGGGTTTATTGGTTTGCTTATTGTAGTATCTAATGGTCCTTCTGGGGAGATGCTCTTTGATCCAGAACGAGTTCTCGTAACTTTGAATGATTTTAAAGATTCAGTAAAAGCATCAGTGGACTCAGCAAAACCAGCACTATTACTTATTCGTATAGGTGGAGAAATTGTCGTTGCTTTAACTTCAGGAGACGGTGTAAGACTAGGCAGTTTAATTACGGGAATTTCTTCCCAGTCTCGATTATCTGGAGAAATCGTTTCAATATCTTTTTCAGACAGAGACATCGGAGCCAAAACCTCGAGGGTCAAAGATTCAGCAGAGCTTGAAGCCAAGCACGGTAGGGTGGGATCGCATGGCATACCAGGTGTACTTCTACTGGCAGTACTTCTACTGGCAGTACTTCTAACAAAGACGATCAAGTTTTGGTGAAAAATTTCAACGAGGAACAGATTTTTTTTTGCAAGCGAGAAAAATCGATTGCAACTTACAATAACTATTTAATATGAATACAACTTTTAATATGAATACAATTCTTAATATGAATACAACTTTTAATATGAATACAATTCTTAATATGAATACAACTTTTAATATGAATACAACTATTTATTAAGAATACAGAGTATTTAGGCTCCAACTAATTTAAAGACGAATTCATGAATATCTTTATGAAGAGGATTATTAAGATAGAATTCATCAGACAAGGCACTAACTTGATTAGCAATTGCTCTCCAACCAAAAATGAAATTAACAATTAAACCAACCATTAAACCAACAGCAACAATCAAGGGACCCAAGACATTATCTAAATGTCTTGAAGATCTTTCCATGATGATATCACGACGTTTATTAAAGATGAAATAACCCCATAAACCTGAAAAGATGGTTAAAGCAAAATAAATATAAGCCAAATTAGTAGCCAAAGTATAAGAATTAGCTTTATTTGTGGAAGAATAAATAATAAAAGTCAATGAACTTAACAAGGTAGTAACGTGTAACCAACGATTGAAAGTACGTTCATTAGCTAACCAAACTTTAGGTTCAATTTTCAAAGGACCAGCATTTTTAATTAAAGAATTTGGTTTTTCAATACCAATTGGTAAATCAATTTCTTCATCTTCCAGATCAACGTCAATTAATTTTGATAAAGTGTTTGGTAATTTCATTATTTTTGATAAAGTATTATTTTTTTTAGAACGTTGTAATAATTCTAATTCTTCATCGTCATCAATATTGAAATCATCACTACTTTCAATATCTGGAGGAGGAGAATTAATTTTTTTAGTAGGAGAATCTTCAATTTCATCAGATTGGTTAAAAATCGAGCCACTAAAAGATTTTGAACGAGGTTGGAAGCTAACTTGACCAGTATGATTTGATAACATTGATTTGAATTTTGACATATTTTCTTCATCATTCTGTTGTTTAATTAATTTTCGATGAGAATCAATATAAGCTTGTTGAGGATCAATTTTTATGTCTGATTCTAATTCATTAAACCAAAGAGGAATGTTATCTAATTTATCATCTTCTAAGAATAAAGTACTTATACCATGAATGAATTTACTAAAATTTGGAATTTCTTTAACCAATCCACTATTTACTAAATCATCAATCCAAACCAATTTTTTAGTTTTTTTAGATTTGATTTTAATTTCTAATTCGGCATAAGGAAATTTGGAATATTCACCTTTTCTTAACAAATTAAAAGGGTTACTAATTTTGCTATCGATATCTGATCTATGCCATTTATTTGGATTTCTAATTGGACGTTCAACATCAAAGGCATCTTCTCTAATGAAAAGTAAATCCGAATCAATAACAATACGAACTTTATCATCCCCAGGAATTTGGAAAGCAGTTCTTTTATAAACTGTTCTTATTGTTGGTTGAATGTTATTATCCTTAACAAATTTAATTAAGGAAGTTAAGTTTTTTTCAATTTCAGCGAGATTTTCTGGCAGTTCACCTTTTCTTTGTAATTTCTTCAAGTATTTTTCAACTGAAAAAGTTCTATTTATAATTGAATTAAGATACTTTTCTTTTATATTCAATTTTTCATCAACGTTATAGTGTTCTAAAGTTTGATCAAAATTTTTCTTTTCAATTGAAATTTTTGGTTTATTAATCAATTTCCCAATCCATTTGATTCTTAAAGTTGAAGTATTTGGGTTTTTAATCAAACGATTATTATAAATATCAAAATTTGAGTTATCAAAATATAAACAATTGATTAAAGAGTCATTCTTATCAATATTACTAAACTCATTACCAGAATTATTTTCTTCTTCATCGTCATCGGATTGATCATCACTATAGTAAGTTGGACTATCTTGATTATAAATTAAAACCGGTAAATGACGTAATATACTTGCTTTAACTTCCATTAAATTATCTGGATGAACCCAAAATTTAAAGGATTGATAATCTTGTGGATCTTCATTAAATGATGATAACTTTGATAATTGTTGATTAATATCGTAATTATCTCTTAAGAATTGAAATAATGCACTAATTTTATATAATAATGGACTATAATCTTCCAGGTGAAAGGGTAAATTTGATAATCTAACGTTCAACAAGGGTTTAACACTAAATTTTGGATGTAATCTATCATGTTTTTTAACAATTTTGATGAATCCCGTATAGTTCAATCTTTGGAAATGGTTTAATTCTTGAGTATAATTAAGAATTGAATCTAACTCATTTTGAAATTGATTAATATCCAAATCTTTATCCGCATTAGTTGTTTTAGCTTGTAAATTATTCAATTCATCGTTTAATTCATCAAATTTCTTTGCTTGGAAAGTATAAACTTTTTCTAAATCTGAATCCAAAGCGGCAACAAAATTTTGTTCATCCTTATCTGACCAGTTATTTTGCAATACAACTCCTTCCTTCAATAATTTCTTCAAATGAGTATAGTTAATATAGTACTGTTTCCAAGGAGCAAACGTCTCGGACTCCAACTTGGCTCCAAACAACATTGGTTCACTGGACCCACTCATTCCTGCTTGATTAATTGAAGTAGTTGGATTTTTCACTTTTTAAATATAATTTATTGATATTTCCCACGTGGGGGAAACATCGGTACACCAACAGGATCTACACCCTTACACCAAATCCCTTCTATTTACGATACTTACGATACTTACGATACTTACTATACTGATACTTACTCTACTTCCTCTACTTCATATACCATGCTACTTACTATACTGACTACTCCTCTGCTAGGCTACTTCTCTGCTATGCTACTTCTCTGCTATACCACTCCACTAGCAGTACTTCGCTGCTCACTGTAGACTCTTCAGAACGAACCTAATTAATTAATTAATTAATTAATACACAAATTGAACAATAAACTAATTGACAGGCATCGCTAATTTCATAGGGCATTAATTAAAGTTCAATAGTCATAGTCTTGTGGTGGAAATAGTTTATTACTGTTACTGTTACTGTACTGTTACCGTTACTGTTACTATTAACATTACTATTACTGTTACTATTAATATTACTATTACTGTTACTACTACTATTAGAGTATGAGATGCCTAGATGCTCTTTTGCAACCACATTCGAGCTCTTACTAGCTTGATACCAAGGTTCTTCAGCCTGGCTCAAGCTCGTGCTGTTTGGCTATCTCTCAATACTGGTTGAGCTGTGGATATGGGTTAATCCGTTTTCATACTGGACCATCTATCTGAACACTGGTTAAGCAGTCTTACAAGCACTTACTAACTTCTATGACTGGCATATCACGTGTACATAACAGCCGTTCGTATAGTGATATTTTGTACCTAATAAATTATCATTGGAAGCTGACTAGTAAGCATTCAACGATACAACCCGAGGCCCTGGCTGAGCTGAGGTGACCGTTCAGTCCAGAATGTAGTAATACCGGCCACCACTTGTACCGTGTATATCTCTACTGTCGTTAGTAAGATTGAATACTTGGTTATTGGTCTATCTTTTGATGTACGGAGGTGTTCACCAAATTTTTTTTCACTATCATTAGATTTACTTCAAAATAAGTACCAGACCACTATAGCTCTAGCATCCAGAAACAAACATTGGCCGGTCAGTTGGTTTTATTGATGATAAGGTTTCTAGCTAACATTTTCGACTCCATCTCCAGTTTTTTAACTCAAGTTTACATTAAAAAATTCTCTACAATTGAAGATTATGATAAACCACTGCGTTCAGGCAGTGTCAGTAATCAACCTGAAACCACAATTGAAGCAAAAGATAAGATGTTAACTGCATCTACAGAATCAGATTATGGTACTGACCTATTCCCCAGTGAAAATTCCCGGTATGCGTCTTATTATAAGCCGAAAACTCCATCTCCTGTTGTTATTACCGATGATGAAGATGATCCAGATATTTCCTTTGATTTAACTTTTTTAAATCAACCCGATTCACCTCCACCAAAACCAACTAGCGACTATGATAGGGTTGTATCGAATTTCTACTTCCCAGCATCTCCAATATCAAAATATAACTACTCATTCATTGATACTATAGTTGATGTAACTTCAACTTTAACTGCTAATGATTTTTTCAAGATTGATAAAAAAAATTTTTTGAATAAAATTACTAAAGAACGTTTATTGAAAACTTCAAAATTGAAAAAATTATCTCATGATCAATATAATCAAGTTTTAAAATTATGGAATTCAAATGATATTAATAAAAAAGTTAAATCTCGTTTTGCAATTGATATTACTATAAAAGATTTGAAAACTTTAAAAGGTACTAATTGGCTAAATGATAACATTATTGATTTTTATTTAAATCTTATCTCTCTACAAAATTCAAATATCTTCTGTTGGACAACTCATTTTTATACTACTTTACTTAAAAGAGGTTATTCGGGAGTGGCTAGATGGTCTAAACGTAAAAAAATAAATGTCAATTCAAAAAATTTAATCATTATTCCAATCAATATCTTAAGTACTCATTGGTCCTTAGCAATAGTTGATAATATCAATCTTACAATCACTTATTATGACTCTTTAAATTCTTCTGGTAATTTAAATGCTTTATTATTAATTAAAGACTATATGATTCAAGAAGCAGTTAAAAATAATTCTCCTCTTAATTATCATGATTTTAAACTCATACCTAATTTTAAAACTCCTCAACAAGAAAATGGTAGTGATTGTGGTGTCTTCACTTGTACTTGTGCTAATTTCATCGCTAATAATAAACCTTTAAATTATTCTCAAAATGATATGTCAACTATTAGATCAAGAATGTGTTTTGAGATTCTAAATGAAAAATTAATCGATTAACTCCTTTTAAAAAATCTTATTTAAAATACTCTTACTTTCATGACCGGTTTTTTCAATTTTACTAATTCTTTCTTCATATCCAATGATTTTATAAGTGCTTCCTTTAATTTTATCACTCAAGTAATTTAATCTTTCTTTTAATAAACTTAAATCATTCAATTGACTTATCTTATTAACTTCTTCTTCATACTTGACAATCTTTGTATTCTCAATATTAATTAAATTTGTATAATAATCAACTTCATAAAATTTAAAGATTTTCTCATCTCCAACTAAGTCCTGAAATGCTGCCTTATATAATGGCCTTCCGGTAGATATACTACTCAAGATTCCTTTATCTCTCTTCAAACTAATTAAATCATTTTTTTCTAAAGTTGATAATGTCATCATCGTTTCATTAGATGATTTAAATAATGGACATTTATTCATTTCTTCAAAACTTATCTCATCTTTATCACTTAATAACCTCATTATAGTCCAAATTTGTGCACTTGACCAGTTAAATTCCTTATTATCTGTATGATTCAAGAAAAACGTAGTCACTTGTTCTGCTGCTTGACTGACCATTTCATTCAATGCATCTTTAGGGGTTTCTCCGGATTTAATACGTCTGACAAAGGCTTGCAAATCTAACATTCTTCCTCCCAAAGGTTTCAAACAAGTGTCAATTTCGTGCTTGGCTTCAAAATCATTACCTAATTGATTGATCACGTATTGCTGTGAACTCTTTTCTGAAGCATCTGACAATGATATCGTCTTGAAAACTTGATTGGGTAATGAATCAGTCAAATGTTGTATACTTCCAACATCATGGGTGATATAAATAACATGGGCTAAATTACTTTGAATTAATTGAGCAGTCCAATCACTGAGTAGTTTATAAATGAAATCATGATTGCCATCGGTTTTCTTCATGAATTTATCAATAACAATAATTGGTTTTTCTTCAGGAAATTGCTGCAAATAATCATCTTCTTTGATAACAACTTGCTCTCCATTATGTCTGTTTCTTCTCTCAGTTGCTTTCTGATAGTCATTAAATCCAGAAAGTCCAACCGATCTGATTGCTTGAGTAGCCAACAGTAAGATGTTTTTCAATTGAGTTTCTTTGGATTCACTTAATCCCGATTTTTGACCAGTAACACTTTGAACTCCCAAATCAATAAATTGTGATACCGAATTGGTCCAGGTAAAAATAGGGAAGTATCCAACTTGATTAGCGAAGTTTTGAATTAACGAATTATCAGATCTTGACTTGGCTAAATTATCACAATCAATAAATAAAACTTTTTTACCCAATACTGGATCATTACCCAAGGTATGTTCCATAACAAATTCTTGTTTACCAGAACCTTTTGGACCTTTAATAATCATAAATGTATTAATATTTTCGTGTATCCATAATTTCAATTGTTTAATTCTTTCAAATCTTTCATTCCATAAAATATTAATTTTTTCGGAATCTCCAGATGATTGTTGTAAACCAATGATTTCTTCACAAGTTGAGTTCAAATGGTCATCAATATAATTATATCCAGTAGTAATCCAACCTTTAACGGTTTGAAAAGGGCTATAAATAACTTTGACATATTCGTTATCTTTATATTTCTCCAAAGAATACGTTTGACCAATTTTCAGTTCAATGAAAAATTGTCTAATCGGATCAAAAATAAGCACGGCAACGGTTGCAATAATAGCCAAAATTGTAGGAATCGAGATTCTTTGATGATTCACAATAAAGTCAGTAATATAATTGACTCTTTTAATTGGAATGTATTGTAAGTGCAATACAGTTTTCCCTTTATTCAATGATAAACCAGTAACACAATTTTTAGCACTAATGGCAGATTTAATACCACGGAAGATTATAGTTGCAAACGGATCTGCTTTAGGTGGAATGATATCTGTTATCAAACCGTACCTTCTGAATAACAAGTACAATTCCTCTTCAGTCAATGGATCACCTTCAAAAATCACTTTTATTCTTGAACTAGGAAATCTACTCAAATCTTCAATCCAAGGAACACCCTTAACTTGATGAGCAGTTGGATGGTTATTCCATATTAGGTTTTGAACAAATTTAAAGATGTTTTTATGAGAATCAAGTTCGTTTTCCTTAATATTTGATTCAATTTGATTGATAAACTCTTTGGAAGTCATATTTTGCGGAATTTGATATTTGACAAATGCCCCACCATCTCTTTTCAAAGGCACCAAATCGACGATCTTAGCATCTGATGGTAACGGATTAGTATCGGTATTGGTTAATTTCTCAACCTGTTCAATTACCTTTTCGTTAGTATATCTGTTTTGTACAGACGATAGCAAAAACCTAAAATATTTTTGGAATTGAAGTTTCGAAATAGCAAATGGATAAAGATGATTGAAATACAACACAGTTTCTGTTTGGTGCTGATACTCCAACACCCCAGTTGTTTCTGCAGAGTTGTCGGTATCAATTTGGTTATTCTCCTGCTTCAAGTTTTCAACATCCCAAGAATAATGTCTCACCAATTGATAACGGAAACCCTGAGGTCTCGACTTAGCAACCGAAATCCTTGATGGAACCAACAACCTTGTTGATAATCTGGAATACATTTCAAGTCAATTGATGTCGAAATACAATTAATCTCCTACAGGTGGCGATATATCGAATTTATATAAAAACCCCTGCTACTTTATTTGCTCTTTTTTTTTTCTTTTTGGCTGACCAGCCGCAAATTCGGAGATTATCAACTAACCAAAGGATCTTGATCTTCTACTAAGACTCCTGATTGCTAGGTTATATGGTTGAAAGTGTACTTAAAACTAGAGCACGTCTACAAAAAGTGAATGTATCAGATCAATTATCAACCAACAATGCAACCATTGTTGGCTCTACCTCCATAGCGTACCAAAAATATCCTATATGTACTGAGAAGTAGAGGCCAAATTGATCGTGAAGACATCATTCTAGGCTTCGCTTTGAATCATTATACCACGGAAGCAAAGGTATAAGGATCTTCGAAGAGGCCAGTATAACTCGGGTACTAAATGCAAAAAAACAAAAAAAAAAAAGAAGATATAATACCCCAGTTAATTCTTGCGGAAAAAACTCCAACTACAATCATGTCATTGCAGGTATCAGCGTATATTCGGTCTATGTAGACTTGGGTATCGATAACTGGAGGAAAAGAAGAAGCAGAAGAACTTGTTGTAGTAATGAAAATTTTTTTCAAATTTATACGGTACCGAAATCGTGCGGGTAACAGTAAACTGTGACTACATAATGAACTAGGGTCGAAAGGACATTAATATACAAATATACAGAAGAGAAATCTAATCAATGTTTGCCGAAGGAATGAAGGAATCAGGATGTTTCAAGAAATCGGTAGTTTTCAAAGGTCTGACTTGATTTGGATCCATGTTTGTAGTGACTTTCTTCCCACCTTTATAATTTTCTCTAATATATTCCTTCATGGATTTGAGAGCAGCTTCTCTGCAAAGTTCACGCAAGTCTGAACCACTAGAGCCTTCAGTATCGGCCACGATGGCTTCCAAGTCGAAGTCGTTTTCGTCGAGTTTAGCGTCCACCAAGATTTTTCTCAATATGGATCTTCTTTGTACCGAAGTTGGTCTACCAATTGAGAATTTCTTAGGGAGTCTTCTCATGAAAGCAGCATCGATATCGTGTTGTCTATTAGTAGCACCCATCACCATTATTCTACCATTGGAGACCAACCCGTCCCATAGAGTCATGAATTCAGCTTTCAACATTGAACTGACCTCATGATCGCTCGAAGAACGATCTCTTAAAAAGGAATCAATTTCATCAATAAATATAATACAAGGTTGTAATTTGTTTGCTAAGGAAAAAATGGCATCGACAATCTTATTGGATTCCCCATACCATTTGTCCATTATAGTAGACATTCTTATCAGCAAGAAAAAGGCTCCACTTTCCTTAGCAATGGCTTTTGCCAACATGGTCTTACCACAACCCGGAGGTCCATAAAACAATACCCCTTTTGGTGATTGGACCAAACTAGAATGGGCAGAAAACAAGTCTGGTTCGGTTAATGGTAAAATGACTGCTTCATGTAATTCATCAATAACTTCTTGCATCCCTCCAATATCTTCAAATGTAACGTTTATATCCTCGGGTGTTACTAATGAATTAAGCAATGATTTCTCATATTCATTGAAAACCAAATTCTTCAAGTCTGGATTCACTTGCTGTATTTTCTTCAAAACAGTGGCTCCTTTCTTCTTAGCTTCTTTGGTTTTAACAGAGTTATCAATAGAGTCGTTAAGAAGGTGATTCAACATATAATACATTGAGAGTCCTGCTCCCGTAAGGAAAAAGAGATCTCCCAAGAGCTTAAGATCAATCTTGACCCCCCACAATTCCAACTTGAGTTTATTCATTGTAGCTATCTATCCCGTAATCAAAAACTCTAATGTTCCATCAAGGAGGCGATTTGTTGGATAAAGCTGGAGTTGGACTTTTTTTCTAATCAAATGATAATCCTGTATATGCCAATCCACTAACAAAACTGAAAAAAAAAAAAAAGATTCAACATGCTTCTGATGAGATGAGTTTGATTTATAGAATACCTCAGCATTAGCATAAACGATGGCATTTGGAAAGGATAGGAGGTCTAGAAATGAAGAAGAACGCCATGGTATAAAACTTCCGGGTGAACTTCTCGACCAAATCAATTCTACTAGCTATGATAGCGATACAAGATTTAGTCAATTCAATAATAAGAAGAGGAAGAAGTCAGAGCCACAGATTTCAAGAAAGGAGAAGAGGAAACAAGAACGTAACTTGAAAAAGCATAAGAAGTCGAAGAACCAGCCGAACCAGAGAAGTTCAAAGGGTCACGAACAGACACCGCAACAGAGACATAGAAGTGAAGATGATCTTGAAGAAGACCTACAAGAAGACGATTCTATGAGAGCTTTGAAAGTGAAGAAAGCAAACGTAAGCGAAGAACACGACGATCCTTTGGCTGCCTTGAAAGCATTGAAACAGTTCAAAGGATCGAGAAGTAATGGTGATATTCGCATCGTAAAAGAAGATGATTTAGATGATGAGCTAAGTGAAAATGACCTAGGTGATGAACTAAGTGAAGATAATCTAGATGATAACGACTCAGCTGATGATCAGTTGGAGGAAGATGAGTTTCAAGGTTTCGATGAAGATAGCAGAGGCAGTGAAGAAGAAGTTGATGAAGAACTAGACTCAGACGATTTTGATGAAGAAATCGACGACGATGAAGAGATTCCAGATGATCCTCTTGCACAATTAAAAGCTTTGAAAGAGGCCAAGTCAAAAGATAAACCCAAGGAAACGAAAAAAGGTAAAAGCAAAGCTCCTGAGCCTGAATTGGTTCCTGATTTCTCTCAGTCGGGCGGTAGAGAAGAGGACGATATGGAGTTCTATGCCAAAAAGTTAGGTTTGAAAAATGGTAAGAAGTCAAAATTGTCAAAGGAAGACGATGACGATCTTATTGGTGGGTTGCTTGATGGTTTGGACTTTGACTATTTGGACGGGTCTGAATCAAAAGAAACAAAAGACTCAAAAGATACAAAAGCCTCGAAAGGTAAGGATTCCAAAAAGAATAGCGATCTTCCTTTTAGCTCAGATGATGAAATAAGTGAAGGTGATTTTGATTCAGATTTAGGCTCTGAACTCGAAGGTTTAGAGTCGGAATCTGGTGAAAGCGACGATGAAGATACACCACGAGTCAAGGAAAACCCTTATGTTGCACCTGTACAAGATAATTCAAATTCAGAAGATGAGACTGATGGGAATGGTGAAGCTCCTAAAAAATACATTCCTCCTGCATTACGTCGTAAATTAGCATTAGAATCTTCAGAAGTCTCTCCCGAAATATTAGCTCTTCAAAAATCCATCAAGGGGCCCTTAAATAAATTATCGGAAGCTAACATTGGATCAATTGTGAATGAAATCAATGGTCTATACACTTCTTATTCAAGACATCATGTCACAGATAACATTGTTTCTATTGTATTGGATAGTATAGTTCAACAAGGTAGACTTCTTGATACTTTTGTTTATTTGCATGCTTCATTAGTTGTTGCTATTTATCGTTTACAAGGTGCTGAGTTTGGTGCTTTTTTTATTCAAACATTGGTTGAAAAATTTGAAAAATACCAAAAGGAAGATACCCAAGGTAAAGAAGCTTCTAACGTAGTATCCTTATTATCCTCAGTTTATATGTTTCAATTAGTCTCTTCAAAATTGTTATACGATATCATTAAAACATTAATTAATGACCTTAATGAAAAAAATGCAGAGTTATTGGTAAGATTAATCCGAAACTCAGGTAATCAAATGAGATCTGACGATCCTTCCTCGTTAAAAGATATTGTTCTTTTGATTAAAAATAAAGCATCTTCACTTACATCAGATCAATTAAATACTAGAACTCAATTTTTAATTGAAACTATCACCTCTTTGAAAAATAACAAGCTTAAGATTAATAACGAGTCAAGTCACCAGTTGACTATTAGATTGAAAAAATTCTTGGCCACTATCAATAATAATAAATTCAATGATCCAATTCAAGTGTCGCTTGATGATATTCATAATGTTGAAACAAGAGGAAAATGGTGGCTAGTTGGTTCTGCCTGGAAAGGACTTGATAACAACACGGAAAGTACAGAAGTAAACGTTAATCAAGAAGCTTTGGATGATATCTTAGATAATGCTGAACCCAATTGGATGGAATTAGCTAGACTGCAAAGAATGAACACAGATATTAGAAGAGCCATCTTTGTTTCGATCATGTCAGCTAATGATTATGTTGATTCTCTTACTAAATTGGATAAGTTAGCCTTGAAAAGGTCTCAAGAAAGAGAAATACCTCGTGTCTTAATGCATTGCACAGGTGTTGAACCTGCTTGGAACCCATACTATGGAGTTTTAGCAGCAAAATTATGTGATAGTCATCAACACAGAAAAACTTTTCAATTCATGCTTTGGGATTTACTAAAAGAATTAGATGGTCCACAAGATAATGATTCTGAAGCAGAGGACTTCACGGGTTTCGATAATGATGAAGATGATGAAAGCAAATTGAAAAGGATTCTCAATTTGGGTAGATTTTACGGTTTCCTTTTAGCTGAAGGTTCATTGCCTTTACACATTTTAAAAAACATCAACTTTTTAACTGCTGCTAGTGACAGTAAATTACTTTTGGAAGTATTATTCGTCACCTTATTGGACAACATTGCTAAGAAGTCACAAGTCAATGCTGTAGGTACTGGATTGAAATCAAAAAAGGGTCAAGACCAAAAATTTGATGATAGAATATTAATCGAAAGGTTGTTGAAAGCCAGGGAACAAAAATCTTTATTAAGAGGGTTGCAATATTTTTTGGTTGAAAAAGTACAGAAGAGTGACTTCATCAGTGGTAAAAAACAAAGAAAGAGAATTGATTGGGCCATTAACTCTTTGCAAGATATTATAGATGAATTCTTGAGAGAATCTGCAGACTGAATACAAGTAATTAAAGTTTACCTATGTACATTAATCTATAAATCACTTCTACTTAATTATGCATTATATAATTCTTTTTAATATAGCGACAGACTCGACATGCTTTGTTTGTGGGAAGAAGTCAAATCCTACAACATCTTGAATTTCATATTGTACAGACCCATCTTGTTGCAATAAATTTAACATTTGTAAATCTCTTGCCTGAGTGAAAGGGTTACAACTGATATACACAACCATCATGGGTTTAAATTTAAGAAGTTGTTTTAAAAAACTTTCATTTGATCCTTTACGGGAAGGATCCATTATCAAGATAGATTTGTCACCTGTCACTTGTGAATCAGCAAACACTTGATTTGAGAACAAATCTTCGGAGTTTCCAGCAATGAATTCAGCTTTTTCTGGAAGCTTTAGGCCGTTGAGGCTTGCATTATGCTCTGCATACTTAATAGACTTTTTGGAAATTTCTATCCCAAATATCTTTCCATCTTTCTCGGGAACCTCTTTAGAAAGTGAAATACCAAAAAAACCTGAACCACAGTATGTATCAACTATATATTTGAAATTTAAATTACTTTCGTGAATATGATACTTGATATAATCAATTACTTGTGGTAAGATATAAGAGTTGTTTTGAAAAAATTCAGAGGCTTCAAATTGGAATACAAAGTCCCCAACCTTTTCAGTAACAACCTTTCCTGTGTCTGTTATACAGACTTGATCAAAATCCCCTGTTTTATGATCAAGTCTAATGCTGTCTCGCAAAAAAAGAGTAGGACTAATCTTAGCCTTTATTCGTTGCTTGGTCAGCATTTTATTTATCTGTACTCTATCTAACTCTTCAAGAACTTTGGATTTTAATTTAGGAAATTCTTGGTTGATCAGAGGTGTTGCGATTGGACAATGATCTATGTCAACAATACCAACAGGGTCATGTATGTCATTAAAACCAATTTTTGTATCTAAAGGTTTCACATCTCTTCTAGGTTTGAAATGAGGAGTGATTTTGGTTCTGTAAGAATATTGCATCGGAGAATCCATAACGCTCCCAAATCCGTCAGCCCTTTTAGCTTTGAATTCTTCATAAAGTGATGGATAGTAAAATTTAAATGCTCTTTGAATGACGCTTTGCTTAAAGCGAAGCTGGTCATCATTATTCATCATTTGTAATTGACACCCCGAACATTGATCAAAGTTGGAGCAGACTATAAGTCTATCATTTCTGCGAGTGAGCCTCGACCTCGAATTCAATACTTTTACTAATTCACCTTCTGAATGTATAGCCATATGTCTTCCTATCTTTACATCTATAATATCACCTGGAATTGCCTTTGGAACTCTCACAACAGTATGACCGGCTTGGGCTTGATCGTTTAAGTATGACCGTCTTGGAACAAAACAAAGGCCATCTCCATTAGAAGTCAAATAAATAACTTCAACTTCATGAGCAATAGAATTCATCAGGCCTGGTTGAGAGTACAGCTCTGCTAGATCGCTTGGGATTTCGAGATCTTTTACAGCTAAATCTAACTGATTTGTACTATTGAAAATATCAAGAGCCTCTTGTACTTCATGAAAGAAAACACTAACCCTTGATGCAACACCGGCTTCATCTCTCTTGGATTTGAGAAAATGTTTCCAATATTTTCTAGGTTTAATCTCATTTCCTACTTGGTCTTGGATTAGAACAGATTTTGAACTATTTCCTGGAATATTACTGGGAGTAGTGGGTTTTAACTCTATACTACTTTTACTAAAGCTTCGAGTTGCAAATATGTTCTTTGGATAACGATAACGCCCCGATCGTATTGAAGCTATCATATCAAGCTTCAGTGTGTTCCTAATCATCTCATCCGATAGAAAGAGACTTTAGTTTTGAGATGGGATAAGCAAAATCCTGCTCGCTTTTATTGGAGAAGAGAACAATTACTTCAGCTGCGAATTTTTGATTTTAAATCTCTAACTACATCAATTTGTCTATAAAAATATCCATTAACACGTAAATATATTAGTTTCGAAAGCGGTTGGAAGCGGAGAAAAAAAAATTTGAAGATTAAAGAAATGTGAAAGAGCTAACAATTCAAAAGATACGTAAGAAGAGAATATGTAGTAACTAAGCTGCAGCATCGGTAAGAGGCACTTGAGTTTCTTCCTCAGGGTAATCTCTCAAATCCAAAGTGACTGTTTTGGAGCTGTTTTCCTTTTGTTCTCGATAAATACCAACAAGGGCATCTGATTTTTCAAATAAAGAGCTCTTTAAAGATATGACAATAAATTGGAAATCTGGTCCAGCATATTTTTTAAGGTAATTAGCAACTTTGTTGACGTTTGAATTATCCAAAGCAGCATCAACTTCGTCAAGAACGAAAAATGGCGATGGTTGATAGGAATGGATTGCAAATAATAAAGCTAATGCTGCAACGGTTTTTTCACCACCCGATAATAATTCCATATCTCTGAATCTTTTCATTGGAGGCATAGCATGATACTTTATACCAGCACCATAAGGTTCGTCTTCGTCTTCCAACGTTAAGTAAGCAGATCCACCTAATGGCGAGGCAGCTGATTTTGTTAATTCTTTGTAAATCAGATCAATTTCACCAGAAATATGATCAAAAGCATTCATAAATAAGTCGGTTCTTCGTTGTCTTACATCATTGAAAGCATCAACGATTTTTTGCTCCTTTTGTCTTGCTTTTGTAAAATCTTTATCGAATGATTTCAATTTTGTTTCGACTTCTTTCAATCTTTCCACAGCCTTGGCATTTGGTGTGAGTTGCTCCAATTCACCAATTACTGATTCAAGTCTTGCTTGTAATTCAGCTTCTATTTTCAAATTGAAATTTTCACGTAAACGTTCACTTAATAAAGAATAATCCAACTCTATATCGTAAACTTCTTTAATCAAAGTGTCGGTGTCATCACTAAGAGAGAAGGATTCCAAGAACCCATCTTTAAAAGGGATATCGATACTGGAAATTTTACAGTTTTTCAAAATATTGACCCTTTCAGTATCTACTTTAAGTAAAACTTCACCAACGTTGGTAATCGCTTTATTCATATTTTTGATTTCTCCTTCAATTTCATTAACAGTAGACTCAAGGGATTTAGAACTTTTCAAACTTTCTTGGAGAACGTTAACTGCAGCCTCTTTTTCGGAGCGAGTGACATCTAACTCTGCTTCGAGACCATCTGATACACTCTTGATTGATTCTATTTGTTCATCAACGGTAGCAAGGTTTTCATTGTGTTTTATCAAATCTTCCCGTAACTTCTTTTCTCTTTCCTCTATGTCACGAAGACGATCATCTTGAAACTCTAATTGGTTAGTTAGGGATGCAATCGTTTTAGTGAATTGAGTTCTTTCTTTGGCTTTGTTTCTCAAGGAAGAACCATGAAGGTTTTCATAATCTGTTATACCATTTGTGAATCCATGTTTACGAGAGAATTCGGAATAGATTTTGTCTTGTAACTTTTTAATTTTTGTATGGGTTTGATTCAATTTTGAATCAACATCCTTCATTGAAGAGTTTTGGTTTTTGATATTATTTTCCAATTCTTTTATCAAATCATTGTGAAATTGAATTTCTGATTTCCTTTCATTAATCTTTCTTTCAATGTTTGATGTTTGATTTCTCAAAATTGGGATCTTATCCTCAATCAGGTGGATTTCTTCCATAAGCATATTAATTTCAATTTCTTTTGGTCTCTCTTCTGCTAAACTAGCCAAGGATGTTGTGAGATCATCTTTTCTTTCGGTGAGAGCCTTCCATTCAGTCTTATCCCATCTCATGGAGCCAGGTGATTTATTTTCTTGCTGACCAGCAGTCATCAAACCAGATTTGTGAATAACTGAACCATCCAAAGTAACCAATTTGTTATCTAAGTTATGATGGGATTCCCATTTTAATTCCCTTGCAGTATCAATGGTGTCCACTACGACAGTATCACCAACAACATACTTGATAGCCTTTTCTAATGAAACGTCTTCAAAATCAACTATATCAATTGCAGGTTTGGCATGAGGATGAACGGTTCTTAAATAATTAAGATTAATAGGATCGTTAACCACTGAGTCAAGAGGTATAAAAGTAGCAACACCTGCACGTCTCTCTTTCATAATTTCAATACACTTATAAGCAGTGGAGGTGTTTTCAACAATAATGGCATCGAAATTCCTTCCTAATACAGTCAGGAGAGCATTTTCAAATTTCTGTTGGGAAGGACGAACTAATTCATAAACGAGTCCCCTAATAGCACCTTCTTTGAAGGAATTCTTCAACATGGATACATTTTCTCTCAATTTTTTTTGTTTATTTGATTCTCTTTGTTGGGAAGATAATTCATCCAATCTGATCAATACATTACGTAATTGAGTATTTAATTCTAGTTCTTCGAAATTTGCTTCTTCTTTTCTTTTGATCAAACCATCTTTCATGTCTGATTTCTCTCTTTTCAAAGTCAAGAGGTCATTAAGTTCGGTAGTTAAATCGACAAGTTTAGGTTTTAACTCAATACCAATAATTGATTCTAGTTCTGATATTCTAGAAAGAGCATTATTTTTTTGATTATTATAATTATTAATATTGGAGCTTATCAAGTCTTTCTCATTGAACAACAAACTGAGGTCCTGTTCCAATTGAGAACCCCCATTTGCCAAAAATTCATCTCTTAATTCCTCATATTCCTTGATTGCTTCTACTGAAATAGTGGAATTTTTAGCTGATTCAATGGCTTTGCTTTCAAATTGTCTGAAAAGCCTTCTCGTATCATGAAGTTTCTTTTCGATCTTTTTCTTTTCAAGTTTTTGCTTTGTTATATCTTCTTGAATATCTTTTATTTTTCCTTCACACAAATGAATTTTACTAATCAATGATTTCCTACTTGCTTGAATAGGGAATAATTCTCTAGTTTTAGACTCGGATTTAGAAGTCAAGTCTGATATTTGTTGATCTATTTTCTTCACATGAAGATCTCTTTTTGAATATTTTGAAATGATGTTTTTATAAGATTTTTCTTCTTGCGATAGTTTGTTTTGCAAATACTTCAATTCCTTTTTCTTATCCTTCAAATCATTCAAGAGGTTATCATGCTTTTGCTCACTATGGTAAAGCTTGTACAAGTGAATCATTTTGATAAGTTTATTTCTCTCAGTCAATTTGTTTTCAAATAGCTCTTGTTCGATAAGTTGTTCTTTATATTGTTTAGATTCAGAATTTAAAGTTCTCTTTCTGGAGAAGACTGAAGTAGAAAATTCATGTGCTTTATCTTGTTCTTCTTTTAATCTTTCATATTCACTAGTGAGCTCATTGGATCCACTAATTGTTTCTATTAGACTAGTCAAATCTTTAGGGGATTGAGCAGCAATCTGTTCGACGTCACCTTGAAAAACTAGGAAATTTCTAGCCTTAATCAAAATATTTTCTGCTTTCAAAACCATTGAATACTGCAACGCCGTCACCGTTTTATCGTTGATTTTATAATCACTGTTACCATTTGCTGTAATCGTCCGTTTCAAATTCAATCGCTCTCCATTAGATTTTTCATAAATCGCAATAACGTGTGCTTTAGTGGGATCTCGTGAAATATCTTCAGCTGTATTTTCAATTATCGAGCTATTGGCACCACGACGGCCTCGGTATATCAAGTCTTTCAAGTTGGATGACCTCAAATGCGATGATTTCACCCCCAAGACAAACGAAATGGCATCCATCATATTCGATTTCCCAGCACCATTGGGCCCAATGATTGAAGTGAACGATGACGTACCAAACCCGATCACCGACGTACCTCGGTACGACTTGAAGTTATGAAGCTCCAATCCAATAAGTCTACCCATGCTTTCGTTTCAATACAGGTTGGTTCTATTGAAGAAAGAGTGATTTAAACGCTGATGTGATGGATCTTTTTGTTTATCGTAAAGTAAGACGCGTCTCTTTTTTTCATATTTGATGCAAATGTCGTGCACTGACGAAAGCTCAAATATCAAAAAGAGATTCGGCCGATAAGACTTGATGGTGTACGGGTCTTGCCGCACGATAAAGCCCGAGAAGCAGATTAAGGATTAATCAAGTTGAATAATTAGAGGTTATAATATCAAAGTATAGCTACCATGACAGGTTATCCAGAAAAAGAGCCATTATTGGGGTCTGAGCGTACGCGCAGGTTTGCTGCCGATAACGAGGTGTCGACTATAACTTGCACTCCTCTGTTCTCGACCCTTTTAGCCAATCCTTTTCAATGTCTACCCCAATTGACAAAACAGAAAAGTAATGAGGATGAAGTTCTGGATGATAGCGAGATAAGCTATGTTGATGATGATGAACAGCTACCAGACCTTCCTTATGTGACTAGTCCTACGGTCCTCCCTGAATCGGTCATGGATACAAAGACTAAGTTATTAGAATTGAGGAGATTGATGAAACATCATGGAATTGGTGTTTATATAATCCCTTCGGAAGATGAACATCAATCAGAGTATACTGCTTTGGCTGACAAGAGACGGGAATTTATATCAGGTTTTACTGGAAGTGCTGGTTTGTGTGTGGTTACCCTTGATGATGCGGATGAATTAACTGGTGAAGCAGCCTTATCAACAGACGGAAGATACTTCTTACAGGCTCAGAAACAACTTGATTTTCGATTCTGGAGACTTTTGAAGCAGGGGGTTGCTGGCTTTCCTTCGTGGAATGTATTCGCTATTGAAAAGGCAATTTCAAATAAGTTTAGTAAAGTTATCTCGTGTGACCCTAGATTGATTAGTGTTTCAGTAGGTGAATATTTCGAAAGAGTGAGAAGAATACAATATCAGTCAAAGTTTGATTTCAAACCATTGCTTGACCTAAACTTGGTCGATGAGGTTTGGGGATTGGAAAGACCCACTAGATCTTTAAGTAAAGTCTACCCCTTGCCTATAAAATACTCGGGTGAACATACCAATGATAAAATCAGCAGAATCCGTGATGTTTTGAAATCAGATAAGATCAAAAGTACTCACTTGGTTATTACCGCTTTAGATGATATAGCTTGGCTTTTCAACTTGCGAAATGATGAGGATATTCCTTTTTCACCGGTCTTCTTCAGCTATGCAATTGTTACATTGACCAATGTTACATTGTATATTCATCCTGCAAAAATTGACCACACATCTTCTGAGCTAACTGAACATTTGAATTCAATCGTGGGTTTATCCATTAGAAATTATGACCTCTTCTATAATGATATCCAAAACCTTAAGGGAACTATCGGTGAATGTGTAAAAATTGTTCTCCCAAGTAGAGCTAACGCTTCTTTTGCCTTGGTTTCTTCTATCCCTCAATCTGTTAGTAAACAAACTATTGTATACAATTCAGTGGTTGCTAATTTAAAAATCTTTAAAAATAAAACGGAACTCTTCAACTCGAAAATTGCCCAATTTAAAGACTCATTGGCATTCATTTTATTTGCTTCTTGGTTAGACCATCAATTAATTAGAAAACGTTCCAAAATCGACGAGTATGAAGCTGCTAAGAAAATTTATTCTATCAGGGCCAAATTACCTAATTTCAAAGGGTTATCGTATGAAACTATCAGTTCCACAGGTCCAAATGCAGCTATAATTCACTATGCTCCAACTAAAGATGAAAAGGCGGTCATCGACCCAGAGGCGGTCTATTTGATTGATTCAGGCGCTCACTATTTTGAAGGTACTACTGATATAACTAGAACATATAAGTTTGGATATGAAGGTATAACCGAAGAGTTGCGTAAGTTTTATACATTAGTATTGAAGGGTCATTTGGCAGTGGCAATGGCGAAATTCCCACCTAAATCTGCATCTACTGGTACAATACTCGATGCATATTCTAGACAACCACTATGGAATGAGGGTGCTGATTTCAATCATGGTACCGGCCATGGAGTAGGAAGTTTCGGAAATGTGCATGAAGGTCCTCTTTATATACTGACTACTGCTGGTGGGGCTGCTGATACGGATCTATTCAAAACGGGAGCTATACTCACAGATGAACCAGGATACTACGCGGATGGAAGATTTGGAATCAGGATAGAGAGTGAACTTGAAATTGTCGAATGTGATGATAGAATTGGGAAGACTAGAAATGGAGAAAATTTCTTAGGTTTTGCCTATTTAACCAAAGTTCCCTTTTGTAAAAAGTTAATTGATACAAAATACTTAACGCAGATAGAAGTGACTTGGGTCAATGAGTACCACAAGAGTATAAGAAATGACTTTGGAGAAAAGTTATTAGAAATGGGTGATCGAAGAGCATACGCTTGGTTATTTAGAGAAACTTCTCCTATTATAGATTGATTTGATATTACGATATGTCCTTTTATGAAAAATTGAATAAATAAAAATTATATTAAAAATTACATTAAAGAAAACTTATATACTATAATATACAAAATATTAGAATTGAAATCATAATAACATTAGCCTAATTCAGACTAAACGAAGCTGAGTAAAGAGTCGGAAATCCCATGCTTCTGTTTTTCGGTTTGGAATAAGCTGGACGTTGAAAACTTCCTGGTCTTTTCAAACCTTTCGCATTTGTTGAACCTTCATTGGAAGAATCCGCTTCGTCTTTCATAGAAGCAAAATTTGCTTTGTTTGATATAAATGGAGTTGCTTTGGATAACAGCAAAGTAGGTCCTTTTTCATCTTCGACAAACTCTTGTTTGACTGAAGAGTCTGCGATATTTTGCTGAGTACTTTCCGGCTTTTTATAAGTAGGCATTTTAAGGGCATGTGTAGAGCTCCAAAGATGTGATGAGGAGCTTGAAGTTAATGAGCTTCTAATATGATCAATATCAGATGCGATCTTTGATATTGATGAAATGTCACTTGAAACATGAGGTGTTGTCCTTGGATCCTTAGGCGGGGACATGGATTTCTGCTTTTTGTTATCATTTATTGATTCATCAACAGATTTTCTTTTCTGACCATTTAAATTAAGGTTGCGCATATCTAAAATGGATTCTGGTTGAGACGATGTTAAGCGGTAATCCTTCATCAAACCACGATTTAAAATACTAGACTTCGATGCTTTTTCTTGAGCATTTGTTTGGTTCTTTGTCAGATTCGAATCAGTGAGTCCTCCTTTTAAAATATATGCTGCTTTAGAAAGACTTTTGAACCTTTCTATTTGACCAGACTCGAGAGCTCCATCAAACAAAGAAGACATGATAGAGGAAACTGAAGTAGCAATTTCACGCAGATCACTATTTGTCCTAGAGAAGTGAGAAAGGGCCGCTGCTGCAGTAGCTGCAGATGCTGCCACAAGGGAAGACTTCGGTTCTTCTTTCAATCCGGTTACTGATATTATATTAAAAATATCAGTTATTGATTTAACAAGTTTGGGATCCTGTTCAGTAATATTGACTTTCTTCTCATCATCTTTAGCAGAACGAGCATCGTCCTTCTTTTGTTTGGCAATACGTTTTTCTCTTCTTCTGTTAAACTCTTCTTCTACCCAAGTCCTTTTTTCTGGAGAATCTTTTTCCCCAAAAGTGGAAGATGCTCTTTTTAAGACTCGTGATCTCAAGTCATTATCTTTATTCCTTTCTGCATTCTCTTCTCTCCAACGTTTCTTACGTTCTCTATTTTCAATTCTCACTCGATTCTTGTATTCGGGAGAATCGACGCTCGGCTTATCGACAATCAAAGATCCTTTATTTTTCAAGTAAGAATAGTCATAGATGGAGGAGATAATAGAATCACTCAAGGATGATATGCTTTCATTCTTAATTTTCAGAATGCCGGTAGTTACTTGTGAAGCACCAGCACTGAATAAATCTAAAGCCTTTTCAACTAATGATACTGCCCCATTATTACCAGCTTCCTTGGAACTACTCTCTAAGTATTTCTTTGCCATAGTTAAAGAATGTATCATACCTTCCTTTTCATTTTTATCGTTATAGCTAGATGCAATGTCATAAACAGATGGAATGTTTTTGGCAGAAGAGAAAGGTTGCAATCTCAGAGACAGAGAGGTCAATGAATTTGTCATTTGCCTAATAACTTGTAACAAGTTGTTGTCTGAACCACCTGTTGAGTTGATATGGCTGGATAGAGACGAAAGCATTTGGGATAGTTGAGGATTAATGGCAGGAGAAGTCAAGAGCCTTTTTGAATCTAAGGAAGCTATTGACGAATAATCCCTTGAAATATTTGACATTGATGATCTATGAAGGGCCAAAGTCTCGGCTATTGTCAATGGTTTCCGAGATGGGTCACTCAGACCAGAAGACTTGATACTATTCACAATAGACTGTGCAACCGAGCTTATCGAGTCTTGAGAGGATGAATCTTGTGTTGATTGGCTTTCTTTTGTGGTATTTTGCGATACATATACAGAAGGCGCTTTTTCTCCAACGGTATGTGGGACATTCCCGGTTGACATGGGTGGCTTTAATGTAGATCCTGTATTATTGGTTGATTCTTGCAATCCTGTTGGATCGGTCTTCTTAGTTGCATCATCGGTAATCAAATTCGGAGATGTTGCGTTCATGGCAGCTTGCCTTGATAATCGATCTATAGCAGGTGTGCCTGTAGCAGCTTGTATTTGGGATTTGGTAATTGGAAGGGATTTTGGAGCCCTAGGAGCAGGAGGCTTGCGTCTTGCCTTCGTTACTGATCCAGAAGCACGATCACTTGGTTTTGAATAATCTGGCAAATTCTTCGAAGAAGAGCCTTGGTATGCTTTGTTGATAACAGAGTCTGAATCGAAGGTTTTCTTTTGTGATGGCTGCGAAGAATATTCATCTTCCATTTCCAAATTTGTCAATAAATCATGTGGATTTTCCATCGCCATATTGAAAGCATTTTGTAAAATGAGATTCATTTGAAGGTTCTCGAGATCGGCATCATGCGATTCTTCCGCCACTTTTGAATGATTCTTGGGGAAAGACCGAGTGATATCCAAAGGAGGGTTTGATTCAATGGCATTTCTCACTGCAGATGCTAATGCGGCTTTGAGGTTAGAATCAGCAACCTGGTTCTTATAATTTTTTTCTTCTTCATCACGATGAGCTTCATTTTGAAAATGCTGGAAAATATTTTCATCAATCTGTGGCATATCGGCGACAGTATTGGGCTTCTTTATATTATCTTCGGATAACTGTAAATGACTGGTGACTTCTAGAGCAAGCTCCTTTAATAAATCTTGAGAAACTGGTAAATTACTTGAAGCAGAATCAGACTCTTGGTCGGTATTAACCATTTGACCCATTACGTTTTGAACAACTGCTGCAAGATCAACTTGCGAATCTTTAGGTAACTCTGCTATTGATTTCCTTCTCAATTCATTAACTAGTGCAGAATTTTGGGATACTGAAGCACTTCTTTGCTTTTGTTGATGGGAAGATTGAGAAGCTTTATTTCCAAGTGCACTATTGAATGCTTCGGAAATGGCTGATTCCATAAAAATATCCATTTCACCATGCTCATCAAATGCACCTTGAACGTTATTTCCGGCATTATCAATATCCTGATGATTCTGGGACTCACTATCTAAAAATTGATTCAAAGATGCGGATATTGTTGCGCTAAGTTCATCGTCATTAGTGTTGTTTGTCTGGTCTCTTTGAGCAAGAGAGTCAGAGGTTTGTTCTGTTGGCTCCGAATGATTTATTGAGCTCTGTTCGAATTTTTCAATATTAACCGGCCCTTCATTTGGCGTATGTGATTGGGGTGGCTTTGACAATCCATGGTCATCAACGAGTGACTTAAAAGCATCTCCTATAGCTGCTTCAAGATCATCATCTGGGTTATTATTTGATTCATTTGATTCATTTGATTCAGTAAATGTATTTTTCGGTATGTTTGTGGGTGTTGAGCCGTTATCTGCATTTTTCAGATTGACACCTTCGGGATGGTTGTTCTGCACATTTCTTTGATGAGTCTCCACTTGGCTAGAATCTTTGCTTTTAGAGTGAGACTCTTGACCAGATAAAAGCTTGAAGGCATCACCTATCGCGGTATCCAAGTCTAAATCATCGTCATTACTTTGATTGTGTGATACTGACTGGTTGACATTATTGGGAGTATCGTTTTTCGATTTGTTTTCATTCTCTTGATTTGGTCCAATTTCTAAGCTCTTGGGTCTCTTATCAACAGTGTCATGAGCATTGTATGGGTTGTTAGAAGATATAGAATCATTGCTAGTGGGCGGTATCTTTGAATGAGCGCTATGTGAATCTTGGTTTGTTACATCAGGTTGGTTTCCGGCACTTTCATGATGGTTATTATTCTCAAATGCAGTATCAAGGGCATCACCTATAGCAGCCTCCAAATCGAAATCTTCCATTTCGGAGTTACTTTTATTTGCATCATTTGTATCTTGTGTACTTGACTGTAGGTCGTTTTTCTGAGGCAGGTTATCTTCAACGTTAGCCACTAAGTGTGGAGTTTGATGTGGACTGTGATGAGAAGACAACTCTGAATGATTTATTTTGTGTGGAACATTTGAATCCTGGGGAAACTCGTGTTGATCCTGCTGTTTTGAAACCTCTTGCTCTGGCTTCTCCTCAGCCAGTCTATCTATTTGTCGCTCTGTATCCCTCTTTTCTTCGCCAGCCTTTTCTGACAGTTCACTGTGTCTTCGCATATTTTTTCTTGAATCAACTTCTGTATTAGAGTTTTCGTTCTCGTTGGATGTAAAATCAAACAGTTTGAAAACATCGCCAATAGCGTTCTGCAAATCCATATCCTCATTTTCGTTCAAATCGTGGTTATGGCTTTCGTCCTGATGATTGTGAGACTCAAACTGCAGTAGGTAATTATCTTGCTCTTGATTCGATTCATGGTTCTCTTGGTTATACTGTTGATGAGCATCTTGGTAGTCTATGTTTGTGTGATGGGCATGATCTCCGCCCTCCTGGAATTGATGGATCTGATCGTCCTGTTGCTCTGAGTTTGTATTATTAGGATTTTCATCGGGTAGATAACTCAACGAGGCAAGTGAGTCTTCGATAGCCTTATTTAGGTCGATGTTATCATCCTCACTATGTCCTGTATCGCCTGACATTGGTGAGAAATTTCAGTACTTCGTTTTCTCCTTATACTATTGACCTAAACTGCTTTCCAATAGCCAAAAGATATAGCTTATAGTCTATAATCGCTTATAGTAAGTTTACTTTGTTTTGATTTTTTTAGAGATGAACGGTTAATCTGCGAAGATTTACATGTTGCACCATACAGTTTTGCAGGTTACCCGATCCTCTACTATGAAAAGTTGCAAATTAAGATACATTCTAATTATTTACTGTAATAGCCAAGGTCTTTTCTCCCAGAATTCATCCTTGATGATGTCTACGTGGCACTCGACTATATCAGCCTTCTTCCGTTGTTTTTCAAGTCTCTGTTTTTGTCTATCGGAAAGCTCTTCTTCTTTCACTTCATTAGACAAAGTTTTCCAGTCATTATATTCACGGACTATTATGGTACCCTTTTTATATATTTCTGGTTCATTATTATAATTGATTTGAAATTCCTTGAATAAGATCTCATTTTTGTCGCTAGATACTGTTCCGATTAATCTATTTTCTGCTTCTTTCCCGGTCATTCCTGCTTTTAATATTAAATTCCAATAGGTAGTATTATATAAGTTATTGATATGACAATCTACTTGTCTCCAACTGAAGTAGTCACGTATTAAGGTGGATGTTGGATAAACCACTGCTCTTGCGTCAAAAGTTGGTAATCTTTCTGATCTGATTGGTTTTTCTGGAAACTCCTTGTTCCATTCAAACATGTAGTTTACAGACATAAATGATGCAAAGGTTGTGATCAATTTCATTTCTCTTCTTTCAAATAATGTGCACGATCGTCTCAACAAAAACGAATATTCGTCGGAATCCCCGTATGCCAATTGTATATCTGGAAATTGTTTCACTAGATTCATAGCTGCTCTATTCATCACTTGCAACGCCCTCAAATCGTTGGGTTTTTCAAACTCATACTCCTGGCTGAACTTATGGAACCCCTTCCCGTCTACCCTGATTATCAAGTATGTTTCTGGAAGTAGAAGATTCTCTCTTTCAAACTGCTTGACATACTCAAACCGTGAATTGGCCATGGTTTATCTTTCCCAATAGCTTTGATTCAAGGTCTTCTCTGATTTTTTTGTTTTTTTCTTTTTCTTTTGTTTGGTTCAATGAGATAAGCTTTCTACTCTGACGTCTCTTGCTTACGTACACTAGGAACCTGCTACTTATCCTTCGAATCTCAATGCAATACTAATACTACTTTGTATAATGGAGCCTCTTCGGTCTTTTTTTCTCTATCGTATATATAAGAAAAGGGCATCCTATGACCCGGTCGGATTTGGTTGGATCTGTTCACGTGACAATACATTGAATTTTCATTTCCGGGTAAAAAAATCTCATCTCTGCAATTTTTTTTTCCTCTTCTCATTGAATTTTTCACATCAAGATATATAATCAATAGTCTTTTTTTGATTTCGTATTGTATCCCATTACTATCTTTCATTAAACACGTAAAAACAGGATGGGAGCTCAATTCAGAACTCTTGAACGTGAAAAACGTTTCCAGAATCCTCCCAAGGATAAATCTGCATATCCATTATTGGCAGATGCCGTTGCACCTCATGTTGGTTCTTTTAATGCTTTAACTGAAGGAGAAGATGGAGGTTTATTGAATTTAGCTGTGAAGGACATTGGAACCAAAACTATTTTTGATTCCAGTGATACCGACAGATTAGGAAATAAGTTGAAGATCAGGGTTGAATCAGTTCAATTAGCCAAACCTGCTGTTTCTGCAAAGGATAAAATCTCTCTTAATAGAAGAACTTATCCATCAGAATGTAGGGAAAGAATGTCCAGTTACAGATCAAGATTAATGCTTAAGGTTACCTGGAGCGTTAATGACGGTGAAGAAATTTCAGAAATCAGAGAAGCTGGTCAAGTTCCAATTATGGTTAAAACTAATAGATGTCATTTAGAAAAATTATCACCAAATGAATTAGTTCAACAAAAGGAAGAATCCGATGAATTGGGTGGTTACTTCATTGTCAATGGTATTGAAAAAATCATCAGAATGTTGATTGTTCAACGTAGAAATCATCCCATGGCTATCATTCGTCCTTCTTTTGCTAACAGAGGTGCATCTTATACTAAATATGGTATTCAAATAAGATGTGTCAGACCAGATCAAACTTCTCAAACTAACGTTTTACATTATTTAAATGATGGTAATGTTACTTTCAGATTTTCTTGGAGAAAAAATGAATATTTAATCCCAGTCATGATGATTTTGAAAGCTTTAGTAGAAACTAATGATCGTGAAATTTTTGACGGTATTATTGGTGCTGATACCTCTAATTCTTTCTTAACCGATCGTTTGGAATTATTATTAAGAACTTATAAAGCTTATAACTTATACTCTAAACAAGAAACCTTAGCTTATTTGGGTGATAAATTCAGAGTTGTTTTTGGTGCCACTCCAGATGTTTCAGATATCGAAGTTGGTGAAGAAGTTATTAGAAGAATTGTTTTGGTTCATTTGCCAAATAACGTTGATAAATTCAGAATGTTATTATTCATGGTTAGAAAATTATACTCATTAGTTGCGGGTGATTGTTGTCCTGATAATCCTGATGCTACTCAACATCAAGAAGTTTTATTAGGTGGTTTCTTATACGGTATGATCCTTAAAGAAAAAATTGATGAATATTTACAAAACTTCAAAGCACAAGTTCAATCTGATATAGACCGTGGTATTGCCGTTAATTTCCACGAAAGAAAATATATGACCAGAGTCTTTTTAAGAATCAATGAAAATATTGGTCAGAAATTGCAATACTTCTTATCCACTGGTAATTTGGTTTCTCAATCTGGTCTTGATTTACAACAAGTTTCTGGTTATACTGTCGTTGCTGAAAAAATTAACTTCTATAGATTCATTTCTCATTTCAGAATGGTTCATAGAGGTTCTTTCTTCGCTGAATTGAAGACTACTACAGTTAGAAAATTATTACCTGAATCTTGGGGTTTCTTATGTCCTGTCCATACTCCTGATGGTTCTCCTTGTGGTTTATTAAACCATTTAGCTCATAAATGTAAAATCGCTACTAAAGCTTCAGATGTTTCTCAAGTTCCTGCTGCTTTGGCCAAATTGGGTGTCTCTCCAAGTCATAGTTTTGCTGCCGGTCCTGATGTTTGTTGTGTTCAATTAGATGGTAAAATCGTTGGTTGGACCACTCATGAACAAGGTAGAATTGTTGCTGATACCCTTAGATATTGGAAAGTTGAAGGAGTCAATGGTCTTCCCTTGGATCTTGAAATAGGTTACGTTCCTCCTTCTAATAAAGGTCAATATCCAGGTCTTTACATTTTTGGTGGTCATTCGAGAATGATGAGACCTACTAAGTATTTACCTACCAGTAAAACCGATATTTTAGGTCCATTTGAACAAGTCTATATGGATGTTGCTGTCACTCCAGCTGAAATCCAAAAGGGTATTCACAGTCATGTTGAATTCTCTCCAACTAATATTTTATCCATCTTAGCTAACTTAACTCCATTTTCTGATTTTAACCAATCCCCAAGAAATATGTACCAATGTCAAATGGCTAAACAAACTATGGGTACTCCTGGTGTCGCCTTATGTCATAGATCTGATAATAAATTATATAGATTACAAACTGGTCAAACTCCGATCGTTAAAGCCAATTTATATGATGATTATGGTATGGATAATTTCCCTAATGGTATGAATGCTGTTGTTGCTGTCATTTCTTATACTGGTTATGATATGGATGATGCGATGATTATCAATAAATCCGCCGATGAAAGAGGATTTGGTTATGGTACTGTCTACAAAGTTGAAAAAGTTGATTTAGGTCAATCAAGAAGAAAATTAGATCCAATCATCCAACACTTTGGTTTTGGTGTTGATGAATGGCCAGAATCTTGGAGGGAAAAATTGGATGCTGATGGGTTCCCATTAATTGGTGTCAAAGTTGAAGAAGGTGATCCTGTCTGCGCTTATTATGATGATACTTTGGGTAAAACTAAAGTGAAGACTTATCATTCCAGTGAACCAGCCTATATTGAAGAAGTTAAATTATTAGGTGATGACCTGGGTGATCAAGAATGTCAACAGATAACAATTAAATATAGAATCACTAGACAACCATTAATTGGTGATAAATTTTCATCTAGACATGGTCAAAAGGGTGTTTGCTCTCGTAAATGGCCTCAAATTGATATGCCATTTTCTGAAACTGGTATTCAACCTGATGTTATCATTAATCCTCATGCTTTCCCATCTCGTATGACTATTGGTATGTTCGTTGAATCGCTTGCTGGTAAGGCTGGTGCTTTACATGGTATTGCTCAAGACTCAACTCCATGGAAATTCAATGAAGATGATACTCCTGCTGATTTCTTCGGTGAACAATTAAAAGAAGCCGGTTATAATTACCATGGTAATGAACCAATGTACTCTGGTGCTACCGGTGAAGAATTGAGAGCAGATATTTATATTGGATGTGTTTACTATCAAAGATTGAGACATATGGTTAATGATAAGTTCCAAGTTAGATCTACCGGTCCAGTCAACTCATTGACCATGCAACCTGTTAAAGGTCGTAAAAGATCTGGTGGTATTCGTGTTGGTGAAATGGAAAGAGATGCTTTAATCGGTCATGGTACTGCTTTCTTGTTACAAGATAGATTATTAAATTGTTCTGATTATACTCAAACTTCTCTTTGTCGCTCGTGTGGCTCTTTATTGAACACTCAAACTTCAGTCCCAAGAGTTGGTTCCATTGCTACTACCAGATGTAGAAGATGTTCTACCAAATTAGAAATGCATAGCCAACAAGGTGAATATGTTAATGAATCCGAAATTTGGGAAGATGGTCAAGGAAAGAAATTTGTTGGTGGTGATGATACTACCACAGTTGCTATTCCATTCGTCTTGAAATATTTGGATTCTGAATTGGCCGCTATGGGTATTAAGATGCGTTATAACGTTGATCCACGTTAATGATTACTTCTTCTGATTACTTGGTTTTCTTGTCATATTTCTTTTTCATTTACTTTTTGTTATTCATTTTCTTTCTACTTTTTAATTTGCATTCCTTAGTTTCAACCTTTTCAAGTTGCTATCTCTTAATTTCATATTCTTGTATTTTACAATCACATATTAAGTTATACTTACACATACTAAATATAAAAAATTATATCTTGTAAACACCATGCACTTTGTAAGTTCAATTGTTCTGTATTAAGATCTGGGGAACAAACAGATTTTCTTCTATGTATTTGGCATTCTTCAAGTCACTGCCATCTGCCCTATCTATTGCCTCTTGTTCATTTGATGCTATACCTGCTTCTAAGTGTCTTTTGATAATTCTATTTCTAATTAGATTCTTGTTTGCAGTAACAAACCAAGAATCATCCGCAATATCCACGAGCTCACACCATCCAGGGTCTTTTAGTAGTACGTAATTACCTTCAATGAATACTACCTTGGTATCTGGGTCTATTTTAATATCATCTTCGATCGGATCTTTCAATTTATGGTCGAATGATGGTGCCCTTATGACTTCACTGGATGAAGTAGGATCGTTCAATAATCTAACGGTCTTCAAAAATGCATCTGCATTGAATGTGAATGGAGCTCCTCTTCTTGTTATTGCTTCTTCCGGGTCAGGCATCTGGGCCAACTCCGACCTGTATAAATGGTACCCGTCTTGAGGTAAAACCAACGATTTGATATTATGTTCTTCATTCAAGAGTTTCACTACCTTACATGAAAGCGTAGATTTCCCCGAACCAGGAACTCCTGCTAGTAATATTATTAATTTTTTGCCTGTCGGTGTTTCCAATTGAATTTCTTTAACTCTTTCCACCAACTTTTTCAAGTCCAATCCGTCAATTTTGATGGGAGATTCCATTTTTCAGCGGTATCTCGATCAGCTGTTGCCAATTGAATATAATGAAGACTTGCTGAGTACTGCTTCAATATCTGGGGATATGTTTGATCTTCGATTGAAAAAATCATTGGTGTCTGGATGTTTATGAAACGCAACTGAATTATCTGCTTATGAAGCACATCTGGCTGGTTGCTAGCTTCACTGCCTTTACTCGAGAATTAGGAGACCACTTTAGATGAGTGATACTGCTTCACTTCCAAGTAAGTGGTACTTACGAGAACAGGACAACGAAAGATATATATACGGCATTGACTGTGATAGTTCGAATCAGTCCTATAACATTTTTTGTACGAATTTCACTTCAACTTGGGCAGAAAGATTAAGCAAGGGAGAAATAATATCCAAGGCTGATGATTCTGGTATAAGGATTGATGATGAGGGACTTACTTTGCTTATTGAAACATTTTCCCTGTCTAAAGGGGACTTGAATGAATATATAGAGTTTAGATGGACTCCAGACGCATCAGTTAAGAGGGAGTCAGATGAGGAAGAACATGGAACAAGCAAGTTGAACGGACTTGAAATAAAATTCAAGAAAAGCGGCTATTTTGATTGGACGTTTGATTTAACTAAATTATCTGATTTAAACCATATTATATTCATGGAAGCATTAAACTATCAACAGTTTGTTAATCATGATTTCTTACTCCACAAGATAAAAGAATTTGAGAAGATGATAGAAAGTAAGGATCAGTTTATATACTATTTATCAGAGAACTACATATCCTTGAATGGAGATGAGATGATTAAGAAGTATAAAAAAAATAATCAAGCGAATGCAGATAGTCTTGACAAATACGATAAACAAAAATGGGACTTGAAAGTCTACGAGTCATTCAAACATGCCTTTGCTGGTAAGAAGTCAGAAAATGACAAATTTGTAGACTCTATTATTCTGTCAATTGATGATGAGTACTCGTGGAATACCAATTCTCTATTTAAATCAACTGCATATTCCCCTAAAGATCCAATGCTCAAGAAGGAAAGCTCGGACGGTGAATTACCCAAAAGTGCTTTGCAGGATAATAGAGGTAATAACTCCATCAAATCAGAATCTTTAGAGTGTCTGAATGAGAGCCTGAATGAGCCCAGTCCTAGTAAAAGAACTAAAAAACGCATTGGTTTGCTACCTAGAAAGAAGCGAAAAACCTGAATGTTCAATCGCCAGTGACGGCTTTCCATCTGTTTATAAGTAACCTTAAGGATTCATTTTGATCCTCATTCATTTCATTCTTATACAAAATGGTTAAAACTTTGCTCCAAAAATTGATGAAATCACTTAGCTGGCCCGATGTTGGAGGATCAACCCAAATGGGATTCTTTTCACCCCTAGGGCCATTTACCTCCTCAAACGGAAGGCTTTCTCCACGGAAATACGATGAGAATACTGGAAGCCAAAACCTTATCATTACATTAGAACAATCAAGTAATGTAGTTACAGTGTCTTTATCATAATTTTTAAGTAAATCTAAGTCATCGCCGTATGCTGATTCCATGCAATGATGTATAGCAGAAAGAGTGATTGTTTTGATTTCTGTATAAACAGTGTGAATCACCTCTTCAGGTGCTGCTACTGAAAGATCATTGTTTTTTTTAACTGGCTTCAAAGAGGATGTTTCTGGAGAAAGCTTTCCGAACCTCGCTATATTTTCCTGATAAATGGTTGTGGCAATTAGTTCTGCGTTCATGTCAGTTCTATAGCTTACTGTTAGTAATTCATTACTTAATGCTTTCAAACAAAAATTTTTATCATTGGATAATAAAACTTGTAGAGTGTTAGGATACGATTTTTTAAAGTATAAACAGCAATCTAGAATTGCATCATCTTGGGTTACGGTTTTATCTAAACGTTGATCTAGCCTTTGGCCCTTCACGACATTGCTGTTGGTAGCTAATGATGAATATATCCATTCATTTGCCCATCTTGCTAAATGACCAACTGATTTGGTAGAAAGGCCATCTTTACTAACCAAACCAATATTATTTTCCGATTTTAACCCATCCAATTCTTTGACCACAGTAATTGGTATAATTAATACTAACCCGTATTCTTCACCAATACTTTTCAAATCGTTGAGTATTTTTAAATGAGATAAAATGAAATTTGTGTCTATAACCAAGTAAGAAACATTACCTGATCTTTCGAATTTGTCGCTTTGAGATTCATCTATTTCCAAATCATTGTCATCATAGGATTGTCTGTGTCTTGACTCAGTGACAAAATGTGATATTATATCAACTTCATCAAACCCGTCCATTGGAACCATTTCAATGTCGTTTATTTGGTTGGCTTCGGAAGATTTCAATGCTTCGTTTACTCGATTTTCGATCGTCCTGACATAATACTTGATTGGTCTGGGTTCTCGTTTCTGTCCAACAGTTATCGTCCTTCCTTGGTCCTCATGGCTCAAGCCTTCCGGCGCGTACTTGGATGGAAGGGACATCTGTTCATATCTCGATGAAGTAGCCTTCAGCGTTGTGTTGATCAAAAAAAAAAAAATAAACAGAATGAGAGTAGGAATTCAATGAGCTTTTAAAAATTGCCGGAGAACAAAAAAAACAAAAAACTGGAGAACCTCAATGCGTTTGGTTGCAAAAGTGCAACATGAAAACTACACTGACTACAAAAAGATGGATGAATGCAAAAGGGTAGTTTTTAATTAATGCAAAGGAATGACTATTATATTATTTCCAAGATGAACTCAAATATGCTTACCCCAAGACTGATGAAAATTATTACTATAATCATCCAGGTTATTCTATTAGTGTTTGTTTCATTCATACTATCACTAACGATATCCAGAAACTCCAAGAATACTTTACATCTGTCGTTCAAAACCTGAACTCTTTGATCAATTTCAAGATATTCCCGAACAGCAGTATATAAAGGATGCAATGCTGGTTCTATAGACCAGAAAAAAGATGGGGTATCTAAGATAGAGCTTGATAGGTTAACATCAACTCTCAATTTGAATAGTTTCCCTGATTTTTTCAATAATTGTTGCCTTCTCAAACCTAAACGTCCAGTCAATGCCAATTTTTTTGGGAGTTTGGCAATCAGTTGAAGATTATGAACCATTCGACTTTCAAATAAGCATAACTTGGTCAGTTGAGCAATGGCATGAGACATTGTTAACTTGATCAAGTGGTCACCTGATCTAAGGGTGATCATATCGTTGTAAATTCTTGGTCTATGGATTTGATTGTCATATTCAAAATGGAACTCTTCGGTCTCGATATCTTGTTCATTTATTGGGTTTATCAATAAAGGCTCAGGCTTATCGGATGCAAATGCAAGATCAGCCAATATATTCTTTTCGTGTATTTCTGAAAAGTTCCAGAATACCACGATACCGTAAGCAAAGATGAACATTTCCGCGTGGTTTTTGGATACTTCAACATGAGGGCTTTCCAGTTGATGTGGTCTTTCATCAGAAGTATGCGATGATTGTTCCGTTCCTGAATCTAATGGGCTTTTCTTTGAGCTTGCATTATCTTCATCTTCGGAAGACACCCCTTCTTCGCTTGACACAGTTGATTCCAATGGTGGAGCGAAGAATTGGGGCTCAGAGGGGTCAAAAGGAGCATTATTTTCAAAATTCTCATTTTCAGGATCCATCGAATAATTATTTGCATCTTCTGGAGTTTCCACACCAGAATAATATTCATATAGATGATCGGTTTGTTCACTTTTCTTTATCATTTTCTCCATGTATCTCTTCCCTGGTAAAGACTTCGCAGTATTATTAGATCGAACTCTGAATCCTTCATTGCCTGGAAGTAAAGGAAGAGAATACGGTACATATAAGGCTTCGTCATAAAATCTTGGTTTCACCTCATGATTTGCTCTCAAAAATTTTGCGATTGGTCTGAGATTGAACTCCTCACATATAAAGTATGCCGTCATTCTACTAAATTCATGAGCTCTTGTTTCTTTGGGCATTAGTTCAGCTCTTGACCTTTGGATTTGTGCCTGCAAATCTGCGGTTAAGCCCTGTGGGGATTGCAATGGAGGCAGAACCACCTGTGGTGGACTCATTCCATTCTGTCGATGCTCATCGGGAATAAGTACTAACTTCTGGGATGTTTTGGATGTTCTAGTAGGTAAAGGCTGAGAAAGATTGGGTATACTTCTTATATTTCGACGAATCGTTTCTTGATTGGGAGTTGGTGATAAGCTGCGTTGTGGTAGTAAGCTAGGTGATCTTCGATTGAATAGCGGCGGTAAACGGCTTTGACCAGACGGTATGTCACTCGAATTTCTCAAGAGCTTGTCAACAGATATATCCGTGTATCTGTTTGCTCGAGATGAGTGTCTTCTTCGTAAATTGAAGTTGTTAGACCCATGAGACCCATGTGGGGCCTGATGCTGATGCTGTTGTTGTTGCTGCTGTTGTTGTTGTTGTTGTTGCTGCTGCTGCTGCTGCTGCTGTTTTGTATAATTGTGACCGGCAAATGGAGCCCTAGCACCTTTAACTGAATTAGAACGCACATCCGTAACTAAAATGGATGGAGATCTCTTAGCAGTAGGTCCCTTGCCTGTCCCCGAACCATTGGAATGACCCAGCATCTCCGGTGTTACTCTTAATCTTGTTCTCGTTTGTTAATATCAAACTTAAAAGAACTCTTTGCTTTTAACCGATGTTATCATCTCAAATGCTCAGAGCTGGAACTACACACATTTTAGGTGTGTGTACTGGTCAAAAAAAATTAGTGAGTAATAAAGTCAAAGTGAAAAATTTGATAATTATACTTAACTCGTTTAGAGGACAAGTTATTCAAAAGTCAAGATGTCATTCAGCTTAAGTCTTGCTTCAAAAGCACCATTTCTTGCTTACCCAGCATTGATTGCTGTTGGGTTTGTCAATTCCAGTGATAACGATGTTTCTATCCCAGTTGAATTTATTGATGAAAAATCGGTTGATTCTAGTAATCCTAATGCTATTGTTAAATTAGTCACTCCTGAAGGTAAAACTTATTTTGATCAAGTTGAAGTTTTAAACTACTTGGCTGAAAAATTCCCAGCTATTTTACCAGGACAAAAAGAATCACAAGAATGGGTTAAGTTTGCTTTAGAAAAATTAGCTAATAAGAACTTTAAAGAAGTTTCGGTTGAATTAGAAAAATTAGATGCTCATTTGAACTTCAGATCCTTCTTTATTGGATACAATTACTCTTTGGCTGATATTGCCACTTGGGGTGTTTTAAAATCCAATACTGTTATGGCTTCAATTCTTAAAAATGAAGTTTGTATCAATGTTACTAGATGGTATAACTTTTTATCTAATGATAAAAGATTCGAAGGTATTGTTGAAAATGCTACTAAATCAATTGTTGAGTTAAGAAAGAATTTAAAATCCAAAGCTGGTGGTAAGAAAGAAACCCATAAAGCTAATTTTGAAATTGATTTACCAAATGCTAAAATTGGTGAAGTTGTTACTCGTTTCCCACCTGAACCATCGGGATATTTACATATTGGACATGCTAAGGCTGCCATTCTTAATGAATATTTTGCTCATGCTTATAAAGGTAAATTAATCATTAGATTCGATGATACTAATCCAACTAAAGAAAAAGTTGAATTTCAAGATTCTATTATTGAAGATTTAGCTTTATTAGGTATTAAAGGTGATAAAATCACTTACTCTTCCGATTACTTTGATACCATGTATGATTTAGCTATTAAAATGATTAAATTAGGTAAAGCCTACTGTGATGATACTCCATTAGAAAAAATGAGAGAAGAAAGAATGGTTGGTGATGCTTCTGCTAGAAGAGAAAGAAGTGTCGAGGAAAATTTAAAAATTTTCACCGAAGAAATGAAAAACGGTACTGAAGAAGGTTTAAAGAATTGTTTAAGAGCTAAAATCGATTATAAAGCTTTAAACAAAGCTTTAAGAGATCCAGTTATTTATAGATGTAACTTAACTCCTCATCACAGAACTGGTACTCAATGGAAAATGTACCCAACTTATGATTTCTGTGTTCCAACTGTTGATTCCATTGAGGGCGTTACTCATTCTTTAAGAACTAATGAATATAGAGATCGTAACCCTCAATATGAATGGATCATTAATACTTTAGGTTTACGTAAAGTTGATATTTGGGATTTCGGTAGAGTCAATTTCGTTAGAACTTTATTATCTAAGAGAAAATTACAATGGTTTGTTGACAAACAATTTGTTTCTAATTGGGATGACCCAAGATTCCCAACCATTAGAGGGGTTAGAAGAAGAGGTATGACTGTTGAAGGTTTAAGAAACTTCATCATTGCTCAAGGTCCATCTAAAAATATCATTAATTTGGATTGGTCAGTTATTTGGGCTTTGAATAAAAAAGTCATTGATCCTGTTGCTCCAAGATTCACCGCTGTTGACGCTGCCAACGCCGTTCCAGTCATTTTACTGAATGGTCCAGAATCTAATACTGTTGAGGAAAAGCCTAAACATAAAAAGAATCCAGAAGTCGGTGTTAAAAAAGTTATTTACTCTAATAAAGTCTTGATCGACCAAGAGGATGCTGCTTCTTTTGCCGATAACGAAGAAGTTACTTTCATGGATTGGGGTAATGTTATCGTTGAAAAAATCCATAAAGAAGGTGATATTGTTAAATCAATTGACGCTAAATTACACTTGGAAGGTGATTTCCGTAAAACTTCTAAAAAAGTTACTTGGTTGGCTGATACTTCTGATAAAGTTGAAGTTGAATTAATTGATTTCGATCATTTAATCACCAAGGACAAATTAGAAGAAGGTGATGACTTCGAAGACTTCCTTACTCCTCAAACCGAATTCCACAGTAAGGCTATCGCTGATCATAATGTCAAATCATTAAAAGCTGGCGATATCATTCAATTTGAAAGAAAAGGTTATTTCAGACTTGATCAACCTTATGCTGAAGGTAAAACTCCAGTCTTCTTCACCATTCCTGATGGTAAGACCGTTTCAAGATACGGTGCTAAGAAATAAGCTTCACTCTAGTGCAAATCTCTAAATACACTTTTTAAATAGTCAATGTAAAGGTATCTTGATTTTTAAATGTAGAATAATTAAAGTTGTTCCTGTATAGGTCTCATCGCAGCCATTTTTTTTTTTTTGTTTTGCACCAAAAAATTAACTCACAAAGTAAGTTTTACAACTGCTTTGGACTCAAAAGGAGTTATTTTGAAGGATCCATGGTGAACACCAAGGACAAAAACGAAGAGGAGGAACTCAAAAAATAAATTCCGATACCGGGAGTCGAACCCGGGTTTGCTCGGTGAAAGCGAACCGTGCTAGCCGTTACACTATATCGGAAACTGGATAGAGAAGACATGGGGCTGTCTCAGCCGTGTTGTAAGAACAAAGATCCGGGTTAGATATTTTGAAAAGTTGAAAAACTTTCCGTTCTGCTTTCCTGTCTTTTCATAACTATAATAGGATGAGCTGTGAAAGAGAAAGTATTCGGTGGCTATAGTAGTATAGAAATAGGGCCAAATATCAAATAATTAAAGTGATGATGCAAATAGAATTGCAAAATATAATTTTTTGCTATTTAGCATCCAACATACAAGCCCTAAGTTTGGTATTACTTACTGCGTGCCAGTATTGTTGGCTACACATTGGCATTAAATAGGCATCTATTGCTATCTCGAATAAAGATATTCATTACGGATGAAGATGTTTGCTTTGTTGGCCAACTCAGGATAAAGCTAGTCTGTGTGCTAAGCTTCTTTCTTTTCACCAACAGTTTCAACTAGTCTCTCATTTGATCTAAGGTTTAAAATCACATAAGCTCATTTTACTATTCATTGAGTGAAGCAGAATCGCCTGAACTGATTCAAATTAGTAGTTTTATCATTTTTCAAACTCGCCACAGTCTTCTACGCAGATTGAATAGAGAATATTTGAAAGCAAGAGCTCATGGCTTGATATTGATCTAAGAAAGTCAGTAGTTGGTGTTTTGCATTCCCCACTAACCAATCAGATTACATAGCGTACGCAGGAATAACTTATGCCCCTATGACTCTTCAAAACTAGAGATTCACCTACAACATTTGATTGTCTGTACACCATAGCATCCAGAATATTCAAAGCATCGGCTTGGACTTTCATTGAATATTCTAAACATTATGCTAGGTGGATTTCCTTCAAGAATACTGGTAATCAAAAACCCTAAAGAAGGATGTTACACAATCTAGTAACCCTCCTTATAACGGTAACACAGAAAACCTTTCGGTACAAAAAAACCGCAAAAAAGAAAGTCTACAGCACGATGGTTTCCATTATGGTCTCCCACTAACGTACTCAGCATCGCTCTCAGCAGCTTAATAATTATTGATCGGACGGGTAATCATGCTTTATGCTGGATATGGCCGTAGACATGAGTGTAGCTATCCATAGCTTCCAAATTGAGTTCTTTGCAACTTCAACGCGATGTTAAAAAGAAAAATTTGGCGATGCGCAGTTAATTGACACCCGTACATCAAGTGTTTCTTGCTTGTCAGACCATGCTGCCAAAGGTCTTTGGGTCTGGTTCATACTAGATCAGTCAAGGTAGATCATGAATATGGAATATACTCATACTTGTGGCATATCCTTCATCTGGTATTCGCCAATCTATCCCATAACATACTCATTTATAAGTAGACATTCCGACCTCAGGGAGAATGAAAATTCTTTCTTTCATGGTGCTAACTGTTGACCTTAGTGACTTTATTGGTTGAAGAAGGTCTCTAACCAAAAAGGGTTCGGTGAATGTGATTTGTGTATTATATTGAATGGTTTCTAGTATTTAGTATTGTAATATTTTCTGACGTGGGTTATTGTTTTCCAACCCGAAAACTGTGTCTATATATGGACGATAGAGTTAGTTAATAAATTCAACCTCTTAGCTCTGGACTTTGTGTGGAAGCCCAAACGTAACTTTAGGTAGATCTAACTCCCACCTGCTATTGACCCATACATAGAGTGGTTCGACGTATCTCTCTCCGAAGATTCGCTTCCAGCTAGCAATAGATACATAGTTCTTGTGAATGTTCAGGACAATCGCAGAGGCTTCCTGCTCTACATTGTCTTATTATAAACTATAATGAATAAGTAATAGGTCTCTGGAGCTCACCTTACCAACTCGTCCTCGACAAGTTGAGTTTTAGTTTCTTTAGTCTTTTCTTCCTACGTATATATTTCGACCGTAAAGTATAATTATATATTCACTAGTTAAAAAAAAAGGTAAACTCGACCAAACCATAAGTTATCTAAATTTCGATACTAAAAAGAATGTCTACTGAGTGTCCAGGTCTCTTTCGGCATGAACACATGGGCCTTTCTTGAAACCTGGGCTGGTTCTACTATACTAGCACTAGGTCCTAGATTCATCTTTGTTTTAAGAATGGGAATTAATTAACGTAATATGATTCAGGTCCATAAACTTTTCTTCGTTTTAGGTTTCCCTATAATGCAGAAAGTCTTGTGACTTGGCTCCACTCTTAAAGATAGGCCGACTTGTCTGCTCAGGTGTTATTTTGCAACCAAAAAAACCGTGTTACGGAAAGATACCCATTCATCCTCCTTCGCTTATAATTGTACCAGCAAAAAAAAAACAAAGACCCTTGAATATATTATTTGAGAAGTGGATTGATACCACGGGCAAGCAACAATAAGCCCAAGGACGTAGCAGACCCCCAGACAATAGCACCTACGAGGACAATACTCATTGAATCATCGACCGGAATGGTTAATCATGTGCGGTGAGCTTAAGCCGAGAACGCACAACAAAAAAAATCATTTAGGGCCGACTCAAAAGATTTTTTTTTTGGGAATTAAAAAAATGATGATTTCTCTTATAAATACCGACTAATCCACTGGATTGATTCTAAAGTTCCACAGTCAAGTAATTGCAATGGGGATTTTCTCGTTCTTGCCGGTTTTTGAGCAAGACCACTTGCTTCCATATCGACCATTTCCAGCCGAAGTGAATGGGAATTTGTTTTTGGCGCATTGGCATGAAATGGTATTATCATTTATTCTTTACAGAGGAATTCAATTTGGATCTTCAGTTATATCCCCTAAGTTATTAGGGAAGACTTATACTGGGTTAACATTGAAGACTCGAGTCAACTTTGATATCCATGTAGTATCGATGGTTCAATGTATATTTTCAATATTAATCATCTTGCCAATGTGGAATCACGAATCCTGGCAAAACCGTGTCGAAGATCCATATCTGTCGATATATCACTATACTCCATACGGAGGATTTGTCGCTGCCGTTACCATTGGATATTTTATCTGGGATATGGTTGTTTGTTTACAGTACTATCGAATGTTTGGTTTAGGTTTCTTATTCCATGCTTTTGCTGCTTTATACGTTTTTGGAACCTGTTTGATTCCTTATTGTATGCCATGGATTCCCGCATTCCTTCTTTTTGAATTGAGTACTCCCTTTGTCAATATTAATTGGTTTGCTCTGAGATTACCTGCCGGTACCATTAGTGATACTGCTACTTTAATCAACGGGTTATTCTTATTGGCCTCTTTCTTCTTGGTTAGAATCGTTTGGGGGTTCTATGCCGTTGCCGTGGTTGCCATAGATATGTATAAGACGTTGAATCAAACCAATATCTTGATTCCAGCGTTCATTTTATCCTTGAACGGGTTATTGGACATTCTTAATGTCTTTTGGTTCTACAAAATGGTGATGATCGCAAAGAAAAAGGCCTCTGGCGGTAAAAAACCAAAGCAGATGGCAAAAGAAGTCGAAAAGATCGAGTAGATTCAGTCAAGTCAATATGTAAGATCATATCTAATCTTACAGATCGTTATAAGTCAAATATCAAGATAAGTCTACAAGGTCGTGTGGGATGGGAGGTCGTGCTGGCTGGCCAAAACACCCGTCCAGTACTATTCATTCAAACAACTCCAACTACCAGTGGCCACCGATACGTGAAAACTATTCAGTCCATAGATGTCTCTGTAAATATCAATCTATATGCCCCCTACTTGATCAATTGTAAAGTAATACCGGTGTTCGTCTCACGCAGTACAAAAATTCAGGTGAATTTTGAGAATTTTTCTGTTTTCCCTTGTTTGAAAACCTGCTCGCCATTTCTACTCCGTGATTTGCTGTTTACTACTTTTAAATCAATTAATCAATCAGTTTGATAAGCAGTAAGTGATCAGTTGGACAAGTGATCAGTTTGATATAATAGGTTGATCATTCCAGAGAAAAGTTTAGTTGTTGAACGTGTCGAATAGCTTTAAATAAAAGAAGATTATCATGAATAACGAATACGATTACTTATTTAAATTATTATTAATTGGGGATTCAGGTGTTGGTAAATCATGTTTACTTTTGAGGTTTGCTGATAATACATATACCCCTGATTATATTTCAACTATTGGTGTTGATTTTAAAATTAGAACTATTGAATTTGATGGTAAAACCATCAAGTTACAAATTTGGGATACCGCTGGTCAAGAACGTTTTAGAACAATCACTTCTTCTTATTATCGTGGTGCTCATGGAATCATTATTGTTTATGATGTTACTGATCAAGAATCTTTTAATAACGTTAAACAGTGGTTACAAGAAATTGACCGTTATGCTACCGGTGGTGTTATGAAATTATTAGTTGGTAATAAAGCTGATTTATCCGATAAAAAAGTTGTTGAATACACCGCTGCTAAAGAGTTTGCTGATGCTTTGGATATTCCTTTCTTGGAAACTTCTGCTTTATCTTCTTCTAACGTTGAACAAGCTTTTTATACTATGGCAAGACAAATCAAAGCTCAAATGACTAATAATACTTCTTCCAATAATGCTAATAACGCTAACAATGGTAAATCAAATGTTAACTTGAGAGGTCAATCCTTAACTAACAATCAATCAAACTCCTGTTGTTAATTTGTTGTCCTTTCACCTATTCTTTTTTATTTCAATCCGTTTACTGTTTTATTTCAATGTGAGTATTAGTATTCTGCCTATTTCAACCTGAGTATTACTATTCGGCCTATTTCAATGTGAGTATTACTATTCTGGCTAGTTCATTGAGTTTGTTCTTGGTGTTTATCAATGAATCTTTAACCACTTCCCTCCTAATATTCATATTCTTTTCCATTCTATTGTTCATTATCCATTCTCTATTAATTAATATACACCATTCATACTCTTCTATATATCATTATACATGTTTCATTCTATTAAGATCTTCTTATCTTGTAGCATATAAGTGTATGTATTGTGTGTGTGCGGTACGGGTGTGGCGTTTCTTTTTGGGTCTCGCACTACATCCTGTTCTTTACTTGGTGGCAACAGAAAAATTCACCAAGCTCTTGATTAAACATTGGTTATTGGAAGTAGAATTAATTGATTGAAGAGCTAATTAGCAAGAATGACCGATTCCAAAAACGATATTGAAATGAAGGATGCAGTAGCCACTCCAAACGAATCCGATTCAGAAAGTTTAATTAAAGAAATTGAGCAATCATTCACTTTATTACATAAAGCTGCTGCTAATTTTGATAATCGTTATATTACCAAAATTTTTAGAGATTTAGGTCCATTAAGACGTAAATTGATTCAATATAAAGAGGTATTACCGGCAATTGTTGAAATAAGTTACCCAAATGATCATCCAAGTAAATCTTATTTAGTTAATTACGTGGGGAAATCAGATTATGTTTCTTCAACTACTAACGAAATGGAAATTGATGATACCAATAAATCTAATAGCATAAAAGTCTTACCAGAAATTGATGTTTATATCCATTTACTTGTTCAAGTTAATCTTTTAGATCAACATGAATTGAAATCTTTGGATTCTTTTAATGATGAAGTTATTAACCTTTTATCAAGTTATAATCGTAGATCATTAGATTTTATTCAAGCTAAAATATGGTTTTATATTAGTAGAACCAAAGAATTAATTAATGATTTATACTCAATACGTCCAGCTTTATTATCAGGTTTAAGGACAGCAACTTTGAGACATGATAATGAAACAACTGCATCAATTATTACTGTTTTATTAAGAAACTATTTGTTATCTCATGATGTTAGTCAAGCATCCAATTTAGTTGAAAAAACTGAATTTCCAGAAAATGCCGGTAATGCATTGGTTGCTAGATATTACTATTATTTGGCTAAAATGAATGCTATCCAATTAGATTATTCTTCCGCTCACGAATATGTGATTGCTGCCATTCGTAAAGCTCCTCAAACTCATTTAGCTAACGGTTTCATTCAAGCGGCTACAAAATTAAGTATTGTTATTGAATTATTAATGGGAGATATCCCAGAATTAAAAGTTTTCAAGAAAAATGAAAATGGTGGTAATTATGAACCTTATTATTATGTTACTAAAGCAGTCAAATTAGGTGATTTAAAATTATTCGGAGAAGTTTTAAATAAATATGAATCGGTCTTTGTTAAAGATGATTTATTCACTTTAGTTTCAAGATTACGTCAAAATGTTATCAAAACCGGTATTAGAATCATTTCCTTATCCTACTCTAAAATTGCTTTAAAAGATATTTGTATTAAATTACATTTGGACTCTGAAGAAAGTACTGAATACATTGTTGCAAAAGCAATCAGAGATGGTGTAATAGAAGCTACTATAAATCATGAATTGGGTTATATGAAATCAAAAGAATTATTAGACGTTTATTCAACTAAATTACCCCAAGATGAATTCGATCAAAGAATTAAATTCTGTTTATCCTTACATAATGATTCGGTCAAATCAATGAGATATCCTTCTGATAATGACAAATCTGATCCTAATAAGAATAACTTAGAAGCCAAGGAAGAAGAAATCGATTTATTGAAAGCCATAGAAGAAGGTGATTTAGATGATTTCATGGATTAAATCTTCCACCATTGTATATTTCATAATAAAAGTCAATCAAGTTGCGTTTATGTGTAGAAAAACTATAGAAAAAAAACGAATTGAAAAAAAAAAAAAAATCGAAACTTGCGAACAAAAACCAACTCGAAGATAATAAACAAGTTTAGATTCTTTTCATTACTTCAAATATGGCTTCGAGTGGTAAGATAGCGTTGGATCTTGATCCTGAGCTTTATGGCGATGCTCACAATGACCCCTTTCTACAAGACGAGGAGAAATTGCCCATAAATGAATTAATAACTAGAATACTCGTAGAAAGGAAGTCGTTTTTGAATTTAACAGAAGAGTCATTGCATGAAGAATTGGAATCTAAAAACAATGGTGAATCCAATGGTAACGAACCGAAACAAGTTGACGAAGAAATAGTGGAATATACTGCTCCTGATATTTCCATTGATGGTCAGCAAAATAATGATTTACTTGAAAAAACCCAAGATGAAGATTCTAAAGAATCTGACTTTGAAAAATTTCAAACCCAAAAACAAGAATTGGCCAATCATATTGGGCTTGCATTGAATGAAACTTCCTTATCCTTGGATTTTGTTTCCTTGCTTATATCGGCAGTTAAACCTAATGTTGGTAAGGCAACCATGTCGCCACATTTAAACAAGAATATTCCTCTTGGGTCATTGGGGGCTGATAGACTAGGGCGTAATGATGAAAAAGATGCAAATGAAACTAAAAAGAATTCGGATAAAATAGGGTATGGCTGGAAATATCAAGCGTTGAATAATGTTACCAAATTATTTCGAAATGCTAGTACAAATCTTAATGAACAGATTTTGAAAGAACGCCAATATTGGAGTATGGTACGTACTGTTTTAGATAATGATGAGGTTTTATTTAGAATGAGAGATCCAATAGACGGTAGTAAAGCAATTGGGGTAAAATATGGCTTTGGAGATTCAGGATCGAGTTATCACGATAAAGGTTTAGCCGTTTTGAGAAAAGATTCACAAAATGGATCGATTGAATTCAATTCAGTACTTTCAACCAATGTTGGTGGACACGTCCAATATAAACCGACTGATAAAGTGTATAAATATGTCAGAGTTAAGATATTGAGTAAAATTGATGATGATTTTATGTTAACTGGACAATCCCGATTTGAAAGTGAGTTGATAACTCAGAATAGTCAACATAAGATAGTGAATGATATTGAAAAAGCCCGGTTTTTCCTTTTCGAGGAAGATTTATTTTATCATTTAACAAGAGAAGCTAAATCCTTAATTAATTATAATGTTTCTTTAATATCGAATAAAATCCTTATTGAAATAAATGATGAAATAATCGAGATTGAGTCAGTGATGTACGATGAAAATAATGTTGATGATTTACAAAATACGTATCAAAATACTAATGAATTATCATCATTAAACAATAAAAAGGCACAATCAATACTTACATTTACCAAATTGATGTTATGCTGTTACTATAATTACAATCTAAGACTTAAACAGAAGATCCCCACCTCAGTCACCAAATGGAAACAGACAAATACCCATCCGTTAATTTTAAGACCATTATTAGGACATATAAGACACCAAATCAATATTAGTAATATGAACACATTACTAGAAACCATGTTATCAAAGTTTGATCCGGCTAAACTAAAACATAAGGTAGAAATCCTCAAGTACTCAAATATTGGTAAATTAGTTAAAATAGAGAATGCATTTCAAAAATCCATCGAAAAACCTTTATCTACTTTTAAAATTTTTTTGGAAAATTCAAGTAATAAAACATGTTTGAAAATAGATATAGAAATTACAGCAACAGAGGTATTTGCAAACTTGGTTATTAATTTGAGTATCATCAAGTATGATAATGAAAAAGATCTTGATGCCAATGAAGGTGGTACTAATCTTCTTCAAATAAACTTTACTGATTTGAATGATATCGAAGAATGTTTGAATTGGACAATTCTTAAGTTCTTGAAATAATTGGCATAACGTATATATATATATGTATATACAGGTATAAACTCGGGCATAATGAATCATTTATTCAACTTCAACAACTCTTACTTGATCACCGGCTTCTTGTTGAATCTCATCAGCATGTTCTTCGACAAATTTTTTCAATCTGTAGTACTTTTCGTCTCTTAAGTTATTGAAAATCAAAAAGTTAAACCAGATTTCGAAAAAAGCATAAACAAAAACTAAACTATTAGCAATTATAGAATTAGATGAAAGATAAGTATAAGCTCCGAGACCGAAAAAGAAAATAAGTCTGGTGGGAGTAATCGTTTCAAAATACTCAATATTTTCAGCCAAAAGAGGTATCAAATCAGATATTGCCTGCACGCCAAACACAATAGAAAGAATACCTAAAAGAGGATTGGTGTCACTGACTTGGGCAAATGGAAGTTCCATTGCTTGGGCAAGAAGGATTGTGAAATTAGCATCGGTTAGACTTTGAGGATCAGTAATCAATAAAAACGATATCACCAACAATAACAAAACACGGATATAAAGCAATGACCTTGCTGATAGAAACTGCATGGCTCTGGTCAATTATGCGTACAAGTCGAATCCAATCTAAAGTATTCTAGAGAAAGACTTGACTAAGCAGAGGAATTTTTCACTACTTTTTCTATGAAACTTTTTTCAACAGGCTGTTTTTGTAAACGCGTACACGTCAACTGCTCAAAGCAGCAGTTTCGATAGCTGCGAAAAACTGGTCCACTTATTCTGCTAAGTGACAGTACTGCTACAAATGTGTTCTGTTAGACGTGACTTACTATAAAGCTGACCTTGAGTCCTTGTATTGGGTTATCACTGCTGGCCAAAGTCATAAATGGAGCTCGGAAGAATCGTTATTCTGTTCATCTTATTTGCACTTGTTGCAGCTTCGAGTCTATTGGGGTGTAATCCTGAAGATTTTAATATACCTGTTGGTGCCACCGTGCGTGAATACAAGTTGGACTTGACTCATGTGTATCATAATCCCAGTGGGAAATACAAATCTGGTTTTTTGATCAATGGACAGTCTCCAGGGCCGGCTTTGGAGGGTGAAGAAGGGGATTGGATGCTAGTCAAGGTTGTAAACCAGACCCCGGTGTCAATGACTATCCACTTCCATGGCATTCTTCAAATCGGAACACCCTGGTCTGATGGAGTGCCTGGAGTGACGCAGTTTCCTATTCTTAGTGGCGATTCGTACGTTTATGCATTTCAATTGAGAAACCAGTCGGGGTCGACCTGGTACCATGCTCATTATAGAGGGTATGCTACCGACGGTGTATATGGGCCGTTTTATATCAGGCCCAGTAAGGAGAGAAACAGGCCGTACCACTTGATCACAAACGACTCGAAGGTGAGTGATGGTTTTTATGACTTGGAAAGGTCACCTCAAAACATCATTGGAGACGATTCTTTCCATCTTACCATGGACGACGTGATGGCTCGTATGTTCCATTTCGGGATTGATCCTCTCTGTATCCAGAGCATCTTGATTAATGGTAAGGGAAGGGTTTATTGCCATGACCATAAGACGTTTGTAAGACTAGCCCTCAAAACCCCTAATGTCAAAAACCTTCCTTCAATCGATACTATGGGGTGCGCTCGTGACGAGAATGCTAATGGGTATCATGATATTGAAGTGGATAACTTTGAGTTGGAGTCCCCTGGGTTCTCAAGACAATGTGAGCCAACTTTTTCTGATAACTATGTTCATTACACTAATAACTCTAAATGGCAGTATCTAAACATCCTTAACGCTGGTGGCCAACACACCAAAGCCTTCTCTATCGATGATCATGAGTTGATCGTGGTTGCAATCGATGGGGTGTTCGTGGAGCCAGCAACCGTGCATCAGTTGCTTATTCCCGTAGGCTCTCGATTCACGGTGCTAGTGGAAACTGATCCCACAAAACATTCTCATATCCATCATCCTTTCCCCATCAGATTTGCAGCCGTCATCACTGCTCAATTCATTGAAGGTGTTGGTTATTTGGTCTATGGTAATGAAACCAGCTTTGATTCTATTCAGTTGGCCAACTTGCAAAACTATAATGGCTACATAAATGGTGTTAGATATCAGGATATTGATGGGAAACTCCTAGATCCAAATCATAAGTATATGTGGCCCCATCAAACAAGACCTTATGAAGAAGACGCCGCCCGAGTGGCCAAGGGAGGGGCAGATCATACGTTTAACTTATATTTGAATAGAACAGGGCTAATAGAATTCAGCATGTTTGAAGATGGAACAAAGTTACCCCCAACTTTTGAGTTGGGCCATCCTTTGCTCCATCAGCTCGTTAATAACCCTTCTAAAACGTTTGCCGATTTCCAAGGTTCTCTCAGTAGTGATATCAAATACGGCGACGTGGTTGACCTCATCATTAATAACCATAAGAGAATTAACCATCCTATCCATCTACACGGCCACTTGTTCCACCTTATCAGTTATAGTGAAACAGAAAACTTTCCTCATAGATCAGTTGAAGAAGCTGAACGTGAAAACTACAAAAACCTCAACTTACAAAACCCTCCTTATTTTGACATTGCACTTGTCCCCGCCGGTGGTCATGCTGTGGTGAGAATCATTGCAAATAACCCTGGAGTATGGCTAATCCACTGTCACAATTTGGGTCACTTACTCGGTGGAATGGGTGCAATTTTATTTGAAGCTCTTGATCAAGTTCCTGAAACCCCCCAGTACTATCTAAGTCAAGCCCATATTGACTTAGAGCCTGAACAGCACTACGCAATCACAGACCTTCCAAACAACACCCACGATGGTTCCATCTTAACTTGAAGTTTGTATAGCCCATGTCTTAATATATGATGATGTTTTTTTTTTTTTTTTTTTTTTTTCACAGCCAAAAAACTCGTTTGTGTGCTACTTGTTTTTCTAGCTTTTACAATCGAAAACCACCCAGTCCTTGGTTGGTTCATGTCCTATAACAGTGTATTTGGCTTCTCTCCAACGGTGAGAAGTAATAGAGATTTCATAAGCCAAGCAGAACAGAAAGCCCTCCTGGGTGCAAATTATAGAAATCAAGATAGAGTGGGCGGTTATAGCTCCCGGCGGGATTCTTTCAGTTATCTTAAGTTCAGGCTCCGAGACCTCTTAGTAGGACTGACTTCGCTTTTGGTCTATCTGGCAGCAGACTCCATTGACCAGGTAGCTTCCCGTGTTGTTTTGGTGGATTTTATTCGAGGGTATGTGTGTGTTTTTTTAAAAAGTGTTCTTCTTGAATAGAAATCTAACTTGTTCAATGCCAGTTTTGTTTTGAACTTTTTTGTAGGATTATCCAACTGGGCCACCTGGCTCTCAAGCTTTATCGGGTCAATTCAAGAACATCAAACTGTGTTGATTTGGGTATGTTTTTTTGATGGTTTTTCCATCCAATTCTGGATACTGACAATTTTAGATTTTGGTTATTCTTTTCATCCCGATCTTGGCTGTCGTTGCACTCGCCGGTGCTTCTATGTTTGGCGTCTCGTCCGGTTTGATTTCGGTAGTGATTGTTGGTTCAGCTGCTATATTTATTTTACTCTGTAAGTACCCTTTTTACTGAAATTTTATAAATTATTTGGAAAAAAAAGAAAGAGATTAACTAACCTATGATCTAGCTTTTATCTTGGTTCCAATACTAGTTATTGCTTTCACTACATTAGGAATCATACTTTTGGGGTCTTCCGTTCTATCAACCTCAACAACAGTCCAGGCTTTAATGTTGTCTTCAAAGAGCCAATTCAGACAGAGAGTAAGAGGCTTCGCTGACTCCTTTCAAACATGGACACCGAAACCGGCCGCACGGCCCAGATCAGTTGCTCATGCAAATGATGGTACGATTGCAAATATGGTACTCAACAGTTCGAACCATGGTTATAAAGTGTCTCCCGAAATTCCAAGCACCACTCCAGTTCGAGAATTGGAGCAGATCATTCGAGAAGGCTCACCCATCAGATTATTAGACCCCTTTACAGACGAGCTGCTGCTTCCATCTACAAATATTAACTGAACTACCATAATATAAGTAGTAATAGAAAGAGCAGTAGTGTGTGTGAAAAGTAATTTTTTTTGTTCAATTTTTTTTTGTTTTCAGAAGTAATAATCCGACCACGTATAGCTCATTATTGATTTTTCAACTCCAACTATCCTAAGTGGTAATTCACCAATTGATTCTTCAGCCATGAAATTTGCCAGTATATTGATTTCCCTATTACAGCTTTTCGCTGTGTCGATGGCATACTCTCTTTCAGAAGGTACCATCAACGTCGGTGATCAAATAGTACAATTTGGCGAAATAAACACCCAAGAAATCAAACAATTGACCATTGATGTTCCAAAAGATAAAATTGAAATTCAATTAAAGTTAGCAGAAAGCTTGAAAGATAGACCACACCATGTTGTTATCACCTTGGGGGATAATAAAGATTTGACTCATTCTTATGTTCCAAACTTTGTTCCATCTAGTCAATTGCTTAAATTAACTATTCCAGTAGGCAAAATTCCATCAATTTTGAAACTTAAAGAGAAATTGTTTTTAAACTTAATTGTCAGTGATTCCAATCCTAAGCAAAAAAATTTATTAAAATCCTTAGTTGAAATCATTCCAACCGAAAACTTACAATCTACTATTCAATATGCTCAACCTGATACTCTTGGTCCTAAACCAGAAATCCATCACATTTTCAAGACCGAAGAAGCTACTGCCAATCCAATCATCCCGCTTACTTTCTCCGCTGTTGCCGTTGTATTGACCTTGGGTTTATATATTGGCTGGAATATTTTCCTCAGCGGTAATTTGTTTGCAACAAGTAAGCACAATTCATATCTTGAAGCTATTCAAACTTTTGGTTTTTTGGCCTCTATAACCGGTTTTGAAGTAACTTTCATCAGATACTATTTAGGGGATTCAATTTTCAAAACCTTAGCCCGTAGCTTCCTTCTCGGTTTACCTGCTATTTTCTTTGGTTCTAAAGTTTTATCCAAATTATCAATTCAACGTAAAGTTGGTAAAGCTTGAGGGCTCATTCTTCCATCATTTAGTTTTTTCTTCTATATATATACAAAATCAGCAAAATATTTTATTTAGTAGTCATTATCCATTTATGTATACGTATATATAAAAAAAAAATGCAGAAATGAATTAAAAAAGTTGATCATTTGTCAATGAAGCTATTTTCCATTTTTCTAAAATTCCAAAACCATAATTTTCCTTCTTCATTAGTTAGACCTCTATTTGCAGAATTAACAGCCACAATCTTACCTTTAATTAACCCCATGGGTATACATGAATAAGACCTTGAATCTAAAGATGCAGAAAGATTATCACCCGTCACCCACACATGGCCTTCTGGTACTTTAATATATTTGTTAAAACCGTCGTGTTTAATAATTTCTGTAGGAGTATTTGTAAGTTCTGACGATGAGGAAGGATCAACAAGTATTACATCTCCAGGCATGCCCGTTATTCTTTTACAAACATAATGATAAGGATCGGTTGGTTTGAGTGCCACTATACAATCCCCCATATCTATACCTCTACCAAGTCTATAACTTTTTACTGCATGCACCCAATCAGAATTATTTTGCATAGTAGGAAGCATTGATTCACCTCCAGTTAAACTGAATTCATAAACATACTCAAGTACGAAATGATAAAAGCACCCTGCCCTCAAGAACCACGACAAATAGGAACCGGTTTTCCTGATTCCAGCATTCATCATTACTTCTTCAATAGCACTCCTCCATTGATAAGTTCCTTTATTCAATTTTCGATGTTGAGAGGTTTTTTTTTACTGAGAAAATTTCTAAATTTTACTACATAAAACTACTCCATTTGTAGACTTGAATTTATTTAAGTTTTTGTTTATTTCAGAAATGAAAAGGCTAATCTACATATTTAAGGAGCAAGGGAAAGAGAGAAAACTATCTAGTAAACGAAACCTAAGATTTTACCAGCAACGTGCTTTCTTCTAGCTTCTTCGTGGTCCATGATACCAGCAGAGGTGGTTAAGATAATTTTACCGAATTGTCTAGCTGGTAATAAGTTATCAGTCCATCTTTCAATATCACCGAATTTAACGTTGAATCTTGGGGAGATAACACCACATTTGTTCAATCTACCGTTTAATTGAACAACAATTTTACCTGATCTGTGATCATCAATGTATTCAAATTCACCAATGTAACCTATAAGATGTTAGTAAGCCAAACAGAGTAATGAATGGCAGCATTACCCAGAAAGTTAAATAATGAAAGAGAGTTGAAGATGTCGAGGAAAAGTAAACGGTTGGGACAACCATACCTAAAAAAAAATAAGCATGTCGAAACCGTGTAAGAAGCATTTCCTAAACTTTATTCTTCCGGATACTTAAAAGACAGAAAGGGACTGAGCACCGATCAATCCATCCAGTTATCAACCCGGTGTTTGAAGAAAATAGAGCTGTAAGAAAAGGGAGTTTGCTGCGTGAATTATTATTCAAACATACCATGTTTTTGCATAACGGTCAAGAATTTGATGATAACCTTGGAGGAAGGTCTGATTAAAACTTGACGTTTACCGGTTTTTTCGGCATTGTTAATAGCATTTAAAGCATCAGCTAAGACGGAAGTTCTGGTCATTTTGTATTGGTATTCTAGAAAATCGTTAGTACTCAAAGCAAAACTCACAAACCATACAGTAATAAAAGCCACATGAGTGTCCGATTTAAAAAAGGAGTCATGAGCAAGTTCAAACTGGATCAACTCCAGCCAAAACACAATATGAGGTATCTACCATCTCGAGGATTACTATTCCAATACTGTTGAAGTAGGAACACTTATCCTTTCGTTCGAAAACAAACGAAAAATAAATCATTAGCTCACTTTAACCATCAAATGACTGGTGCAAAGTAACCTAACAACCAACTTCAAGACAACTAGATTCTCATACTGGGGTAGCATACTGTTTGTTTGTAAATTTATCTAGTGAAACATCTTGTCAACTTCATGATGGCATTTCTCTATGGTATAACAGTCTATCTACATACCTTAAGGTGGTATGATATAAAGATATTCAATATCAGTTTAGAAGGAAAAGAAGAACTTACATTTCAATAACTAGGAAGAGGTTCGTCTCGCGAGTGAAAATTTTTTTGAAAATTTTTTTTTGAGATTTTCAGTATGAAATATACTGCTGATAATGGGTAAATTACAGTCTGTGTGTTCACGTGACCCGAGTATCAAAAATGTGAATAGAGTAACTTACTAAGAGCTACATCTTGAATTGAATCAAATCGATATATTCTCCCACAAGAGCTTCTACAAATCCACTAATGGCGTCCCTGGATCTAGCGGTCAGGCTGAATGAACAACAAAATGCAGAAAGAAGGCTATCACTGCTGTTGTTTAGCGAGATCAAACCCTATTGCATAGAATTGTCTGAGATATCACTACTACCGAGTTCCATTTTCAAGGCAGATAATCCCAAGCTAATATCGGCAATCTCGAAGGTGAAATCGGTCCTTGAGACCCATTGTGAACTGAATTCAAGGAATGGTCCTTATAGATTGAGCTCCAATATGGCTGACTATATTTTTTTCCCAATCTCCAACTTATTACAGAAACCATCGCTTAGTGATGCTGTCACGTCTCATGTCTTGTATATAATCGGGTTTCTTACTGAAAACTGCTGGTCTTATGACCCGAAGGTAATTTTAATAGATCAATTGTTCCCCATAGCCATTTACCTTTGTGGGGGGAATAATAATAAGTCATCCGGAATCAATAATAAGGATTTTACATTCAAACAATCCACAGTCTACTGTTTATCAAGGATATGGAAATCATTGCCTTCTGACTACTTCAAGAAGGCTGATGCCAAACGTTTGTCCTTACTAGCAGACTCGACTACCATACTACTAGATGTTATCTCAAGTTTCAATCATCAAACCCTTTCGCAAGACCAAACTAAAACCATAGTCACCGCTTTGGATGCACTTGAGAACACCTATTCCGCCAATGTCTCACCAGAACAGTCTTCATATGTATTCCCGGGAATAACATCGAAAATCATCAATTTTGCAACAACCGTTAAGTCTCCTCACTTTTCCATCATAGTCAGTGTATTGAAGATACTTAGGGAATTGATTGTGAAAGTTTTTAGTGATACGTCCCTAGATGTACAATTTCAAGAGCCAGAGAACTTAAAAGCTCAATTGAAAGACTTTAATAAGATTTGGGAAGATAATGGAAACCAGGATACCTTGAGTCTAGAAAAACAGCCCCAGATCAAAATCAGCATCAAAGATTCTAAGAATCACCACAGAACCGATTCATGGCTTCGGGCAACATCGACACAGCTCAAAATATCTTTGACCATTCTTTTCAAGTCGCTTTTACTACTGTCTACTAATAAAAGCAAAATAAAAAATAGACCCCAGCTACTTGAGGAATTTGTTTTATTCAATAAAGTGATTATTCACCACTGCTTCTATGTATTATTTGATCTAATACCATTAACATTGGACGTATTGTCTTTGGCTATTGTTGCTTCACTGGCTGATGACTCCTCCAACGACATTCAGCATTCAAACGAAGAAGAGTACGTCGAACTTTTCACTCGGGTTTATACCAATTCTAATTTTGTTGATGATGAAAAACTTGGTTTACTTTACTCTCAGATAGAGTTTAAAATAAAGGATTTGGTGAGTGAAAAGCTATCCTTAGTATTATTTTCCACTGATGATGAGAAAATTGCAGCTTATATTTCTTCAATGAAACTTCATTTTGCCTTAATATATTCAATATCCAAGACTTTAAAGAGATTTCAGTCACAGCTTGAAAATTTAATCTTGAATTTTATCACGACTTTGAAAGAAGAGTTAATTAACAATTACATTTGGAATAATAAAAAGAGAAAAAGAGCTAATAAAAGTGAACTATTGGCTTTACTCACAGGTTCTAAGACTAGCGATGACCCTAATAACAAATTAGATGATATTGAGTTACCACCTCATATAAATGCCAAACAGTTAACTAAATTGAATAAAAAGTCAACCAACAATGCACCTGAAAACCGCCAAAACTACTCGATGAATCTTGCTTTGTTGGCTCACAAATGGGAACTTGGAGAAAATCTGCACAAGGAGGTTGCTATTCAATCCAATTATTTAAAAGACCTGTACTCTACCAAAATAGAATCGATGATTATCGAGTTGATAAAGTTTTTGGCTGAGCTCACTATCCAAGAAGGGAATTATCATCAAATGGTTACAATCTTATTAGATAATAATGGGGAAGATTTGGATATCTCTGATCCTATCAATACTCTCAATAGAGCTATGTCACTATGGATGGCCAATAACGTATTGAAGTCTTCAAAGATAAAAAATCATATGCTAGAGTTTCAAACTGATTCTACCTTTGATATAAACGAATTTATTGACTTTCATGATGAGACTTCAAAGGATACTCAGGCTTCTGATAATGAAATTATCGCTGATCCAAGCGAGCTCCTTTACTTAGTCATGGCCAAATCTCAGGAATTGATTGACGCAGCATCTGAGTCAGGTGTTCTAGATAATGAGGAGATTGATCTTTCTGCTCAAGTGAACGCTAATAAAGTGTATGAGTTTTCGTATGCGGCAGCTATTGACTCTATCGGATCTCTTTCTCGTCACATGGATTTCCAGCTGTTTCAAACGGATTATTTAATTGATTATTTATTCCCATTAGTAGAGGCTCTAACTTTCAATTCACATCCTCTTGTCCAACAACATGCAACAAATGCATTAAAATCAATTTCAAATAATTACTATGAAGGATCATTGAAAGCGATGATAATGGATAATCTGGATTATCTCATAGATTCAATCAGCTTAAAGCTCTCTGTTGCAAGCTCGTTAACTCCAACATTACCTGCAATCCTATTCGTTATATTAAAGATTTCCGGAATTGATCTATTGCTCAACAATCAACTTCAAGATCTCATAAGTCATATGTTCATACTAATTGATTCTTATCATGGATATTCGATTTTGGTGGAAGGATTTTTTATTGTTTTTGGAGAGATTACACGTCAAGTCCATGATTATTACTTGAAAGACCATCATGCATTGCGTGGGCAAGAACCAAAATCAAAATATCACCCTTGGGGTCTCCTGAACTTAGAGCAAGTGTTGAATATGATTGATGATTCCGGAAAGCTTATACAAACTTTGGATGACGAATACGACTCTTCAAAAGAATATTTCAAGAGGAAGAAACCGGGGGTACCATTTTCTCAAGAAAGTGACTCTGATGATGATTCTGATGATAATTCCGATACCGAATCAGGAACTAAGGGAGACGATGAAGATGAGGAATCCCAGTGGACTTCAACTATCCCCAAAGGTATTTATTTATCTATACAACAAATTTTCAACTATGGTTTTAGGTTGCTTTCCCATCCTTCTATGTCTCTTAAGCTCCAAATCTTGAAGACTTTGAAAAGTGTATATCCCATATTAAGTACCAACTATCTGCTTCTTATGCCTCTAATTGCACAAAACTGGCCAATATTACTTACTTTGATTTCGGGGTCTTTCAATTTATCTCCGATAGATTCATCGAACCGTGTGGATCATATTCAAACACAAAACTTAATCATTCCGTCGTTGGAGTTGGTTATTGAAATAATTGAAGAAGATGGTAAGCAAGAACAACCATTCTTGGGGTCAAAGTTTTTAGAAGCTTGGAACTTCCTTTCCCGACAATCAAGGGTATTGCCTTTACTTACTGGTAAACCCCGTTTATCTCTGAAAGAACTAGATGAATCTGGTTTGACTTCTTATAATCCAAAAATGCTTCAATTGTATGTTCGTTTTTTAATTAAAGGGTTGAAGAACTATGAAAGACGGATACCTGATTTAGTAAGTTATGACATTGTTAGAGTATGTTTTAATATCGGGATTCCAAAAGATGAAGAGACAACTAAAGATATTCAGAATAATATATACGTTGTTAAGAAGCAAAAACAAAATTGTTCAAATAAAGATTCTTTATTAATTAAATAATGTACATAGAAATTTAGGAAGATTATTTATTTTACAATTAGATTACCACCATCAGTTTTCTCCTTCTGGTGTTGTTTCCATATTATCATCAGCTGTAACCAAATCATCTATAACTGCTTTTTTTATTGGTTTGGCTTCTTTTTTCTGGATACCAAAATTCAAAGTTTGTTGACCCTTTGGTAAGACAGGAGCCACTTTTGTCAAAGGTTTTTTTGGTTGTGCATTAGCATCGTCAATTTCGATATCCCCTGCATCATCTACTGTATTAATGTTAACTTGCTGATCGAAATTCTCTTGATCTTCTTGGTTCAAATTAACTTTTTTATTCTCTATCAATGCACCAATTGGTTGAGTTTTAGGAACAGTATCAGATAAGAAATGTAATGCTTCTTGATTTGATACTGCGTTACTGAAATCCTTATAAACGATTTTCTTTCTTCTATCAACCTTAGCTGAAAGAGATGCTTGTTCTACTAAGTATTGTATGAATAGTTCAGTAGCAACCCCAGTAGCATAGACTGCACTTTGGGAAGCAGCTAGATAATCGGGGTCCATTTTAAAAATCTTTTTGATTTTCGATACCGGGAGCGTCAAGCTGGCGTCTTCTTCTTCTTCTATTTCAGCCGGTGGAGCTTTAGTATCTTCAACGCCTTGGATCTCAACATCAACGTCATAGTTGTTGTCTAAGGTTTCATTATGATCTTCGTTCGCATCAACCATTTCTATGTCAGCAACAGGCGTAGCAGTTCTTGATACCGGTGCTGGAGGGGTTGTACTTGGAGTGTCGTTGTCTGTGACCTCTATATTCTGCGAGCTCTGAGGAATTGGCGATGACATTAGATGACTTGATATAAAGATAAGTTGTTTCAATAATCGTTTCTTTCACGATCGAAAAATGTTAGACGCATCACCCTCGAGTCGAGGGGTGGTCACGTGACTAAAGTTCCGGTCAAACGTATATATATATATATATATATATATATAAATTACAAGCCAAAGTCGTATTAATATTTATTGAAATGAATTGGAGTCTATATACAAAGTACTGGAAGAGAGTGCCCCCGAGGGGCGGAAACATCGAAAGGAGTTGGTACATTAATCTGATTGTCGTAATTGGATAGTGCCATTGTGGGACACTCATGAGGTGAATGATGCAAATATATACATTTTGTAATATTAGGGAGGTAGGATTAATCTTTTTTTATTATGGATTCAGATCCTTCGAGATCGACTTGTTCTGACTTGATGACTTTTGGGTTAATGAATTCTTCCTTGTAGTCATTAGCTTCTAAGTCTTGATCGTTATAGTTTTGACCATATTCAATGAAATCAACAACGTTTTTCCATGCCAATTCAGCACTCTTGACCCCATCTTGGTATCCAACGTATTGTTGGTAAATTTGTGGAGCAGTTGGAGAAACCAAGGCTTTTAATCCTTCACTTTGCAAATCGGAAGGCACAACGTATGTTCTGACCTTAGACCAGTCGATGATATACACCCCGGCGCTGTTTAGTCTACCGTAACCCGATGAACCGGTCCCTTTGTAAAAATGTTTATTACCTTGTTTAGTGGTCAATGGATGTCTTTTGGATCCACGAGGAAACTTACGGTACCACGAAGTACCGTCCTTGTACTTTTGCCACGGGTTCCTCAACAGGGCAGTGGCTGTTTTCTGGAAACTAAGGACTTGAGATGCTTTCATTCTCTACCGTTGTAATGCTGGAAAGAAGTTCTGATCTTCACTTGATTTTTTTTTTCGTTGGTTTTTTTTGATGCTGAAAAAATTACCCAACCTGCAATTTGCAACCTGTAAAGTTGCAACCTGTAAATGTGTAATCTGTAAATTGCACGTGCCCGTACTGCATATACCGTCCAATTAGGAAAGCAGCTCCAGCCCTTTCCCAAAATTTCATGATTAACAGCAACTGAATTAAAGGATATAAAGAAGAGGGAATACTGTAGTAAGAGGTCAATTGAGTCATACGATTCCTAATAACGAGAGAAAAATGAGTATTCCAGAAACCCCTTCGGAGACCGGGTTCTTCAAGCCGCAACAAGGATACGGGGACATAAAAGTCAAGACTCACAAGTACAGTGATGAGCCAACCCCAATTAGTCCTGACCAAGGGAAAGCCAGTGAGTTTTTCCATAATCAAACTGATAAGGAGCATCAAAAGAAGTATGCTAAAGAAGGAGGGAAGAAGTTATTTCATTTTTTGCTTAATACTTTCTGTAAGTAACTGAGGAGATTTGCTGCAATACTACATTTTTGTTTAGTTCTGTCAATGTTTTAATTATATACTTAATAAACGAATTATAACTTTGATTTTTTAGCAAAAAGTTGATTTGCCAATTGAACTACTTTATTTGCGTATCCATAACTTCCTTGATACCCACCACCACCGGCACCATAGTTATGAATGAGCCATTCGCTATGGTCGGGGTCGATTTCAACTCGGGCACCCGATTCTCTAAAAGGTCTTAAACCAACGTTGACTCGAATAATATCGATTTCGGTTGGATTGTTTTTGTAATTGGGATTAACCATATCTGGGGCATATTTTTTCGCTCTTTCGATAATTCTTTTGGTGAGTTCTTTATCTTCTTGAAGGTTATTTAGATCTCGTTCAAAACAACCCCCAACGATTGAACCACCTTCTTTTCTGGGCATGATGTATAAAGACTCGTTAGGAAAGCCAGGGAAATCTCCTACGTGAAGTTCAGTCTTTGCATTATTTCTAACGTGTAAGACTTGACCTCTCACTGGATAAACTAATTTATCATCTTTAAATCCGCTTAAGTTTTTTGATAACAACCCGCTACTATTAATAACCAAATCTGCTTTTTCTCCAGAAGAGTGGTGATTTAATGCTTCTTGAATTGATTGTAACTTGGCCACTCTTTTAATCCCAACCCCCATTTCAAGTAATCTTTGCACAAGATATTGTAAATAAATTTGGGTTGAAATAACAACTCCATCAAATACTGATCCCGATACCATACCTTCGGGTAAATCTTTCTTTTCAATAAATCTGAAATTAGTAAAATCTTTAAACCAAGGACTTGTTCTATATTTGAACTTATCTTGATTTTTAGCTGCATCTTCATTATTATATTCAACGTTTGGTTGAAGCCATACTCCGGATCTAGGCTCGAATTTGGCCAATCTAATGAACTCAAAATATCCAGGCTTATCAAACTCTTGAAGCGTTTTATCTTCAAGAGTGGCAAATGAATGCCAATTTGCTCCTGCAAATGGTGAAGTATATTCAATATCAATATCTCCTGGAATGTGTTGTCCAATCACAGTAATATCATACTCGCTGTTTGATTTTTTGAGCTGCAACGCAGTGGTCAACCCAATCACACCAGCTCCCAATATCACTATCTTTTTAGCCATTGCCAATGTATAAAGAATAACTAACAATTATTGGTTAGGCTTGACGAGTTTTTCGCTTATCAGTGATTCGCTGGTGTATGGGTGTGTAGTTCTGGATGTATAAGGGTCTCAGCAAAGATTGGTTGGAGGTCAAGCTAAAAATAGTCTAATAGACTGAACCACTGGCTTTCGTCGAGAGGGCTACCATTAAGTGCTGGAAGGATGGATTTATTATAGCTTAAACTTAGATCAAGCGATAACTAAAAATATTTAATGGACTTCTATATCTTGAATGGCTGGCTGCATAGATCAATCGCATCGACATGTCGATGAATGAAATTCGAACTATAGTCGGGGTACAAATCCTTTAAATCAACTCTATTTCCCATGTAAGCAATGTCAGAGCCATTCCAGTGAGAGCATGCTCATAAGTTGATCTGACAACCTTAATACTTCTGAAATTACACTTCGAAATTACACTTCGAAATTACAATTCGAAATCACAATTCGAAATCACAATTCGAATTTCAATTCAAAATTAGAAGTTCTTGAGATCGTATTCAAGTGCTTGTTTGAGCAATGGCCCAAGACTCGTTAGGCAAACCACAAGTAGCTCCCATGGCTAGTCATACTTTAAATAGAAACCGGTCATACCTCCATTGTCCACCAACTTCTTCCTTACATCACAAACTTCTTCCCTCACCAACTTCTTCCTTATACTTTGACTCTTCCCCTGAAAAGAGACAATATCAACTCCCTCGTGTAAATCAGGGATCATTACCCTTGATTGTCTCTACTGTTGCAAGCACCAGTATCCCTACAAAGCTGCTTTCTCCATTGTTCAAGCTTCTTTAACCGTGCACGGGAGAAGGCTGGCTGCGAAAATTTGCATAGAAAACAAAAAAAAAAAATTGATCGAAGCCGGAAAAACCAGCCAGCGCTCGAGGCTTTTAGATGCGAAAAAGTGGGAATAAGCGAAGATTCAGTATATTCACTTAATCACCCAGCCATTTTTTGCAGAGAATACGGCAGTTAGGTGTGTTGGCAGCTAGCGACGCAAGTAGGAATCGGGATGTAACCAAAGAAGAGGAAATCATGCATCTGGAGTCGATTTAATGTCTTGAATTATAAAGGAAACCCTTTGTTTATTGCATTTTTGCTGGTGAAGCTAATCACATTGCATCTGTAATGCTACTTGCAAGTACGTTCTTGGTGATTGCAACTTGCACAGCATCTGAGCTTGAAGATCATTGCCTGCTGGTTTGGTTGGATCTCTTTCTGACTTGGGAATGTATATATATGAATCTGGGAATCCGTTAAACTGATTCAAATCAAAATTGCAAGTTTCTTTTCCACATACATTCTTTTACCTCTTTACGCTTTGCTTCCTCCTGATACGTTCTTTTAACAAGCTTCCATTCGTTCCTTATACTTTATCGTTTATTAGTCGAAAATGGTACTTTCAAGAACCTTCTTGGTAAGTACTTATACGGCTATTCTTCTTTCTCTTTCCAAGTTTGCAAAAGCTGATGAAGATGCTGCCACTACTGTCACTCATACAAACTACATATATCCTGATTGCTTTAAATCTCAGGTCGACACTATTGTGCAAGACCTTCCTGCCAGTCAGACCACTGGTATCCCAATAGTTTTTGTATATGCTCCTGAAGGTGCTGAAGCTAATACTTTCGCTGCTGGGGCTCCTGGTGCTGCTGGCACTCCTGGTACTTCTGGTACTCCTGGTACTCCTGGTACTCCTGGTACTCCTGGTACTCCTGGTACTTCTGGTACTCCTGGTACTCCTGGTACTCCTGGTACTCCTGGTACTCCTGGTACTTCTGGTACTCCTGGTACTCCTGGTACTCCTGGTACTCCTGGTACTCCTGGTACTTCTGGTACTCCTGGTACTCCTGGTACTCCTGGTACTCCTGGTACTCCTGTTGCCAATACCCCTGCTTCAGTTACTGCTGCTTCAGTTACTGCTGCTTCAGTTACTGCTGCTTCAGTTACTGCTGCTCATACCACCGATGCTTACTTCCATTATACCGCTAGTTCAGATAATACTCACTATCAAACTGTTACTTCGTGCTCCAATAATGTCTGTTCAAGTTCAGTAACTAGTAATGTTGTTCCTCATTACTATACTACGAGTGCCCTTTCGCTGGTTCATAAGAATAAGGCCGGCTCTAATGAAGATCACTCTGGAACTAGTACTGAAACAACCGCTTTAACAAAAGCAAAAAATACTGCTGAATCTGACTCTGAGACCACTAAATCAAAAATCGCCTCCTTCAAAGGTAAAAACGTTAACACTGACTCCTCAAGTGAAAAATCGTTGGTTACAAAAACTAATACTGATACTGAAGATCAAACTCATTCGAAAACAGTTCATAAAGACGGTAAGACTTCTACTGAAAGCTCTATCGAAACTGAAACCGAAACCGATGATAACTCTAAATCTGGTTCTGGTTCTACTATCTATGATTATGAAACTGAAACCAATGATCACACCGAAACTGATACCGTAACTGCTAAAGCTAAAATCTTAAAAGTTGCAAAAACTACAACTAAGACTATTTTCAAAGCTTCTACTAGGCCAATGAAACTTTATTCTCCTAGCACTAGTACTGTTACTAAAACAACTACTCAAAAGAATCCTTTAGTTACTGCCAAGGTTGTTACCAAAACCCAAACTAAAACTATTGACTCTGATAAAATCACTAAAGGCTTTTCTATGGCTAGCTCAAGTCACAAGTCTTCTCAAGTGTCCAGTTCTGCTTCTGGTTTGGGTAACTCTAGCTTTGTTGCTTCAAACTTAAGTGTTCCTTCATCATTGACAACTTCCACAATTGATTTGAGAGTTAGTTCTGGTTTATCAAGTGCTTATGCTGCTTCAAGCCATGCTGCTAAACTTACAAAATACGGTAATTCTTCTTCCACTGCTTCTTCATCCAGCTTATCCCAAGCTTCTCTTACTAACGCAAAATTGCCTGCTGGGTCTGCTTCTGCTGAGTCTGCTTCTGCAGGTTCTTCTTCTGTTTCTCCAACTCTCACTGCTGCTGCTGCTGGACCTTCAACTAAATCTGGTTCATCTTCAACCAACCCTGCTACTTCCGCATCTGACCTCTCTGTTGGTGTTAGTGCTTCCATTTCTCTCTCTGTTGGAATTCACTCATCAGATGCCTGTGGTGTTACCGATTTGTTTGAAGCCATCGAAACTGAAGCTCCTTCTGACGTTTTCGAAAGAAAAGAACTTCCTTTGGATATCCCTGACGGTGTTGATAATAATGGTGTTCCATATGAAACCAATAAGTTCTACGCTAACTTATTCTTAGATGATCAAACTGATATGATCTGGTCTTATCCATATGGTTTATACTGGAAGACTCAAGATTACTATGGATTTGGTGTTCAACATACTAATACTTCTAACAGAATTTTTGGTTCTCAAGATACTAATAATAAAGATGTTGATTCATACTATTATAACCCAACAAACACTGCTGAAGTTCTTTTCTCTGCTACAACTTTCTCTAAAGACTCAAACCATTTGAGTGTTAGTCAACTGCGTGATATGTCTGTCTTGGTTCAACTTTCTCCAGAAAAATCCGTTGGTAAAGACTATATTGACATTCCAATTGTTCAAGGTATGGGTTTTGTTACTGGTGTCTATCATGGTGATTTAACTCCAGAAATAGATTCATTAATTGGTTTTGATTCTGTTTCTAAAGAAAGTTCTGATGCTTTAAGTAAAACTACTTTGAAATATCGTGCAACTTTATTTAATGGTGTTGAATGGTTAATTTATGTCACTTTACCAAAAGACTCTAAGGTCGATGACTATGAATTAAGTGCTAAATCTCCCTACAAAATTACTGCTTCTTCTGCTGTTGATGGTGCCGTTATTCAAGTCGCTGTTGCTCCTTCAAAGAGCTCACAAGACGGATACTACGATCAAGCTGCTGGTATGTATCCAACATCTGCTGAGCTTACTGGGTCAGTCTCTGGATGTTCTGATGCTACTTATGGATTTAAATATTCAACTAATGGTTCTTCAAGCTCTGATAAAACTATTGTCTTTGCGTTACCTCACCATGTTGATTCTCTTACTGGTTCCACTAAAGATACTTCTACTGGAATTAAATTGGCTTCAACTACTAAAGGTGACATGTATGGTTATTTAACTAATGAATTGAAAATGTCTGAAACTTTAGAATCCAACATTGGTTTCTTACCATGGACCAAAAACATGAAAGGTCTGCTTTCATACACTTCTGATCAATTAAAACTTTTAGCTAAATCAGCTAATGAAGAATTAGGAGTTGATATTGACCAAACTGTTCAAGGTGCTGATTCAACTTACTCTTCTGGTAAATTACTTGATAAATATGCTTATATCTTGTTGGTTGTGAATGATATTATTCAAGATTCTGATGTTGCTAACTCAACTTTAAGTGATATGAAAGATGCTTTTGAACCATTTTTCAAGAATAAACAATATTACCCTCTTATGTATGATACCAAATGGGGTGGTATTACTTCTAGTGCTGCTCAAGATGGTGATACTGGTGCTGATTTTGGTGCTCCATACTATAATGATCATCACTTCCATTATGGTTATTATGTCCATGCAGCTGCAATTGTTGGTTACGTTGATAAGAAGCTCGGTGGTAATTGGGCAGAAGAAAATAAAGATTGGGTCAATGCTTTAGTTAGAGACGTTGCTAACCCATCAGAAGATGATTCATATTTCCCAGTTTCTAGAATGTTTGATTGGTTTGCTGGTCACTCTTGGGCTAGTGGTCTTTTCGTTAGTGGTGATGGCCGTAATGAAGAATCAACTTCTGAAGATTATAACTTTGCTTATGGTATGAAATTATGGGGTAACGTTCTTGAAAATGACTCAATGGAACGTAGAGGTGACTTGATGTTGTCTATTATGAGTAGATCTATGAACAAATACTTCTACTATTCTGATGACAATGATGTTGAACCTTCTGAAATCCTTCCAAATAAGGTTTCTGGTATTTTCTTCGATAACAAGGTAACTTATACTACATACTTCGGGTCGCCAGATAAGAACCCAGAATATGTTCACGGTATCCATATGTTACCAATCACCCCTGCCTCTTCAATTATGAGAGGTCCAACTTTTGTTGAGCAAGAATGGAAACAACAGATCTCTACTTTCATTGATAATGTTAAGAGTGGTTGGACCGGTATCTTAAGACTTAACCAAGCCTTATTCGATCCAAAATCATCTTATAAATTCTTCTCTGCTGATGATTTCGATTCCAAGAAATACTTGGATGATGGTCAAAGTAGAACTTGGAGTTTGGCATTCTCTGGTGGGGTTGCCAACTCATCTTAAGTTCTTCATTCAGCATTATAATTCATGACTTTCTTTCTATTCTTCTTGTTATTTCTTATGTATATTAGTTAATTGGTTTTCAATGGATAATTTAAATATTTACTATACTTTCTAACCCCTGGTCATACACCATAAACTTAAACTTTAGACTTTTAAAAGCTTTGATGGAAAGGTTCCAGATCAACAGTAAGCAAATTTTGCAAGCGAATGGAAAAAGCAGTACCTCAACGCACAAATATGAAAAAATGAAAAACATCAAAAGTTGGACGTCAAGTTCTATAACTCTAATCTATTGACAATGTTTCTGTTATCGAAGATCGTTGATAGATTTGCTGGGAATACTGAAGAGTCAAAGACCGATTCTTATTTTAAGAATGCATTACAATTGAATAATAAAGGGTATGCATTGCGTGTGCTCAGTGTTGTCCCCCACTCATTGGCACACCAACTCGGATTTGAATCGTGGTTTGATTATATTATACGTATCAATGGGCACGAATTGCCGATGATGTACCCATCCTTGTCTCACTATTCTTATAGTATCAACGATGATGGATCCATAAACTACGGAGGGGATACTACACAAGAACAAGCCAGTATGATAAGTTATGACGTTCTTCTCAAAGAATTGGTTACTATTGCGCAAGGAGAAGGAGGTAAAACAGCAACTTTTGATGTATGGAATGCTAAAGGAGGTATAATAAGACTGATTAAAGTTCCTCTAGAAAAATTCAATGAAAATGCTACATTTGAAAATGATCAATCTGTTACCAATCTATTTGTTAATAACATTGAACAAATAGGGTTAACTTTACAATCGCAACATTTAAATACTGCAACATATGTGTGGAGGATATTGAATACTCATAATGGGTCTCCAGCTTTCCAAGCTCAATTGGTTCCTTACACGGATTATATAATTGGTTGTGATTCTGCATTCCCTGATGATGTTGAAGGAAAAGGTTTATTATCCAGAGGAGGAGAGTCATTACTTTCAAGAACCGTTTCAAGTTATTACAACCATCATTACTCAAAAATGCAAGAAGATAATGTTCCAATTACCTTATACGTTTATAATCATGATTATGATATTTTGCGTCCAGTAACGGTAAACTTATCTAGATCCTGGGGTACCGGCCAAAATCGTGGTATTTTAGGATGTGATGTTGGTTATGGCTTATTACATCGATTACCAGAAGTTGTTGGAAAGTTTGATCATAATGATATAATCGATGATGTGTTATTTGAAACAGATCAATCGCTTCAATATAATTTGGATCAACCTTCTGAAAATACGATAACACCAATGGCCGATAGCACTGCTCCGTCAGTTTACGCACCTCCTCCATTATCAACCGTGCCTGCCCCATCTAAATACACTGGTAGGAAAAAGAAGAAGGGCACTGCCAATTTGGATGAATTGAATGATTTCATGAATGAAGAATTGGCAAAGTCAAAAGAATCAGATATTAGTCAATCAAATAGTAATACTCCACCTCCACCTCCTCCACCAAAGACAACATAAATAAATAGTTATATAAATAATGTTATAGTAAATCATTAAATGTAGGTTGCATGGTCTTTTTTTAAGAAACTCGCAAGTTTGTTGTAGTGCAGATGAATTTATTTTACTTTTTGATAAAAATTAACCATTTCCTGCAAAATTCAGTAAAAACATCTTGAAATATAGTAAATAAGAAAGAAAACTTTCACAATCCAAAGATTTCTTACTCTTTTTATTTAAATTCAATTCTATTGGTCCGCTTTGTACCCTTAAGGTTTCTTTTTCTCGAAGTACTTGTTGATTTTTGATCAAATTAGTTTTATTTTCCCCAAAAATAATTTTTGATTCCAACTATGAGACAGGTTATAAACAGAAAAGATATAAGATACCAACAGAGAGTCAAAAAAAGCTAAATTCTAAAAAATTAGGAAATTTAAGTCAAACAAATTGAAGCTTAAACTTTTATTGGTGTATTAAACTAGGTCAAATTTGGTCATATAGAAGCCTTTATGGCCAAGTTGGTAAGGCACCTCACTAGTAATGAGGAGATCGTCAGTTCGAATCTGGCTGAAGGCATTATTTTTTGATTCAAGTTTGTTAAAAGTATTTTATTTTTTTTTTCTTTGAAACGTTCTTTAAAACTACATCATCGATATAAATTTTGAAACCAGCTCGATCGAGTATAACGTTCAGAACATGTGGCCCTTTAGCAAGTCAGAGAAAGCGGAAAATTTGAAAGAAACCCAAGTATCAAAAGTTAAAGAACAAGGAGAACAAGAAGACTTACAAGAACTATGGAAACTTTTCAAAGATAGCCCTGAAGATATTCAAACACGAAGAAAACAGGTTACTTCGATAATACAAGAGAACAATTCATCATCTTTCCCATCAGAGATATCGGTTTTAACATCTATTGATGAATTAACTGGGTGTTTTGGATTGGGCTATCAATTAAAGAATTATTATAGATATGGAGAATATTCTGATTGTAAAAGACAAAGAGAAAAATTTTGGTTCGCTATCAAAAATGGATCAATTATGGAAGGAAGTGATACGTATTCGATTAATGATGAAACTTTGATGAAACCCAAGGAATTGAAAAGAAGACAAAAAATTCAAGAATTCTACAAAAAAAGACTATTAGAAGATAAGGCAAGAGGAAGCTCCGAGGATATTTGGAGCGAACGTAAAGAGCCTTTAGTTAACTTCTTGAATAAATAAAAGGATGTAAATAGTATATAGAATTAATATAAAAAGAGAATGATAAACTTTTATTAGTTATTAACGATGGAAAGGACAAAGAAAAATCACAGTTTGATAATGCTAAAACAATCAATAAATGAAAGAAGAATGAATGAATGAATAATAAAAAAAAAAAAAAAAAGGGGGTAAGAAAGCTAAATGTTAAGAAGTGAATATAAAATAAAACGAAATGATAAAGAGGTTACATTATTATACAACCTTTCTTTTCTGGTTCATTATCATTGGCACCTTTTGGTTTAGCATTAAGAGCGCATCTAGCAGCTTCCGAAAAGGCTTCATTGACACCTCTATTTTTTTTAGCAGAGCATTCCAAGTATCTTAAAGCACCAACTTTTTGAGCAACTTGTAAACCTTCTTCGTAACTAATGAGTCTCTTCAGTTTTTGATAAGGATTTGATTGTTGATAAGAATCATCTTCAGGACTATTTTGTTCGATATCATTATCTTCATTATTTCTCAAGTCACATTTTAAAGCAACCAAAACTAATTTAACCCCTTCACAATGATCAGCAATTTCACCAACCCACTTGGATTGAACATTTTCTAATGAATCTGGCGAATCAATAGAAAAACATAACATAATACAATGGGTGTCGGAATATGATAACGACCTAAGTCTATCAAATTCTTCTTGTCCAGCAGTATCCCATAACGATAATTGAACCGATTGTCCATCAATAAAGATATCATGAACGTAATTTTCAAACACAGTTGGTTCATACACTTGAGGAAAGTACCCTCTAGTGAAAACATTCAATAAAGAGGTTTTACCACAAGCACCATCTCCAAGAATAACAATTTTACGTTGAACTATCATCGGTTAGTATTTCCTCCATTGAAAACGCTCTCCTTTCATTATACATACTGGTCTTTTGACCTCCACCACAGACTGCCATGATTCAATGTTTCTTTGATTGTCTCTTTCTATCAAACAAGCTATCTTGTGATATGGTAAAAAAAAGTATCTGCTAAGTTGTTTTTCATTTTCCAAATCTGAACGTATGCCTTTTTTTTTGTTTTTTTGGCCCGTTTGATTCCCTGCGCTTTCTACATTTCCAACTACACCTTCAATTCAGCCCCAAAAGGGCCTGCCTTTCATTGCGAGCATAACAGACAATCAAAACAATCGACTTAAACGAGTCCAATGACGAGTACTTCTTTCTCTACGTTTTTTCGTCGGTTATTTCAGTTATTTGATTGCATTTATGTCTCGTGTAGGGCTGAAGAAAAATTCCAAAACGAATACCTCCGTACATCCAATATTAGATAACACCCGTAAACCACGATTGAAATTTTTTAAATTTTTTTTTTTTTTAATACTTTTTTTTTTTTGTATGGGCTCATCTCGTTGAAAACTGAAAAAATTCAAAAAAAGTCATCACCAACATTGTCTTCAGTATATACAACAGCATGTCGGTGTCCACAGCAGGTCCTTTGATCTGTTCTCAGTTCGACCCTTCGAACACGTATCTAGCCAGTGCGATCGTGGCGTTGGACTCTCATCAAATCAAGGTACAATCGGTTAATGCATCTCAATCATCATTAGATACTTCCTTTAATCTTGATAGTGGGTTGAAGATAACATGCCTTTCCTGGGTATCATTTGGTGAACAGCAGCTGGTTGCGTTGGCGCTCAACAACGGGAGTGTACTTATATATTCACCATTCACTAACCAAATCATTGCAGAGCTTGTATCAACGACTAATTTATCGATTACTGATTTCCACTATTCTCCAGTTACATCATCGGCTTGGTCGTCGGATATAAATGGGAACCTTTTCGAGTGGGATATGGACAGTTTCACCTTGATTAGACAGTTTGCCATTACTGATTTACTAGAAACATCGGAATCAATCAATAAAATTAGCTCAATAACTTATGATTCGAAACCTCATCTTTTAGTTGGATCCCATTCAGTTTATTTGGTTGATTTAGATAACCTTCAAATCATTAAAACATTCCCTGCCCACGTCCAACCAATAAGCAATATCTATCCTGTTCCTGATAATACTGATCTTTTCTTCACTAGTGCCAAAAATGACCGTTTCATTAATTTATACTCTATTCAAAAAAATTCTACCAAAGCAATTTTTGTGTCTCAGCTGTCGATTTCACTGTTTTCATTGGGGATTAAAGATGAACAAACTTCAATTCTTTTGGTCATTAATGAAGCCGGGAATTTAGAAGCTTTCCAAAATCCTTTAAATAACGATCCTCAAAGTACTCCTGCATCTCCATCCTCTACTCCAACCCAATCTAAAAAGAGAAGAAGACATCAACTCAACGCAGTTCAATCCCGTTCCTCAAACGCTTATGTAAAATTATCCAGACCATCTATAGAAATCAAGAATCCAAATGATTCAAACTTAATTATTAATAGCATCACTATAAATCACGATTCTATAATATACTCCTGGTTAGAACATTCAAGTGTTGCATATTTTGATACTTTGAAATGGTTAGATGAATCAAATAATTTCTTATTGAAAGGTGATATCATGCTTGAAAAATCAAGACCAAATTTAAAATCTTCAGTTTCTCATTCAGAAAAAGGTCATGATGTTGCAGCTACCAAACACTATAAAGAAGGTAATGCCATTATCACCGAAGGTTCTCAATATGGGGATGTCGCAAATGTCACTGATGACGAAGAAGAAGAAGAAGAAACTTTGGCTGATAAATTAGATAAATTATCAACCGATCAACAAAAAAATCTTTCAAATAACTCTAATAAGAAAAAGAATAGATCAAGTAAAAAATCAAATACCGCTACTTTAACAATCATTCTTGCTCAATCTTTGAAAAACAACGATCATAGTTTACTAGAAAGTGTTTTGGTTAATCGTGATCCAAATATTGTTCAAAATACTATTGCCAGGTTAGACTCATCTCTTGCCGTCATCTTATTAGATAGATTATCAGAAAGAATCACTCGCCAAACTTCTAGATTTGATCAATTAAATTTCTGGCTTAAATGGATCATCATTATTCATGGTGGTGTTTTATCTTCTTTACCAAATTTAAATACTAAATTAGCAAATTTACATGCTATTTTAAGTAAAAAGGCAAATACTTTACCAAGGTTATTGGAATTACAAGGTAGATTAACTATGTTACACCAACAAGTAGACCTTAAGAAAGAAATTTTGAATGGTGATCAATTCGTCTACACTTCTGATAATGAAAATGAAGATGCCGTGGAGTACGTCGAAGAAATTGATGATGCTCAATTCAAAGGAGAATTATCTGAGGATGATGAAGACTTAGATATGGATGATTTACAAGATGATTATGAAGATTCCGAAAGCGAAAATGATGATGCACTGGATCAATCCGATGTCGAAGGAAATAGTGACATTGATGCCGATGGTGCTACTTTTAAAGACGACGTTATGCTTGATGACGATGATTTAGTAGATGCTGATTCAAAATTGAAAAAACATCTTAAATCCTTGAAAAAGAATAACTAGTCAATAGACATTTATAGCTTATATAAAACCCCCATCCCATAGCCAGGATTTCCTGGTTTGTACAATAAATTACATATCTTAAGTACAGTATCCTCGTTATATAACAAGCCTTTATCGATGTATTGTTGGCAGTACTTAAATAGGCTGCAACTTTGAAGAAACGATTTTGCGTTTTGGACGTTTTTTTTTTTTCTTTACACGATGGCATCGAGAACACCAAAACGCCAAATCACTTTGGTATAAATAGTTTAGAGTTAGGCTAATCTAACACTGCTGATATAAAAGATCTGTTCAGGTACCGGTTTTGTTCTTGGTGTGTTATTGCTGGTGAAGGAATCGAATTTTTGTCAATTGGGTTGATCCAGGACTTAAAAAAATAAAGAAAGCATCATGTCATTCAAACCTACTTTGAATTGGAGACTTGTGTTTTTGGTATCCATTGGATTGAGGTTTCTTTTCGCTCTCTCCAACTCTTATATTCATCCGGACGAACATTTTCAAAGCTTTGAAGTTGTTGCTGGCAAAATATTGAATTATTCAGTTAGCCAACCATGGGAATTTAGTAGTGAAAGTCCAGCTAGAAGCTGGGGAATTCTCTACTTATTCTATGCTCCGGTGATGTACTTAATTAAGGTTACTGGCTTACAGGCCCATTTAAATCCTATACATATATGGTATTTGGTAAGGTTGCAAAATATGGTTACTGGGTGGTTGATTACTGACTTTTGTTTATATAAAATGTTGCCAACTAAACAAGAACGAATTAAAGCCATTTTTTTTACTCTGACCTCTTACGTAACTTTGGCTTTGCAATCTCATGGATTTTCCAATAGTATAGAAACTGTTTTGGTTTTGGTTTCCATATACATCATTGATGACTTAAGATTCACTTTAGAAGAGCTGAAGAAAAATTCTCAAGTACTAGTTTCAAACAATTTTACCAAGTTGCTTCTCTTAGGTATAGTGATATCACTTGGGGTGTTCAATAGAGTAACTTTTCCAGTATTCCTAGCCTTACCAAGTTGGTTTTTACTTAAATACTCTTGGGTTAAAAAATTATCACTTTTCATAATTGCCTTTGGTTTTGTCTTGACCTCCATCTTATTGGTCCTAGTTGATACCATTGAATTTGGCTCTGCATCTTTCGATGCTATTCTAGAGAATCCCCTTAACATTGAGAATTACGTTTTAACTCCATTGAATAATTTCATCTACAACTCTAACATGGAAAATTTGAGCCAACATGGTGTACATCTGTACTTTAATCATTTCTTGATTAATATACCCCAAATCTTTGGCCCTGCGGGATTAATATTCTTATTTCCAGGTTTCAAAAATAGGTATTGGAGAACCACTCCATTCTTGAGTGCTTTGGGTGGAATTACTATCTTATCTGTTGTTCCCCATCAAGAATTGAGATTTTTAACTCCAGTAGTTCCATTATTATGTTCATGTTTTGATATTTCTGCATTTTCATCGCCCGAAGCCAACGAAGAGCCTCAAGAAAAGAAGAAGAAACTCTCACCATCTTATGGTCCGGTAATATTAAATATATGGTATTTGTTCAATGCTACACTTTTAATTTTGATGGGTATCCTCCATCAAGGTGGTGTTATACCAGCCTTGGATTATTTCCATGAGACTTATTATAAATCAAACGATCAACAATCTGGTGTAATTCAAATATGGTGGAGAACCTACTCTCCTCCTAGTTGGATTTTGGGGGATGTGAATAAATCCACTCAATTTATTAGTATCAATGATGATTCTTTCGAATACAACATTGATCGTAGTAAATCAAATGTTTTATTCGATACTATGGGTCTTGAATTTGATAAATTGAACGAACTAATTAAGGATGTATCTCAGTCCAATTCTAATATATTCAATAATTTGTTGAATGGTTTCAAATCCAAATCACAACCCAAAATCTATTTAATAACACCAATTAGTTCATTTAATATGATTTTTGAAGATAAAGAAGAGATTCCTTATAAGTTCCAACAAGTTTGGAATTATGATTATCATCTTGACTTAGATCACTTCGACTTCGACAACATAGAATCCTTCAGATCCGGTTTAGGTATATACGAGCTCATTTAATGAAATAATACATAATTTATGAAATTTAGATTTATTAACTTTTATTAAATATTTTATTTTATTTCTGGTTATATTGTACAATTCAAGAAATTACTTATAGAAATCGAATTTATCATGCTCAGTACCGGACTTAACTTGAGAGGTATATGCTTCTTCTAAATCACTTTGTAAAATCATGTATCTATTCTTTCTTATAGCTCTCAAACCGGCTTCTTGCATAATAGCAGCTATAATGGCCCCGGATAATGGATCATTTCTAGTAATCAAAGAATCTAAATCGGCTTCAGGAGCTAAAGCCATATTAGAAGCAATTGTAGAAAAAATTAATCTTCTTTCTCTTCTGTCTTTTAATGAAGGAAATTCAATTTTTCTATCCAATCTACCTGGTCTTAACAATGCTGGATCCAAAGTATCAGCTCTATTAGTAGCCATGATGACTTTGACAGTAGAAGATTGATCAAACCCATCCATTTGATTCAATAATTCCAATAAAATTCTTTGAACTTCTCTATCAGCCCCAGTTTGAGCGTCAAATCTTTTTGTAGCAATAGCATCAATTTCATCAATGAAAATAATGGAAGGAGAATTTTCTCTTGCTAATCTGAAAACATCTCTCACCATTCTTGGACCTTCACCCAAATATTTTTGAACGAATTCTGACCCATTAATTCTTATAAAAGATGCGGTTGAAGAGTTTGCAACTGCTTTAACCAACATAGTTTTACCGGTACCTGGAGGACCATAGAGAAGGACACCACGAGGGGGGTCGATACCAATTTGTGAATATAAATCACCTTGAGTTAAAGGTAACTCTACTGCTTCTCTAATTTCTTGTTTTTGCATATCTAACCCACCAACGTCAGCGTAAGTAACATCAGGTTTTTGATCATCACCAACAATCGAGATAGATGAATCAGCTTCAGGAGGTAATATATCAACCAAAGCATTTGAATGACGATGTAATGCGACTGATGAAGAAGGTTTTAAGAGTTCCCTATCTAAAGTAGATAAAATTCTTACAACATAATTAGAACCAGTGGTTGAGGATACAATCCCAGTATTTTCATCAATTGGCTCCAAAAACTGGCCTATAACCAAAGGCACCGATTTAATTCTCTTAACTTCTTCCTGTGCTCTTACTAATTCTCTCTTTAAATGACGTTGTTCATCTTTAATATAATCTTCTTGTAATAATAAAAGATCCAATTCTTTTTCCAACTTCTTTAATTTCAAATATACATCTGATTGTTCTTCAGAATTATTGAAAAGAGAAGCAGCTTTGGATTTGGCATTCAATGCTGCAGTCTGTGAAGGTGCTGCACTTGGATAAATACCGAGTTCTTCCATTATACTTTATTTCTTCTGATTACTTTATATCACTTTTCCAGATGGTTATTACTGCGATTTCGAAGCTATTTTTTTGACACCGCTTTCTCTCAATTGGTTATCACGGCAAACGGTAACAATGGATACTGATCTAGTCAATGAAACAACTATTTATAACTAATTGATTGGTAATTAAAGTAGTTGATCTGGTTCTACTGAACAATTTTCTTTGAGTGGCAACAGTTTTCAGTACAAAAAAAAAAAGCTGAGAACACACGACTTAAAAATGTACGGATGTTTTTTATCTATATACATAACGTTAATGCTAAGTCTATTTAAAGCAGGACATTACCAAAGAGCCCAAGACACAGCCAGTCAAGGTCAAAGATGCAGCGATGATTCCAAGTTCGGGTTTGTCGAATTGGACAACATCGATGTCCTTTGAGGTGAACAAGGTGTGGTAATTGGCAATGACTGACAGTTTTAAGTTTGTCCAAGTAAGTTGAGAGACTTTGAAGGAGACTTTAGGAACTTGGGTATTCTTTGGTTTATCATCAAAGAGCCATGAAGAGAGGGAGGATGATTGTTCTTCTTGATCTGACTGTGTAGCTAAGCCGGTAGCTGGGCCAGTGGTTATATTTTGCTTATCTTTGGAGAAGAGATCATCGATATGACCAGATTGTTTTTCGTGTAAGTCAGTAATTGCTTGCTTAACCTTATCTTCGAAAGATCCAACAAGTCTTCTACGTTTCCAAGGCTCGACGAAAAAGGTTGCAATCATGAATAGAAAAATGTTAATACCCATAAGGATCCAAGTACCCCAAGTCGAGGCTCTTCTAATTTTATCGGACCAAATCTGTTCTTCGTGGTAGCGGGTCAAAATGGATTGGGTCAATTTTAATTGTATTGCATCGACAGCCTGTTCTGCATTATTCAAGTTCTCTTGAGAATTGATTTCATTTTGTTCATTGGCATGATCGTTTCTGTAAAGAATGGTGAATCGTTCTAAATCTTCGGCATTCCAATTATGCTTTCTGGTAAGTAAATCGTTCATTTCTTTTTGCAGGGTAGATCTGCGCTGAATGGCTTCTGCATATATATCTTTGCATTGTTTAACCTGGTCTTTACAATCCTTTAAATCTTGTTCTAATTGTTCGATTGACTTTTTCAATTTTTCAATCGATGAATAACCAGTAACATCATTGAGGGCCCTAGTAGCAGTGAAAATTGTATCCTGCAAAGAATCCAAGTAAGTTTCCATTTTTTTAGAAAGCTCCCGTCTCATCTTTTCTCTTTGCGATGGAAGATTCTTGAACTCGCTTTCAATTCGTTCTTTGATTTGTTTGGTGGTGATGGATGAAACTGGTGTTGGAAATACTTTTGCCTTATTTGGCTTTTCGGGATCAACGGTGGTCACAGTAGAAATGTCATCTTCATGATTGACGGGCGGAGACTTTTCTCTATTTTGGGTATCCTTGATACTCTCTTTGTTGAGTTCTCTGTCTTCTGATTCTTTCTCCGTCAACTCCTTCTCCTTCAACTCTTTTTCCTTCAACTCCTTCTCCTTCAACTCCTTCTCCTTCAACTCCTTCTCCTTTAACTCTTTTTCCTTCAACTTTTCTTCCTTCAGCTCCCTTTCTCTCAACTCCTTTTCCCTCAACTCTTTCTCCTTCAATTTTCTCTGTTCCATTCCCAAGTTGGACGAGTCAATGATCTGCCTTAGCTTCACGTCATCGTACGTCTTTGGCTGCTGCCTATCGCCCCCCTGTTCTTTCGATAGTCTCTCCTTCAACCTATCTTGTTCTTCTTCAAGAAAGGCCTGATTGACCTTATTGAAGTCTGGTTTCTCCTTCAACCTATCTTGTTCTTCTTCAAGAAAGGCCTGATTGACCTTATTGAAGTCTGGTTTCTCCTTCAAGGTAGAGTGACACCTAATACGTCCATCTAAATGTCTCCGACTCAATTGACTCGATCTTCCTAGTAAAGACCCACTCCATCGTTTACCAAGGTATCTGTACATACTATAGTTTCACTGGGACGTCAGTGGCTTTCCAAATTCAGTACTTTTTTTCAGTAGTCGTAGGCTTTTTTTTTCTTTTATTGGTCCCAAAAAAAAGTTTTGATCCTGTCAAAATCCTCAACTTTTATAGCCGATTGCTTATATTTGCTGCAATCATTAATTGGATGTCTTTCCAAACGAAGGCTCGAAAATGACCGAGAAGAAGATTACATTCGTTGATAGAAAGAAAAAAGTGTCAAGAGCTTGTGATTATTGCAAAAGACGTAAATTCAAGGTATGTTTTTAGTTGAAAAACTTAGATAAAAGAGAGAAGTGATATTAACGAATGGCGATAGTGCACCGGGAATGCCACCTGTAAGAAGTGTCTCAAAGACGGTAAAGAGTGTACCTTCAATATTGTTGACCATAGAACGATCAAGAGGGAACGAATTGCCAAACAGAGAAAAGGTGAAGAAATCTTGTTGATTGATCAAAATGCTATCAAACCTGAGTTGGTTGAGGAAAAAAGGGAAGAGATACGATTGAATAATGCCAGACAATCAAATCTTAAGAGGGAACAGGTTGTGCTTCCCTCATTTCAAGAGACCTTGGATATGATCAAGAACCAAATCTCGTCGTCTAATAGTATTTCTAATAGTTCAATTATAGATAGGTCTACTCCACAAGGATCTTCGTTAATGAATGCAAATAGTCTTTTCAGTCCGATACCCAGTAACGATAGTTCCAAGCCTATTTATTCCAGATCTACAACTACAGATTTCCCATCTATGTTAAATGAATTCCCGAATGGCTTTTCCGGTTTGGGGTTACAAGGTCTTGAATTTACTTCTAATTTCAATAACTTGCTAAACAACAAAACAGAATCTGAACGAATAACTTTACTCGAGCTAGATAATGAGGGATCACTTCATTATAATGCCTTAGGAAATTGTAGCTCTGTTTTGTTAGAAACGAAGAAAATCTTTAATGCTATACTAGGGAAAGCCAAGTTCGACACTCTGCAATCCACCAATCCCGTCGATAAACCCATTGATGTTGAAGCTATTCCGTTAGCTGAAATACCCGATGGAAATGCTTGTTTTAAACTATATAAAGGTTATACAAAAACTATAAGTTGGCAATTTTATATGTTTGACGAAGGTGAATTTTCACAAACGATAGAGAACGTGATTAATGGATCCAAGAACATCAAAGAGAAAATATTGGTTTATTTGGTTCTTGGAGTTGCACAACGTATGGATGATTATGAAAAGGGGGTTCTGGGAAGTGACAAATCAGTGGACTATATCAAATCAGCATTACATTTAAGAAATTTTTTGACTGATAATGATGACTTATGGCTAATCCAATATTATTATTTGCAATCAATCTATTATTTGGTAACCCATAAGTTTCAAACTAGCTGGGTCTTCTTAACTCATGCAATTGAACATGCACAACGATTAAACATTCATAAAAAACCTAGAAAAGGTTCAAAAAAGGTTGATCCCAAGCATCATATCAAGTTATTCAGATCACTTTACTTTTCTGATTGTATTTTTTCCATGGCCGTTGGTAAATCAATGCTGTTTAACGACGAGGAATGTGATGGGTTTAATCCCTATGAAAAATCACTTGAAATTTCCAAATTCAAGAAAACATTCCCGATAAAAGATGGTAAACCTAATTATGTTGCAAATCCCGACAAAGATGACGATTTTCGAATGAAATGGGATTTTCATAAATTTCAAGTTATTCATATATTGGGGAAGATTTTGAAAACCTGTTATCATAATTCAAAAATCGATTTAGATAATATTAAAAAGTTGGCTATTGAATTAAAGGAATGGTTTGTTAATTTACCACCCGATTTATTAGTTGAAAATACATCAACCGACACGTCAGAAGATGAAGTTAAACATCGATATGCATGTATTTATATTAATTCCTTCCATATTCATGCAATATCAGTATTAAGCAGGCCCTTTTTGATCTATGAAAAAGCATGTCAGATTAATGATTTAAAAGAAGAATATCAAAATTTAATTTCCAAGGAACTAATTCATGAATATAAACAAGCATCTATTAAAAGTAGTGCTTTAATGATAATTGCAATTATATGTTCAGAATCAAATCAAAGTTATAGAACGTTTTTAACTAATTTTAAAGTTAACTGTGCATTAAATTCATGTTTAACATTGATTACATGTTTAATTGATGATTTAAATAGCCAATTACTTAATTTAATTAAGTATGGGTTATTATTATTGAAAACAAGTACTGATGTTTTACCACCAGCCAAATTTTTTGTCAGTATACTTGAAGAAATGGTTAGTGAAATATCCGATCATCATTTGAATATACAGAATGAAAATTTCTTTCAAGATTTAGAAATTTTAGATTTACCATCTTTACAAGGGGACATTTTCCCAGAAGTTGATCATATTCGATGGATTGAAACTCAAAATGACTTCGTCCCCAATCAAATCGCTGCACTACCGACAAATTATCAATAGACATACTACAATAGGTGTATAATTCAAACATTCATTCAAAGCATAATTGTATCAAGAGTAGAAAAAAGCCTCTTCTTAAAAGTTTTTATCAATCAAAGCTTTAGCCAATTTCCAGTTGTGGGCTTCAATGTAATCTAAAACAATGATACCACAACCTTTAGCAAAAACCTTTTCAACACCACCTTTATCCATGGCATCGGCAACTTGTTGAGGCCAACAGTCATGATCGAAAAAGTTAGAACCAGAAGTAAAGTTAACAAACAACTTGTCGTCGTTACTCTTTTGAGCCTTTTCAGCTAAGTCCTTAACATACTGAACTTTTTTAGAAATATCGTCTTTATTTTGAATTTCACAAAAATCTTGTACAACAAATCTACCACGATCGTCTTCAGTAGTGTTATATTTCCAAGAAGCAGCATCAAAACCAAACTTCTGTCTTTTTTCATCATCCTTAACCCCAAATCTTCTGAAAAGAACAAGCTTACCTCTGGCATCACCTAATTTAGGAAGATCAGATTTCAAATACCATAAATCCTTTTGTTTATCAACATATCTATCCCAAATACAATTACCAAACTCGTCTTTATCGTTATTCCAGTCGTCGGTACCTTCTTGTTTAATGGAAACCAAAACCGTTTCAGATTTGTTATCCTTAATAAAATCGTAGAATTCCTTCAAAACATCCTTCAATAATCTTGGAAATGGAATCTTGACCGGGAATTTCCCGTGGATAACTTGTAAATCTTTAGCATCATCTCCTTCTTTCAAGAATTGCTTACCAACTCTAATATCAAAGAAACGAACCCCGTGTTTCAATTGTTCAGTAACGCTTTCTCCCTGACATTGAACCGATGGTAATGCAGTATGACAGGCTGCGGAATTGTGAGTTCCTGGAATAGCAAGTTGAGTCAACTTGGTATTATCGTCAAGTTCTTTCATCCAAGTTTTATAGTCGACCATTTTTTATGTATTTTATTTCTTAGTTACTATACAATTGATAATACAAATAAGGATTTCAATGCTAATTTATACCCCCGTCAGTTTATTATTAGTTTTTTCGTCGGTGCACTGCACAATTGGTTAAAAACTGAAATACACTGCCAACTGATACCTTCTTTACTTACCCTAACGGGAGGGGGCATGCTTAAGCTAACGCATGTCCAGGTCTATTGCTAAAGGGATATCACAAAGGTCTTGACAATAAAAGAGAATTTCATCTGTTTTGGCCGGTGATTTTTTTTTGTGCAGTCTAACAATTTCATCATCGCTCTACGGCCAATGGCTGCCAATTTGTAGAACTGTCAACAAGTAGATGATACAAATGATGGCAAAGGCTGCGAAACAAGCTTCGCTTCCGTAGTATTTTTGACCAAGCGGGACCAAGAAAGCCACCAAGATGTTGGCCAACCAATTGCTTGCAGAGCCAAACAGTTGGGCAACACCAACGGTGTCTACGCTGGTCAATTCAGGTATCATCATAAAGGGTAATGGGCCGATTCCAATAGAATAACCCGTCACAAAGCTGAAACAGGCTAGGCCAATGATGATATCTCGATTGGATGTGATGGACCAGGCCATTAGCATGGCACTCAAGCTCATTACAGCCAAAGATGCAATCAATAATGGTTTCCGGCCAAGTCTATCCACTAGAGGAGATATAAGTAACAGAACCAAGGCATTGCAAGCAGCCAAACTGGTGGTGATGTATAGAACATTGAACGAGGCATGCAGGGTAAGAATTGAAACACCGTAAAAAGTGATTGCGTTCATTCCACAGAGTTGTTGGCCAGTTAAAAGGACCAATACACTAAACATTTCCTTACGGAGTTTTTGTTTGCAAAGAAAATCAGTCATAGTCACCGGTTGGGTTTTAATAAGTCGGGTTGATTCGTTTGGCTCATCTTCCATCCAGGAGCTAATTTCCAGGTCAATTGTATGGGTTTCACTTCTAATGGAACTCATGATTTCAGTAGCCTGCGGTAAATCTCCTTTATGGATCACTAGCCATTTGGGTGATTCAATACTGCTGACCAACGCAATTCCTTGAATTAATGCAATACCAGCACCAAATACGAACACCATCCTCCATTGGATAGGATTTGCCCAAAAAATCGATACCACTTGAGCACTCAAGATCCCAATTGCAACCGCCAATTGAACTAAGCTTCCTAATAACCCCCGGTGGTTATTGGGGGTTAGCTCCAGAATCCAAATTGGATTGGCAATAACCGATCCTCCGGCAGCAATCCCAGTCAATAATCGTCCAACATCTATAACTAGTAAATTAGTACTCATGGCTATTGACAAACATCCAATCATGAATAACACCGAAGTAACCAGGGCAATCTTCTTACGGCCATGGCTATGGGCAACCCCAAATACTCCTAGAAAAATCAGCGATAATAGCCCTCCAATGGTAAAGCATGCCGTGATCATTGCAACTTGCGTAGTCGAAGCTTCTTTACACTGGGGAAAACCAAATTTCTCCCATACAGTCTTTTCATATACCAGCAGCCAATACTCGAGGTCTTCATATTGGCACGTTATATATTTCTGGGGTGCGTTCATCACTGATAAATGGAACCCAAATTGAAATGTTCCTAGACATGCTATGACTGTAGACCAAGCTAGCCTTGGTGTAACCGAATGTCTTACTTCACGTTCCTCCATGCTTTATGATGGACGTCTTCCTGCTATAATTTCTGCTCTAATGGCGGATGTCCAACGTTATATATCGGGCCCGTTGCAAAACAGCTTGCTTTCGGAGTTGTGCGAGATGACTTTTACCCCGATTTGGATCATTTCAGCTGATATGGATGTTGGTTCCTATCAGATTGCATCATTTCCGTTGGTCTTGTTTTGTATCTTGTGTTTTTATCTTATCTTTTATCTTGTATATTTGTATGTAACGCGTTGTCTGGACAGAAGTCAAGCTGAATAGCAAAGCGTGTATCCCATCATAACAATACAATCTTGAAGTAATGTGGATACTGTAGTAAAACTGAAAGAGTAGAAGAACTAGTATCAGAGTAGACCTAGTTGATAAGGAGTAGTTGGGTAATGGGGCTAACCGTACAATTGTCGATTCAACAAGTCAAGTATCCGAGAACGGCTTAAATGAGCGAAAAAAAACATCGTTTAGATATATCTTCTTCTTACTAAGTCAATCATGTCTGATGCTGAGGATAACCTTGCTGGGAATGTTGGGATCAAGTCCCAAAGCTTGAAAGCAGAACAAGTTGAAAAATTGAGTAAATTAATCAAGTTAATTCCAGATATTTTGAAAGAATTGAAAAATCCTGATTATGACGAGATATTCGGGTATCGAATCAATGTTGATACTGAATCCCAGGTGAATATTCCGGTTCGTAATGAAATCTTATTGAAGTTCTTGATTGCTAATGATTATGATGTTCAAGTCACCAAGGAGAAGTTGGTGAAGACTCTTAATTGGAGAAATGAATTTAAACCGTTGTCAGCCGCATACCTCGAAACCCATGATAAGGAACTTGATACTTTAGGAGCCATTACCAAGTTTAATGATAATGAAAAAGCTAATTTGAAAGTGGTTACTTGGAATTTTTATGGAAATTTGAAATCCCCAAAGAAACTTTTTGAAAAATTTGGTGATGCAGAAGGAAAGGAAGAAAAGAAACAAGAATTACCAGGATCAAGGTTTTTAAGATGGAGAATTGGGTTAATGGAAAGGTCATTGGCATTGGTTGATTACTCTGACCCCCAGAATCATAAAATTGCTCAAATCCATGACTATAATAATGTGTCAATGTTCAGAATTGATCCAGGAATGAAAGCAGCTACAAAAGAGATTATTGAAATTTTTGGTAATAATTATCCCGAATTATTATCAACGAAATTCTTCATAAATGTACCAACTTTGATGAGTTGGGTTTTCACATTTTTCAATAAAATTGGAGTTATAAGTGAAGAAACATTGAAAAAATTTCAAGTTTTAAATAATGGTAATTTATCTTCGTATTTTGGAGAAAGTAATCTACCAAAAGAATATAACGGAGGCAAAACTACTCAAATTAAGGATATTTTTGGATTAGAAAATTCGATTAAATCATCAATGGAATTCCCAGAGTATGGTAAACATTTACTTGACAAACATGATTTACAAGATAATTTATCAGTTGAATAATTTTTATTTTAAATATACTTAAAATCCATTGGATCTACCAAGGATTTGTCCTTTATACACTCATGGATAAAATTTTCTCCAACTATGCTTGGTATTTTAATAGGTTTTTGATGATGAGGTTTAACTCGATTTGCAATTTGAGTCGATATTTCCTTAATTTTAAATTCGATTTCATTTGAATTATACAAATTGGGTACTATGATAAATGAACAATCATCAATCGATTCCGTTACTTTACCTTTAAATCTTTTAATTTTATTAATCAATAAGTTTATTTTAAAAACAAAATTATCAATTTGATGATTTTTTTCTGCAAAAATGTAAAAACAAATATTTTCAAATAAAAAGGCCAATGGAGTTTCTTCACATTCTTTTAGAAAGATTAATTGATTTTCGTGATAACTGTCTTTGGTCAATTTAGTATTGATGTTCATATCACTGAGTAAAAACTTTTTGATTGGATAATTCGAGTCGAGGGTTGTAGTAAAACTATCACCAAACTTATCTAGTCTTTTCCCAGCAAATTCAGTCAATTGATCATTACCATTCAAAATAAAATTTGGCTCTAAAGGGACGAGGCTATTCTTATTAATACAATCTAAAATCCAAACTGGTTTTAAGATATCCCAACCTTGATTTATATAACCGATAATGGAAGGAATTAATTTAGAACCAATTATAACAACTTTAAAATCATCTAAATTTATATTTGATAAATCATTAACCGGGTCACCCCCATGAAGTTTCACTAGTTCAATCAATTGATTACGAGTTAATTTGAGTTGTTTGGATTTGTAGTCAGTCAAAATTAACATTTTTATCTTTTGAAATATTGTTTTATTTTCCGAAGAATCAAAATCAATTTCCCCGGATCTTTCGTCTTCAATGATTGAATCTTGAAAATTAATTTTTCTTTTAAAATTTGAATTAACTTTTTGAATCTTATTAGTATGGTGAACATTCTTTTTGGCTAAGTAACTTTGTAAATTTTCACAATCATTTAAATTCAAATCTCTCCTTAAAGATCTACACCATAGACCATGTAATGTGGTACCCGCCTTATACATTAAAGTGTCGGAGTGATCAATTGACCTAGCTTTGATCTCCAAAATGATTTGACAGTCATAAGGATTTAACCATTCATCAGGTTTTTTAGTACCAAATTGTAGTAAATCAATAGGAGGAGGATCAATTTTAAAATTATGCCATTTGTTTTTAGAAATAGAATCAATTTCTTTATACTCATCATAAGTAAAGCCATTAGCAACATTACAAAAACTTTTAAAAATTTTTGAATCCAAATCAAATAAAGCACAAATAAAAGAATTCTTGACACCTTTAATTTTGCCAATAACTATCAAATCGACATTTTCACCATAATACTCTAAATATTCTGGTTTAACTTTGATCCAATTTTTAGATCTTTTCCCCCATTCATATTTCGATAAGATATTTTTCAACATAACTCCTTCTGAGCGTTCACTAATAACTTGCTTTATCGCGTTATTAATATCCGTTGAATTGACACCAAGAGCATAATTTAAAATTTGAAATCTGTTTTCAATTGGGTTGATAATCTTCTTCAAAACTTCTTTTCTATAATAAAGAGGTAGATGAGTCAAATTTTTTGAATTTAAATATAATACATCAAAAATCATAAAAAGAGGTTGGATATCTTGAACATCATAAGCATCGGTGGTATTGAATTGTTTAACCAGTTCTTGAATAGCGGCCAGTTTCAAAGTACCAAAGGGTAAGATTTTTTTCAAAGTTTTATCAAAGGCCACCATTTCACCATCAAGGATACAACTCGAAACCATGAAGCTGTTACTAAACCCCCTTGATAGAAACTTCAGTAGAGAACCAAAATGATTATTTGAGCCGTATAAAAGAGTATAATTTTTTCTTCTTCTGGAGTAAAATTTAAATTCCAAATTATTATAAGAGGTGGGATACGATTTATTGATCATATGGATTAACATACGATCCCCATCAATTTTTTCTTCAATAATGAACTTACCATGATAATTTTCACGATTATAATAATTCATCAAATTAGAAGACGGTTTATAAGATTTATTGGTTAGTCTGTTAATGATTGTATCATACGAGGATTTAATTTTTTCCAGAGCCTCCGGAATGAAGGCATGGAATAACTGGATTTGTTTTTCAGCGGGCGATAATCGATGCAAAGGATCATGGCAAGCCCAAACGACCAATTTCAAATTGTTGGTAATTTTCAATAAGTCCAAAGAATCCGGGTGGTAAGTTAGCCAGAAAAGACTTGATTGGTTTGATAGAATAGAGTCTTTCAAGATGATATGACAAAACCATCTAATTTCTTCAATTGATAACTGGTCAAAGATATCATTGAAAAACCTGACCAAATCATCTGATTTAGTCAACTTAGTTAACTCATCCAATGAGTTATTTATATCATTAACGGATAATTTACCAGCGGGCACCGTTTGAGTTCTTCTATGCGACAAGATTTGACAAAAAGTTTGGGGCAAATTAGCCAAAATCTCCCCATTTGAGTTCTTAATATAATGATAGTTTTTCTTCCAATTGAACAATAAGTTATAATCGGGAGAATTTTTAGGGATATTCAAGATCTTGATAAACAATCGGTTCAAAGAAACATCTTTCAAATGATATAACCTCGAGTCCAATTCCGGTAAGATCAATCGGAACACGGGATAGAAATCCTCGCCAATCTGGATTCGATAATGGTTAACAAAGTTATTGAATAGATTAACATGGTAATCTCGTTTATTGTTTGCCAGCGAATTAGCTGGCAATTCTTTAATGTTTATTTTGGTAAATAAGTCGGAAATGAGTAAGTGGAAGGGCACTGGATTGGGATTGTGATTGACTGGAGCTTTGATCGAGTCCAAGTACGACATCGCAGCAAGAATTGCTCCCCTGACATGGAGTTCTGGGGTTATGTAGGCGGAGTCTGCTGAAATCTGGCGGAGTCTGGCGAAGTAGACTGTTGATGTGAGCGTTTGATGTGAGCGTTTAATCTGATGTGAGCGTTTAATCTGTTGATGTGACTGCTCACATCAACAGATAGATTTCCGACCACGCTTACGGGGGCGTTTCACCCCGGTTGTGCAGAACCGGGGGTTCGGCTCTCGAATATAACCAACATACGGTAGTCGAACTTGTCCACCATACGTAACCAACATACGGAGCCAACAACGGAACCGTCTCCAAACCCAGCAGGTCAAACGATAATACGGTGATCAAAGCAAGCAGCTTAACGACCAGATTGCCAAGTCAGCATACCGAGAAATCCGACCAGGTCTTAACAACAGCACAGCAATGCCAAACGCTCATGAAACTGAATAGCCACCATTGACGATGACCCATATATATAGACTATGGTGTACTGTAAGAGAACCCACACCCTGTAAGTCAAGTATACTGCTACTGTACCCTCTACCCTCTCTGCTCCAGGATATACTACCAGTATAAGTCCCTGGCTCTTTATAGACTGTTCAATTGAATATACAATAAACAGTTAATAATAGCATTGTACACCCAGTACAAGCGCAGCAAGACTAAAAAAAAAAAGAAAAAGGATCCGGGCATATATAATTTCAGTATGCCCCTTCTCAAAAGAATGTCTAACTCGACCAATTATCCTGGGACTAGTAATAAACCCAAGAGGAGATCGGGATTATTTCAAGTGTTTAATACTAGTTCCAAGAGATATTTGGAAGAATCAACTCCTCGAACTACACCAGAACCGAGTCAAGCCATGTCGTCCTCACCACCAATGTCACCCCCTCAGTTACCCAAGTTGAACACCAACTTATCACCAGTGGAACCAAATTCAAATTTGAATTTGAATCAAAATTTAAGTCCATTAAATTATCATAATCGGTCGAGAGCAGGGACAAATCTGAGTGCTCGCTCTGGCGATTCGGCCAATTATTCCTTTAGTGCTTCGCCCAATGCCACTAGTAATAAGCGAAGCTTGAGTGATAAGGTTAAGGCTACTCCTTCGTCTTTGGTTAGACAGCTGAGAATATACTCATCTTCATCGCCACAGCCCAACGAGTATGAGGCAGGAGCATTGAGTCCCAACTCGTCCAGCTCGTCGGTATTGAATTCTCCCAAATTAGCATCCAGACCCAATTCTCGTAGCATTACCCCGAATCCCTTGACCAAGTCCAATTCATTATTGGACCAGAATAAGTTCATCTCGCAAAATTTACCTCCTGAATTGAGTCCAATTGTCAATTTAATCAATGCACAGAAATTGAGAACCTATTGTATTGGTAGTTTTAAGATTCCTTCTCCTTCGGGTCCAAATGATTTTTTGGATGTGGAGGCCAAGTTAACCGGGATTGAGTTGGCTATTTGGAGAAATTCCACCACCAATGATGAATTTAATCCAAAATACATCAATTTGATCGATGTCAAGATTGACTTGAATGGAACAAGTTCAACTTTTAACCCCAATCCTCAATTACGCTTATTGCAAGATTTTACTAATGATTCTAGTATGACCATTCATTTTAATTCAAATGATGATTATAATCGGTGGTTGGCTGCTATTCAATTGGCGAAGTTCGAATACACTTCTCTTAATGAAGCTTTCACTGCAGTCATGCTTTCTTTAAAAGGAACCTCATTAAGTGATATTCATATTCTTTTAACCCCTAAAAAAAGATTCCCCAAGTTTGAATGGTGCAATTTACGTTTACCCCAAATTTCTTCAAAATGGTTAAAAGTTTACTGTGTTATTTTCCCCGGGGATTCAAAACATATTGGTAGAATTGAAATGTATACCACGGATAAGATTCTGAAGAAGAATTTGATTTTATGCATTCCTCAATTGAACTCGGTGTATAACGTTTACCCGGAACACTATAACATGATTGATTTTAATTCAATTATGAAATTAAATGGTGATATTTTCATTAATAAAAACTATGAACATTTATTTGTTCATTCGGATCTGGGTCAATCCACCCCAATTGGCCGCTCATTGTCTTTTAAATCACACCTGAGAAATAACTCAACCAATTCCTTATCCTCTTTAAATCAATCAAATGGTCATCAAAGAAGTGTTTCCATCAATTCTACTCAATCTTTTTTCACTAGTGCTACAAGTGGTGTTCCTAATTCTCCTAAAGTTGATGAGTCTCCTAAGAAAAAATCCATCAAATCTTCTTTCAAATTGAAAAATCTTTCTAATTTTGTCACTACAAACTACTTATATCTCATGCCCATTCCTCATCCTGGGGTTTCGGCTATTGAAATCATGTTACGTAACTTTATTCATATTATTGATGCTTTCAAATTATATGGACGCCCCAATCATTTAATTAGTGATAAATCAAATATCGAATCGCTTTTATTTGGTTTACCTTCTTTACCCCATTTCCAATATTTATCAATGGATGATTGTTACTATAATGTTACTTCATCAATTGATGTTGCCAAACGGGAAAATTGGAATGATTTTGATTGGAGAAATTTATTGAAGAAATTATTATCCCAAAAATTTGATGAAGGTTTTGCCAGAAATTCAAAATATAAGGGCCAAGGTAACATAATGAAATTATACCAAGATTTAGAAGTGGATTCAAATGAAATTAACGATTATGAAACCATTGCAAGTCCCAAAATTAATTTACCTCAAGATAACGGTCAATTCAACTTACCAAACAATGATCAAAATCAATATTCAAATATTAATTCAATCACCAACGATGAATTATTAAATCCGGCCCATGAATTTGATGGCTTTAGTGATGGCGGAATGAGTCCTTCTAATTCCCAATCTAATTCGGTTGGATTGGGAGATCCAATTGAATTCAATCGCCAACAAGCGCTTGCTCAACACCAATCTAGTGGATTGGAACCAATTGCTGATTACCCAACTCCCATTGATGAAAGCCATCCCTATCAGAATTTAGTGAATATGAAAATCCGTGATTAATCACTTGTATTTTAGTATAGACTACATGCTTATGTTATTGTTATTATCTTGTACGTAGTGTAATAGTAGTACGATAAGACAAGTACGATGTGTACGATGTGTACGACAAGTACATCAAGCACAAGTACAACAAGTACAAGTACAACAAGTACATCAAGCACAAGTACATCAAGTACAAGTACAACAAGTACATCAAGCACAAGTACAACAAGTACAAGTACAACAAGTACCAGAAGTAAGCACGCGTCCGCGTGTCCGAGAATCGGTAGCTTATCAAATCCATCTGAACCCTTGAATCTGCTGATGGCCAACACGTCCTAGCCTACGTTCTAATGCCCCAACACGTCTCGTATGCATTGTCTCTTGGTTCATCCAACCGGACAATTCTAACCGGACAATTCTTACTGGTATTTCCCACGGCCATTCTTACTGACAATTCTAACTGGACAATTCATCGTAACAATCCGTACTCCCATTCACATCCTCCAATGCTTATCCGATGTCTACTTCTTTGACCCATTGGCTACTCAACAGACCTTCCGTTTAACGTAATTCCAAAACAAACACGTCTGGCAATTTCAAATTCCTCTGTCTTCAACAAACACGCGTATCGATATCGTAATTCTGGTTCTGGACGGATTATAAACAACCAGTTGCACGTCTTGCTCGTTCAATTCTTCCTCCTCTATCTTTCCCGGCCAGTTTCTCTCTGGCCACCCACCGTAGCCTTGCAGTATCCACCCACCATGCTCTCCCAGCCGTTCTCTACAGTTTGATATCCATATCTTCCTACTAATCGCTGCTGGGGCTGGCTAAGTCCCAGAGCAAACACGCGTCGTGTCTCGCAAGCCTAATTAAATTTGTTTTGTTGTGCTTCTTTTGTTAGCACAAATTACATACAAAACAAAAAAAAAGAAGGAGAAAAAAAAAAGAATAGTCCCATCATCCAAAGGTGACTTTCACAAAGCAATACAAAATCTCTACTACTTCTTATTAATTCATTTATAATAAAAAACATAAACAACAGTTCATCACCGGTTCACGGAAAACGAGTTTTGAGACCACTTTTCAAATATTATATAAGTATCACGTCTTCCGCAAGTGAAAAAAAATTTCCATTGATATTTTATTCTTTATCATATATATCTATATATTAATCTACAAACATGTCTGTTCAACAAACTCCAACTAACGGCTTAACTGGTAAAATCTCTGGGTTAGATGTTACCACCTCTGATAATAAGGGCAAATCATTAACTGATAAATTAGCTGCTGAAGCTGAAGCTAAAGATCTCGCTGGTTCTGATCCAACTATTGGTAAGAATGCTATTGTTAATCCTTTGACTCCATCTACTCCTGCTGATGATAAAGAAGTTGAAAAAGAATTGGAAGAAGCTACCAATGAACATGCTAACTTTTTAGCACAACATAAAGTTCATCGTCATAAGTTAAAAGCTTTAGAAAAAGATGAACCATTACTTATTGAAAATACTCGTCGTTTTGTTCTTTTCCCAATTAAATATCATGAAGTTTGGCAAATGTATAAAAAAGCCGAAGCTTCCTTTTGGACTGCTGAAGAAATTGATTTATCAAAAGATATGCATGATTGGACTAACAGATTAAGTGATAATGAAAGATTTTTCATTTCCAGAATTTTAGCCTTTTTCGCTGCTTCTGATGGTATTGTTAATGAAAATTTGGTTGAAAATTTCTCTGCTGAAGTTCAAATTCCTGAAGCAAAATGTTTTTATGGTTTCCAAATTATGATGGAAAACATTCATTCAGAAACTTATTCTCTTTTAATTGATACCTATATTAAAGATCCAAAAGAAGCTGATTTCTTATTTAATGCCATTGATACTATTCCTTGTATTAGAAAGAAAGCTGATTGGGCTTTAAGATGGATTTCTGATGATGACGCTTTATTCGGTGAAAGATTGGTTGCTTTTGCTGCTGTTGAAGGTATTTTCTTCTCTGGTTCTTTTGCTTCTATCTTTTGGTTAAAGAAAAGAGGTATGATGCCTGGTTTAACTTTTTCAAATGAATTAATTTGTCGTGATGAAGGTTTACATACTGATTTTGCTTGTTTATTATTCTCTCATTTAGAAAATAGACCCGATCAAGTCATTGTTGAAAAAATTATTACTGAAGCTGTTACTATCGAAAAAGAATTCTTCACTGATGCTTTACCAGTTTCCTTATTAGGTATGAATGCTAAATTGATGTGTCAATACGTTGAATTCGTTGCTGATAGATTATTGGTTGCTTTAGGTAACGAAAAAGTCTATAACGTTACTAATCCTTTTGATTTTATGGAAAATATTTCCTTAGCTGGTAAAACTAACTTTTTCGAAAAAAGAGTTAGTGATTATCAAAAAGCTGGTGTTATGGCTAGTACTACTGAAAGTGCTAGTTCTAATACTGGATTCTCCTTTGATGAAGATTTTTAATCTTCCTACTTGCATCAAGTTTTTTGCTTCTTTTTTTCTTTAAAATTCAGGGTTTAAACTTTATTTGTTCTTTCCCATTTTTAATGGTTTAATGTTTTCTTTATACTCCATCTTAATGTTTTCCTCATTGGTTTATGTCTAAATTGTATCTTTAATTCTCTTATCCTTTGTATATTACTCTTTAAAATTACTACATCTTTATAACTACTTTAATTCACGTGTAAGCTACTTGTATATATTGATTATTGAAAAATTGTATTGAGATGAGAAAAAAAAAAGTTGAAAATTTAGAAACCTATTGTATTTACCCATTTCAATTCTACTAGCTATGGCAAAAGGTAAAGGTAAAAATAAAGGTTCAGATGATAGACCTTCGTCGTCGTCGCGGACTTCGAATGGTCATAAATCTAAACAGCATCATATAAGAAAGGGCCGTCAAGAAGGAGGTGCCTCATTATCTTCGAATTCTAATGATGATGAAAAATTCCCAGTCAAATTAGCAATGTGGGATTTTGATCATTGTGATCCTAAAAGATGTTCAGGTAAAAAGTTGGAGCGTCTTGGTCTTATCAAAAACTTAAGAGTTGGTCAAAAATTTAACGGTATCGTCGTTTCTCCAAATGGTAAAGGTGTTGTTTGTCCAGATGATAAAGAAATTGTTGAAAATTTTGGTGCTGCAGTTGTTGAATGTTCTTGGGCTAGATTGGATGAAGTTCCTTTTAACAAAATTGGTGGTAAGCATGAACGTTTACTACCCTACTTGGTAGCAGCTAATACAGTTAATTATGGTAGACCTTGGAAATTAAATTGTGTGGAGGCTTTAGCTGCTTGCTTTGCAATTGTAGGTCATATTGATTGGGCAACTCAGTTGTTACAAAATTTTTCATGGGGGTTGGCATTTTTGAATATTAATGAAGAGTTGTTACAAATTTATCAGCAATGTACTGATTCAGAATCTATAAATAAAGCTCAAGATGCTTGGTTAGAAAAAATAGAAAATGAAGTCAAGGAAAGAAAAGAAAGATCTAAAGATCAAGATATATGGATGATGGGTAACGTTAATAGAAAAGGTGCTGAGAGTGAAGACGATGATGACGGTGATAGCGAAGAAGATGTACAATATGATGCTTTGGGTAATGTTATAACCAAGGACAAAGAGCTCAAATATGATAATTTGGGTAATATTATCAGTGATGAGTCTGACCAAGAATCGGAAGAAGAATCGGAAGAAGAGGTTGATGCCTTGGGTAACGTAATAAATAAGAGTAATACTAAGTTTGATGAAGATGTTGATGGAGAAGACGAAGCTGAAGACGAACAATACGATAATCTAGGCAATCTTATCTCCAATAATCATCTCACCAAAAAAATCAACAATATCAGTTTAAATGCATCTACATAGTTTAATATACGGGTAATTCCAGTTCTATATTCCTTTCAACTCGTTGAATTGTGGAGCTCACATCGGATGATTCGTTCAATTTCACCGAGTTCTTAGTAGTTGGAAACTTTGAACACAAGGTTTAAGGTTCCGCTTAATAACTTTTCACTTCAAAAGGCTATAGATGTGGAGTTTTATTAGTAAGAAGACTTCCTTCTCTCGGAATTTCTTTGAGTTTGTAGCGATAATGTATGGCGATCGGGAATCTGGTGCTGATTTACCGAAAGTATCAAAAAAAAAAAAAAACTGGAAATTGGTTTAATTGATATAAAAGCAGAATGAAGGTACTCTCCTTATTCCCAGCTATTATAGAATGGCATTATCTAATAGTCCTTCAGGATTGAATTCGCTGTACTCGACGACAATGACCAAATCAGCCCCAAGTAAAGGAATTCAAATTGCCATCGATAGAGGTGGAACTTTTTGTGATGTTATCGCCAAAATACCGGGTCAGTCCGATTATGTTTTTAAATTACTATCTGTGGATCCTAACAACTATAAAGATGCCCCAACTGAAGGTATACGTCGTGTTTTAGAAAGGGCACACGGTATAAAAATCCCTAAAGATGAAAAATTAAAGTTAGATTCCATATCCAGTATTCGTATGGGTACAACTGTGGCTACTAATGCTTTATTGGAAAGAAAGGGAGCAAAAGTGGCCTTAATAACAACTAAAGGTTTCAAAGATGTGTTGGCTATTGGGAATCAAACAAGGCCTAACATTTTTGATTTGACTGCTAAAAAACTAGGTCACTTATATGAAGATGTTATAGAAATTGATGAGAGAGTCACTGTTGAAAGTTTTTCCGAAGGTGGTGGTGACAAATTAAAAATTGATATAAATGCTGATCCTGAATTAGTTGAAGGTGTTACCGGTGATGCTATCAGAGTATTAAAGAAACCTAATTACGATCTTGTTGCTGAGCAATTAAGTCAATTGTACAATAACTCCGATATCAAAACTCTCGCCTTATGTTTATTACACTCTTATGCTTACCCTGAACATGAAGCAAAGATTGCAGAAATTGCTAAGAAAATCGGCTTCCTTGTTTCAGTCTCTCATGAATTACAGCCAATGATTGGAATGGTGAATAGAACTTCTTCAGTAGTTGCTGATGCTTATTTATCTCCAGTCATTACTGACTATATTCAAAATTTTGGTTCAGGATTTGAAGGTGGCTTAAACTCTTTTGGCAATAAACTTTTATTTATGCAGAGTAATGGTGGGTTATGTCCATGGTATAAATTCACTGGTTTGAAAGCTATCTTATCCGGTCCTGCTGGTGGTATGGTGGGATATGGTGAAACTTGTTACAATGGAATCTCTAAAAAGGCTACAATAGGTTTCGATGCTGGTGGTACTTCAACTGATGTTTCAAGATACTCAGGTAACTTGGAACATATTTACGAAACCGTTGTAAGTCAAGTAAGTTTGCAGACCCCTCAGTTGGATATTTCTACAGTTGCAGCCGGAGGTGGCTCAATGTTATTCTGGAAAAATGGTATGTTTGTTGTTGGTCCAGAATCAGCAGGATCTGACCCTGGTCCAGCATGTTACAGAAAAGGTGGTCCTTTAACTGTCACAGATGCTAATTTATTTTTAGGTAGATTATTACCTGAATACTTTCCTAAAATATTTGGTCCGAATCAGGATCAATCATTAGACTTTGAGTTAACAGCAAAGAAATTTAAAGAGTTAAGTGATCAAATCAATAAAGATAAAGAAGACGGAATTAAACTTACTCCTGAAGAGGTCGCAAGTGGGTTCTTAAAAGTTGCTGTTGAATCTATGGCAAGACCGATTAGAAATTTAACTGAAGCAAAAGGTTTCAATGTCTCTGATCACAATTTAGCCTGCTTTGGTGGATCAGGTGGTCAATTCTCTGTTTCATTATCAAAAAATTTGGGTATCTCAGATGTTGCAATTCATAAGTATTCCTCATTATTATCCGCTTATGGTATATATTTGGCCGATATTGTTATTGAAAAACAATCGCCAGCCTCTTTTGTTTATGAAGACTTTAACTATGCAAATATTGACTCAAAAGTAAAACAATTAGTTGAAGCTGCTTACTTTGATTATGAAGAGCAAGGATTGAATGAACTTTCTACCAGGGTAGAAGTTCTTTTGAATATGAGATATGTGGGTTCTGATACTCATTTGTTGATTCCAAAGGTTGATAATATTGAAGACTGTGACAAAAAGTTCGTCGAAAGACATAGAAACGAATTCGGTTTTACATTGGACAGAAAGGTTTTGGTTGATGATGTTCAAGTATTGCTAATTGTCGAAAGTACTGATAGACAAACTCATAATCCATACGAAGAATTCAATCAATTAAAGACCAAAACTTTGATCGAAAAGTCTAAAGTGAATACGGATATTTACTTTGAAGGTTTCGGCTGGTTAAAGTCTACTGTTTTTCAATTGCCAGAATTAAGACTTGGTGATATCATTGAAGGTCCTGCTATTATAATTGATGATACCCAAACCATTTTGGTTGAGCCAAAATCTAAAGCTGCTATTTTATCCAGTCACATTTTAATTTTAGTTGAACAAGAAGAAAAACCCCAGTTGTCTACTTCTGTGGTTGACCCAATTCAATTATCTGTTTTTGGTCATAGATTTATGTCAATAGCTGAACAAATGGGAAGGACTTTACAACAAACTGCAATTTCTACAAATATAAAGGAAAGATTGGATTTTTCCTGTGCTTTATTTGACAGAAATGGAGATTTGGTTGCAAATGCTCCACATGTTCCGATCCATTTGGGTGCAATGTCCTTCGCTGTTCAAGCTCAAAGAAAGCTTTGGGATGGTAACTTACAAAAAGGCGATGTTTTGGTATCGAATCATCCTTCCGCTGGTGGTTCACATTTGCCTGATATAACTGTTATAACACCTGTTTTGGATGACAATAATGAACCAATATTTTGGACTGCATCCCGTGGACATCATGCAGATATTGGTTCCATTTCTGCTGGGTCTATGCCTCCAAATTCTAAAACAATTTACGATGAAGGTGCATCTATTGTCACTCATAAATTATGTTCCAACGGGAAGTTTGATGAGGTTGGAATCACTAGGTTGTTGCTTGAAGAACCGGCTAAGCATCCAGGTGGATCTGGTACTAGAGCGTTGAACGATAACATTTCTGATTTAAAGGCTCAAGTATCTGCAAATTACAAAGGGATTACTTTATTGCAAAGATTAGTTAATGAGTTTTCATACCCAGTTATTGACTTATACATGAAAGCTATTCAGTCAACTGCAGAACTCGCAGTAAGGAACTTATTAAAGTTGGCTTACAAAAAATTCGAAGGTAACGATATTCAAGCTGTTGATTACTTGGATGACGGTACTCCTATTGCTGTGAAAATTAATATTGATGTTGAAACAGGAGAAGCAGTTTTTGATTTTACAGATTCTGGTGATGAAATTTACGGTAATTTAAATGCACCAAAAGCAATTTTGTATTCTGCTGTATTATACGTTTTAAGGTCTCTTATTAGTAGTGATATTCCATTGAATAATGGTTGTTTGAGACCAATTAAATTTATTACAAGAGAAGGCTCGGTTGTGAATCCTTCCTATGAAGCTGCGGTTGTTGGTGGTAATGTCGAAACAACCCAAAGAATAGTTGATGTCATGTTGAAAGCATTTGAAGCTGCTGCCGCTTCTCAAGGGACCTGTAACAACTTCACCTTTGGGATAAATGATAAAGAAAACAGCATTTCCTTTGGATACTATGAAACTATATGTGGTGGGTCTGGTGCAGGTCCAACCTGGGATGGCCAAAGCGTTGTTCAATGTCATACTACAAATACTAGAATCACTGATACTGAAATATTTGAAAAACGTTATCCTGTCATTTTACATGAATACTCCATTAGAAAAGGGTCTGGTGGTGACGGTTTTCATAAAGGTGGGGATGGTGTTATTCGTGATATTGAATTCACTTATCCTTCTTTAGAAGTATCTTGTTTAATGGAAAGAAGATCATTACCTCCGTTTGGTTTATTAGGAGGTGAATCGGGTTCAAGAGGTCAAAATTTCTGGTATAAAAAGTCAACCACAGAACCAGAGAAGTATACAAGAAAGTTCCTCGGGGGCAAGACTACAGTGAAGATCAATAAAGGTGACCATATTATCATCATGACTCCAGGTGGAGGTGGATATGGACCCAAGACACTTGTAGATCAAGTTGAAAATTCCAAGGCAGATATCAATTACCCAATCACTAGTAGTCAGCCTAGTATCTTGACTGGATCTGCCGCTATGAGAAATATCATACAAGAAACCAATTAATCATATATATAGGCTTTTGAATAATATTTACCTTAAAATATTAGTAGTCGAATTAAAGAACTCTGTAAAAATGAACCTTGTAAAGTACTGTGCTTATTCTCTTGAGTAAATCTACAATGCTGAATTTGAATCACAAACCGATCCCCATTCCAATAACTTATATAGAGCCCTTACTCCTGAACAGTTGAATATTTGGCGATACAAGTAACTTTGTGCTAAAAGAACGAAGTTATAAGAGGTCGTCTGTTCAAAGAGATTCGAAAGAAAAAACCTCCAAAACACTTTGCTACAAAAAAAAAAAGGTTTAGATCAGCACTTAGCAGTCTTAAGATCACAATTTAACATCCCACCTGATACATCAATTGGTCTATTGAAATCATTGAAGATCTTTCTTATTGAGGAATTTGCAAAGACCATGTTTTGAGGATGTCAACGCAGCCCAAACCTACAACACATTTGCCGTTGCTATTGAACCCGTTTTTGAACGCTATCTTCAATAATCCACAGCATGGAAAACCCCCATTCAAACAGACTATACAAGAGTTAGCAGATAATCACAACGACTACACTATTTTGGTTCCTCCTGCCAATGTGCTTCATGAATATTTAGATCCACAATCGGAGCATTCATCTACAAAGATACTGTTACACGAACAGTGTTACCATAATGAAGACTTTATCAGGTCACATATAATCAAAACCAGCACGAACTATTCCTCTACCATTGCTCCTATCACCAGACTGAATCTGATTATTTATAGTACTATCAACGGTAAACAAATTTTGGTGAAAAATGGAATGATATTCACTGGTAAGGGTTTCAAAAAAAGCCTCAAGCTCAGAGTATTGAATATCAATTATTTCCCTTCTTTCTGTGACTATTTTCCAAAAGGTAGTCAGTTCATGCTTGTATATGTTGAAGATACTCTTTTCGGTAGCTTCAGACCTTTATCAAGATTCATTTATTCCTTAAATAAAGAACTTCCGCCTATCAAAAGTAATCCTTCTCACAATACGAACACTCAAAATACTTCATCTGTGACTTTCGAGGAGCTACTAAGAAACTTTCCCTTACTATCGAAGGCAGTTTCAGATAAGTTTTACCGATTATTCCATCACAATAATCATCAATTCCGTATATTAAGAACGCACACTAGGAAAAAGTTGGGGTCAATTAAAATTGAATTTCAAAATATGCTCGATGAAGCTTTCAAAATTGTTCTGGATAGTGTTAAAGCTGATTCTGTCGAAGGTGAACAAACTTATAATTTGATAAATCACATCTTAAGCATATATCCTGGATTGGATTTAAATCGCATAGTTCACGAATACGTTGAACTTAACTTGTACGACAAATTATGGTCACAATTGGTTTTTCAATTTAACTATCCTAATGATGATAAACTTGTGCACGATAAAGAGGCTATTTATACTCTTACGACCGACAAATACAAAGACTTGTCATGCTTGTCTTTGAATCAGTTGGATCTACCTATTGAAAAGCCATGGCAAATCAATGAACTTTACAAAAGAGTATGTTCTGCTATCGGAGAATTTTCTAAGCTTTCTGATGCAGCCATAGTAAATCTGAATACTAAAGCGAAGATAATAATAAACTCTGTCAATTACCTCACAAAAAGCGATCAAAGGTTCAACAAAGAAGAAAAGCTTAATCTGAGTGAAGATTTGTTAATTGATGCAGACACCTTGATCGGATTGTTAATTATGGTTGTTGTCCATTCAAAAGTGCCATACTTGGAAGCCCATCTCTATTACATTAAAAACTTCAATTCCATAAATTTTGAAAATGAAGGCTATTTTAACTATATTTTAAGTAATATAGATGCCGTTATATTTCATTTGTCTGATGCTGACCTGACTTGGAATGATCTAATGGGTGCTTCACAAAGTAATTTTGAGTTTTGGGCTTTGATACAAAAGGGTGATAATGACAAATTATTAGAGATTCTTAAGAAAGTTAATGACCAATATGAAAACTCAGACTTGCCCAATAACCATTTTTTGAAAAGCAGAAACATTGATGGGGAAAGCTGTCTCATGCTTGCTGTTAAGACGGGAAATATTGAGGCTTTCGATTTATTGATGAATTTCAATACGAGCTGGTTCTCGATAGATGACATACTATTCGATAAAAATACAACAACGGAACAAACATTACTTATTGTTTCACTTGTGGAAGAACGTCATGACATTGTCTCTGAATTAGTAGATTTGATCATAGAGAACACATCTTATGAGGAGCAATATATTTATTTCAACATTACTGATAGCTATGGTAGAACTGCTGGCCATTACCTTTTCCACGACTACAAATTGATAGATAGAATTGGACATCTTATAGATTGGGAATGGAAAGATTTAAATGGACATACTCCATTATTTAGCGCATGTCGATGCTATGATCATTCCGAGTATTCTTCATTAATTGAAAAAGCATTTGATTGTGTCTATTCAAAGAATAAATCAAGTGAATTAATAGACTTTGATATTCATAAGGATAAAGGTGGAAGTACCTTACTACATGTAATCCTGAGAGATTTACCCAATACGAAATTATTGAGTGAATCAAGAAATTTGATTAATGTTAATGAACCTAATATTAAACAGTTGACACCTTTAGTCTTTTATGTCAAATACAATCGTTTAGAAAACTTGAATAATCTATTAAATGATGATAGGTTGATTTTCAAATTCGAAGACTCCATCAATCACTATAATGTTTTCGATCATTTGGGATTTCTGTCAAGTAAAAGCTTATCGACCAACGGAACATTCAGAAAGATTGAAGAACTTATTCAAGAATATTTTTTCATAAATTACTATAAAAATGGGACCAGTGGTAGAATAGCCGCCACGAATGCTAAATATGATCCTGCTCTGAAAGACTGGATTATTTTTTTCATATATGAAAGTATTAGGAGTCCAAAGGACATTGCACTGGTGCAATCTTTATCAACTTTAAGGAAGAAGACACAAATTTTCAAGTACGAGAATCCAATGTCCTCGTTTGATAATGAATGGTTTTGGCTGAATTTCCCTCAGGATAAGGCTGTGATTCCTTTTTTCTCTAAATTTAAAATCAACAGGACAATCGATCATCTTAACATGCTTTTTATCAATATGAATTGTTGTAAATCTCAGTCTTGGAACAATTTTTCCGATAATTTACTTGCTAAAAAGGAATGTCTGACTTTTGAAACTATGCAAAACATAAATAAGAAGAATGAGATGAATCGCTCGAAATTTGGAGAGGTAAAACTAACTCGGGCCAACATTACTGAAATTGAAGTATTTTTGAATTTTTCCTTAGAGGATTTGAAGGTTTTCCAAACTCTCATTTCAAGATTGAACAAGTTGTTTTCTGTTCATGGAATTAAGGCATCTGACTATAGAATCGTTGTGGATAAAATGCTAAGTCAAATGATGGCATCGGTGATTTTTCCACCGAGATTATTCTCTTCTCATAGGCTTGATTTACAGAATGAGTATAGAACTGAAGATTCTGGCTATAACACCTTGGTTGCATATACTATGTGGTTAGAAATATCGGTTACAGAACTAATGAAGAATGTGAAAAGTGTAATAGAAAAGATCAAGTATTGGAAGGACATATATGAGAATATAAGAGGATTGAATAATGAGCTTTTGAAATACGAGAAGAAGGTTCAAAAAGTCCATGAAGCACACGAACAGAATACCTCGCCATCAAACGATAATGCATCTCCTACAGTTACTAGCACCGCTTCTCGTCGTAGTAGTGGAACATTGGACATGAATCCAATATCTCCCTCCGACTCCGAGGAAGATGACGATGACGAATTTTCCAATGTCTTTTCTTCCATTCTTACATTCGGAAACATGATTGAAAATAAGAAATCAAGATATAAAAAACTTCTTATGTTAAAATCAGACGAGATCAAAAAGATTATGAAATTAAATATTGACTTCAAAATCGAACACGAATCCCTTGCCGCTGAAATTTCCCAATTTGTGAAGTTCAGATCCGACTTCTTAACTTTGGGAATAAAAAGATTCACCAAGGATACCTTGGTTATCTTGAAAAATCGTCATTATGAATTATGTAAATTATCAAAGACTGTAAAGTCTTATCATAGTTAAAGATATTAAGCTATTACACCCGTACATTTTGAACTGTAGTGCAATTTCCAAAGAATCTTCCAGAAGTTTGGGTTTTTTGTTTGGTCGCGAAAGAAAAAGGCGAGGAAATTAGCAGTGATTTAAAGTAGCCACGAGTAAATCAATAGAGAACAGAAACCTACTTGATTAAGGTGCTATTAGATAAGATGAGTGTTTCAAATAAGGATATTTCTTTATCTATTATTAATTTCTTGAGAACTGCAGTTGCTGAAAAGCAAATTGCCGAAGATTTCGCTGATTCAATTGATGTTGCCATTGATTGTATAGCAGATGCTTTTGAAGTCAATAAGGATGATGATTCCAAGGTTTTAGAGTCCAAGTTTAAAGGTAAATCATTGAGTGATTTGGTCAAAGGTTCATTAGAGTCGAGCTCAAGCGGTTTTAGTGCTGCTCCTGCTGCTGCTCCTAAAGAAATCGATGCTGAAACGAAGGCCAAGGCCGATCAATTGAAAGTTGAAGGTAATAGAGCCATGGCAGCAAAACAATTTCCTGAAGCTATTGCCAAATATACTGAGGCTATTGAATTAGATAGCACTAATGTTGTTTATTTATCTAACAGAGCTGCTGCCCACTCTTCTTCTGCTCAACATGAAAAAGCTGTTGAAGATGCTGAAAAAGCCATTACTTTAGATCCTTCCTTTTCCAAAGCATATTCTAGATTAGGTTTAGCTAGATATGCTTTAGGTGATGCCAAAGGTGCTATGGATGCTTACAAGAAAGGTTTAGACGTTGAAGGAGATGGTAAATCCGATGCTATGAAGAGAGGTTACGAAACTGCTAAACGTAGAGTTGAAGAAGAATTGGAAAGCTCTATTCCTCAAAATGATGTTGCATCAACTTCTAACTCTGAAAATTCAAATGAACAATCTGCTCGTGGTGCCGGCGCTGGTGCTGGTGCTGGTGCCGCGGGTATGCCAGATTTCTCTAGTATGTTCGGTGGTGGTGCTGGTGGAATGCCAAACTTTTCCGAGTTGATGAATAATCCTCAAATCATGCAAGCTGCTCAACAAATGATGCAAAACCCTGGTGCCTTACAAGGTTTAATGAACAACCCATCTATTCGTCAAATGGCTCAAAGTATGGGTTTGGGTGGTAATGCAGGCGGTGAACAAGGTGAGCAAGGTGGTGAGCAAGGTGGCCAAGGTGGTGGTCCAGATCTCTCTGAATTGTTGAATAACCCAATGTTACAAAATTTGGCTAGTCAATTTGGTGGTGCTGGCGCTAGAGGCGGTAACAATGGTTCAAATGGTAATTAAATAATGTCTTAATAGTATTCTTTTTGTATATACATTAGTGCAATCGTTTTATCTTTTTTTTATTCCTTTCATATATAATAATTATAATTTTTAAATTCAATTCTTTTTAATAATACGCCTTTTCCTTCCTTTATTTACTACTGAATGATTTTTAAAAATCGATTTTATTAGAAAATTCTACACAATTATCCAAGATGAGAGAATGAAGACACTAGAGTAAAAAAGTAAAACAGTAAAAAACAATAAAAGCTATGAATACAAAACAAGAAAGAACATAAGCAAAAATTAAGCACTTATTCAATAGTTTGAACAAAAAAGACGATTAAGAAATGTTAAAAGCAGTAATTGAAATTGAAAAAAAAAATTCTAAGATTTTTTTGAAAAACCACTTAGGTTCTCAAAGCTTCTTCATAAGAAGGTGGAGGACCAGTGTATTCAAGAGAACCCTTTTCATTATAGACGGCAGCTTCATCAGAAACATCAACACCATGTTCCAAAGCTTTATTCTTTTCAATTTCAGACAAACCCATTTCATCTCTTGCGATCCAAATATGAGGTTCTTCATCATTGACAGCAGGATCTTCATAAGCAGTTCTTAAAAATTCTGGGTTATATTCAATATAATTAAAGTAAGCATCAGGCATCAATCCTCTAACACGGTCGAATGAATCAGTTCTTGGGCTGAAGAATCTAGTCAAGATAGAAGCTGGATTCTTACTAGAACCATTAGATCTAGTATGAGGTTGTTCAGCAACTGGTGATTTTTCATCATCAACGTTAGCCCTGTCAGATTTATTAATGAGTTGACCAGTAGAAGAAGATGGATTGGTAGCAGCATCTTGTTTAGCGGATTCATCAGAACCAATAACGGTATTAGCATTATGAGCATCATCAGAAGGACCACGTTTAATTTCTGGTAAGACCTGATCATGTTGAGTACCAGTTAAACCTAATTGGTTACCACCATGCCAGTAATTTTCACCTTCAGATTTAATTTCTTTAAGACCTTGATCGTGCATTGGATATTGGAAAGTGTGATCACCAGCAGAGTATTTAAGAGCAGAAATTGGAACAGCGTCAATAACTGGTAAGAAAATTCTCTTGAAATAGATATGGCAAATAGCGGTAGCGACAATAACCACAGCTTCTAAAGCAACACAAGCCCAATTTTTGGTGAAAACAAACATGGCAACAAGAACAATTTCTGACAAGTATAAACCAACAAATAATTGGAATAAAGCAGAAGCGTAATTTCTACCACGAGCATCGGTAAGGTTAGGACGCATGACATAAACCAAAGTGTATAAGAAGGCAGCGAAAAGGAAAAGGAAGGTAATGGTGGAAAACCCTAAAATCAAAGGAACCAAGAAAGCATAAGCTAAAGCAATAACACAAATAAGTTGCATATTTGGATACAAGACAGAAAAGAAAGGTTGACCCAAGGTAGTATAACGGTTCCATTTAGCTCTAGGAGTACCATCCAAGATTTTACCCAAGAATTGAGCCAAAATCAAAGCAACCAATTGGAATAATAAGGCAGCAGCGGTGGTTAAACCAAAGAAACAGAGGTAGGCCAAGTAGAAATTACCAGAGGTTGGTAATTTTTGGGCCAATAAGGGAAGAACGGTACTTGGATCTTCGACGATGCTAGGAACAGCACCCATAGCCGAAGAACAAAGGGCCATGACAAGGAAGGATTGAACAACTTGGAAAGCAAAGAACCAAGATTGACAATATCTTTCAACTTCTTGAACAGTGATACAACCGGCAACTTTACCCATTTTTTTAATAAAGGGAGGAATCAAAGACATTAAAATGGCCAAGGCAACAACTGGGAGTAAACCTTTAATAAGACCCAAAAGAACCGAAGGTAAATTATTAATAAAGCTCAACCAAGGAGCTTGAGAAATCAAGTTATCGATATTAGAAATGGCACCAACCACTGCAACTGGGATAGACCAAAAGATAATCATCAAGGTTAAAACGGTGGAGGCGATAGCTTTTTTAACTCTTCTTTTATTTGGGGTTAAAGCCAAATTGGGCCAAATAACATCAGCAGGAGCCAAACCAGAGTATCTACCACATTTTTTGAATTCGTCATTGTAAGGAATAGCTTGATAAGCTTTTTGCAATTCCAATTGAGTTGGGAATTCAATAAAGACCGAAGGAATTTGAGTATTGGAGTTATGTTCCAATTGACGTTTTTTGATATCTTTATTTAATTCACCCAATTTTTCCGGACAATAATCCAAAGTATCAACTTTTTGACCAATCAAGAATTTCAATTTATGAGTAGGTCTCTTTTTACCGTCCTTCAAGTATTGATTAATATCATCAGCGGGTTCAGGAAGAGGTTTATTCTTCTTGGAAGCCTTATTTCTCAAGTTGACGGCTTTGGTAATAGTTTTATTCAAGGCGCCTTCGTATTTACCGGACAACTTACTTCTTTCCTTAACCAATTCTTGTAATTCTTCGTAATCACGAGCATACCAGAGATTAGTGGAGGTTGGGAAGTAATTTCTAATTTCGGTTTCACTCAACAAGTGAGAAGGAACTTCGGTTAATAACAAGACTCTAGAGGATAATAAAGAGTCATACAAGGGGGTGGATTGTAAAGCATGTCTGAAAGTAACGTAGTAAACCAATTCACGATAAATCAAAAAGATAAAGCAGCCAAAGTAAATCCAAGAAAGGAAAACATGAGCAAAATATCGGTATTTATTCTTGATATTCCCAAAAGCCAAGATATCCAATTCAACGTTGTGATTGGAATTGGTAGCAGAAAGAGGGAACAAAATTGGCCATAAAATTATACAACCAAGTAACGAAATAAAAGCAAATTCAAAAAGGAAACGAGTGAAAAAATAACCATCGGGACCAGCATGTTGAATGATAAAACCTTCTGGTTTACGTAAAATATGGGTGAGCCAGCCAAACAACCCTTTTGGAGAAGAGTCTGGTCTCAAGTCTCTGGGCAAATACTTAACTTCTGCTCTAGGTTCATAAACCCGTCTTTGAGATTTTCTCAAAGCAATGAAAAGAAGGAAGAAAACTGCAGCAATAACAAAATTTGGAATGGCAGAAGCCAAAAGTTGGGATACTGACCCTTTACCTGACTTACTTGACCCTGATGATCCTTTACTTGATCCAGCCATATTAAATTGTAATAAGATGAAAAGGCTAAAACAAAGTCAATTGAACAAAATAAAGGATATTAAACGGTTAATATACCAATTGGTAAAAATTTCAAGAGATGAAATTGAATGAGGCTAAAAAACAATAACTGTTTGTTTGTTTGTTTTCGCACAAAAATGATGATGTAAATTCAAAACAAGCAAGTTAAGCCCTTGACATATTTCATCTTCTCTCCATCTACTTTAACTACAACAATAAGCCCAGTGGCCCAGGGATCTACTACTCCCATTACCTCGAATACCCTCAATGCCCTTTATACCATTAATCTAATTAGTATAAACAGTTTAACGCCAAAGTTGACGAACGGCTGTAGTCATGCGCACCGAAAAACCTAAAATTTCAGATGTACGGGCCGAGCAAATGAATGCTGGTTGCTATTGAAAATTTCACGTTGAGCCTAACACAAGTGCCCAAAGGGGAAGGACGGGCATGTGTAATCTTACATATCGAGTCATCATTCTCATCGAGTATAATTGATCTATAAAACTATGTAATCATTGTTTCTTGGGAGGAGTTTTGGACTCGCTAAGGCTGGTGCCCAGGGTCCCGCTCGATCCTTCAAAGGGCGGAGGTCCTTCTGGACGGGTGAAAGTACCGGTGGTGTTTGGGGGTGCGCTCGGGCGCCTGTAAATGTCGTCAATGGTTGATTCGTTATATAGATCGGTATGTTCATCAGAAACCACCGGGATGCTGGGACTGATGGGGCCTGCTTGTTGTGCTGGCGGTTGAGGTTCTCGGTGGTGGGCTGAATCGGGGAAGGTTGGGTTATTGGCGTACTCTGATTTTGCATTGGGGTTAGCGTGGAAGTTGCCGTTGTTGTCGTAGTATCCCATATCGTATTCGTTTGCCGTGGCAGTATAAGTGGGCACGTAGGTTTGGTTATTCACCTGCGGATCATGGTACTGTTGGTGTTGGGATTGAACATAAGAGGGTGGTGTCATCCATCTGGTTCCATAAATTGGTTGTGCTCCTCTCTGGCTTCTTTTTTTATTAACCCGAATGGTACCAACCACGATTAATACAATCAAGATAATGAAGATTGCGAAAAATGCCCATCTGGCGCCTCCTGACCCGGACCAGGTCCCATACCCCCAGTCTCTTTTCTTTAATGGAATATACATTGTTGGAGTAATAAATGGTATTACAAATTGTATTTGATCATTTCCTTAGATGGGCTTTATCAGCATCAGCTTTTTTTGTCGTCTGCTAAAATTAGCGGTGCTCCTGCACACCACTTACTTGGCGGTGGCGGCACGTGACGTGGTGTCCGGGTCTTTTGTTTTCCTTTTTCTTCTCTTTTTTTTTGTGGCTATTCTGGCGGCTATTTGCAACTTTTTTAACTTTTAACTTTTAATCTTATTATCTTTAAATCTTATATGTTATTCATCTTATATCTATACCTACATCTATGAAACACCAGCTCCGGTTGAAGGCGCTACTGCAAGAGCTCCCCTCAAGACAAATCAACCTCTCGGCGTCTCCGATCTAGTACTTATTACCCTTGTCCATCTACTATCACCCACTAACCTCTAGCGCCTCTACAAATGAGCAGATCCAAGATCTATGGAACCAGGTCAAATTGGCCTTCCAGGATACCTCCTCCCAGGAAATATGCTTTATTTTGACAATTTTTTCGAAAAAACGTCAAAAAAAATTGGTTTTGCTAAACTGTTTGGCTGCTTGCACTAAGGAATCAAGAAAGTTTTCTAGCATTATCAAATTGATCTCTTATTTAGCCCGTAAATTACCCTCGGGTAAAATCACCACCAAAAGAGATTTCCACTACCAAGACGTAAACCTATTTCAAAATCAAGAGTATTCTAATAGTATCATTGACTTGTTTTCTACTTCGTTAAATATATCTACACAAGAGAATTTACTAATTTATTCTTCCCAAAAAGGCTTGTGCTACGGGAATTGCAAATTCTCTCTAAATAATCAATGGTTTGATCTAACCTATAACTCTGCCCCAATCCTTATTCCTCATATCTTATCAAACCATATCCTCACCTTCACTCATCCACCCATTGCCATCATAATCATTGAAAAAGACGCAGTGTTTAAATCCTTTACTACCTACTTGACTGAATTCTCTCCCTCCTCTAATTTCTTGGTGGTCACCGGTAAAGGTTTCCCCGACAAGTTAACTAAAAAATTCATCGAGTTATCTTCTGCTAATTTAAACATCCCAATTCTTACCTTTGTTGATTCTGACGTTTATGGTTTATCCATCTTTAAAAACTACATGTTTTCCAATTCCGCTTACCTTGAGAATATCATCTTGGCCGGCGTCTTTCTACTTGAATACACCGACGGTTGGTTGAATATTACCTCTTTGGATCTTAGAAGAATGATTGGCCTAGTTAAATCCACCAGTCTGCAAACCCATCTCCATAAAGAGCTAGTAAAACTTCACCGGGAGCTCACCAGAAGCCTACTACTATTGAAAAAATCAGAAATGAATGTAATTAATCATAATTGCAGCCATTATATCTTTTCAAAATCTTTAGAGTATTTGAAAAAATGACGCACGGTCACGTGCACGGCCGATTCCTGCTGTTCTTTTTTTTTTTTGGGCTACGTTTTTTTTTTTGTTACACTTTTCCAATTTTCCAATTTTCTATTCGTCTCTCGTTGAACAAATTTCAATTTTTCTATCCAGTTTTTCATTCTTCTTCCTTTTCTTTATCAACAGTCAAAATGTCTTACTCCACTCGTCAAATTGGTGCTGCTAACAGCTTGGAATACAAAGTTTTCATCGAACAAGATGGTAAACCAGTTTCTCCATTCCACGATATCCCATTATACGCTAATAAAGAAAAAACTATCTTAAATATGATTGTTGAAGTTCCAAGATGGACTAACGCTAAATTAGAAATTTCTAAAGAAGAAAAATTAAACCCAATCATTCAAGATACTAAAAAAGGTAAATTGAGATTTGTCCGTAACTGTTTCCCTCACCATGGTTATATTCATAACTACGGTGCTTTCCCTCAAACTTGGGAAGATCCAAATCAAACTCATCCAGAAACAAAAGCTAAAGGTGATAATGATCCTTTGGATGTTTGTGAAATTGGTGAACAAGTTGCCACTGTTGGTCAAATCAAACAAGTTAAAGTCTTGGGTATTATGGCTTTATTAGATGAAGGTGAAACCGATTGGAAAATTATCGTTATTGACGTTAATGATCCATTGGCTGCTAAATTAAATGACATTGAAGATGTCGAAACTCACTTACCAGGTTTATTAAGAGCCACTAATGAATGGTTCAGAATTTATAAAATCCCTGATGGTAAACCTGAAAACCAATTCGCTTTCTCTGGTGAATGTAAAAATAAAAAATACGCTAACGAAATCATTGCTGAAACCAATGAAGCTTGGAACAGATTAATTAAAGGTACCTCTGCTGACTCTAAAGGTATTGAATTAACTAACACCACCTTATCTACTTCTGCTACCTTCACTGAAGATGCCGGTGTTCCTCAAGCTGCTCCTCTCCCAGCTGCTCCAATTGATAAATCCGTTGACAAATGGTTCTTTATCTCTGGTGCTCATTAAACTTATTGTCTATAGTATCAGTAATACACACTTTGAAAGTGAAAGAATGTAGCTATTGCAACCCTAATTCGTAGTGTTTGTTTTGTATTTGTTTTTTTGTCAATGAGTAAATTTCCACAAATCTTTTTTGCACTACGCGTGTGTGATTCACATTAAAAATTTTCCCTAGTAACCAGTGATGAAGCTAAAATTATCATCAATTCCTTCTGACTATTAGTAGAGTGCTGAATCTAAAGATTAGTCACTTATCAGCTAGAATAATATAAGCATCTTTTCGAAAAAAAAAAAAAAGCCTTCTATAAAGACCATGTTAGTTAAACCGCATTAAAAAAATCATGGACTTACATCAACAAATTCCTACTCATCTGAACTATATTGAAAATAAGTTTTCAACCTTAAGTTTAGCTTTTGATAGTTACGGAATCACGATATCTGACTTGTTGATTGCATCGGTTAATTCGAACTTGATAAGTATCTCCAAAAAAATTGGTCGATCATTAATTGAAATCAATAATTATGTTAAAGTGGTTAAAGAGTTAATAAATGATCAGAATAAACCTACATCAATTGATACACACATCAAGGATGATATGGTGATACCCAGTGGGATTGGTGACCTAGATATCCAATTGAATGGTGGTATTCCATTGGGGTATATCACTGAAATCTTTGGCGCCAGCGGATGTGGTAAATCGCAATTATTATTTCAATTAGCCATTCAAGCTCAATTGAATGAAAGGAAAAGAAGTATTTATATATCAACTGAATCCATCTTAGAGACCCGCAGGCTAAACGAAATGATTGCAAACCATCCTAGAGACATTCTGATGGATAATATCGATTATGTTTACTGTGATGATTTAGAAAGTCAAGATCACATCTTGATGACCCAACTACCCGTCAAACTATCACAACATCCAAGGGGTACATTCAACGCTATTTTCATCGATAGTATTGGACACCATTTAAGAAGAGAAGACTCAATCACCAATGAAAAATACTTACTGGACAGAATCGAAGAACAAGAAGCGTTAATGCAAGATGATGATGTGTTTAAAGAAATTAGTACGAAGAATCATCAACAATTACAGAAATTTTTCAAATCAGATCTTCTATATCAAACTCGAATCAATAAAAGAAAATACCTTATGCTTTTGCAACGCCATTTGATTGAGTTGGCTCAAACTTATAACGTGGCTGTTATAATAGCCAATCAGGTAAGTGATCAGCCGGCAAATGAAGATTCCAATATCCAAAATTATTTGGGCAATGATGACCCAATCAATTTCAACTATCAATTGGGTCAATTTTCAGGTTGGGATAATGAAACAATTTCAAAATTTCAGCATAGTTTCAGCAATTCTTCCTCAGAAACTACTGTTGACACTTTATACTCTGAATTAATGCATTCTTTTAATAAAAGGGCTAAAACTAATCAATCCGATACTTACAATAAACAAGAATCCCTTGTGTCCCAACTACACCATGTTCAAAATAGAGAAACAAAACGTATAATCCCATCCCTAGGGTATACCTGGGCCAAAAACATTGGATGCAAATTACTACTTCTGAAAAATTATAAACCAATCCTCAAAGATAAACTGGAAATTTCGAATGATGTATACCCAGAAGAACCCACCACCGACCCCTTACAGAATGACCACAAGAGAAGTTTCTCCCAACTAGACAGCTCCCATAATCCCGTCTCTTCAATTGAAGACTTGATCGATGGCTGGCAAGTTGAACGATACATTAAAGTCGTGCTGAGTCCATTCCTTACCGAAAACCTTCACAACCAACGTGATTACTCCAAGATTCCAGTATCGCTAGACCAACACGGGTTTCACTAAGTAGATGGAGGTTGGAGTCCTTATCAACGTGGGTAGTGTCAGGGTGCAAACTGAAGATGTCTATTCCCCTTTAACTTTTGAAGACATGAAAAAATGAGAATGAACGGGAAAGCATATCACAAAAAAACGAGGGAGCGTGAACAAAGTTGAAATTGAAAATGAAAACAGAATAAAGTCATCCAATTTGGTTTCTATCGAGTATTGGCTTTTCTTTCACGTACAACACCGTCGGTTAGAAACCTCACAAGTTATTTTATCATCATCATTTCAATATGAAGGTATGTTCTTGCATTTATGGCCGGTCGAGAAAATCGCATTCTTCGAGGTAGGGGACGCGCCGAGTCAACGTCGGTGGGCGACCATGAAGATGAGTATCGAGGATTGATATTAACCCCAATGAATATAGTTTATAGATGAAGTTGACATTGAATTAGTCAACCAAGAACTTAATTTCCATTCTACTGATAATAATGTTGTTATAAAAGGAGGTTGTGATTTATTCACCACTAAACCTATTGCTTCTGATCGTAAATTATTTAAAACTATTGATAAACACTTGAATCAGATTATTGAAGATAATCAGTTATCCCAATCGTTAGGACGTGAACGTCACTATTCGATGGGGAGTAGTGCTTCTCCTCCAAGTGGACATCTTCAATTCCGTCAACAACTTAATCAATATATGCAACAACAACAACAACAACAACCTTCACAACAGCCTTTACAACAACCAAGTCCTCGTCAAAGTCCTCAGCAACAATATTCAACCATAAATAATAGAAGAGCTAGCACAAATCTGATTAATGAACAAGGGAACAGTGACTCTTCAAAATTATCGGATAGCAATAGTGCCGAAACTTCTTTTGATAATTCTATTGCTGTTGATGAATCACCGTTTGGTCCATTGAAATCTAATTCTACTAGGAAGACTTTTGCTTATCTTATTGCAATTTTGAACACAACTTACCCTGATCATGATTTTTCAAATTTACAACCAACTGAAGAAAATTTTCATCGAATTAACTCTTCAGAGGATTTAATCCATCGTTTTAATAATATAATGTTATCTTTGGGTAAAAAAGAAGACTTGTTAAATTGGATTTGGGATACTATAAATGTCTATATGGACCTTGTACCAACAAAATCTCCAATTTTGGCTGCACATGGTTCAAGAAAAAATAGTTTATCAGCTTCAAGACAAAATAGTATATCGACATCTAGAAAAAATAGTGCTTCTGCTACTAGAAATACCTCAATGTCTCCTAAAATAACTGAACTTACTTTAAATTCTTCGAATAAAGTAAAACCTGAACTTTTACTTAATGATTCAGATTTCAAATCTAAAAATAAAGTAAAATCAGAATCTTTGTTTAATGATTCAGATTTCAAATCAAAAAACAAGGATCAAGAAAATAATAGCCATCATCATCATCATCGTCGTAACAGTAATAACCATAGACCCCAACCGGTCCATTCAAATAGCAATACGTTTGAAGGTTGCCAAGTTTATGAATTCCAACCCTCTGATCAATCCATTCTCGAAGATTTAAATTATCCATATCAAACTTTATGGTCCTACTATTGGTTTATCTACAATAAAAAGAAAAAGAGAGTATCATTTCTTTACCTCACCGCAATTAATAAAATGCATTTTTCAATGATCAACCGAAATAGAGGCCCATCTTTCAGCAGACAAGAGAGAGAAAAATATGGCTCTAATCTTAATGAAGATGATGATACAGATGTGCATTTTGAGGAGGAAGACGATATTTACGTAGATGATTACGACGATGACGTTATAATAGATGATGACGAAGAAATGGATAAAGACGTTGTTGGTGACATCGAAATCTAATCTACAAAAATTTACACTCTACTAACTTGATATTAGAATAAAATAAATAATGAATTAATATGAGCAAATGTTAACGCATCTCCGCCAACATTTACGTGTGTATTAATGAATATATGACGATTTCTAGACATTCGATTGCAAAATTGCTGCAAGCAAAATTCGTAATTTTTTTTTTTTTTTTTTTAAAAAAAAAGGGCTGTTTCTCGCAACTCCGTAAGACGTTGCTATTGCCATGGACAATTGCTGTTCACACTAATGCTCAGTGTAGAACCAGTATATAAGAAGAATGGATTCTATGAGGTCTCAGATGATTTGAACTTTTCATTATCTGAAATATACTATACAAAATGTCTCAAAAATTAGCTACCGAAATTGACCTCCCATTAAACGATGGCCACAGAATTCCGGCTTTAGCCATTGGTACTCTTCCTCCAGATCTTCCACAAAGGGTCACTGCACAAGTTATTACTGCTGTCAAAGCAGGTTATCGTCATATTGATACTGCTTGGTACTACGGTACAGAAAAATATGTCGGGGAAGCTTTGAAACATTTGTTTGCAGAAGGTTATAAACGTGAAGATCTTTTCATTACCACCAAAGTCTGGCATTCTTTCTGGCACAGTCCAGAAAAATCATTGGATAAATCTTTATCTGATTTGGGAATTTCATACGTTGATTTGCTTTTACAGCATTGGCCTGTTTGTTCCCATGGTGATGAAAATGGACTTCCAGCTGAACCAATGGAAGGCGATTATGTTAAATATGATGATGATCCAGTAACTGGAACAAAATTCATTGATTTTTATAACGCCATTGAAGATATTAAGCTCAACACTAATAAAGTGAAATCAGTTGGTATTTCTAACTACTCAATTCCAAAATTAAAGCAATTGTTACCAAAAGTTAAGAAATTTGTTCCTGCTGTCAATCAAATCGAATTATCACCTCATTTACCTCAAAAAGATTTGACTGATTTTTGTGATCAACATAAAATCATTGTGTCTGCTTATAGTCCTGTTGGTGGTACTGGTGCTCCTGTTGTGAAGGACCCTTATGTTGTTGAACTTGCTACGAAATATGGCGTTGAACCTAATGATATTACTAATGCTTATCATATTTTAAATAACAGGGTATCCATTCCAAGAAGCTTTAATCACGATAGAATTAAAAAGGCCATCATATTGCCTCGTCTTTCAAAGGATGAATTGGACAGTCTCTATAAACTCGGGGAGGAAAATCCAAGAAGATACACAAACGATCCTTGGGGTTACGGTTTAGGCTTCAGATGGTGGGATGGTGATACTCTCTCCAAAGAATTTGATTAATTATATAAATCAATAATTAACAATAACATACTTTGTTGTAAACGTCTTGTAGTTGAAGGTTTTTCACACCTTCATCGTAAATTGCTTGAAAATTGCAGCCATTTTTTTTTCTCCGTTTTTGCATTCTTGACTTCGGTAAAGGGTAGCTTGCCTTACTGAAAAACACGCTTGTCTTATCAACGTCAACCGGAAAAGAGATTTGCTAACATATAGCTTCACTCAGTGTCTTGAATTCCATTAACTGAAAGCAGTTTCCCTATTTGTTGTATGTCTCAAAATAAGCGGGATCTTGTTTTTCTCAAAGCAAGCAAAAGATCCCTCGATCATTATAAATACTACAACTATTTTCTATACTTTGATTAAACAATAATCATTCAATCATCATTTAGCAATGTGTTCGATTCCTCTTGCAACAGATATTTACTTCAATTTAAGTAATGGACAAAAAATTCCTGCTTTAGGGGTTGGTACATCTCCACCTGATAATAAGCCTGCTGTTAAAGAGCAAGTTATCACTGCTGTTAAAGCTGGATATCGACAAATTGATACTGCTTGGTATTATGGTACCGAGCAGTATGTTGGAGAAGCTCTAAAAGAATTGTTTGAGGAAGGAGTGGTGAAGAGAGAAGAATTGTATATTGTTACAAAATATTGGCCATCTTTATATAATAATCCTGAAGAATCAATTAATCAATCTTTGAAAAGATTACAACTCGACTATGTTGATTTATTATTACAACATTATCCCGTTGCATTTAAAAGTGGGCCTGATGGCCTGCCAGCTGTACCTTTAGATGAGGCTGGAAACCTTGTATATGATGATGACCCAGTAACTGGAAATAAATTTATTGAAAGTTATCATAAACTTGAAGACCTTTTAGAGAATACGAGCAAGGTCAAAGCAATTGGAATTTCAAATTATTCCAATCCGAAGTTACGTAAATTGTTAGCAGCTGTTAAAAAGCATAAACCGGTGGTCAATCAACTTGAAGTTCATCCTCTTTTGCCTCAACAGGATATTATTGACTTCAACAATCAAAAGGGTATAAGAGTAGCTGGGTTCTCACCCGTTGGTAGTGGTGGTGCCCCAGTACTCAAGCTTCCATTAGTTAATCAATTGGCTGAAAAATATAATGTCAGCCCCAATGAGGTTGCAAATGCCTATCTTATCTTACAGGGAGTCCCATCCTTACCTAGGACATCCAATTTGGAAAGAATCAAAACTAATATACGACTCCCACCATTGACAAGAGAAGAAAGAGATCAATTATATCAATTGGGAGTTGAAAATCCTGAAAGATTCATTAACGAACCATGGGGACGTGGTCTTGGCTTAAAGTGGTTCAAAGGAGATAACTTGAGTGTTGAGTTCGATTGAGGTACATACCTTTATTCTAAATGTCTTTCTTTTTAGTAGATCTACATTAATTAGATTTAATCCTTGAAATCTGTAGTTATGTAATTAAAAAATCACCCAATTTCTTCACTTCCCTCAATTCCCAATTAGTCCTTGTCTAGACAATCAGTTTATCATTCAAGGTAACCAGAAACTAGTTGTCGATGGACAAAAATAGGAAAAAATTATTCGAAGACCGATCTTCGGTACGCAATAAAAAATTATTAAGTATATAACTCGTTCTTTTTCCCTACTTTCCATTATACAATCTGACAATCATAGAAAGAATGGTCAAACATTCACCAACGATAGTAATACTCTGTCTTTTCTTAAAAGTTTTGTTAGCTTCGCCAATTGACTTTCTAAGCGGCCTCCTTATCAAAAATAATATTTTTGATGATCGCGTACAGATTGGAGGCCCTATTGATGATGAATTCCCCACGGTTGAAGAAGGAGCTGACGTTGCCAGAACTTTAGTCAATAGAGAATCTTTGGTTAATGTCAATACATTTACCAAGATCAAGGATTCGGGCGACTCGGAGACTTTAATTCCTGTTTCTTCAATGGAATATTACGCCGATTGTGATAATGATGGGGACCCTTATTGGTTGGTAATTGATATTGGCTCTACTTTTCAAAACATAAAGCATGGTTCCGAATATACTTTCACTATAAGAGCTGGTGACCATCCTAGTGGCGAAAAAGTTGATGAGAACTATCCTGGGGGTAGAAGCTGGTCTCCAGCTGGATCTCCTCGAGTTAACCTTCGGGGTACGTTGCAAAACGTCACTTTCGAGAACCCTCTTGATCTCATCCACTTGGAACACTGTTTCGTTAAAAGACATCCTGATGCCAAATGGTGGTTACCATCAAACGCAATTACTCCTCATAAAGCTCATTGGGTAAAATTTGTTGTATCAGGGGTTTATTTTGTTGGAGGTTTTGGTGATCGTGCTTACATTGGTCCAATTGATTCAGAATTATATCATTCAGCCAAAGTAGTTTAATTTCTTTTATTTCGAAGTATTCTTTTATAGGTATATAGCTTAACTTATGGGTAGTTTTCACGACTTTTGATAACTATGTAATCTTTCCGAATCCAGGCACTCGAAGAATATCCGTAGGAGTATCTCTTGTACCATGCCCATGAGACGCATTAAACAGTCTTGATGGCGTTTTATGAAATATTTCAAGACAGTACTAAAACCTAATCTAATAGTGACCCTGATCCATTTTTTGTTCAATTTTGCAAAAAATGTGATAAAAAGTGAAGAAGTTGAAAATGACCCTCATATAACAACTACTTTCTTGAAAGCAATGATTATTCTTCTAAGTTATTCCCAGAATATTGGACCTCCCAGAGCTAGGTCAAGTCCAATCGATCTTCTTCTTTCACTCTGGCTGCAAAATTTTCGATTCAAAAATCATTGAAAAAATTACCCCAAAAAAAATCTTTCATAGAAAGGTTCATTATAAAAAAAAAAATTCAAAAGATTTGACTGCAAATTTCCCGATTTAATGTGAAACTTTTAATGCTGGAATTGAACCAATGGCATTCAAGCAGTTGGTAAATATAAAAAATGTGGTCCTCCAGGGCCAAAATCAGCCAATACCTTCATGAATGCCCACTCCACCCACCAAACCTCACTTCCCGTCATAACAGAACCCTTGACTCCCAAATCTCATCACACCTTTTGGTTAGCTCGCCAACAACAAGTTGACACTTCGATCTTCACCCGATGCAAAATATTATCAACAAATCGACTGTTAGACAAGAGTACACTTCCCTTTGCAAACTGTCTGACATTAAAGATGGTTGTAGGAAGGGCATTAAAAAGTTCGCTCAGTCTGGCTGTTCATGTGTTCAAAAAAACTTATGGTTCGGACTGTAGCTCGTAAGTGTAAACTTTACCTTAAGCATTCAAATGGCCCCTAATACAGTAAAATAAAATATGAGGTTGTAAATTACAGTCTTATCACATAAATTCGAATCCCAAATCGTCCTAAACCCTAGCTTTAGGTTTTTTTTCTCTGCTACAAACAAAAGAGCAGTTTTCCGATTTAACAGAAGTGTCATTAATTTTCAAAGGATCATAAGAATTCTTGATATAATCAGGTTATATGATTTTTTAGGCTCTAAGCAAAAACAAATTCAATTCCAAAATATCATCCCTTAAATAAACGATCTATTGCCATTTCCTTAAAGATTCATGTTGAGCTACACTTCGCACTATATAAAAGTCTCTTAAAAATATAATAAAACCAATTGGTAAATGTTTAATGCAAAAAAGAGATGCGCAACCTTGTAGATTTGCGGTATTCGTCCTTAAAGCTAATGAAACATACTTATCATGATAAAACGAAATATAGCAGAGAGTGATATCTAGATGATATCTAGAATAGAATAGTTTACTGTGCAATAATATATATAAATAAAACAAAAAAATAATTCAGCGAGGAAAACAAAAAAAAGCTTTAAAAAACAACCTAGTTCAACTTTCCAACTTTGATTGTGGGCTTTCGTACATCCGTTTCAACTTTTGTCATCGAATATAAAAAGTGCGATAACAGAAATGGATCTTCACTGAATCTACCTCTTTTAGTTGTAGTCGATTTATCAACAGAAAGAAACATAAACGTCCCTCCCAGAAATAATAAAGAAAATATTCTACTCAAGTTCATAAACCATACTACAAACTACAGCAAAACAAATTAGGAAAAGACATCATGACCGCCAAAAGAATGACTCTAAGAAACTAAATGTCATATGTGATCTCAAGAATCAATGCATTCATAAAAACAAGGTACGTCAAGCCGATGCTGATTATGACCATACTCCTTGATGCACGTCAAAGAAAAACGAGTCATTGAGATACACTGATAAAAACTAGAATCCTCTGGTTCTACAACGAAAATCGACCCAGTCTGTCGGATTTTGATTTCTAAATATGTGGCAAAACTATGTGTACTAATGTAGATTTGAATGCAATATTCAAACCCTTTAATTTGGATTTTAATTGAAGTAGCATTATATTGACTAAAAACATTAGGCTTCTTTGATGCTTATTTTTTTAATCATTTTTATATCAATATTCGAAAAGACAACTTCGTTCACTATTCGGTAAAAATGAAAGAAGCTTCTCCGAGATCGTAACTGTATAAAAGTTACCAGAAAAGTTGGCAAATAAAATGATTAATCAATATATCTCTTAAGTATTCGAATTACGTTCGAAGCAAATAGGAATTTCTCGTTCACGCAAGTCTTAGAATGAGAATAACGGACACTAGTAGTCAGATTGCAATGAGAGCAACCTGACGGATCAGCAGAATGACGACTAGTAACATAATTAACAATACATTCACCGTAGTCAGATGGTAGGCCTACCTGGCTACTCCATAACGATATTATTCAATGCTAATTTAGCAGAAAACAACATATCGAACAAGAGCTTCTCTTAGGCTCAAACATATCCTTAATAGAGTACTTAATTTGGGTATTCGAATTGCCGTACATTATAAATCAAATGATTCGGATCCTGATTCTAGTGCATAGACATTACCACCTTTATCTTCGAAGTGAATGGGCACTTAAAAATACAAATACGTCTGAACAAGGCTAAGCTCAATCTTCGAATGGCAAAGGATACTTAGAGAATTCCTGCGATTTTATATGTTGCAAGACTTTTCTTGCGAGTAAGATTGTACATTTCAAACATCTATAATAGTGAATTATGTAGATTCAAAGCCGAAATATGTTAAGATGATTCTTCCGCAGTTAATAAAGAAACCTTCTTTATGGATCTTGATAGTAATCATAGCTGCAATAATATTTGAGAGAACTCTTAGAAGAATAAGATTCAGCCTTAAAGGTTTTAGAACGCATGTCCCTAGAATAATAATGTAATTGCAGCCATATTTTTTTCCAAAACGTTATAAAGAGACATATTCTGATTACGTATATTTACGTATATCATATATTCGACTTTTACTTTGTTTTTGAATCTTTTGTTTCTTCAATTCTATGGAATTGCATCGACCTGCGTCTCAATTCATTCAAGTGCTTCAAAACTACAAATTGGAATAGTCAATGTAAAAAAGATCATTTAACAATTTGCAGGTCATATCTGTAATATTAGCTAATTATCTTTAGTGTAGGCCAAATGAAGAAAATCGAAAAGCACCTTACGAGCTCTCTTATTACTCTTGCATCCACGGGAGAGCATTTCAAAACATATTTAATAATGAAAACAATCTCCAGTTGATGCTTTTTTCAATATGAAGCTTGCTTTCTGAATAACTATTGCTTCTAAAGGGTGTTTCTGCTTCATTATCTACAAAAGGATTTACTCCAATGTGACCGAATGTAAGTATTATAAGTACATTTCTTACCTAATCTCATCTGCCAAATTGCTTTCAAATGTAAGATCATTTCGATGTTTTCAATTGAAAGTTCTTGTATCTTTGCTCTTTTCTTTGATCTCGTTTGAAAAGATATCTTTTGGTGTCTTTGAGGTTCCTCTCAATGTAGATTCTTTCGTTTACATGGAAATTCCAAATACAAATATATGTCCATCCAGGTCGCATGAATTCTGATTAAAAAAACTTATCTGTTTGAAAATGATTATCATGCTATGTTCTTTCATTCCATTAGTCGCGGTATTTTTAAAAAGGGGGCTTTCATTTGTATTCATATTCAAGTTCATTCTCAAGTCTATGGATTTCGATGATAACTATAGACTTGCGAAATCCAAAATTCAACCCAAGCATATTCGAAAAGGGATACGAAATCTTCAATTCTGAGTATGATGAGTGTGGCTAGTAAACGAGAGTTGAAGGTTAGCAGGCAGAGGTACATGAGTATTTTCAGGTAAAAACCAATCACTAACAGATTTGGTTTCCCATTTACTTCGAGAATTTTTCTCAGATATACTGGGAGAATCAAGCATTAGGCTGATGTGTGATGTAATACGATCTCTAATCTTGTAATTTATGTATTTCTTAATCCTGTCAGCAATTACTTATAATTTTGGCTCTTCGAGTTTGGCATGAAAGTTCAGGTCCTCATATACCCCTATGACAAGAATCTATTATACATTTTTTTTTTTACGTATAAGAATATATATTTAATAACTATTTACTAATATATACCTAGAGTGGGAAAGACTATGTTTAGTCAAGAAAACCCATGTTGAATTAAGTGATGTGATAGAA